CCCTTAGATCCCCCTAGAACACTACCTTGACTTTTGCACCTACAGACAGAAGAGCCGATATTAGCAATGAAATCAACATAAAGGTACATGAGCACCATCCTACCTTTAAGAAAGAATCCTATGACTGACACAGGACCACTGGGCTCCAGAACGATCATAGTATCAAGAGAGAGCTTCAGTTCCTGTCCCAGCTTGGTAAGGTCGTCCCATATCTGTGACAAGCCTTATTAGCAGCGGTCTTGCCCTCCATATGAACCAAGGAACATGAATGGTCGCGAAGTTGGGTCACAAGAGAAAAGTCTGGGAAGAGGAGGCGCGAATCTTGCCCTCTTGTTTCATCCAGCACAGTTGTCCTTTTAAAATATAAGGAAGAGAGCATTAGGGACTTCTTGAACAAAAGATATTCACAACACAAGGCCTAGAACATTACATACCACTTGCTGCTCGTATGCTTGATCGACCCAAATGTCACATTCAAGCAGGGGTCGATGAGGTATCGAATAAAAGTTGCCTCATTCTCAAGGCCAGAAAATGTCCAGAGCTGTTGCGACGAGATCAGCTGTAGCAGGACCTGGTGGAGAAGAGGGAAAGAGGGAGGGTTGCTTTTCAAAAGCTTTGAATACTCGTCGAAGTTGTTACTTGCTGCCAGTGCTGCCCACTTGTGGCACTCAATGATTATGGTAGACTTGAAGTTATTGATCTTTTTCTTGCCCTCACAGTCCCACATGGACTCCCAAACATGGTCTTGGACTTCTCCCTGCAAGCCCCAAATCTGGTTCTCCGACTCCAGAAGGAAGATAAAGTTGATAACGCTATCAGACAACGCGATCAGTAAGCTTTAGTACAAGATAGAAGAGGAAAGGCGCTGTAAGGCAAAGAATGAAATAATAAAATAAAACGTACAGCATCTCATGGGGCCGCGAGATCCCATAGTTCTCTCGCACTATGCGATCTCGGAATGTCATTAGGTCCTTGCTGATGTCGACACCATTGTACGTCCATGAAGTTTCGAGTATGGAGTCCTCTCGGCCACTCCCTCCAAGAAAGTGGTAGACATACATATCCGACTCTGAGGACGTCTCCGATCCATGGTATGAGTAGAGTGAGCCAGAGGTTGTTGTTGTGGTGGAGACTGTAGAACCGAAGCTAACCCTGCGCCGCTTGCTTAATTCTGCTTCTATCACATCCTCAGATTGTTTTTTGGCATTCTAGCAAGATTGTTAAGAAGCAGTTAGTTTGTGTCCATTATATGGCTTCGCAGACTTCATAAGCACAGTTGGTTCATAAAATAAACAGTCAACCGGTTGACTTATATGATAAAACATGGTATTACACTTCAGGTTGAAAAATGTATTAACATATTCAATGCGCATTTACTACCTTAGTCATCGGGGCAGCTTTCGACGCAATCATTACCTTGTCGAGCTTGGTAGGAGCGGTCGTGGTTCTCGCTGCCGTATCTAATTGACAATTACTATAATTAAAGACCATACTATACTTATTTGCATATAAATATATTTCGCATCATTTTACCTGAAGAAGGAATTTGCTCATCGATCTGCGGACTTGAACCATCTACCTCTGTGTACGTATCGGAATGTCCCACGTATTTATTTTCCTTCAATCCAGTTTCTGCTGTTATTACAGAATATGGGCAAAACCGTCAGTTATAATAATTAATAATGACAATAATTAATAATAACAATATTAATACAAACAGTAATACTTCAGCCAATCCATAAAGGCACTCACCATAGCTCCGTTGTGACTTTGACAGTTTGTTGCTGTTTCTAAAGATTTCCTGTGGACGCTTGCGGCTAACTATTGTCATAAGGAGTTAACAAAAAGAAGAAAAAAATCATATGAAAAAATAGGCACAGTTCCAAAAGCATACCTTGCTCCTCGTCTTGCGCATCCAGTTCATCCCATTTGTTTCTATTAATGGAACCGCTTGCGAATGCCTCCGAACCCTTTACTAACACAGCTGCTGTTCTGATTTGTGAATCTCTTGAACTGCGATCCATCCAGAATTGAGCAGCCTTGTTAATTTTCCATGATCGAAAGCATTACGAAGCTTTTCTAGTTCCTCCTCCGTAAAACCACCTATACCCAGTAAACGGGAGTAACGCTGGTGTTCTTCGTGAGATTTATGAGCGCCTGATCTGAATGTTTTGAAGTATATTTCGGGAGATATCTTGTCTTCATTGCGGATCCATTGTAGTTCCTCTTTAGAAAAGTTCATGTGGGCTTTAGGCATATTGAAAGTACCTAATAATTTTTGCAAAAAATTGATAGTGAATGCAGAGATATTGTGATAAAGTCAGCTTAAAAGAAGACAAGGTAACTAACCAGTTGGGTTCAAGGAACAAGAGAAGTGTGGTCAAGGATGGAGGAAGCAAATTATAGTAAAGATATGATGTGCAATAAAGCCAGACTAGAGGAAGACTAGGTAACTAACCAGGTAGTGTGCAAGGGATCAATAGAAGTATGTGGGCAAGGGATCAAGAGAAGTATGTGGGCAAGGGTGAAGGAAGCAAGTATAGTAAAGATAAGGTGTTTATTGCTACTTGATATGAGATGGTACTTCTAGACTAATGTATATGTCTTGGTTGAGGTGGCAGAGTCTTCCTCGTTTGATGATTGATTACTAGTTGGAGCCTTGGCTTCGGATAGGGTACTCTCCTCTTGTTTGTCTTCCGGAATATCATTGGTCAATTTGGAGTCATGCGGATGAGTCATCTGGTCTTGCTGCGGATTGCGCAGCATCGGTTTGCTTACATTAGCTATTAGATCGCATCAAGATTATCATTAGTTCTTGCCGTAATGACATCATCTTAATCCCAACCTCCCTTGTCCATGTGAGTGACCATTGTTTACACGACTTACACATATTAAATCAGTGGAAAATCTACAAAACGTGCCCTCAGAGATTATCTATCACTGACAGGTATCCTAGTGTTGAACATTAATCAATATGAATAGTAATCAAACGGATTGGATTGTTTCCACAACAAAAGAATTTAAAAGCAATAAGACCAGCGAGCACACAAGAGCCAAGTGCTTTGAGCAGCTTCCTCAAATACACTAATGGCTGGAGTGGTTTTGACATGATCCCACCATGATAAACATCAAGATGAGACGAGGTGCTGTAGTGATAACGAGCGCACAGGAGCCAAGAGTTTGATTTCTACTTCAGAACTACCTCAATTACACTAATTGAGTAGACCAAGGTGGAAACGCGTCAAAAGGCCAAGGTGGTTTAGACATGATGCCCTAATGATAAAACATCAAGAAGGCACGAGGTGTTATCACTAAACAAGACAGCGAGCGCACAACAGCCAAGCGATTAGCTTCAACTTTGAGCAGCTACCTCAATTACACTAATTGAGTAGGCTAAGGAGGAAATGTATCAAATAGCTGGAGTGGTTTCGACATGATGCCTCAACGATAAAACATCGAAGTGGCACGAGGTGCTGCCTTGCAAGAATGAAAACAAAATAATAAGTAAAATAACAAATAAAAAAAAAAATAAAAAAAAACAACCGTGTACTTGTACGATAGTGTGACGATTAAGCGTAGAAGGTGATGAGAGTGCTGAAACAGGTCTAACAATTTGGTTATAGAATCAAGTGAGTTATTTCCAAGGCGTTATAACGTCAAGTAATTTCATTTGAAAGTGCAAAGATGATAAGGATGTTGAGCGAGGAGGTGGCAGTAAAGTAGAACGAACAAGGCGCGCGAGAGAGTAAATACCCAGCAGTGCTCCTATTCGAACTGAAATTTGTCAATTGATATTTATTTTTTTAATCTGAAACATCATAATTGACAAAATTTCAGTTGAAATAGGAGCACTGATACCCAGATGGGTGTGTGATTGAGAAATGGTGTGCGAAGGGTGAGAAAAAATAAATAGACGTAGAGGAAAAGGAAAAAAATAAATTAGTGCGCAAAGAAAACGAGAAGAATTGTGAGGGTGAAAAAAGAAGGAATGCAAAGAGAGCAGTGAATGTAAAAGGCACGTAATGAGGGAGAAAGATAAACGTGTACAGAGTGAGGTAAAAAAAAAAAAAAGTGAGAGAGTGGTGTGCAGAGAGAGCGTAAAAGAGAAGCGGAGTGGCAATGGAAGAAATTTAACGCGAAATCAAGTCTTCAGCCAATAATCAATCAATTAAAGAAGCGAATTAAGATTAATTACCTCAAATAAAGGTGCAGTTGTGTTGCAGGAGAAAAATGTGTAAACAAAGATTGCGAGGGTTAATCAAGTAAAAGAGGGGAAAATGGGACGAAAGAAAGGATGATTAGACACTTTGAGGAAACGAAGAATTCTTTTAAATGTGCGACTTTAAGGGGAATAATGAAAGTGATTCTTATACGTCATTCTTTTTTTTTTTTTTTTTTTTTTTTTCCGTCTTCACGTGTTCGTCAAAAAAAAAATAACACAAATCGTTTGTTCTTGCTCAACTCTCAGATATAAATCAATAACGATATTCCTGATAGAGCGCTGGAAAGCAGATGTCTTTGGGATGGTCGGTAGAAGAGCTTATTGTCTTTCGTTTAAGATAGGTCCTAAGGGGGTCCGTTCAGGATTCATGGAGTAGCACTTGTACAAAGTATTGGAAGTATAAAAAAACCAAAATTATGCCATTTTTGACACACCCAATAGATTATAGCACCCGAACCGTGAGAGGCAGTTCTTGAGTAAATGGCCGTAGAGTATCGAAAATTCACTATTTTCCACCACCTGCCCGCTTTTCCTTTAAAAAAAATTTTTTTTTCTGAAAATGTAACTGGTAGCGATTCTATGGCCGTTGGATTCGTAATTGAAAAATACAAATAACCTGAGGGTTTTGTGAGTTTTGAGTGTCTCTGTGTCGTGCTCTCGTTTTTACCAAGTATTGCAAAACTAATTATGAAATGGTTGCCTAGATTAGTCATATACTCTGTCTTGGTGCACTTATTACTTTACTACGGAAACTGACCTTCGTCAGAAAACGTGAAACCATGGATATCTACATGTCTTTTCGCACACGAATAGGAACCCTCAAAAAATATTTATTATCATGTGAATTATATATAGGAATTAAGTGATTTTAAGTTCAAAGGCGGATGTTTATTTCCTCTGGTTGCAGATCAGCAGCATTCTTCTCTCGATTTAAAATAACCTGATCCAATAACATTTGGGAGAAGAATGTCATTGAGCGATACTTGTGTGACATATTTGCCTATTTAATTAACGTTCAGGCGAATGTATGATCCAGAGGTGTAGATCACTTGGGTGATGGGAGCAATATCGTTGCCATTTTCCAGAAATGACTTTGCGAACGCGCCCATCTGAAAGTATCCCAAGCGCGTTTAGAGATGTTGCTTGCCTGTGAAGGACCTGTTACTTCACCGAAAAAAGCCTCATATCCTCGAAGCTTAATGATGACATCAGGACGGTCAGCTTTGATCCGCCGACGTTTCTGAAGCTTCGATTCAGCGTTAGGACTAAATGAATACAAAATTAAAAGGTTACGTTATATTAGCATGTCATTCTATAAACCAACAGAAGATTGGGACACATGATTTTCAAACGAACAAATGAATATTATTATTAATGGAACCACTTGCAAATGGTTCTGAACCATTCACTAACGCAGTTGAGCCTTATTAATCTTCCATGTTTCGAAAGTACAGCGAAGCTTTCGTAGCTCCTCCTCCGTAAAGCCACCTATATCCAGTAAACGGGAGCAACGTTAGTGTTCTTCGTCTTCATTGCGGATCCAATGTAGTTCATTTGAAAAGTTCAACTGAGATTTAGGCATGTTGAAAGTAATCAAGCAATTAAAGAAGCGAATCAAGAATAATTACCTCGAATGAACGTTAAAGGTGCAGTTGAGGTGGAGGAGAAAATGAGAAAGATGTGAAAACAAATGCGGGAGGAAATCAATCACGATTTAGTTCCTCTATCAGAGTACATTGACTTTATTGATTCACAATTCTACTTTCATTTGGGTTGTCCGTCTGGCTTGCCTTCTTCCTGCATCTCCAGAGCTCATCTTGCAGATCAACCGCCAAAACATGTTGCTTGATATTTTTTAATTCGATTGTCTTGTCGGCGTAGGATCCACACGATCTGCTCCAGTTCTGTAAGTTTGTTTCTTGAACTCCTCGACCATGTCTTGCGGGACTACAAAAATAAATGCAATCTCGTCAGAGGAGCTAATCCACTTTTTATCTTGCAGAGTTTTCAGAAGCTTCTTGAAGTTTTCACTTTTGATGCCATGTTTCTTGTTCGTCGTAATCTGGAGTAGATACATATTTCGGAGCTATTGACATATCCACACAAGAAAAGGTCTTACTCTTTGGCAGCCACAATGATCCTTCCATATCGTCCTTCACATATTCATCCTAAGTATGAAAGAATTTGGTTTTCGGGCCTTCTCCGACTTCAATAGTTATCTCAGTGCCATCATCAATGCTCTTGGCCTTAAAGCTACGACCGCCCAGCCGCAGTATACGCTGCACATAGTTTTGGAACATTACTCCTTTGCCTAGTGGATTACCATCGACGAGCATTCTCAACACCTTGGCACGGGTACTCTCGTCCGATAAAGTATACACCTTTTGCATTACATCATTAGAAGCCTGTCGTAATTCGAATCCTTTATGATCGTTTGTTGGATAACAGTGGAAAATCTGGCTGCTAAACTCCAATGAATCCCGGCCCTGCGTATACTGTATTATTATATTTGATACATCATCCCGGAGGTTGGATAAAGCAAGCTCAACGCGTTCTAATGCTTCCGACTCGGCATCTCCTATTTTCCCATTATTCTCGGTTCCCATGGAGCCATGTGGTACTTCCATATCACCCTCTTCATGATTTCTTGGTACCCATTCGCGCTAGAAAGTAAAGCTCTTGGTGATACCGAGAAGATAGTCCTGGCTTGCGTGAGCTCTGGTGATGGTGCACTGTCGACTGGGAACTAAGTGTTGGGTAGTTGCAGGAAGGGCATGAAATCCTCTATGTCCCCATATCGAACAACATATCGTCCACCGAAAGCATAGCACTTTGAACTTTCCTTTTTCTGGATGATGGTAATAGGCGGATCTTCCTCATTGCTAACGGCAAGCAGCCGGATGGCGAAGTATACGAGAAAGGATGATTTCCCTATACCGGCTGTCCCTGTGACAACAATTTTGGTTGCAGGCTCTCTATCATCTCCATTTATATAAAAATCCTTGACGATCGTGTCGTAGAGTTTTTTGAAAGCTGACCTTACGTACAGATCATTCATGTTGATCACAGGAAGCTTTGTCCCCAAAGGGCTGGATATCACGTCGATTTCTTGAAATGATCCGTTTTGGAGGGAAGTGGTCGTTTGGGGTATTGAATAGTATGGCGCCAATATTTTTAATTATTGAAACCAGTTCTTTACTCATAAGGCTCCGCAGGCGTGGAACACCGTTTATTAAAGCCTTTTGGGCAAGTCCTGCTGCACTAATCGTCTCCAGTAGGCTCATGTTTTCTAGCTTGGTCTTTTTGAGGGAACTCCTATCACTCTCGTCATTCTCTAGCTGATCTCGATCCCTTTCGAAACTGTTTGTTAAAATATAAACAAATAGAATAGTTTCAGAAGGTAGTTTTGAAGCCTTAAATCGAAAACATCAGTCGACCACGAACAAGAACTAAAGACATACCTCGCTTCGGTACTTCAACAATAATGTAAATGAGACTATCTGCTACTCCGCCAGTATGGAGTTTTTCACATACGTTGTCAAGGACCTTGATTGATTGACCCTTTGGACAACTTGCGTATTCCCTCCCTTGTTGCACCACCAGAGATGAGTTTAAGATACTCCACTAGGAAAATAGTCGCTGGTGATTCCTGAGCAAAAAAGTATCGGTGATTCTCCTCATTGATGCCTCCAAGTCCTCTAATTAATTAAATTGAATTCTTAATATAGCGCATACTGCGAAAGAATGAAGAGTAATTCGATGGACATCACTTACGAGATGGAGATGACGTTCGGCTGATTGGAGGAGAAGACGAATGTACTATTATACTTGGTTGATTATACTTGTTGGGGCGACTAATTGGAAAAAAAAAAAAAAAAAAAAAAAAAAGTAATTAGACGCGTCATCATAATCATCAGTGTAATTGAACAAATAAGAACAGCGCTTACCTGCAGATGGACGCTGAACAATGACATGGATGGCTTTCTTTGCTGGTGTGGTGCCAAAGACCTCAGAGATCTCGCTAGTTGGGTCTTCCAGCTCCTCAAGTTTCTTTCTCTCATCAGCAGTTAGATTGTTGAGTGTAATTAGTCTTTTTGGCGCAGAAGAGATCGAAACATGATGGAGAACTAAGTCACTTGCGCGGATGTCGTCAAGCAAAAGGTGATTGTTTTTCTTTAATCGCGTCCTTGAGATCGCCAATAGTATCGTCGAAAGCCAAGCTCAAAGGAAATGCAGTGGGATCCCCATCGAAATACAAAAGAGTTTAATTTTTTGGGTTGTCATTTTGGTATAATTGCGCGCAAAAAAAAAAAAAAAAAAAAAAAAAAAGAAAAATAATGGACACTAAAGATTAAGAAGAGTGTGCTCACTAAAAATAAATTACGTACACAGTGTGGTGCAAAATTTAAGCTTCTTGCCTTGTTTTTTATTCCTGCCGCAGCATAAAAATTAATTAATCATCCATCATCATAAAATTATATACCGTTTAATTGCCTTCCCACTCCGCTTCCTTTTTTTACCACCAGCAAACTTTTTTTTGTTCGCACACTGTCCCTGCACAGCTGGTTTTTTTTTTTTTTACCTCATTTATTTTCTCATTCATTTCGTGCTTTTTATTTTCACCACTCACTTTGCATCCATTCTCTTGGACTTATCATAACTCTGTTTATTTCATTTTAATTTTATTTTTTTTTAGTTATCTCACCACTTACTTTGTAATTGCCCCCACTACGTTGCTTGGGAGCCTGGTTTATAATAATCCTCTCGTTCACTCTGCTCCTCCTGAGGTAAGTGATTGGTATTCTTGAGCATATTCATCAGCAATGAAGTGAAATGGTTTGAGAATCTCTATCCCATGTTACAGACTTAGCAGTGTGATGGACATTGTTGACATTTAATTGATGTCAAAGTCCTATCCCTGTACTCCTCGACTGCCCGAATGGCGGAGGAGATGTCGACCAGGTGCACTGACTGCCCGAATGGCGGGTGCATCAAGGTATAGTATCAAGTCTCGAGGTTCTGACTGCCCGAATGGCGGGAATCGTTTGCGCCTCAACTCATTTCCTTCAGCTGCTGGTGTTTATGCTTTTTCTGTTTGCTTGGGTATCGTTGATGACTTTTGACGAAAACGAATGCACGAATGCTATGGACCCTATTTATTTTATTATTATTATTTTTTCCTTCGCTCACAGATTCCTAATATCTTGGGTTATGTATCAATGCTTGAAGGCGAAATGAAGTCTATTCATCTATCATATTTGACACGATTCTTGCGTACATGTTACTCTCCTTCCCAAAAGCGCCCCATTTGAACCAATTATACTTTAGTTAAAGGTAATCAGTTAGAGCTTAATTCGTTTTACGCGACTATGCATCTTTTTTTTTTTTTTTTTTTTTTTTCTAAAGTCACTGTCTTTTTATTTATTTTATAAACTCACATTCTTTTTACTTTGTACACTTTTATTTTCTTTTTTTTCACCCCACTACCCATCTTTCAGCAAACATCATTACCCTTTCATTCTTTTTTTTTTATTTGTCCTCACTCTGTACACTCTCTTTTATTTTGATACTCTCTCATTTTCTGCATTCCTTTTTTTCATTCTCATCTCTCCCGTCAGCGCTTTATACTCTTTCTTCTATTATTGATCGTATCCACCCGCATTCACATCCCTTGGTTGTCCTGGATAACCTTCTATTTACTTCCTCTTACCATTCAGAGTGCATTTATCCCAACCAGGTAAGTTAATATTGTGAACATTCCCAGAAACACGACCCATTTCTTTGTCTGTGCTTGTAAGCTATACATCAATAACGCTTAGTGAAAACGCCTCCTCGAAAAGCTCTGGATTTTGTACTTTGTCGAAATAATCTTGTGTATTAGCACTCATTGTATTAAGCACGCAGCTCATGGCCACCCTACGCAAGATAAATTAATTTCAAGTTAGAACGAAAGCGCAAGCTGAGTTTCGTTATGCAGATTAGCATACACATACTGTGCATCTTTCAGTAGAGTGACATCATGAGAGAATCGACCGCATGCTCAAAGAGGTGGACGTGCGAAGGGCTCATGTTGGGCAAGGGCGACGGGAAAGTAACGTTGCTTTCGCCGTTGATCTACTTGTAAACAATCAGAATAAATAAATATTACTATGTATGATGCATTCAATAAATAATAAATGACCAAACCAAACGAACTTACAAGTTTGGTCAGCGATAGTACCAATGAATGCCAGGGCTCTTCTGTGATACAGGCCTCTCTCGCTCTCTTCCGTGTACTCTGGGCAGAGACTGATTCCGTTACAGGCGAAGAACTCGAAATCTCCTCAGGAACTATTTAAGCGTTGGGTAATTACGGCCTCTATTAATATCAATTAAAAGTATAGAGCATTCCCACACTTGCAGCTAGGGTAGTACCTGACTCTTGAGTGCTAGCCTTTGTCGTCTCAGGTTCATCTATCGTGCCTAAGAGATTTCCTTACGTCAGCATTGATGAAGTCGACCTTGCCGAAGAAACAAGACGTCCAAAGAACAACACCTACCTCCTCTCGCTATGTCTCAGATGAAACAATGTGTAGTGTTAGAAACAATTTCAACGAGGCCAGGTTGGACAGAGGACAATATCATCAATAAAAATACCTTGTGAAACCTCTACATTGGTGAAGAAGGCGCGTGTTAATTTTTTATCAGATCTACAGAATACAAGAGTCATTGCGATAAGTACACTTACTTTCCGTATGTTGTTGGATTGACGTTCGTATCATCGAAACTGCTGCGTTTGAGCGGTCTAAGGTCCCCAAGACACAAATGTCATCGTATTCCTTTCGGCAGCTTTCCATATCGAGTTGGTACAAAGATGCTGCCCGATCGCCACGCAGGCGCTCCCGACCGACGTAGCTTACAAAGCATGCGTAAAGCTTGTCGAAGTCGGAGTGGTCGTGCCGGTCAGTGATGGCAAATAGCCTAAACGATTTCATTCTAAGAGTTTTGTCTCAAATAGAACATTAATAAATGTCAGTCAGCTGGCATACAGACAAATACTTGAAAAATAAAATGAATAAAGAAATATGAAGGCTCCCCTCCCCGCCGGCATCTATGAGGCATCAGATGAACGACATTGAGCATAACCAGTTGCGGAGGACTACTGGACAGTGGCTGAATGGCGACAATGGCTGAAAGAGCTCATCCGTATGAACGCACAGTTAAGAAATCACGTCCCACCCTCATAGACACGCTAGAAGCAGTAATCGTGAACATGACAAAAGGCTCCCCTCCTCGCCGGCATCAATGAGGCATCAGATGAACGACATTGAGCATAACCAGTTGCGGAGGACTACTGGACAGTGGCTGAATGGCGACAATGGCTGAGAGAGCTCATCCGTATGAACGCGTAGACAAGAAATCTCCACGTCCCACCCTCATAGACACGCTAGGAGCAACTGTGAAACGCAATAAAAGTCCTGCCATATGACCTTGATGACCAAGTAAATGAGATGCAAGTAAAGCAATAAATGCAAGTAAACAGTAAAGCAACAGATGCAATTAACGGAGTCCCCTTAGATACTCAAGTTAGCCAAATATGCGACACCTTAAACAAAAAATAAAAGTTATTTCCATACAAGTCATGTGGGTCATGTGAGGCAAAATATATATGGAAATTCACTCTAACCTGTCTCTAAGTCCATAATCGTATGGGAAAACCAGTTCTCATATATAAAAATCATTCAAATGAACCTCAACCCAAACTGAACTTTGGATAATGTCAAAAGACACTAATATAAAGCGATCTAGGGTAGTAATTGAAGTTTCTGAAGAAATTGAGTATCCGTAGTGACATAAAAACCGACTTTGGAAACCAAGTGTAGCTTGGTAGACACTTGTTTAAAAAAAATGTTTCGTTGAAATTAGTAAAAAAAGCAGAGCTCCATGATAAAACCTTCAAACTTCACCATATTTTCAGGTTAAAAGGACATGTTAATGCTGAATCCAACAGTGGTATTTTTACAGCGACTTAGTTTACAAAAATAACCATCCTTACTGTTTAAAGATGGATGAGAGACTATAAATTCCAGAAATTACTCTATTTAGAGAATTCAATGGCCATTTTCTTGACAACCGCATTGCTAGTTCCTTGTAGTGCATATACATGGCTTATAGATATAGCTTTTGGTACCAGAATCTATATTTTGCAATGTGTATCGCCATTAATGACAGAGTAATATTACTTTTGAACGAAAGAAGATGTACGTAATCTTGATTATTTTCAATGTACAAGTTCTTTGAATAGAGGTATCTTACTGAAGACTTAACCGAATCTTACCAACTTTTTTTTAAATCGTACCAATGGATCTTACCTACAAAATATATGGTTTTCAGTTTTTGTAGATACTCTATATCAACAGAGAATGGATTTCTTTTTTCATCGTTCTGTATAAAAAAAAAAAAGAAATCCTGATTTCTGATTGGCTACTTCAATTGTGCTCTCTTTGATTGAATTGGGTTGAATAGTTTTTTGATCAAATATACACATGTAAATATTTTTTTTTTTATTGGCGCTGCCGTTTTTGGTTCCCAGATGTATTTATCGTTCTTTGAAAAGAACAAAACCGTTCAACTATATCACTTAATTCCCTTGCTGCGTCGGAACTTCTCACAATGCTATCTGAATCATGGAGACTCTTTTTGAGTATCTCCGAAGATTCAGTAACCACATCAGCAATCCTCTCCGCCTCAGCAACCTCCTCTGCTTCAGCATCCTCTACCTCCAACAGAGTATCACTCATGCTGGGGTTAACATCCCCTTCCAGGCCATCTTGAAAACTCTGGATCATAGCATGTCTATCAGGGGCCCTCTCAAGGACATCATGTATGATGTGGAATGGTGGGTCTGGGTTATCCTTATGAACTTGATGCAAAAGATACATATGTCTGCAGGGGCGCTGAGAATACATAAAGTACTGACAGTTACATCTTGAGATAGTTTCATTCGTGCCAAGCACGAAATAATATCCGCCAGATACGGAGAACGAGCGCACACAGTAAACGGTTCGGTCTACCACTTGCTGCTCGTGAACAATGCGCTGTGGAAGGTCTTCTAGACCATCTAGAAATTTTCTTTGGTGAAAGTCATCTCTCTCGCCTTTTAAATGTCACCCATAGGGTCGCACAGTCTGCATTGGCATCATTTGGTAAAACTCATCCACATCATGAGTTAAGATATAAACCAATCTATCTCCCCTGCAGTTTGTATAACCTCGTAAGAAGTGCGACTTAAGGTGGTTATGCCAGGACTCGACGTAATTGTTAGTATCCATCCCGGCATAAAACTTTCCCATACGATAACATTTCATCCACCTTCTCCTTCGGTCTTTACTGAAGTAGCGTTCTCTAAAATAATTCCAGACTTTACCCTCATTATGATCCTGCCATTTCAACTCGAATTCTGAAATAAGAGTCTCAGCTTGCGTATGGTTTGGATTAAACAAAATTCTACGGAGCTCTCCCATCGCTTCCTCCCTCAACTCCTTAGCAGCCTTGTCTTGCGTTGCACGGATATCATTTCGAAGCTTGGTGCTCCAAGCTTTCATAACATGCCATAGACATAAATGAACTGTGACTGAGTCTCCAAACGCCAATCGGATTGCTTTGTATTCTGCTCGAGCATCATCAGTGGTGATGTATTCAGGAGAGCCAATGGTTTCTCTGATATGTTTCAAGCATTTTGCCAACGGTACATGGCTATGATCGTTCGTAAGCAAGAAGGCAACTGGGATAGCACTCAGACTTTGTGGGTTCCGCACAATTATGGTGTAAAGCTCGTGTTTAGAGCGATTTGTTCCATGCGTTGAATATAGCCCAATGTGTTTAAAATTGGATCCATAAACTGATTTCTGGAACGGCGACATAAACCCATATGCAAACCTTGCATGATTCACCCCGTCTATTACGATGTGGTAGTCGAGCATGAATACAGTGAAGCCCTTGTCCTTTAGTTTGTCCATCCAGAGCCTCTTCGAGACTAAGTCATTCTTTTCAAGCTGACTCTGCCCACTTGAATATTTATAATAAATATTGTACACATCTTCATACTTCAGGACATGGTCACGCTGCAAAGACCCTCTTTGGTGTCGCGAGAATGCCTGGCTGCCAGACAGGTTTATCCTTGTCAGAATCTTTCTTGTACAGAGACCTAAACGGACAAGGTTCGAATTCGCGATTTTGTTTCTTCTGTCACTCTGAGATGTTGAAAGTTCTCGAGACTAGCAAGAGTATGCCCAGTGTGCTTGTAGTAATATATCACACGCAGCTGGTTCCTTTCACCTCTACTTGCGAACTCTTCTATATTGGGTTTTACATCATGAACAATTAGCCTGGCTTTACAGCCTACTTTCTTGGTCGGTTTATAAACATTGCGAGTTTCCTTGGCTGGCCTCTCAAGTAGTTGATCTTGGTCAGCAATATTTTTTTTGCGTGGGGCGCCTGCACAGTGGCAGAAATAAAGTTGAAATGAACGCAGTTTGCCTTTGCTATCATTATCGTTGGTGATTTCAGAGTCTTCATTGTCTTCATTTCTACCATTTATCTCAGAGTTGCCTTTATTCCAAATAAAAAAGTAATCGCTGCCATCTCGGTCCTTCCACAGTTCAAAGTCTCTTTTGTCCACATAGAATACGCGCGGCAAATAATCGTAATCCTGTTTCTTAATCCTGAGGCCATCAACAATATCCCTAATCTTAGTCTCTGGGACCATCAACTCAATTCAAGAGTATTCTTGTAGCTGCGTAGACACAATTGTGGAAGCCAGACTGATTGCATGAACCTCCTTATCTTGACTCAACCTCGATATATGTAGTACCAATATCTTCCTGTTATTCTCCTAGATTCTGATCGGCCATAGTCAACATGGTGAGTCGATTGTATACTGCCTATGAAGAGAGAGCAAGAAAGAGATAAAGACTCAGACAGCCTCGGCTTGAGTGCAGCAGAAAATCCTCCCATATGATCCATTTTCATATATGATGGAGTGAAGCTTGCTATTTAATAAATTCATTTTGACCAGAGGTTGATTAGAGGCAAATTTATTGATCTCTCTGATCTTCATTAATGAAAATGTATTTCACGAGCCTGAACACCTTTTATTCTCAGAGCAAGAGTGTAGAGTCTATAAAAAAAAAAGTATTTAAGAGGCCAGTGATTCCGATTCCTTGTTATCATGCAAGCAGTTAAAGATGTCAATACGGGGCCAAGGTCGATTATTAGACTGTCTGATTTAATACGGTAACGCATGGAGAGGCAGTTAGAGCCATATGTTAAAAACAACTCTTTCTCTTACAGCTTCGCTGACTCCTTCTCATCTTTCTTCGCCTTTCATATTTCAGCCTTCGCCCTTTACCAAGGTATAGATTTGTCTTCTGTATCCAGACCAACAGTGTACAAGGGAGAAAGCATTCACTATTTTACATGGGGAATATGTGGGCCTTATCAAACAATCGCCAGATTCAGCTGTTGTGGATTGGATGCACAGGCGTGGAGTATAAAGATAAATGGGTAGGATAAAGAAGTGCTATTTTTTATTATTTTTACTTGAGGAAGCGAGTGCCTCGTTGCCCTAATAAACATAAACTAGAAACGAAAAGGAGATTGCGAGCGCCTCGTTGCTCCAGTAGACATAAGCTTGAAGTGAAAGGAGATTAATTGGAAAAGATCAATGGAGAGAGCGAGATTTATACGATTAATGAATGAATTAGGTGAAAGTAAGGATTAATTAGTGGGCAGAGATGAAAGAACAAGCGACAAGCAAATGCTTGTCACACAACAAGTAAACCTTCCTGTTGCAACAAGATTGGGCTTTATTTGAGACCGGTTCGTCGGGGAAAACAAAAATGTCGTGTTTCTTTCGACAAGCATGAGGCTCTGGTGTCAAGTACATGTCCTCGGCATGTAACTCGGCAACATTGCAACTATGACAAGACATTACACAAAAATCACGGGGCCTTGAATAAATGCGTTTTATGCCCGTCCAAAAACGATCAGACCTCAATGATAGGTTCCTTCAAACGTCGTCCATGGCCCCCATGATATAACCAGGCTTCAATGATGGGTTTCTTCAACCATTGGCACACATGCATGATTAAATTGATTGGACACTTAAAGATGTAGATAGTTCTGTGCCATGAGTGTTAAGAAACATGGCTATTAAGAAATTGAGACATGGTCTGTGCCATGAGGAATGCTTGAATTTCATACGCGTTCCTTTTTTTTTTTTTTTTTTTGGTAGTAGCATTGATGATAAATGATAAAATTGGTGGGCTTCTTCTAAATTATTCAAGAGCCCGATCCGTCTATGCTTTCAAAAGAATAAAAAAAAGAAAGAAAGAAACACAAGCCGGTGGCGCAAAGGTCAACGTCTTTGTACTTCTTTGGGCTTAATCACTTAATTTATCCCTTGAACCGTAAAGCGGGGAGTATTTGCCCAATTAACTTTCATCAACTCATGGACAAATCGAATCTAGTTCTCCGTGCTTCCCGCCAACAGAAAACAACTGTCTATTGCGTGCCAAGGAAGAAAAAAATTAGTAAAAATCAATCGGCTAAAAAATCAGCATATATCAAGCAGTATAATCACAATGTATCATGTCTACCATTCATTTGACTTCACTTCTTTGCACAGTAGTATAAATGGGTGAATTTCTACATGATTTTCCACAAAAAATATCAATAAAAAAAAATAAAAAAAAAATAAAAAAAAAAGAATCTGGGAGACGCCAGCTAATAACCGGTGTTTGTCCCCAGCCTGAGAGGTTTTTTATAAGAGCTAGCAAAGTTTATTCCATTATTTTTGTTGCGATCACTGCTTTTTTTTTTTTTTTTTTTTTTTTTTATACAATATCTAAATCTTGGGTGAATTCAAAAGCTCTGTCGCACCCTGGACATTGATGATCGGAAGCTCCTCGCTTAGTTTCTGTGCATTTTGAATCAAGAAAGGGGCCAATAGCTCGAGCTCGCCGATCTCAAATTTGGCTGACTGTTTCGGGATGTACACCACACCATGACCCTGGTTGTCTTCAAAGATGTCCAAAGTCACTTGAGCATGTTGGATGTAGACCTTGTCGGTGTTGTTGCGCAGAATAAGGAGCGACAAGATCCACTGCCCATTCTTTACGGCTGGGTCTGGGATATAACCCGGGACAAGATCGCGAAGGCTGCGGGCAATTAGCGGTGCGTCGGTCCATCCCTCACCGCTCTGGAGGAACTCGCGAATGGCCTGCTCAAACTGGAAGAGGGAACCATCAAGAGGCAAGGCTTTTGTTTCCTTAAAGTTGGTCTCCTGAAAGGCAGAGTAGGCGATAGCATCCTTAATGAATTCATCGTAGGCAGGAATGATGAGGGAACTTTGATGCTGCTGGTGGCGGCGCGGAGAAAAGCCAGTTTTCTTGGCAAAGTGGGCCAAGATCGAAGAGAGCGCGGTGATATGGTTGGTTGGATTCTTGAACACATCTACTGGCTGAGCATGGGAGTCAGAATTGTCATCTCCAATAAAGATGGCGCCAGATATAAGGGTAGAGGTGGTGTTATTGGTCATCTTGTTCGTAGCTATTGTATAGTTCGTTCGGACGAGAATAGTCGCGTTAATTGTGTTGATCTGAGGCAAGGATGATCTGATTAGTTTACTTGTTCTATTTTGCAAAGATATATAAATTACCTGGGTAAAAACGTGAAAAGATTTTTGATGAGGGGAAGGGGCTAAAAGGAGGCGTTTGGATGTGTAGAGCAAATGAAAGAAATGCCAGGGTTTATATATGCAGGAATCTTCTGAGGGCGAATGCTGTGTTACCAGGTAAAAGCACGCGTAATGGATTCTTTAAAGACATTAATAAGCGAAGACATTAGTAAGCGAAGAGTATCAATAGCGCAATTAACACAGGAGAAGGTACACAAGTCGAACCAAGCTACAATGGACAGCAGAATTGATTGCGAAATGCACAATTTTTGGTATACTCCCTCGTCTTTTCATTGAGGCTGTTGAATGAGATTTTTTTCTTGAGTTGTGTCCTTAAAGAATGAGGACGCTTAAAGATTACTAAAAAAAAAGTCACTGAAACTTAGTTTGTAATATGGTTGCTGGGATGGTTCGAAGAATTATTCCAAGGAAAAGCCCAATTCGTAATCTTATCGTGTTTATCTAGAGATCGATTGCTTCTTCGAGACCATTCCTAGATGCTATCTTGACCGCTATAGTCGCGTACAAGCTTTTCCATTAACAGCAACTAAAACATCCTTGTTCATCACTAGGAAATACTTGACCACTTGCAAATACCCTTTTTTCAGTGTCCAATTTGCGTGATCTGATAAGTAGAGAGCGGGCGTAAACTATTAAAGTAGTATGTTTTCTGAATGAAGATAAGCTCCATCCATTTGCAAAATGCATGTCTAAAGTGACTTGAGTTTGCTGTCTTTTTACTTTCCCTTCCTTTTTTTACTACATGTGGAAATAAATTATGCAAAGAACTATAGTTTGTTCCTAATCTAAGTAATAATAATAATAATAATAGCAATAGCGTTTTTACGAGCGATGCACGTTTTCAAGGAGCACAGGCTCGCCTCTAGCAGGCAGTGGAGGTGGTGGGACAGGCCGATGCTGTTGCTGCTGTTGCTGTTGTTGCTGTTCTTGTTGATTGCTACGTATGGGTGGAGGTGGAGGAACAGCTAAAGAACGGACAGCTTGATCTTGATTGTTGTCATTTGTATTACTAGTGTTAGCGTTACTATTATTATTCCTGTTCACGGTTGGTTTCATCGGGTGTGCAGTTGAATAGTCGTTGGCCTTCTTTTCTTTCTTTGCATTTGCCCAGGCACGAATCTGGTCTCGTTTGCGGTAGCAAACGAAGGCTCCAATTGCAATTACAACAAAGATACATGCAACGATGATCAAAATAATTTGCCAGACCTCCATTCCATTCAAGATTGGAGGAAGGTCTGGTCTACCTGCAGGAATGACCACATATGGCGGTGCAACTTCCGATGTCATGACTTGATATGCCATCAAGCCATTGAAAGGTGCATTATAATCCAAAGCAACCTGCCACGATAAGGAGAAGAAGACAAAGAGGAGAAAAAAGGAAAAAAAAAAAAATCAACAGTTAGAGCCAGTCTATCCTCACTTAGCCCTTCCTTGGGAGCACATAAAACGCTTGCCAAAAAAAAAAAAAAAAAAAAAAAAAAATTGCACGCACCTCGCTTTGCTGCCAGTCACTACGAATATCCGAAAAGCGATCGTTCTTGTCAGGACCACCAACGAGCGCTCCATAGATGGTATACATCATCTTTTCGGGACTGGAATCAATATTGTCTACATCTGTGCCTCCAGACGCGGGTGCGGAGTGGGGGTTAGCAGGGGAATTTGGGTGGACACCCACAACGTATGGGGTCTTTAAAGGGTTATCGCCCAACAGATATTCAACTTGTCCAAGTGCAAAGGATCGGTAGCTATCGATTCTCTCCTGAACGCTTGGATCAATACTCTGGCCTCCCGCAGCAGCAGTCAGCTGACTCGCAAAAATTTGTAGTATAAAGGCTGCATTTGCTGCCACCACTGCCGAATCGTCTCCAGAATCGCCTGTACAATAATACAATCCACCTTTGGTCATTAAACATGGCTTGCTCGCCTTCGTTGTAAAGGAGGCATATTTTTCAGCCATTTGTTGCCATTTTGCACTATTGTCGCCTGTGCCTGCAGTTGCTCCAGCCATCAGAACGTAAACAAATCCTGCTTTGTCATCCCAACTCACGGCTGATATCTTGATATTAGATATATTGAGCCGATCAATATATTGACTAGCCTTTTGAGCATACACAGACTGTCTGGTCAACTTGTACATCCAAGCAGCACCCCAAGCCAAGTCATCCAGGAACGAGCTTGATTTATAACAGCATGCAACAGCTGGAACTGCTGCTTGATATAGTTGCTGTGGTGTGGCTGTTTCCGCAAGTCGGAAGAGTGAATCCGCATGGGTCTGTAATGTGTTGGAGTAGGCTGTGTCATTGAATTTATCCCTATACAACATAGCGCAAGATGCAAATGCTGCTGCTGCATCTGCTGTCACATCGGTTCCTGGATGGGTATTGTTGACTTGGAATGATGGGCGTGGACGAGGAATGTTGGTGTCTGGTCCCCAATAGTTGTTATCAATTTGATCCAAACCAATCTAATATATACCATAAATTCAACAACCAAAGAAAACAGGAAAAAAAGAGAAAAAAGGAATTCAGTACATCAAAGAAGATCAGATAACATAAAATTCCCTCGCATAATAAAAGAGAAGTCATTTAGCAATGGGGCAGTTTATATTACCTGTACAAAGAGCGTGTTGTTATTGGGATGCGCTTTAATTAACCAATCCATGCCCCAGCGTACCATTTGATCAAGATAACGCGTTTGATTAGCCAATTCGTAGCCTTTCCAAAATTCTAGCGCTCCCCAGCAGGTCTCTGTCATGGCGAAGGTAAGAGGAAATGTAAACTTGAGATAGTCTCCAGCATCAAAGTAACCCTAGATATGAGAGAGAATAATTGGCTTATTGGTGTTATTCCTCCCTTGCAATAAGTCTTTGAAAGGATATTATTGACATTGACAAGCTTTTTTACCCCTGACAAGTCCAGGCCAACATCTTTGCCATCGTCCAGAACAGAATCCTTGCGCTATTTTTTTTTTTTTTTTTTTACATAGGAAATGTTAGTAAAATTTTTTAAAAAAAAGGGGGGCGAGGGTAGTATTGAGTACTAGGTTTCATACCCATGTTACGCGTTGATCTGGAGGTAATTTGCCCGATCTCTGGGCTTCGTAGAACCGCAAGGAATAATCGAGCAATCTAATGCGTTAGAATGTGGACAAAGCCAAACGATTTCAGTTTTACATTTTCACAAGGTTGTACAGTGATTGTACAGTCAAAAAAAAATTGTGTCTCTAGTCTCCCTCTCTTCCGGTGCTTTGGTTTGTCCGACAATAGCGTGCAATTAAATCCATGATAATGGCTTATACATTTATTCCACTCCTCCACTTTCCCCTTTTTTCGTGTGTCTGTGGTTGTGGTGTTAGAACACGGACAAAGAATATTACGAAAGGACGGAATGTTCCATTGGCTAACGAAAATTGGCTGTTTCTTACTTGACATATTCAGAGTCTGGAAAAGATGGACTTGTCCGATTGTCTCTGGGTGTATCAGGATAGACTGGGTTATGAGGCAATGGTTGTGAGGAAGGGACTTGTGTGGGTACTACAGCGGCAGTTGATGTTGTACTAGGAGTTGAAGAAGGAACCTGTGCGAGTACACCTGCTGCCAAAAAGACAACTAATCCTCCAATAGCCCATGACGATGACCTTGATGACTTCATGCAAAATAAAATAAATGCAATGCAAATGACAGATGACGAATGAGAAAGGAGGTTTTTTGCGATCAGGACACACAAGCAGTGCTATTGCTCTCCCTTTTTGTAGAGAATTCAGGTAGGTCTAGTGATATCAATGCTGAAAGAAAGAGAATTGAGGAATTGAGAGAGCAATTAAGAAAGGGCAGAAAGAGTAATAGGATGTGAGGATGTGAGAGCGAGTCAAGTCAGATATTTGTTAAAAGAGGCAGAGTGAGCAAACAAAACGATAAAAAGTAAAAAACATCGGTTATTGAGGCGAAAGGATGGAGTAAACTAAAAAGTTACTTCTGAACATCCATCCTTGGATAGAATAATGAGGATGTAAACTAAAGAGCTGCTGAGAAAGAGAAAGAGAAGGAGAAATGACGAACAAAATAGCAGCGATTATTTATTTTTGCAAACACTTTAAAGCCAAGCGAAAAGGCAGCTGTAATGATAAGATAATAAAGAATGAATCATGAAGAGGCAATTGACAAGAAAACATTAATTGACAATCCACTTCCCTTGTTCTCTGCAAAATATGCAAAGAAAGATGTCTAATGCCAGAAATAACTATTTTGTAAATTTTGTCACACCCACATTTTTTTAAAAAAAAACTCCTCCATCCCATCTAACCTTCGTACTCGTTCAAGTTGTCGGAACAAACTATCATCCATTCGCTTAGTCGCTTCGTTTCCTTACTCGAAAAAACAATTATCCGCAGAAGAACATTTTTCATTATTTCAATAAACTAAACTTTGTTTCTGATACAGGGTCCGTCAGATATTTTATTTCAACGATGTGAAATAGTTGCTCCGTCAGTTGTTAACCGTACAAAGCCCATTGAATAAAATATTTTGCCTAATTGATTACAAGGCAGCAAGATGGGATGGAATGAAAGCTTTTTAATTTAGCCACTGGATGGGAGAGTAATGATATGTCCCTCTGAGAATACGCAGATCATTTCTTCCGCTTATTCATATTAGCGCGCTAATTTTTGTATGGTAAACATGTTTCAGGCACATGGGCTTTTGTATTCCAAATTTGTAAAAAACGATGTCATCAGCTCATAAGAAAAAATACACCTCCGAGCGTAGCCAAATAGCTCCGTCCCCATAACGCTTTATTCTTGCAAAATGTTGGAAAGCAAACATTCGGACATGTCATCAGAATCTTCAATGCTGATATCGCATCTCTAAAGAAAAACAAATCTGCTACTCACCTCAGATACTATCATATCAAAAGAATGAGAGGGGGAGATGTTCTTCTCTTCGATGAGTAGAGGAGATGCTAAAACATATATTTATAAAAGGGAGATGTGTACATCCAGCCAGCTTCATTTCTTTTAACAATAATAAAAAAAAAAGTGGAAAAGAAGTTAGGATATTTTGCCAGGAAAGAGAGGATAGATGTTTATAGAGTTGGCACGTTGTGATAGACCTCCGTAATCTGACTATGCTACACAGTGTCTGGGATGTAAAATGGAGAGAAAAAAAAGGGGTGTTGGTCCATGCGACGTTGGAACATGAACAAGAATGTAGAATATTTAAGGATAACGTGACATGAATGGAGTTTATGTGAAGGTACAGGTCTAGTCTACATGGCTAATTATATGTCTAGAGCCGTTGCAGGCACAAATGCAAAGTCGACCACATGCTGCACAAAGTCGTTTTCTTACTTCTAATCCACACTAAAATAAGGTTATTTGCCATCAATTTAAGATTGTGTGCCTGTGTGTCACATAATTTAAACGATTGGCCCACAATTCTCTTCTGGGCTGTTGATGCCAACTCTCCCCATGTCCCCTACAGAGCATGTCCAAAGTGCGACTTGCTCTCAATCACCAGCATATTAACTGGTATCCATCGCTTATGTCGAATGTTAATGTCAATCCCCTTCCAAGCCTGCTGAAAATAAAAGAGCAGGCAAGGATGAAGTTGATGCAGTAGGTGCTTACAGCCTGTGCAGAGAAGAACAGAGTACTCGACTCTTAGTAAACTCTTCTTTCTCTCCTCTAACCCCTCAAACCACGGGTTCTTTTTTTTTTTTTTTTTTTTTTTTTTGTTTGTTTGCTCATTCACACACTCATTGCATTCACCTTCTAGGTTGAAAGCAATTCCATCCTTTCATTTCACTTTCTTCACCTTTCCGTTCCCTTTCACGGCCATACTCCCTCCTGGGTATAATGCCATCCTCTTGAATCAGTTCTAGTTCCTCACATCCTCAACTATAGCTTTTCATATTACTTTCAAAGTCATCCATTTTTACTCATCCTACAGGAATATTGCCCACAACGTTCTCCTCATATCCAACACCTTGAATAACCACAACTTCGACAAAATAAACTATCAACCCTCGCTGTATTCTTCTCTTTTTTATTCTTCCTATCTCAATTTCGCCTTTTCTTTCTTTCTTTTTTTCTTTTTAAACCAAGTCATGGGTGCTCATTGGAAGCGTGAAAAGGTACAGGACCACAAGTTCGACTTTATCAATGTGGAGGACTTTGTGGACAACTCGTGCTGGCGTCAGTTCCAATACATGCTCGTTTTTGCGGCCATCATGCGAGGTATCCTCGTGTACTGTTCTGATATCTTTACAGCCGCAAACTTGCTCACAAACTCGAACCCAAACTCTTTTTTCGGCAAAGATGGAGAGCTTGGGTTGATTGAGGGCTTTACATTACCCTACGATGCGTACAAGTATCTGTTCACAGCCTGCATTGTGCTGTCTTTCTTGTTGCTGGCACTAGAGATCCGGAGAGCTCGGGCAATTATTTATTCACGGGATATCTCCTATGCTTTCACGTCTCAGATTGCGAGCCGATATTACACAGTTCGCTCGTACCCACATTATTGTCTCTTTGCACAGATTAATAATTCGAAAAAGACTGTAGACGAAGTTGCTTTCTTTTGCTTCTTCACCTTCCGAAGTAAGACTCTTCTGTATTTGTATTTGCATTTGCGTTCGTTATCTCGCTAATAAAGAAAAAAAAAAAAAAAAAAAAAAAAAGTTCTCCGAAGAAACCTTTGGTACTAACCCACGTATTTCACATAAACGGTTTGTCTTTAGACTGGAAACGTCTTATTTTGGCAGATGCGCCACGTCAGCTGATCAACGCGTCTATTCTGTATCAAATCTTTCAAAACCATGCAAAATCTTTTGAAGATTTCTTCGACTGGAGCCACATGGGTAAAAATGACGATGCAACCACTTTCAAAAAGATATCCGTTGGTGCTATGATCTTCACGGTCACCATGTTTGCTATATCGCTGATCAAGCTTATCGCAGCTATTGTCCTCTACATCCCGCTTGTGAACCATATCCGCGGCAACCTCAAAGAATTTTGTTGCCATAAGATCGATAAACGGTAGGGTAATATCAACAATAACATTTTTTTGTAAAGGATGCTTTGATTGTTTCATGTTAGATTAGATACATAATACTTCTACTTATCTGTCTATTTTATTATATATATTTTTATGAAAAAGCATTGACGAATTGATTCAGAAGAATACAAAAAACAGAGCCATGAATGCTCAGACGAAGAACGGAAAGAACAGCAAGGATATTGCCATGGACAATCTGCAGCAGCCAACTCTTCCTCAACTAGATCTACTGGAACCTCCTCCACCACCTTCTGCAACAACACCCAAGAACGTATATACTATGCCACGTAGTGGCACCATTAACTATAGTAGTAGCAATAGTCCCCATCAGCAACAGCGGCATCAAGAGTATGGATATAACGCTCAGTATGATAATGGCTATAGTAACATCAACGTGAGTCCACAGCAGCCGGGATATACCGCCAACTACACATCTGAGGACTATTTCCAGGCCAAGCCCCCTACCAGAGCCACGACCTTTGACCCGTACGCAGAGTCTGCATTCACAAGTGAAGCTTTTTATGATGCATACAGTAACAAGCAGGATGAACAAAAACTACAGCAAAAGTCTGGCCGTGACAATTACAACAGCAAGGGCAACAGTAATATTAATGGTTATTCACGAATAAGGCATCATGATGACTATAATATGCATCATCGAGCTGCATCACCACCATCTCAACACGGCTCAGACCTGGATAGCAGCCATAACAGTAATAGCGGGCATATCTATGTTAATAATGGTAATGGCAACTACCATGGAAACAATGGCTACAACAGTAACAGCAATAATGGCTACAACAGTAACAGCAATAATGGCTACAATGGCAGTCGTCAACAAGCTTATGGAAGTGATTATTATACAGCAAATGGCCAGAATGCGTCCAATACCATGTATTCGTCTCAAATGTCGCCACAATCTCCTCAACGTCCCCGGCGACAAGACACGGCGCTTTCACGTAACCGAAGCAATGGAGGATACTAACCAGTCTAAAGCAGCTTGCTGCGTGTTCTTTTCTACTCGAGATTATATTTACTTTCTATCTTAATATGACTACTTATAGCACTAATAATGAACATACAATTGCTACAATCTGTACTTTATACTGTTGTGCTCTGTGGGCTGCCATGATTGACCAGCTCAAAGATGGAATCAATGAAAGAAAAGGGGGATGTGTTCTTGACTAAAAAAAAAACGTGGCTATCTCTGACTGGGCGCCCATACACATACATGTATCTCCAATTTGAAAAACCTTTACAAATACCAAATATTTGTTCAAGACTCTTTTTTTTCCCTCTTTAATGAGTATGGATAATTTACCAGGCTTCCTTGATGGCTACAGATGTATGAAATGCGTAAAATGCATTGTCAGTCAGATCACAGTTGGATCCTCCATGGGATATGCTTATTGGCTAGAAAGGCGACTGTTCGATGCTTGTTGGTTTTCCAAACCCCCTTTGATTTAACCGTATTTAGCGGAATTAGTCAGCATCCCCTGAGTAGCTGCCATCCAGAGGGATTACTTAGAATCGACAGGATTCACTATGTTGTTCAAAACAATACAACTTTACTGAAAGTCTGCTAATCCTCAAACCGTAAGGCAAATAAAGCCTCTGAACGCTTTAATAGGATTGTGAGGTGCTTTTGGGGCGCAGAAAAGACAGTATTGTCTCTTTTGAGCAACAGGATTTGTTCCTTGGGGGCAGACTTTTTGAAGCCACGCTTGTTGCTTGTAAAAACACAAATGGTTCCCGTTTTCCGCATACTTTCAGCCCTTCCACAATCCAAGGGCTGTGATGTAGCCATTAAATGTTACATGTTTGTCGAAGCATTGACATATCCCTTGCAAAAGCTCTGGTGTTGCTAAGAGTATTGTTTAAGGGACGTAGAGTAGTCAATAACATGTGGTAGTGTTCAGGTGTTTATACAGTATCATATGGAGTCCGAACAGTCGCCATATTCGGATGAATTGCAATTAAAGTGAATATTTGGCACTTACATGAATAGGTAAGATGAAAATAAAGTGAACACATGGAATAATATAGAGGAGTTGTAATAAAGCGCTTTATATCTAATAGCTTGCAAAGAGTATATCTGTATGAGCGCTGTTTCTGAGGAATATGTACGCCTTGTTGAGGCTCAGTGGAGGTTCATGCAAGAGGAATGACCAGCTATAAAGAAAGCCAAGTTTCATCGCACAGAGATGAAAGAGATATCTGACGTAACACACGTCAAGTCAATGGTGCTTGACCGTCTAGGATTCATCCCTAATGCCGATGGCCATTATGAAGTCGAAGCTACCTTGAGTCATGAAACTTCTGAGGGGGGAGAGACACTGTACACAGTTAAGTGGAAAGGATATGACGATGAGCACAACTCGCAACTTAGGTACGAAGACTTTGACTCCAAAGCAATGATCAATAAGTACTATAAAAAGCTTAATCAGCAAAACCCTCATATGATTGCCAAAATGGCTAAGAGGAAGCAACCCGCAACAGTTGTAGAGTCAAGGGTTCAGAAAAGACATAAGAACAGAAAGTAGAAGCAAAAACGAATGTAGCTTCACTGAGGTTTTTGTACGCATATCTTAACAAGCATGAACGTTTTCCTCACTATCAAATCAAACTTAAGGTTTATCCTTTTTTATGGTCGCATCTAAAAAGAAATGCAGACGCTGAAGGTTTTATTTATTTTCCTTCAAAGAATTGATTTATTTATTTAATCAAACAAGAAGGTTTTTAGACTTTTCCTTCGATACTAATTATCCTAATAGGAAGGTTTTATATATTTTCCTTCCAAGCTTTATAAGCACTCGCTCTTACCTGGACGCTCGTCTGGGGGAGTTATGTTGCGATTAGCAGTCATTTATATGGGTTTTTACTATAGCTAAGATTTTTACCCAGGATCATAATAAACACATCTTTCTTTCGTTCTCGTTACTTATTATGATCCTGGCATATTTCACCAAGAAAGCACTGATACAAAAAATTATTATTCGCGTTTGAACACTTACAATATCAGTAACAGCTTCTTGTTCTTGAAATGAGGGAGTATTAGACATGTTCATAGTGGGATGAATGTAAGGTGAAGAATGGGTGTGCATACTTTCGATTGTGTGGTGAAAACAAGAGTGTTTGATGTTTATAATTCGTCACATCAAGAAAAAATATTTTCTCACACACAGCACAGCCCAACTTTGAACAAATTTATCAATTGTCGCTCTTTCTTTAACTTGCTTCACTTCCTCTTCCTTTATCCTTTCACTTTTTTCTTATTTCCCTCCGGTTTTGCTCCCGTCAAGTTTGCTCTCCTTCCTTTTTCATTTTGTCCAAGCCTTCATTCATTGCCATTTTTTTTTCCTTTTTTTTTTTTTTTTTTTTTTTTTTCTTTTCCTCCCTCATCTTCATCTCCACAGCTTACATTGTCACAATTTTGAATCATCCTGCTACTGACTTAACATACTTAACATTTTTATCAAACTTTTCCTGTTTTCTGTCCTCCGTCCATTTACGCCCTTGTTTTTAAACAGTTTTGAAATCGCAATGGGAAGCGGAACAACAACACCAAATGGTCCATCTAGACGTGGTTCGATTGAAAGAGAAAGAAAGAATGAGAAAATGCCAACCAAACTGAGGATTTATTGCATTGTTGAGGGAGAAGCAACATCTTTTCCTGTCAGGATTTTCCCCGATTGTTCAGTTGGTGAACTCAAGCAAGCCATCAAGGCAGCGAAGAAGCCAGAACTCGATCATGTTGCCGCAGACAAGCTCACGCTTTGGAGAGCAGTCAACCCCAAGAGAGACAGGGACGATAAAGTAGATTTTGATGGCACCGTTGACAAGACAGAGCTCGATGACGAGATGGCACTTCTTTCTGAGCTGGACGAGCTGACCAGCCGAAGGACATATGTTATTGTCAAGCCGCCGCCGCCAGGTATGTATTTAGCTCTTGATGGACTGATGGCTGTTGATATTTTTAATCGACGAAGCTTATTGTCATTCATGACGTCATTGATTTGACTTGATGTAGTTCAAAACAGCTCTTTATGTTTGAGATGTATCATGGCTAAACTATCTAACCAGGGGCGGCTTTGGATTTCTTTATAAAAAGAATTTGAAAAGTCGCCCCATGGTTCGTGCGTATACTCTGACTCTCACTGTCCTCTCGCGAGTCTTTTTACTTGAGCTTATTTCGGCTCCCCACCGCCCTATCGCATACAAGTACTTTTATCAAGGCCTCCTATCTAACTATCCTCTTGTTGTTTTTTGCGTGGATTTTAAACAGCCCCAAGAAGTCCAAAAAGGAACCTAGAAGACACAGAAGACGGAGGTTTAGAAGGTGAGTTCATCCCACTCATAGTTTTGATGATTCTTGAGAAAGTTTGTTTATTTCATACTCACGTCAGTCTCGCTATTCCTATATGCTCAAAGAGCACCTTGCAAAGCGCTGTCGTTCCTTGAAGCGATATATTGCAGCCGATGGCAAACCCGTAGTTTTACCCCTCCATATACTGGATTTGATCGAAAATAACAAGTACGCACCAGAACCCCGCGCCGAGTTCCAATCGCTTTTGACGGTGAAGGCTGGAGATCGAATTACTTCAATGGATCTTGGTCAGAGCCCAAAATTCTTTGCGAGAGGCTATCAAGGTCGCGAGTTTTTTGTGACCGAACAGATGATGGACCAATGGAATAGATTCGAAAATGACAGTGTGGCGTCTGTCAAGAAATGTTTATCGGGTCCAATGGGCGTCGGCAAATCATACATTTCATGGTTCCTTGCGGCCAAGGCATACGCACATGGTTGGCCAGTGCTTTATATTGCCGATGCTAGTAAACTTAACAACTGTGACACTAAAACTGCCGCAGCAAAGCTAATCTGTCAACTCTTCTTATCCATCAACAAAGATATTTTGACAGCCTCAGAGCTCAAGGAAATGGTCGCAGATGAAACATCGGAGTATCCTTATGGGAATAGCGCCAGCTGTATCTTGAGTACCCTACTCCAGTTAAAAAGTCAAAAAACATTATTTGTCGTGGATGAGCATGGTGCGCTATTTCCAGAAGAAGGTAAGTCTGCGCCCGCAAGGTTCCCAGTTTTATGGCCTCTAAAGACTTTCAACTGTTGGAACAATTCAAATAACGCGAGAGCAGTGTTCGCCAGCACGGCGAATTTTGAGAGGTGTATTCTCACAGACGCACCGGAATATGTTGAGTATGTTGGTCCAATGTCGCCTGATATTTTCAATAAGCTACTGGATGTGATCATAAATAAGGTCCACCCAACAGCCCGCCAACATTTGAATGAGCTACGATGTGAGATTCAAAGAGCCACCGGATGTGTGCCACGGGAGCTTAATAATTTTTTTGACAAAGACCGTGGAGATATTGAGCTCACAGCTAATGGGATCAAGCAACGACTAAAGGGTTATGAGAAGGATCGCAAAAATCAATTCTTCGAGACCTTGAAGAGCTATTACGGCAAAGTTGAACCGATATTCAAAACAGATGTCCGTCGAGCTCTAGCCGATGTGTTTCTGCAAAACAAGGATCATGCAGGAGCAACACTTGGTTGGAGATTCTACGATATTGGAATAATATATCAGTATAAGAACGCGGAAAGGGATTTGATTTTGCAGCAGCCAATTACACCAGCATCTGAGGCGGCACTTTTGGACCTATACAGGCTATGCCCACTCCCCAACGACTACATAAACGCCATAAGGAAGGGTACCTTGAGTCCTGACCAATTTTCCGATGCTATCTTCCAGAAGCTTATCAAGGAAAAAAACATAAAGTTCAACACGACAAATCTCGCTGGGAAGGAGGGACACGTTTTAGAGCTGAGAGTCGATGGCTTTGAACATCTTCAAGATCCACCCAAAAGATTTGAGGACGAGGGCAAGAATATCTTGATAAATGGAGGCGAACTACCTCGATTCGATTTTATACTTGGCTACACTTTTATTCAGGTTTCGATCAGTGATTTTCAAAAACACAACGAGGGCTCTGCAAACATTGATTTGGCATTTACAGATCGGAGATATTCTGAAGGCAGAAATCAAATCGAGTATTTCCTAGACTACACATACGGCGGAACTCACAGAGCAGTAATGGAAACAACAAAGCTGACCAAAAAGACCCAAGGTAAGAATGCTGGCGAAGAAAAATCAGAAACCAGGTATAAAAGAGACTTCAAAGTAACGAGAGATGGTGTGCTGTGTCCGGACTTTAAGATTTTGTATATTCGCAGGAAAAATGACCTTGATGACAAAGGCAACGAAGTACATAGACCGCCCAATGACATCGGTAAAGTCCAGGAGTATCCCCAGATAAGACATGTTTGTTGGGACGAAGTTAAAAAGAGCTTGTTCGGTGATTTACTTTAATTCCAATAAAATTTTTTAGACAAATCCTTTTTAAAAAGATGTCATATTGCAGGCATATTTTGTATATATTGATGGAGTTACCTGATCCTTAGGATGATTGCAAATAGCCAAAGGCCTTCAGCACTCATACCTTGGAGAGCCCGACCGCATATTACATTTGCGATAATTATTTCTCTGCCCAGGTTCATGTACATACTTGAGGAAGCAATGTTCGAGTACCGGGAGGAATCTCTCATATTACTCTGTGATGCACTATGCAGTAGGTTGAGACTCCACTCAATAGAAATTGTATTCACAAAGAGACCATCAACAACCTTATTGCCACTGTTGATCCACTCAAGTCCCCAGTCATTACCTTGTTTCGCCTTTATTTTATTGTTCTTCAAGATGAAGGGCCACACTTCTTGGTGGAATGTTTAGGCGGGGGCGACTTTGGATTTCTTCTTTATAAAAAAGAATTTGAAAAGTCGCCCCCATGGTCCGTGCGCGCCGTACAGATCCTCGCTCACTTGTTAAGGCGACTGTTCGATGCTTGTTGGTTTTCCAAATCTGCTTTGATTTCACCATAATTTAGCGGAATTGATTAGCATCCCCTGAATAGCTGCCATCCAAAGGGACTAACTTCGAATGGACAGGATTTACTGTGTTGTTCCAAACAATAAAACTTGACTGAAAGTCTACTAATCCTCAAACTATGAGGCAAATAATGCCTCTGAACGCTTCAATAGGATTATGGCGAGCTTTTGGGGTGCTTCCACAATCCAAGGACTGTGATGTAGCCATTAAATGTTACATGTTTGTCGAAGCATTGACATATCCCTTGCAAAAGCTCTGGTGTTGCTAAGAGTATTGTTTAAGGGACGTAGAGTAGCCAATGATATGTGGCAGTGTTCAGGTGTATCAAATGGAGTCCGAACAGTGGCCAAACAAACAATTAGATTTATTTTTTTGAGCCCTGTGTCCTTGCCTTGATTCTTTCTTTTCTCTGCACCGATCCTCCTTCCATTCTTTGTCTGCTTTCCCTCTTCCTCTTCACTCGTCCTCTCCTTCTCCCTCTTCTTTCTTCAGCCCTCCTGCTCGTTTTTGCTTACTGTGGAATCCTTGAGCGATAGGATTGCTATCAGACTCAAGCCTCTTTCATCTACACATTGGCTTTCTTTGGTTTTTGTCCAGCTAACCATGTCATGGATGTTCATCTTGTCAAGTGTCGCTATAGGCGGCATTCTTTTTGTAAGTTTCGATGAATGCATGAAACAACGACTTGCTAGAATGGCAAACTATGCGAATGCAAGGACGTATGGATGTTGGAAGTACATGCTAGTTTTTTTTTTTTTTTTTTTTTTTTTTTCATCTGTTGTTTTGTTTTCATCTGTTTTTTTTGTCAGAATAAAAGACTTATTATTTTTTTTATTCAATTGGAATCGCAATAGGCTTTCTCGATACTTTATTTGATGAGCCCTAACCCACGTACTGCAACCGAATCTGAAAAGTGCTATCAAGACTACGATCATCTCTCTGCATTAATGAAAGAAGAAGAAGATTATCAACGGAAAGTCAAAGAAAGATCAGCAGCATCAGCGTCAATATCAACAACTGTCAAGAAGTCAAAAATGAAAATTGCTGGAGGTGCTACACGGTCTGAAAAGTACAGGACCTCATTGCCTCGATTGACACGTACGGACGAAGGAACTGCGACAAAAACCCTTTCACTCGTCGTACCTGCCTACAATGAAACAGAACGTTTACCCATCATGATGAAAGAAACTCTCCATTTCTTGAACGCGCGAGCTCAAAAGGATCTCTCGTTTACATTTGAAATCTTAATTGTCGATGATGGATCTCAGGATCAGACCGTAAAAGCTGCACTTGAAATAGCGCAACAGGAACAGAATAAGGACATTCGGGTGTTGAGTTTTGAGAAGAACCGAGGCAAAGGAGGGGCTGTCATTCAGGTAAACGGAGAGAATCCATACTCTTTTATTTAGGCTCCTCTGTACTTTTTTTTTTTTTTTTTTTTTGACAGTGATCCGATTGGAAAAGTAATAAGCATTTAGGATAGCTAGGATCCTCTAATGACCACTATTTTTTCATATTGTAGGGTATGCAATACACACGTGGAGAATACATTTTGATGGTAGATGCAGATGGCGCAACTCGATTTTCAGACTTGGAGAAGCTGGAAGCTAAATTGAAGGAAGTCGAGCGTAATGGACTCGGTATCGCTGTGGGATCCAGAGCCCATTTGGTCCAAACAGACGCTGTTGTTAAGGTATATCTCTCTCCTCCCTTTTGTCCTTAATGAATCACTATTGTCATATTATTGAGCCGTCCAGCCAATCTTTGAGAGGGTATTAAGCATCCTTCATCCTTTTTAACATTATTAGCGTTCGTTTATCCGCAACTTTTTGATGCACTCATTTCACAAAGTCGTTTATGTGCTCGGTATTCGTGGAATTGATGACACACAGTGTGGATTCAAATTGTTTACACGCAAGGCAGCGAACGCGATTTTTCGAAACATGCACGTGGAGGGTTGGATCTTTGATATTGAAGTTTTAATGATTGCGCAATACCTTCGAATTCCAATCGTGGAGGTCCCCGTTGCTTGGCAGGAAATTGATGGATCCAAGGTCTCACTCATGCGCGACTCTATTCAGATGGCAGTGGATCTCTTGATTATCCGGATGAGCTACATTCTAGGCGTCTGGGCTGTGAAACCCCTGTCCCCCACCAAAGATTAGAGGTCTATACCCACATCAGTACCAACAGCAGAATCCAATTGAGATTGAAATATAAGAGGCTGTGTCAGGAACATGGCTCTATTCATTCTTCCATAGTACATTTTCAGCCACAAGAGCAAAACGACATGTCAGTGGATCATTTGAGAGTGAAGCTGTCGGTCAAAATAGCCCGGCAAGTTCAAAAAAAAAAAAAAAAAAAAAAAAGTGCAATACAAAATTAAACAAATATGAATAACTAAAGTTGTTGGTTAATGATGAATCTATGGAGAAGTTTTAATGAGAACAAGGAAAAAAAATGTCAAGGTGAAAAGAAAAATGGGCAACCCCTATACTGCCACGGCTATTATATAACACCAACTACTACTCAATAATGCTGCTTCTTGATGCTTTGCTATGAATCATCTTTTGATTCAAGCGCCGATCTTTTTGCTAAGTTGACGCTTGACAACACGAGCAATGACATCAGTGTCAGGGAATGCAAAGGCCTCCAAGTTCTGGGCGTATGGGGTTGGAACATCTGCACCGGTGACGCGAACAACAGGAGCATCCAAGTGGTCAAAAGCTTCGCTTTCCATGATCTGAGCACAGATTTCTGATCCAACACCATATTGAGGCCAACCGCCCTCGACAGTAACCAGACGGTTGGTCTTCTTGACTGACTTGATAATGGTGTCAATGTCAAGTGGGCGAATGGAACGTAAATTGATCACTTCAGCCTTGCAGACGCCTTCCTTCTCCAAGGCATGAGCTGCCTCAAGTGCGAATCCAACTGCACGAGAGTGTGCAACAATAGTAATGTCGGATCCCTCCTTCTCAATCTTGGCCTTGCCAATCTCTAACACAAAGTCATTGGACAAAGCAGCCTCGGACATGGGGAATGATACACCATACATGAGTTCGTTTTCCAAGACTACAACGGGGTTAGGGTCACGAATAGCAGCCTACAAGTTAAGAGTAAGATTTATCATTTAGTATATATTTAAAAAATGAAAAAAAAAAAAAAAAAAGAAAAAAAAAAAAAAAAAGAGAAAAAGTTCATCTGATTGAAGATATATTCACCTTCAACAAACCCTTGGCATCCTCCGAGTTCCAGGGCGAGACGACCTTGAGACCAGGGACAGATCCGTACCAGGCAGCAAAGCACTGTGAATGCTGAGCAGCAACGCCAGCAGCAGCACCGTTGGGGCCACGGAAGGTGATAGGACAAGTAACATTACCAGCAGACATGTAATGGGTCTTGGCAGCAGAGTTGACAATCTGATCAATAGCCTGCATAGCAAAGTTCCAAGTCATGAATTCGCAAACGGGTTTCAATCCAGCAAATGCAGATCCGACAGCGAGACCACAGAATCCGGACTCTGTGATAGGGGTGTCAACGACACGCTTAGGCCCAAACTTGTCCAACAGACCTTTTGAGACCTAACAAGCGGAACAGTCATTGGCATGGTTAAAGAAGGTTATTTAGGAAACATGAATCGAAGGAGTTAAAATTGATGATCTGCGTTTGTACAGCTGACTGTTGCACAACTTTGAAATCTTTTGGGGTATTTTTTTTTTTTGCCCGCACTTTTTGCAGGATTCCATTTGGACGTTTGTTTAATTCACTGTTCAGTTATAATCCAGCTCATTCCGCCGAGAATAATAATAATAATAATAATAAAAAGTTGTATCTCTCCTTCATTTGCAAAATTATCATTTCACCGCTTTCTTTATAAATTGACTTTTTTTTTTTTTTTTTTTTTTTTACCTTGTATGCTCCGTTGTATTGACCGACTTCCTCTCCCATCAGGTAGACCCTCTCATCCGCAATCATCTCTTCTTCCAAAGCAGAGTTCAGAGCATCACGGACAGTCATCTATGAACCAGATACATATAATAACAATGACAAAAGAATAAAGGGTTAGCTTATTTTCAATCATCTTTAGATCTTTAAATACTAGATATTGATGATATATATTTTTTTATCATGAACCAATGATCATTCTATCCAAGTGGTTGTCAGTCATTGACTCCAGTTCCAAACGCGCCCTTTTTTTTTTTTTTTTTTTTTTTTTTGTAAATAAATAAAAATAATAATAAAAGGCAAAAGCGAAGATGGTTCATATTCTATTGCAGGGTTGACGTGTTAATTGCGTTTTTTGAGTTGGAGTAGCACACAGAAAGGGACTATATAAAACCTGATAAGTAAGCTAAGTCGGGTTTGCTATGCTGTATCCTTGACGTCAAGTTGAATAATGAAAAAATTTACTTTTTTTTTTTTTTTTTTTTTTTTTTTTGTATTATCGTCCAGAGTCCAACTATTTCCTCACGCTCAATCTCTCTAGCTATCTCTCTCCTTTTCCACGTCTTTTCTCAATGGTGTGTGTTGTTTGTATTCGAGTTGATACGTGTGAAGTTCATGTGTAGTATGAATCCAGCCTTGATCCATGCCATGTGATGTATGCCTTTTCATATATAGAAATATATATATATATGAAGGATAAAAAGAAGAAAGGAGAAAGGTCCCTATAATTGTACCTCTACACCACCCTTGGAGTTGTAGGAACGCTTTGCGAGGAGAGCATTGGCAACAACTGGGTTGGAGCGGAGTAATGCCTGACGGACAGTGGGGATGGAGACCACAGCAGCTTTCTTGAGCATAGAGGACATGATTGGTTGAATGTATGAATGGAATGAAAGAAGGAATGAAAGAAGGAGAAAGAGTGGAGAGGAGTATGAAAGGAAGACTGTGCTGAATGTGGGTGATGCGTGAGAAAGGAAGGAAGGGAAAAACAAAAAAAAGAATTTGATTGAGGTTCTACACAAGTAAGCTGATAAGGAATCCTTGTCGGTCTTCTGTCTCACCTTTTTTTTTTGTGTTCCCATGTCAATGGAAAAAGGCATACTTAAGCCCTCGGGTATCTTCGCTATCAAAGCTTTCCTTTTTCTACTCGGGTGCATTAGGAAACCATCCAATGTTACCATCCCATCGGTGAGAAAGACAACGGAGGATCAATAGAATATATTGTTCGGGTTCATAACGTTGCACGGAAACCATAAAAAAAAAGGATCTCCTCTTCCATTCTCATCCTTCTTCTCTTTCTCCTCCGTTATTCTTCTTGCTGATCTTTAAACATTAAAGCTAATTCTTCATGTTTACTCCATATTTCCATCATCCTCCATTCTGTGCATCCTCTACATCGACTATTTGTAGGAGTATAATATGAAAAATGATTATAAAAAAGGGTTTATCAGCTTTTGTTATTTGCTTGCTCCACATGGACAATGCGAAGCGGAAAACCTTTTTTTTTTTTTTTTTTTTTTTTTTTTTACGTTAAACCATAATCACAGACTGCCCGCCATTTTTTATTTCTTTTTTAATGAGCACAACACGTTATTAATAAAGCACGATTGGCTGTTGTATCTATTGAAAATAACCTCCACGATAACACCCGTATTCCCAATGGGAGATTTGTTTGGACATGAACCGTTATATGTCTGTACAATAACTTTTTCTCCTTTTGCTCCGCATGCAAAGAAAAAAAAAAAAAAAAAAAACGCGTCGACTAGAATGTATGAATCTTTTACTAGGCTTTCCTTAAATTGTAGTACAACTTGTCCAAAACCACCTGAGCATCTCCACATATACTACATAGCTTTAATTGCACCTTTATAATGAATTTATAAGCGCCATCACTGCACAGTCATTAAAATCAATTTGACAAACCTTCGACTTTTTATCTTTTTTTATTTATTTATTTTTTCCTTTTTTTTCTAATTTTAATACGTGATATAAAAAATAAGTGTACAATACAATGAGGCAGGATGAAATGAAGGATGGAGACAAGCTATGCTAAATCGTCTTTTATCCCCTTCTGTTGTTTAGACTAGGAGAAGTGCGTTCACACAGCCATCCAACTCTGGGTTATTGGTGATCTGAGCATATTTACCCCAGACAACCTTGCCTCCTGTTGTGACCAACCCTAATTCTGATACGTTGACTTCAATGACTGTACCCTTAGTCAGAACGCCCAACTGAGTGTATAGAGGGCTCTGAGGGTTCTTCTTGACACCAATGATAGGCAAGCAGAATGTCGCCTTGAGTTCTGGGTGAGTGACATGAGCCTTCTTATAACGAAGAGCTGAAGGACGGATGAAGCGTTCATACTTTGGAGGTTTACGAGTAAAGCCATCACCAACAAAGGTAGCCTTTGTGACCATTCGCTTCCATGACTTGCCCTTGGTCTTTCCAGAACGAAGAACCTTGAACATCTCATCCTCAGCAATACCACGGACCTTTGGCAAAGGTACATTCCATTTACCAGCCTTCTCCTTACGCTTTTGCTTGATCATATTGCTTAGTACCTTGGCACGTTGCTGACCTTCACGATCCAACAGATAACCAGGAACAGCTCCTTCAGGAACAGCTTCTGTATCCTTCTGCTTGGCATTCTTTTCTTCGTGCTGCTTAATACTATTTTTTTTTTTTTAGTTTGTTGAAAAATGGAATAGTCAGCATTGTTATTATTGTTATTTTCTTTCCTGACGCTCCTGACAATTACCGCAGTAATATATTGCCGAGAACATTTTTACAAATATTTTTGCTTGTTTGTACGTACGTCTTCTTCATCTGAATCTTTTCTGAATGCCTCTTCTTGTTATACATCTTGGCTCTTAGACCTGTAACCTTTTGTGCAAACTGAGAGTTCTTGTGGGCCTCACGAGCCTCTCTTTTACGCCTATATTATAGAAAAATAAGCAAATAAATAACTGTATATATTAGTATATGTAACGTTCAGACATTTTATGTGTTGCAAAAAAAAAAAAAAAAAAAAAAAAGTAAAAGTATACAAAATATAAAATAAGAGTCTTACTTGCGCTCAGCATAATCAAGCCTGCGACCATGTCGCTTAATCGACTCTTCGATATATTCGTTCTGAGGCTATTGATGTTAAAACCGAGATGGAAAAAAAAAACAATGAGGACAGGAATTAGTCCTTTAGCCTTTCTTTCCGAGACTTTAACGATGAGATATCCGTTGCTGATGTTCTTGTCATCAACTTGACCAGTAAAGTTGATAACAGAGATACAGAGATATCCTTCAATATGCATGGACGATCTCAGGAAATAAAGGTCGAATGAAAATGCTTTCTAATGTAATGCATGTAGTCTTCTTTTTCTTCATTTTTCTTAGCATTATAAAATCGGGAATCCATATGCTTTACCATAGTTGACTGATGTGTGGTGAGGAGACGAAAGGAGGAATGAAGACTTGATGCAAGCTCTCTTACAAATGCCCTAACAAGGAAAAAAAAAAAAAAAAAAGAGTAAGTGGCTTCTTGAGCAAAACACCTGTCATGTGATATGAGCGCACGTGCCAGTACTAATTAGTAAATTATTAAAAAATATACATATAAATACTTCCTACTTGACGACGTTCTTTTTTTTTTTCTTCTCGTTCTTTAACTCTTCAACTTCACATTTATACCAATAATAATCGATCATGTCCGTCCCTACTGCCAACTTGGCCACTTTCAAGATCCCCGCTGTCACCAATGAGCCCATGGTAAATGGAATGGAATGAACTATATGAATAGCTTTTTTTAAAAAAATTATGTGTGCAACCGCAAATTGTTACTCTCCCACGCTAATTCCTTCCATCACATTATTTCTTTCCCATATTAGAAAACCTACTCTTCTGGCTCTGCTGAGCGCGCTGGTCTTGAAGCTGCATTGAAGGAACTCCGTGGTCAGGTTCCCCTTGACATTCCTTGCATTGTCAATGGAGAAGAGGTATGGAATATTCATGAGAACTACACGAATTGAAATTGACGAAGAGTTTGAACTTTCTTGTAATGGTTGGTTGTTTTGTCCTTCCCCCTTTTTTTTTCCTTTATAAAATAGGTCCGCACCGGAATCATTGAAAAGCAGGTCATGCCCCATGAGCACAAGACCATCGTCTGCAACTATCACAACGCTGACGAGGTCCTTGTTACCAAGGCTATCGATGGTGCTTTGGCTGCCAAGCAGGACTGGGAGAACACTCCCTTTAATGATCGCGCTGCCATCTTCTTGAAGGCGGCTGATCTTATTTCTACCAAGTATAGGTAATCTTCAACCTCTTTTTTTATTTAAAACATTTTTTTATTCTGTTTTTACGGCGTCTATTGTCAGATAGACATTCCACAAATGTTTTTTAAAAGAGGAAAACAGGGGGTCAATGGTAGGGGGTGATAGGAGTGAATGATTTGATGGTGAATTCTTCATAGCATTTAGTGCGCTTTGTCAGCATGGTATGGGTCATCACTTTCACAATTTTGTGTTCTGATTACTGAGCCCTTTGCGTGTGGGAAAAAAAAAAAAGTCTCTTGCCCTAAACTTTGCACTAATGATCAGGAACACAAAAAAAAAAAGGTGGCCCCAAGAGAATTGCCCTTTTGTCTTTGGCTTCAAAACATTTATTTCCTTTGGATTTCTTGTTTTAGTCCAACCCCTCCACCACACCATTTTCTCGAAGACATAAAAAAAGAATGCAACTTTTACTGGTAGTCATCGATTCCTATTTGAAGAGACAATAGATAGAGATGGATCTCTCTCGTTCTTTTCGTTTTTTGCTTCATAATGACAGTGAATGATGAGCTGAAGAGCTGTCACTGAGTTCTCATCAGATCACCTTGGAGCTATTCGGTCGGCCGCCCAAAAATCGTTCAATGAAGCTCAGTAGTGCCTTTTTTTATGTGTATGTGTTTCGTTGGGTTCCTTTTTCTCTTTGAACACATTTTGGCCGTTTATGCCAATGACGCCACTTTGAAATTCCGATTTTCATATCCCGTCGTCTATAGCCTATGACCCATACCCCGACCCCAAACATCGACTACTATTACTATCTTTGTCTTTCTGGCTTTTGTCCACAGCCTTTTAGCTACTAGTGACCTATACTCTTACTTTTACTCACTTTTCTGTGATAACACTATTTGCTATAAGATATACTTCACTATACTTATATTTTTCCTAACTTTAATTTCCTTTTTTGTGTTTCGCTCACGTGTGCGTGTGATGAATAAATAATATAGATACAAGATCATGGCTGCCACCATGTTGGGTCAGGGTAAGAACGCTTGGCAGGCAGAGATTGACTCTGCTGCCGAGACATGCGACTTCTTGCGCTTTGGTGTAAAGTATGCTGAGGAGCTCTATACTGTCCAGCCTCCCCAGAACTCCAATGGTACCTGGAACCGCACAGAGTACCGTCCTTTGGAGGGCTTCGTCTTCGCTGTTTCGCCCTTCAACTTCACTGCTATCGGTGCCAACTTGGTGGGTGCCCCCGTCTTGATGGGCAACGTCTGCGTCTGGAAGCCTGCCCCTGCTGCTACCTACGCTTCATACATTGTCTACCAGATCATGCGTGAGGCAGGTCTTCCCGCTGGTGTCATCCAGTTCATCCCCGGTCCCGCTCCCGAAGTCGTCGGCCAGGTCTTGAAGCACCCCGACTTTGCTGCTTTGCACTTCACCGGTTCCACTCATGTCTTCCGCAAGCTCTGGAAGGACATTGGCAACAATATTGAGAACTACAAATCCTACCCCCGTATCGTTGGTGAGACTGGAGGTAAGAACTTCCACATGGTCCACAAGACAGGCAACGTCAAGTCGGTTGTTCACAACACCATCCGCTCTGCCTTTGAGTACCAGGGCCAGAAGTGCTCTGCATGCTCCCGTGCCTACTTCCCTGACAACCTCTGGCCCGAGATCAAGGCTGGTCTTATTGAGGCTCACAAGCGCCTTCAGGTGGGCAGTGTTGAGGACTTTAAGAACTTTATGGGCCCTGTCATCAACCAGCAGTCGTTCGACAAGATCAAGGGTTACATCGATTGGGCTAAGAGTGATGCCGAGTCTGAGATCATTGCCGGCGGTTCCTACGATGACTCTGTTGGCTACTTTGTCCAGCCCACTATCATTGTTACTACCAACCCCAAGTCTCGCACCATGATGGAGGAGATCTTTGGACCTATTGTTACGATCTATGTGTATAAGGCTGATGAGTACGAGAGCACTTTGGACTTGGTTGCTAATTCTTCTGCCTATGCTTTGACTGGAGCTTTGTTCTCTCAGGATCGCTATGCTACCATCTTGGGAGCCAACAAGCTCCGCCATGCTGCTGGTAACTTTTACATCAATGACAAGTGCACAGGAGCTGTTGTTGGTCAGCAACCTTTCGGAGGTGGACGTGCTTCAGGCACGAACGATAAGGCAGGATCTGCCTCTATCTTGTCCCGCTTTGTCTCCCCACGCTCCATCAAGGAGTCCTTTGTGGACTTGGACGACTTTGTCTATCCTTCCAACTTGGCTTAAAGGAATTCAATTATTATTATTTTTTTTTGTAAAAAAAACATTTTGCATGTAACAAATTACACTCCCACTCACCCATTCAATAGTTTAAAGTTTTTTTTTTTTTTTTTTTTTTTTTTCTTTTGATAATAAAATCAAACCATCAAGAAAAAGGCTTTGACCCATTGTTTACGTTGCTTGATAAAATCAAAAACAAGGTACATGTACATGTACATTTAGTCTAAGCTGTGTTACTGGAGATGCTTTGTGCACTTTGTGCGTACAAAAGAGCTGTGCGTGTGTCTGTGTCTGTGTCCATGTTTTGGATGTGTCAGATCACACAATCAAGCTCTGTCTTTTTTTTTTTTTTGTTTTAGCTTCGTACTACCTAAAAAAAAAAGATGATGTTAAAAGAACACATGGGTGGATGCTGTGTCAATGTTTGGTGGAAAAAGGTAGAAAAAAAAAGACAAAAAAGGTACTGTATATCGATAAATATATACATTCGTCCATTGTCAAACTATTATGAAACGTATATAACTTGCTTATTGTTTCAAATGTTCTACATACCATAAAGGAGCTTTTTTATTTTATTGTTTTTCTTTGTCCGTTTTGTTTGAGATAGTTTCTCCAAGTATTTTTCAAGATTGATTTTTCAAAGCAAAGCAAAAAAAAAAAAAAAAAAAAAAAGAAGAGACTGAGCTTATTTTCGACTTTTTATTTATTACTATTATATAGATGTATTATTAATATGTAGTATGGCTATTATTATTACTATTAGTATTTCTAATTAAAGGTATGGTATTATGGCTATTATTGGTAAGAAGCTATACTATGGAAAGAATAGAGAAAAGCAAAGCAAAAGCAAAAAGAAAGAAAGAAAGAAAGAAAAGGGCAAGCAAAATATGTACAACATATTAAGAGAGCAAAGAAAAGGAGGGCGAAAAAAAAAAAAAAAAAAAAAAAGAGAGAGAGAGACAGAGAGGAAGTAGAAAAGTGGAGCAATATACACCAATAATTAAAAAAGAGGCTATGATACAAAAAGAACGATGTAAAAGCAAGATAAAACGAAGATAAAGTTTTTTTTTTTTTTTTTTTTTTTTTAGACTGCCTGGCTGAGCATGCTCAACACCACAGCAGCTTCCTCAACCTTGCGTCGCAGGCGGAACTTGCGAGCCCAAAGACGCTTACTCTTACGAGTACGTTCCTTACGGTCCTTGTCATCCTTCACGCGACCATCGGGCAGAGAATCCCATTTGCACTTGCGAGGATGCATTGTAGGGGACATATTGTGAACATTCTTCAAATGACGTCTCAAATTGCAGTTTTGGTTCTTGCTTGGCTTGAAGGCTCGGCTGCAAACAGGACACAACAACAATTGTGGGTTGGAGGAGGAGGATGTAGACGACGACGAAGGCAATAAACAAGTTGCCAAAGAATTGGAGGAAGAGTTGTTGCTGGTCAAAGAAGACGACAAGGAGGACATGGAGGTCGAAGCAGACGATGAAACACTCGAGTGACCACGATTAGATGATGTCATGTAATGATGTTGTTCCGAAGCAAAAGCAGGAGACGAAGGCTCTGGAGAAAAGACGGAGCGATCTGAGGAGATCGAGGGGGAACGGGACATCGAAGGCGAGTATTCCTCATCCATCATCATCATCATCATCGCTCGACCGGGAGTTGTAGTAGATCGTGGGCTGTTAAAGGGGCTTGAATGAATCGATCGCGTTGTTGAAACTTGAAGAGGCGTCAATGGTGCAGGCGAAAGAGGATGAACTCTAGAATCCATACTGATTGCTGAGGTTGGGGTCGTTGGTGTAGACAGATGGTGATATGAGGTGGGTCGAGAAGTAAAGTAATCAGTTGGAGGTTGTGCTGATCCATTAAAAGAGGATCGGTCTCCGCGAGCATAGTAATGATCCACATGATCATAGGCATGATCTCGAGAGGGAGAAGTAGAAGAATAGATGAAATCTCTGGGAGAAGGCAAGGCCTGATGATGATGATACTGTCTTGAAACCGTAGAAGGATGTGAACCGGTGTTGTATGAGTGAGTGTTGTTGGATTGAGGAGATGACTGATGATGGTAAGGGAGATGATGATGTTGAAGATGGGACGAGTGGGCGGTGTATCCCTTTGGCTGTGGAAGAACCGATGAGAATGGGATCGGTACTTGATGCTTCAATGGCAGAGACATCAGGGACTTGTGGGGACGTTGATGCGAAAATGAAGGGGAACGACTCATGTTGTCGCAAGGCGTGGATGGTCCAGGCGAGCATGACAGGGATCGGTCAGAGGCGGAGCTGTACTGGCTATAGAGAGACGAACTTGATCCACGCGAGGATAGCGAGGGAGTGGAGTAGGACCGGGTTTGGAAGTTCATGTTGGACGAAGACAATCTCGGAGAAGATGAGCTTGTGTGGTATTGATGGGATGTTGTTGAATATTTAGAAGAGATGTGGGAGAAGTTGGTTTGGATAGAAGGAAGATGACTGGTCGACATAAAACCTTTTATATAAAACAAAGACGGGGAAGAGGAGACAAGAGAGAAGGAGAGGCTCGGATGGACGTGTGGATTTTATATACGATAAACAGTAAAGATGAAGAGAAAGGAGAGAGGGAAAAAAGACAAGTTGGTAGACAATAAGAATGGATCGGGGGTCGTTTTTTCTTATTATTATTGTGTAATGTGGAAAGAACAATCAGCTAAAGGGGAAAAAAAAAAAAAAAAAAAAAAAAAGTCTGGCAAAGCGATGGTTTCGAGATAACGCTATAATGATGGATGTGGATTATGGATGGGTCTATTACAGGACAAAGGACAAATAACGAGAAAGCAAAAAGAAAAGAAAAGAAAAGAGTTAGTTGACCTGCTTATTATATTTCGCCCAACCCAAAGGGTAAACATCAGTACACAGCACTTTGTACGCTGTTCCTCCCTTAATCCACTACTCAATGTGCATTCTGAACACAGGGTGTGAATTCAGACAATGCAGACATTGTACACACAATGCAATGCTCAGGTTCAGTTTGTATTACCATAGAGAGCAAGGAAGGGAAAGAGATTCACAAAATGTGTCAGACAGAGAGATGTTGAAGTACCACGGGTATTTGCGAAGGATAAAAAGAATTAGATGTAGTACGATGTGATTGTGCACAGAGCGATTTGTTGCGGAGAATATTGGGGGGGCGTCACGGAGGAAAAAAAGACAAGATGAGAATTAGAGGAGGAATAGGAGCAAGAACGTGAGACGTAGACAGTCGTTCGAATAGGAGTTGAGAGGAGATAAAATGAAGAAAAGATAAAAAGAAAAAAAAAAAAAAAGGAAAGAAAAGGTAAAAAAGCAAAGGAAATCGGGGCGCTTTATAAAGGAGGAAACAGAGTAGAGAAGTACACGAAGAACTATCTTTTTCCTGCTCAGCTGTGTATGTTTTTATTTTATTATATTTAATTATTTATTTATTATCGCCAATTTTATTTGGTCACGATACCTTATATTTTTAATCTAAAAACGATGATTGAATTGTTCTGGTGGCATCTCACTACGTGACGGACTTGCAACAATACTCGTAACAAGCGAGCTAATTGGCTGCCAATACACTCGAAAGTATTCAAAAAATATAAGGTATCGCGACCAAATGAAACGGGCTATATTGTTTTTTTTTTATCTGTCTCAATGTAATATACTTACAGTAGGGCGGGACAGCGACCAAGGAAGGAAAAGAAAGGAAGGAAGGAGGGAGCAGACAGAGCGAGCAAGAAGGAGAAAAGGAGGAGGAAGAAGATGAGAAGTGCACAAACCCTCTAGCAAGGAAGAGAAGAGGAGACGGAGGGATGGCTCGAGAACGATTCAATAGAAGGAACAAGAAATAAGAGAATAGAGGAAAGGAGAAATAAGAAAGTCGATTGAATTGATTTGAATAGATTTGAATTGTAAATGTCAACATTCAATGATAATTGTAAAAAGAAAACAAATAAATAAAAAAAGGTAAAAAGGCAGATTATATTTAGAGTAAAAAAAGAATAAAAACAAACAAATGCAAGCAAAAAAAAAAAAAAAAAAAAAAAAAAAAGAAGGAGCGCGCACGCGTGCAAGAGCAGCAGTAGGGAGAGTCTAGCTAGTCGACCGGCCGAAAAAAAAAAAAAAAAAAAAAAAAGTAGAGAATGAAAAAGATGAGAGTGAGAAAAAAAAAAAAAAAAAAAAAACTAGACGTTGATGAAAAACAATGATGGAGAACAAACACAGGAGAAAAAAAAAAAAAAAAGAAAAGAAAAAGAGATAAAGAAGAAGAGACGAATAAAAAAGAGCTCTTGAAGCAATGAAAGGAAAAGGAAAGCAAAGCAAAGCAAAGGAAAGGAAAGGAAAGGAAAGAAAAATAAAGGAAAGGGAAAGGAAGGAAAGGAAAAGGAAGTAAGGACAGGCAGAAGGAGGTAGATGGGGGTAAAGGATAATGATGGTGATGATGAAGGGAGGAGTGGGGGTAGTGGGGGTTAATGAGAAGGGAATGAAGGATTGGAAGAGTGGGTGGGTAAGGACGAAGGATTAAGGATGTCAGTCAAAAACCCATTGTTCAGACAATAGTGATATTCTTACTGATATACCAATCTTTATATTTTATAAACATAATATTATCGCAATAATATATCCATGTAAAGTAATTGAGAAGAAAAACCCATTGATCCCCAGCTATATCCATCTATGGTCTATGGTCGATTTCATCCGCATTCAAAGCAAAAAAAAGAATTACACTCATTCATTCTATGATTCCTTCATTCACTCTTACTAAACCCGACTCAATTGTTTAAATAAGTGCAATTGTAAATATATATATTTTTATTCAGAAATAAATAACTAAAAGGTTTGTGCATATTCTACTGAACTAAACTCTACTGGACTGGTAGGATGAGCACGGTACACAACAAAAAAAAAAAAAAAAAAAAAAAAAAGTTGCAAGGGACGAACACAAACACGCACGGGTGGTAGGACAAAATGTCTGGGATGTGTGTTTCCTTCCCTGGGTCCATTGGGAGGGAAGCACTACAGGGACAATTCAAAAAAGGTCCAAGTGACAATCCACCGTTGATTTAAATCCTCTTTCGATTTGCTTTAGGTAACCCTGGTTGGAACAAACAATAGAGAGGATTCTGTTCAGTGGAACACACTAACAGATGCACATGTTTATGCCAATACACACAGACCCCATCCCTAAAACTTCTACCTGTATAAAAATCCCATCAATGCACATAAAAGAATCCAGGGATTACGATAAACAATATTATTTATTTTATTGTATTCAACGACCTCATTTTCAAAAGCAGTAAAACAACTCTGATGAGGAACGAACTATACCATTCCGTTGCAGTAGATCCATTGACGATACTTTTCTTTAATTCGACTATAGATCTACCAAAATCTACTCAGTCTGCAATCTATCTCCATTATCTGGACATCTACAGATTGCTTTTGTTCGAGAATGAGGTGATTCTAAATAAAAAATAAAAAAATAAAAAAATAAAAAAAAGTGATGGATTAAAGACTAAGTAACATCAATGTCATCCATCAGATCCACAGATCAGGATCAGGTTGACCTGCAACATGCGAAAACTCATGATGTGATGACTACAGCTGCCGAAAGAGAAAAGACAAAAGTAAAAACAGAGGCAGAGGCAGAGGCAAAGGCAGAGGCAGAGGCGGGGCTATTTTTTTTTAACTTTTTGACGTGCACAAAAATTTCTGTCTCTCGGAGGGATATTTTATAGATGGATTAAGCGGTAAATGATGACAAAAGAGACAGCATACTGAACACAAGCATGTGCACACACGCGCTTACACAAACACTCATTTTTTCCTTCTGAGTGAATGGTCCCACCAAAAAAAAAAAAAAAAAAAAAAAAAAAAAAGATCAAAGACAATACGAACTAATATAACATTGCTTACACATTCCTTCTGGAATGGCTCTCATGGAAAGAACACACAACTCACAGTAATTCACACACGCACGTAATACACATTATCCGAAATGCCAATAGGTCTTACCTCGCCATGACATGGAAAAAATTGACTTGGCATGGTTGTGTGATGGAATGGACGAAAACTCCTCCAATCCACGCCTTTTTTTTTTTTTTTTACGTGTCTTCATTCTTCTAGGACAGATGTTTTAGGGGAAACATAGACTACCACACCACTTCTTGTCCCCCCTCTCCCCCCTTTTTTTTATTCATTTTATTCATTCATCTTAAAGAATACTTCATTTCATGCAGAATAGCATTAACTATGTTGTATCTCTATCAAAAATGAAAACCGCGTCAGGTAAAAACGTAGGAAAGGAAATGGTGGGATAAAATAAAATAAAAATGTGGTAACTCATTGATGATGCTCTACTGAACTGTAATAGATTCGGGTCATGATCCTTTTTTCCCTGGGAGTTGCTTTTGTGGTAGCCCAGAGTCTATATCTCTGAAATATTTCCAACACATGGGAAGAAAAAGAATAAACCTACATCAGCACGCGAAACAATGTTCCCAGCAATCAGGGACAGGACAGTTCATTCCCAGGCGTCAGATTCAAAAAGAAAGAAACAATGGGGAGGGAACGATAAAAGAGGCGAGAAATTCGAATCTCGAGTCCGATAGGGTTACTAGGCACAAGGGATTCGATTTTTTGTTCTTGTTCGAGTCTGGATGTGACGGAATTCAGTTAGGGTGTGAACATCTGTGGAATGCCACGCTATTGGCGTGCCTCGCCTCGTTTAATCCCACAAATACATCCCATTTGGTACTTTCCTCCTAGAATTTTTTTCCCTTTCTTCCTTTCTATCTTTCTTTTCCTTCACACGTTACTGCTGAAAGAATAAAGCGTTATGACTCGTTGGGGAAAAACATCTAAAAATTGCTACATGTACCCAGCTTTCTGCAGAATAGAACCAAGAAAGAAGAATGGGGGGGGGGGGGTTGTACTTTTGGGAAGAATGAACCAAATACATGTACGTCCAGAATAAATGCATTTTTTTTTTTCTGTAGCTGAGCCCTAAACTGAGGTTGATAGAAAAAAAACTATACATATAGGATTCCTTTTGTTTTTGCCAGTTAAAGGCATAATAACAGGGGATCGTCCCTTCACGTTTCAGGAGAACAACAGTGCATTTATAATTTATACTCTGAATGATTGTAGCGACCTTTTTTTTTATTTTTTTTTATTTTTTTATTTTTTTTTAGTATATGTGAATAACCGTAATTGAACAATTATTCGAATGTACCGTTCATGTACCGCAGTCCATGGCCCAGGCTCACTAAGATTCAGGGGCAAGTAGGGAAATAATGGCTGCAAGAAGTAAAGACTGACTGACTGACAGGCTGTACTTGTAGGCTGAGTGCAAAGGCTTGGGTTGCAGCAGTATGGGCGAGGTAAGGATGTGGGGAGGGGGAGGGGGGGAGAAAGTGAAGGAAAGGGAGAGGAGGGGAAGAAGGGATTGGGGGATGAGCAGAGTGACTGAAAGAGAGCAGGGTACCCAAGAAAGAAAGATGGGGGAGAAAGGGGGGAAGGAGCATCCACGGCTGCATTAACAGGACAACAAACGGAGCATTGGCCAGTTCACCTTCTTGGAAAATGACCCGTTGTTTCTCTTTGAGCTCTCAGCAAGAGGTTGGTGATGGTGATTCCTCCTTTCCCTTCTCTACTCTTTTGACACTGTCATGGATATTGGATGATGATGCTCATTACCGTTGTAGGAAGAGCGCTACCACATTGATTTCTACATTTGACGTTGGATCGGCCAAGTGTGCGATCCAAACAGATTCAACACTGAATAAATGAGATTGGACGTAATTCAAGAACATATTGCTTAATATGACTAGCAATATAGCATTATAACACAGTGGTAAATTGCACATTCTTTGTTCAATGCATCGAATAGTATAAATATATTTGGTCCATTCAGACACGTTAATCAAGGTGGATCATGCAAACTACGATGCATACTTCTTTGATGTCCGTTGGCTAGGGTTGATTGCGCATGTCTGTCTGTTGTCTCTCCCTCTCCGCTTTTTTTTTTTTTTTTTTTTTTTTTTTCTGTTGGATCGGTATGTGTAAACTTATATCCCAGACAAGATCCCGCAACAATGCAACGTTGGAGTTTTTTTGTGATGCATGGATGCGTCTCTTCTTTCACTTCTTCCAATCATTTTTTTGCATGGCTTTCTCCTTGAGTTTATGACCCAGTCCAAATTAGTTATACTATCTCTTTCTTTTGGAGAACAAGCACATAATGCTCGCAAAAATAGAATATGTAGAATATGCCGAGAATCTCTCTCGAATAAAAAAAAAGGTTAAAGTGCTGGATAGTGTCCGTTTGTTGAGAGTTCTTCAGCTGCCTAGAAATCGATAGGGTGTCCACGCATTGAACCAGCTTAGCACTTACGACCCGTAACCATTGCTATAGCGTCGCATGCTGCCTTGCCCCTAGTTCCCACCTGTCTTCCCCTTGATTCAAGGCATACTTCGAGCGAGCATTAAAATGATTATTGCATGTATTATAGTTTGCTATCCTCTATTGGAATACTCTTTTTTCATTCGCTTCTTTGATACTTCAATAACCCCCCTCCCTCCCTCCTTTTTTTTTTTTTTTTTTTTTTTTTTTTTGTTATTACCGACCTTTCTGTTTGGTCTGTGGAACAAATCGAACGAACTAGAGTGTTTCAAAATGTATGGGGCCAGCTTGTAGCTGCAAGTCCTATGCTTACCAGAATGGCAGTATTTTCACGTTTGTACCCCATATCTCTGTCTTCTGCATCACTTCTCTCCCCTCTCCTCCCTCCCCTTTTTTTCGTTTTACGTGGAAGCGAACTGTGCATGGATGAAGACATACTCAAAGCAATAGAGTGACAATTGATGCACAGATGTGATCATTGCGTTTGCCTCGGGTACACAAAGACCAATATTCGACCCTGTTTGCCGAACTTTTTTTTTTTACTAACCCTTGTACAGTTAGTGTAGTACAAATGTACATCAGCACATGTTCAAAATGTTAATCGCCGATATATTTTTGTTGTCTGTGTTGTGTTGCGTAGACTAGGAATCACCCGCCGCAAATAAAATAAAATACTCGCTTATGTTAGGTTTACTCCGCTGCAGTCGCAAAAAAAGAATATGCACGAATGCGCGCGCTTTTTATTTTTTTTTCTCTTGATAGTAAGTGGTTGAAGTGGTTACTTTGTAACAGTGGCTGTTAGTGGCGGTGGGATCTTGATTGGTGATTTCTTGCTCTCTCTTTTCGTTACTGCTCTCAGCCAGAGGGGTATGTTTCTACTGCAAGGTATGCAACATCCATCCACCTTATCCTATCATGCAAACAAACAAACAAGCATAGGAAAAAAAAGAAAAAAAAAGAGCAGAGCATTAAAGAAAGACCAAACAAAATGCACTCTTGAGTTGTAAAAAAAAAAAGAGGTATAGTAAAGAGTAAACTGTGAGCTATATCTGTCCAGTGGTCCTTCAGTTGTACTCCAAATCACAGATTATGCTGATTACTTCAAACACGTCAACTGTAACTGTGTAGTACAACAAGGAAAGAAAAAAAGACTAGAATCTTTTTTTTTTTTGGAGTGAATGTTTAACATTTGACGCGACTTATAGTCTGTACTCTATGCGTTGAAGATCCCAAAGGTTATAAAATATTCATCATATTGTATCAACAACTAAACAACAACAACAGCGACATGTTGCATTAGCAGGGTTATAAAAACATGCGGTACACGCAACAAATACTCTAATTGATATCTTCATGTACAAAAAGACTTTAATCCAATTTGCCCTCTTTTTCTTCCTGTACCTCTTCTACCTTTCATCCCTGAAAGCCGAGTGCCTGGTCTCCGAAGCAGAGAAAAAAATAAACAATATAATCTTTCATACATTTAGAATGAACTCCTCTTTACTTTATTTCTTTGTTCCCCTGCTTTGGAAGGCCCCCTTTAAGGCATACAGTGCTTGACATGATAAAACAGCAACGGTTACAGAAATACCAGTTGCACCAATCGGAACGGCAATAGCAATAATAATAGAAATAACAACAATAAATAAATAAAATATATGCCTATGGTGAAAGTTAGCATATATCGTGCCTAGCTTGCAATGTTGGCGTTACCTCTTGCTCTTTTTAATATCCTTCACCCTTCAAAAAAAAAAAAAAAAAAAAAACCTCACTTTCGTCTGCATGGCACGAACCATGCAATTGGGGCAGCTGGGAAACGTAAGGGGAGAGGAGAAGGAAGAAGTGTGGGGGAAAAAACCGTTGCTCAAATTCATTGATAGCTGCATTTGAGCGTCAATACCTACCTGGTTGTATATGTTTTAATGCGAACTCCTTGTTGGATACGTTGCATGCTAATGGTTTATTTTCAAATCGATGTTTGCTCTTTTTTTTTTTTTTTTTTTTTTTTTTACCTCTAGACAGGTGTCACCCTATCTTTCATTCTCTATGCATGCCTAGATGCCTTTGCTTGGTCATATCATTTTGTTACTGTTGTTATATATTATTGTTGGGGGCCACATATAGGCTGCCTAAACAGACTAAAGTGGATTGAACGTTAAAGACAAGGGCAAAGACAAAAAAAAGGGTGCCGAAGGTTGGTCTGGACCCCAATAGCTCTTGACCGTTACTAACAAATAAATAAAATCTGGAATGCCAACGGTTCGTTCTCTATCGTATCCTGATTTAATTAGGTTCGGTATCAAGGGGAGAGACAATACAATAACGGCAAAAAAAAGAATCATTAATATCACGAGTTGAATAAAAAGCTCATTAGCATAAACAAAAGCGACTTGTTAAGCAACCTAGTCCAACTTGTAATAAGAGGTTATTACGTTAAGCGCTTGAGCGTTCATCTTGTCTTGAGCCCTAAGCTCGACTTTAGATGACTTTGATTTTGAACCATTCCCAAAGAGAATCCCCCCTCCTCTCTCTCGTTGTCCTTCTTTTTTCGCCCATTATTGTTTTTGCCTATTGTTTTCAATCAATGAAAATATGAAACTCAGGGATATGCTAATTCCCAATTTGGTAGTTAATCAACGTGGAATCCCCTTTTGTTGTTATTGTTGTCTTTCCTCCTTCAATCGGATGCTTTTCTCTATAGAGTCTAATCCATTAATCCTTTCATGATAGCGCGACCAAGGCTTCTTTTCTGTATTATATTTATGTCAGAAACACTACTTTGAGCTCGAAAGCCCCCTATCAATCTTCCTTCCATATCTGGTGAAGTTGAAAAAACTCTGCATTGAGAGACTCCTTGTATTGAAAGAAACGTGCATAAATAATAGAAGAGTGTCTATACAGGAACATAAGGCTTTAATATCTGAGTTTGGGCAGCTTAGCAGACCCCTCCTTAACTTACGGAATAGATAATAACAGCAATTTCTTCCGCTTGATTACAGAATTCCCTTCCATATAAAACATTTAGTCTCTATTTCACTGTTGGAAATGTCATTAAACAGTAATAGCATTTGACTATAGGGAGACATCCACAAAGTAGCCAGGAAAGGAAAGGTTTTATATATTATCAAATTCGCAGAGGAGATGCGGAATTCTAGACAGTTTGGCCATCTGTTTGAGTAACCTTTATGTAGATACTTCAAGTCTTTATTTGAGTGAGATTCACAGGTCATTGTCAATAGTTCATTTGTAATAAAAAGCACTATTAGGATTAGAGACAGACTACTGGAGACGATGGAATGGGATAACAGGGGAAGACGAATAACACCAGCGGTACTGCTTATTTCTCACTCAGGGAATATGCCTAAGGCTAATCATCAGGCTTTTTGCTGTATTGCAATATATGCTGCGCAATTTTTCAGCCAATCAAAAGATTTGAGCTGAAAATGTACTTCTCAAAGAGTAAGCCACTCTGTAAACAACCCCAATTCTAGTGCGATCATTCCCTGGCTTGACTCAACCATTAACCTACTCTCAGTTTCCGTAATTTCAGGAAAATCTGACAAACCAGCGGGATTAAATCCACAATATCGTGATTTTGCTGTATTTTCCTAGTAGTCGACATAATACATTAAACAATGTTTAAGCCAACAATTACTCAGTCTGTACCAGCTTTGGCTCGTGGATACGGCACAAATGTCACACGCACACTCTTTCCTCGTCACTACCGTCTTCGTCACAAAGTCAATAGTGAGGCCGATGCAACGCCTCTCAAGGACGGTTCATTGTTTATTCGTCGCCCTACAGCCGGACCTACAACTTCGATTCTCTCTTCTACAAATCCTTCTCCTGCTTCGGTCTCCTCAAGGACACCAGGCTCCGCCACATCAACACCTTTGACACATCCAGACTTGCCACCTGCTTTGAATGCTGATAAGGCTGCAGCTCGTCCTGAATTCGCCACATTAACAGAGGAGCAGATTGCAGAGATGCGTGCACTTCGATTGGAGGACCCCACCAAATATACACGATCATACTTGGCAAAAAAATACAATGTCAGTGATCTGTTTGTCAAATGCTATGTTCCTGCATCAAAAGAAGTTCAGGTTGCAAGGATCAAGGCTCAACAGCGCGCGTTTAGGAACAAAGGGTGGAAGGCACAGGAAATCATTATCCAGAGACAGAAGCGCCGTGAGTTGTGGTAGAATAGGTTCAGAAAAAAAAAAAAGGATAGGGTATTGGAATTTTATAGAGATCAATCGGGGATGCATATGGACCAGTGGAATTTGGGTAAACGATTACAATAAAATAAAGGCATCTATATACTGTAGTTTTTTAGGTGTGAGGTGATCAAGTGCGATATATTTATATGTATATATTTATATATTTATTGATCTAGACAATTAGCTGGTCAAAGAAGATGATGTTAATTGCCAATCAGTATTATTTACATGAGATGGACTAGGGCCAAAGAAATGGAGGGATTATTACGGCCCTGGAGAGCGACCAACAGTATCGCTGTGATTCAAGAGATAATGTCCAAGATACTCTAATGGATTTTGTGGCCTACAAAAAAAAAGAGACTGTTAGTGATATTGACATGTAAATTCGATCTGCATTAGTCCTCTTGAAAACCAAACCATGTTTTTCTCCACTTTTACCGTTCTTTTGCGAGTTGTTTCATTCCTTCCAGTAGCACAGGTAGTACTGTTTGATCCAGGTACGACCTAATAGGCATTTCTACTAGTTCAGCCTTTGATAATCCTGCTAAGGGGTTCGAGATCCCAGTTGCGGAGGAAGCAGTAGATCCTTCACGATCTGCGTTTAAGATCTCCTGTTTAAAAAAAGAAAAATTAGGAGTTGAACTTCTTTTTTTTTGAAATAGGATGGATGATGTAAAAAAGACAAATTCACTTTACACCAATGCTTTTGACAGGGCCGCGTTGCGATTCCACCTTAACGCTCCTCTCTCGTTCCTGCAATGCGGGTGAATGTCTAGCATCGTGTACTGGTGTGGATCGATCCGATTCCATGGTTGACGAAGGATGAAGACGATGCAAAAATAAACGCTCGAGAAGTTTAAATTATGTTGAAGAACACGGTTCAGTGTAACAAAGAATAGCTTTTTTTGGAAGTGGCTTTGCCACCAAAATTGAGACTGCACAGATGCACGCGTTTAAACAGGCGTTCCTGACTTTTTTTTTTTTTTTTTTTTTTTTTTTTTCGGTTGGGACATTCAATCAAACTCAAACATTCCATGGCTCGGCAAAGGAAGCAGACTGCCACCGAGGCAAGCAATGATGACAATAATGATGGCAACGACAACAATAATGTCACTTCTACGGCTCATACAATGACAATAACCACTCCCGCAACTTCAAGCTCAAGCACAAACACAAGCGCAACTACAGTAACAACCACACAAAAAAAATCATTAGCCAAATCCAAAAAGGGAAATGCGATCGAGACTCTGCGTACAGTAGTTCCTTCCATCTTCCAAGAGTCACAAAAGACTTCAGCTAACCATCGCAAGAATGCCGTCATGTTGAGAAAGATTCAGGAGCAATGTGCAGAGATCGCTGCAGAAAAAGGGGAGGAAGCTTTCAACAAAGAATTTATTCGAAATCTGAATGTCGTATTGGCTATTAAAAAAAGAGAGCCTGCAGCTGACCGAGTTATTCAATTTGTGTCATCATTCATTCTGTGCACACGGGAGAAGGGTAAGGCGAAAGCTTAGTTTTTTTTTTTTTTTTTTTTTTTAACTATTGCTTACCGTAATTTATATCTCTACTAGACATGGCAGCGGAGGCAGCAAACGAAGATGAAGAAGGAGCAGAAGGAATCTCGTCACGATTTGTTGAGTATCTGATGCATCATTTGTTGAAAGGAGTCAGAGTTAAGGAAAAGCTAGTACGCCTACGATCATGTCAGTTGATTGCATTAAGTATTAACTCGCTAGGCGCTATTGAGTAAGCAGGAACTTTTTTTCTTTCCCCATGGGTTATTTAATCATACCTCTTCTATAAGCTAACCTTTTTTTTTTTTTTTTTTTTTTTTTTTCTCATTAGTGATGATCTTTATACTCAACTGAAGGAGAGTCTCATGGAGCGAATCAGGGACAAGGAAGCTGCTGTTCGCGTCCAGGCAGTATTTGCATTGTCAAAACTTCAGACGGCTGAAGAAGACACTGAAGGTGGCGACGGAGAAAATGTTGTTCAGAAACTTTTAGACTTGATGCAACATGATCCTAGCGCGTACGTTTTTTTTTTTTTTTTTTTTTTTTTTTTTTTTCACAAACAGGCTTTGCATCCACATTTGGTCATAAACCTATTTCGCACTAAGCCCGGCTTTTCCCCTTGCCATTCCTACAATAGTGAGGTTCGTCGGTCAGCACTCTTCAATGTTGAACATACCAGAGCCACACTGCCCTCTATTCTTGAGAGGGCTAGAGACACAGATGCATATAACAGGAGAGGCTTGTTTACGAAACCAATGGATGAACTTTCGGATTTTCGTGTGTTATCGATTGACGATAGGGAGAGATTGCTTCGCTATGGGCTGTCAGACAGGTGGGTATCCTATTGCAGTGATTTGTAATATACAGCATGCCAAATCAAATCTCAAAATTTAAGCTTTGGCCTTTATTTTTCATTTTTCGCTTTCTATTGAGGCAGAGACGAGAATGTTAGGAAAGCCTGCACCAAAATGTTATCCACCAAATGGATTCAACAGGCTGATAATAACCTTATCGAGTTTCTGGAACGTTTGGATGTGATGAGTAGCGAAATCGCTGATGAAGTATTGAAGGCATTTTTTGATTACCGTGCGGATATTCTCGGGAGTCTGGTATTCAATGGTTAGTAACGAAGCGATGAGGCAGGCCCAAATATAGTTGGTTTAATATTCTTTTGAAGTATGAACCAAAAGCTGATATAATTGCTATAGACGTCTTTTGGTTGAATCTGACAGTTGAAAGTGCGTTCTTGGTGAGAGCATTCGCAGAGTTTTGTCGCAGTAAGGATGATGATATCCAGTTTGAAAGAGCAGTGCCAGAGGTCACTCGACATGCATATTACATTCAGCGATATAGCAATCAAATGCAGAAGGCTGATGAAGATAACCGCCCTGAGGCTGAATTCATCGTAACGCAGCTGCTAATGATCGCCAAACTTTTGGACTATGCAGACGAAAATGGACGCCGTAAAATGTTTAATTTGCTTCGTAAGTTTATGAGGAAGAACACAGATATTAAAAAGATAAAAAGGAAAAAAAAAAAATTGTTCACTGATAGTAAGCGTGCTGAAAGCCTTTTTCATCTTCCTCATTTCTAGGTGAGATGTTGATGTTAGATGATATCCCTGATAATCATTTGGATTGCATTTTGGAGACCATGGGGAAAATTTCATTGAATGAAAAGGATTTTACTCGTATTGTCATTGAAATTATCTCTGACATCAGAGCTGGAATTGATGAACAAGAATATCTTCGTAATCCAGAGAAGTCCGACGTAAGTATCGATTATACGAGACATATAGAAATTGGTGATTTGGTGATTCAGTCGATGTTATGTTCTGATCAAGTCCCTTCATTTTTTTTTTTTTTTTTTTTTTTTGTGCCTTTAGGACGATGAAGATTCGCTAGATGAGCAGACAATGGATTTGACAAATACACCACGTAAACGTAAACGCAGCATTGCAGACAAATCTCCGAGGAGAAGACCCTCAATTGGCACTGAAGAAATTGGTCAAAGCGCAAGTGAGATTGATGCGATGTTGATTAGGATTCGTTGTCTGACTATCACTAAATTTATGCTGACTCGGAGTACTGAGGTAACTGAAGCGGTCTTGTGATACTATTTTTTTAATCTCGGGGAGTACAGCAGTTGACTTGTCTCTTTCTCACTGTTTATTTTTATTTTGTATTAACTTAGGCATTGAAAGAAAACTCGTATATGTATGGTCTCTTGAACGAATTGGTCATTCCAGCACTCGGAAGGCAAGAAGAGGTGATGCAGGAGCTTGGTCTTCATTGCCTAGGATTGATTTGCATGTTGGATCAGAATCTTGCTCAAAGTAATATGGAGTTGTTCTTGACATGCATTTTCGCCGAAAACGCAAGCATCCAACTCCAGATTCTTTCGCTCAAGGTAATACCAGACTGTGAAAACTTGATCGTAAGCGTCAAGCTTTTCTTGTTTAAATTTTATTAAACTGCATGATCATAAATGACCAATATTATATAGATTGTATTTGACTTGATCTTGACATTCGGTATGACTGCTATGTCAAGTCAAATCTCTGAAGAAAGGATTATACAAGACTTGGCCAAAAGTCTTGAAGGCCCCGGAGATGAACTACAAGCTGTAGCAGTAGAAGGGATAGCCAAGCTCATGTTGACCAAGCTATTGAAGAACGCTAAGGTATACATTATAGAATTCTATCATGTACCAGTTTTCCTGACAATTCGATCGTCCGTCTAACTTGCTGTAAAACTTCTATCTCCTTTTTCAACATTGCTCTACTGTAGATCTTGAGACAGTTGATCATTCTGTACTTTGATCCCCAAACAACCAACAATAACCACCTGAGACAATGCCTAAACTACTTTTTACAAGTCTATTTCCATTCGTCGCATGACAACCAAGTGACTCTTAGTCAAATCTTCGTTCCTATCATTATTCAGCTTATTCAGATGCGACAGGATAAGGGTGACATGCCATCACCAACCGTGATGGCACAACAAATTCTTGAATGGTGTGAACCACGTCGAGTACTTGGGTAAAGGCATTTTCCTGTCTAATTTCTCCAATAGCTTTGTCGGGTATAGACCTGACAAACATGGTTTACGACGATTGCTAAATTCTACTTGTTGCGCAACATAACTTTTCTTAGAGCGGACAAGGAAAATGAAGGTGCATTTGCTCAAAGTAATATTGATTTTGGTTTACAGGCTGATATAGCCATCGAAGTAGTTAAGGCTATGTTCACAGAACCGGCAGGTAATCCTTTTTTGTATGATCTCGGTAGCCTTGATAGTTTTGACAAGTACGGGCGGCAAGTTACATTTTGGTACTGACGTTTCTTAATTCCATATCTTTGATAACTTATAGCTGTACGGAAGCACCTACCAGTCATCCTGTACAGGTGTCGACTGGATGGCGACGCAGGTGAGATTCGATTGAAAAAACTGACTCTTCTTATAGGCAACCTCAACGCAGTAAGTGACTCGAAATCGTATGCATGTTCAGTTAATCAGTACACGAAAATGGTGAGAAATACTAAAGAGTTAACGTTAACATGATAAATAACTATAGAAACGTCCCATAAATGAGCGGTTAAGCAAGAAGTACCTAGTTTCAGTTGAGAAAAGCATCTTGAAAATGTTTGAAGATGCCCCGGAATCTCTTAATGATGAGGAACTGAACAAGCTTGTCGAGCTGACAGAAGAAATTTCATTTGTGGATAAATACGTACCCCCAGATGGTAAAGCACTATTTACGAATTTCAGCAATTTAGTAATGAGCTATATCTTTTAATTAATCAATGGCTTATTTTTATCTTTCCGATTCTACAATGATATATATTTAGATGCTGACGATGTGGTTCCACCAACACCCTCAGCTTCCAGATCTTCCAGATCGTCTAGATCTCAGAAGTAAGTCATTATCATTTGTTTTATTGATCATAGAAAAAGCATCAACGATAGCAATGTTACATAGTTCTTAGGACCAATTGTAATTTATTGTTTATTAAAATTATAGATCGAGACCCAAAGCCAGGAGAGTATCTGCAGGAAGTGCTAAACTAGCCAAAATATTGAAGGACATTGATGCCATTCTAGAGTCATCCTCGGAATCAGAAGGAGATGAACCTCCTCAAGAAGATTCAGGTTCTGAGGAAGATGTCAGAGAGGAAGAGGAAGATGAGGAGGATGAAGAGTAGCGGTGATTGAAGTAGCAGTTAGTAGCATATTGTTATAATACAGTTTATTTCAATATTTGTATATTATCCAGCTTTATATATGCAGCAGCTTTCCGTTAAGTTGGAGCTGAATGATCCAATTAGAATACAGATCATTGTTGCCTTTTTTTTCTCGTTTTATTATTATTAAGTGAGAAAAGGTGTGTTCGCATTATGGCTCTATACTTCTTCTTTAGTAACGACCTCGCTTGCGATCATCATCACGTTGTGTTGAAGTTGCACTGCGCTTTCTACTTGCTTCGTCCTCACGATCCCATCGCTCCTACACAATGGGTCCAAAAGACATTAAGCAAAAGTGAGTATATATATATTATTATATATATATATATACACATATTTTTCAAACAAGATATGGCCACCTTCAGCGGCGGGAGAAGTTTATTACCTTATCCTTTTCAGCTTGCGACCTGTCTCTACTACTGCTGCCACTACTTCCACCTCCGCCGCGTCTATCATCTCTGTCCGATCGATCAAACCGGTCAGAACGATCTCGATCTGATCGATGGTCACGATCACGATCTCTCTCACTCCTTGAACTACGCTCTCGACTGCTCGATAGTCGACTGCTGCTGCCACGATCACTGCCTCGATCTCGGTCACGGTCACGGTCGCTGGTACCGCGATCCCGATTATAATCACGGCTATGGTCTCGATCACGATGATCGCGGTCACCACGATTACTGTTCTCTCGAGAATCCCTCTGCTCACGGTCATGGCTACTACCTCGCTGCGGGCTTGCACTGCGCCGGTCACTACGCCGATCATCATGATCGTCTCGATCGCCTGATTTCCCTTGTTGATGGCTACCGCCCCCACCTCCACTCATTGGTGACATCTGTCCTCCTAAGGGTGTATTTTGATGAGGATTGTTCATGCCTTGGTTGAATTGAGACCTCCCGCCTTGGAATCCTGGCCCTCCACCTCCAGGCCCACCGAAATTACCAGGGTTTTCCCATTGATTCATATTAGGTCCGCCTGGCCCAACGCGTTGTGGTTGTGGTCTAAAGCCATCCGGTCCCTGCCCCATGCTCGGACTACCTCGTCCACGCCCAGCTCCACCGCCCATCATACCGCCTCGCATATTGAGTCCGCCAGCTCCACGCCCGCCGCCTCTGAAATTACCCTGAGTAAAGTTGCCAGATCCGTCTCCACCACCAAAAAATGGCGACCCTCCCGCTCCTCCTCCTCCTCCTCCTCCTTGCTGGAATTCGTTCTGGAATTGATTAGGACCATCCCCAAATTGCTGATCATCGCCTCCACTAGCTGAGATGCTACCATTCCTCTGAAATGTCGGGCTTCTATCATTGCGTCCTGTATTGTCATGATCGCCCCCGGGACTACCATCCATAGTATTGCCGCGACCACGCCCTGCGCCTCCAGGACCTCCTCCAACTCCCATTCCTCCTATGGGGCCGTTAGGGCCTCCAGGGCCAACCATAAATCTGACACCGGGACCACCACGTCCTGCACCAGGGACTCCGCCATGTTGGTTCATAGGGTTCATCATAGGCATACCATTCATTCCCATTCCTGGTACAGGCATTCCTCGACCCATCATGTTAGGGATTCCGCCCATACCCATACCCATCCCTGGCATGGGTGGCATTCCTGGTAGTGGTAGTGGCATCATTCCAGGTGGAAGCCTTGGCAAGCCGGCCATTCCAGCCATACCCATTGCAAGTTCAGGTGCCAATTCCATTAATGCTTTTGGATCCACATCAATCCCCTAAAAAATATATGCATAAAAATTTGACCCGAATGAGGAACAAAAAAAAAAAAAAAAGAAAAAAAGAAAAGAAAAAGACAGTTCGAGAAGTCTGCAAGTGTTTTTCTTCTTACAGCGAATGGATTGTCGCGCATCATTTTTTGCTTTTGACAATAAGCTCTCCAGGTGCCCTCATTAAATCCATAGTTGAAGTAATCTGTTAAGTCAGCGCCAGGTTTCCTCCACGGCTTGTCTTCAGCACCATCTAAATCCACATCATACAGTTCGACACCGTCAATGGATCCTACAGCATTAATATCCACACCGCCTGGTTTGGTTGCTCCACCTGATACCGCATCACCAGTTCCATTTGCATTGGTTCCTGTGCTCGCTCCTGATTTTGTTGGCACATTCGTCTTGATATTTACAACAGTTTGTCTAAATAGATAATGAGAGTACAAAAAATGAAAAAAATGAAAAAAATGAAAAAAAAAAAAAAAAAAAAAAAAAAAAAAAAATAGAGGAAAGAAAAGAATAAGATTACTATATTAAAAGAATTTAGTTTACTTTGATGGCCCTGTAGTTTCTCTCCTGCTCTCCTCACTATCCATGACAATCTCGATATCCTAGAAAAAAAAAAAAAATAAAATGAAATAAAACACGATCATATAAGAATACAGAAAGTACATGGGGAAGTGGAAAGGAGTTTTGGTAGTATAGATCACGAAAGACGATCGTGCTGGTTAGTAATTTTTTTTAATTTTTTTATAAAAAAGACTTACTGATTCACTATCTTCTTCAGATTCCTCGTCATCATCCTCTTCTTCAGCATCTTCTTCACCATCTCCAGCTTCGCTTTGATCCTCATTATTGCTCGTTTCTGTTCCTGTTCCTGTTCCCCCAGCTCCAGCTTTCTTATTTGTCGAACTACTGCCGTCTGTTTTTGCTGCTTCTTCTTCTGCTGATTGTGTAGCTGAGGTTGTTCCAGACGTGACTCGAACCTCGGTCGAACTAGATGAAGTAAAAAGATTAAGCGCATTCCCAAGGAAGAAAGGAAAAGGTAAATAAAGGTGATTCCAAGGTTCTGCACGCTCTTCTCATTTTCTTTTCCTTTTGTCTTTTTTTTTTTTTTTTTTTTTTTTTTTTAAAAAAAAAAAAAAAAAAAAAAAAGGAAAACATACTTGGATCCCCCGCCTCCTACACCATAAAGGTCGAAAGATTCTGTATCTTGTGCTAATAAGAAGATGGCGTTAAAATCGGTAAGAGCGATCATATTAGTTTCATTTGATAAAAAAAAAGATTATGGAGAGCTTTGTTTCCCACCTCTCTCCTTTTCGCCATGGAAAAAAAACTCATGTGGCTAACCTTCTATTGTTGGAGTAGGTACATTTGTAGGTTCTGATGAGCCGTACAGAAATTCGTCATCGTCCATGTCATCTGGTATGTTGGAACTCATGGTAGTATGTAAGGTATTTATTTTATTTTTTGAAGCAATCCGTTTATGTGTTCCCGTTAATTTAGCAGAGAAAAATGAGGCTATAACCAAAAAAAAAAGAGATTGAAAAGGTCTTTTTCTTTTCCTGAATCCAGATCCTGCTATGGTTGATGTCGTTCAAAACTTAAAGTGTCTAAGTTGAACAATATCCCTTCTCCCTTCTTGTACTGCACTTGACCCAAGGTCGCGAGCATTCATGCGTTTCACATAAGCCACACAGACTTCTGAAGTGGAAGACAATAGTCACATGATCAAAACTAAAGCAGCCCAAAATTCTAGCTAGGACATACGATTGGCTGAGATTGTTCGCCGGATATCGAGCACACATCACGCTGAAAATACTGAGTCACTACATCAAATGCTCCAGGAAAAAGGTTTCCATGAGATGTGCGTGACCAAGAATACATCGGAAGCTGACAAGCACAATATAGTCAAGAATATCAACAGTCGCATGGCTAACCTTGACTACTTTATCAATACTCCTAGTATCTCGGCGGGTATTGATTACAATGTCAGGGATCATGTAAACTATGTTGTAGGATTCTTCAGCACTCATAGTAAAGTCAATGTGGAGACATGTAGACAGATAATGCAGTATGTCAGGCATGTCAAGTCCTACACGTACCTGGCTCACGTCGATAGAGCCACAAATAATCCACCAACTTCAGTCCTAGGTGTCCGCGATTGGATTATCAACTAGTACAGCATTATGAAATGCGAAAAAAGAGGGTTTTTAGGACTTAAATTACATGCCAGCTATGGAGAAGCCCTCACGCTAGTTGAGGATGACTTCTACAATCAACTGTGTATCCGCATACATATCAAGGAGAACTTATCGTTGAATGGCTTTATACAACGGTTCATACAGCAGATGGCGGATGCTGTTACGTACCGAGGCTTGGGGGTAATAAGATGTATGAGACAGAAGAGTTGTTGAAGCTTAAAGTATTAGACTTGTTGTGGGATCGCAAGCGCATCTGGGATAGTCATTTTTCCTTTCAAGAGACTTCCTCCGGATGAACAGCTTCAACTCCTTTGCGCTACTGTTATAGCATTATCTGCTACTTGGCCCGCGGGAGCAGTGCTGCTGGCTCCAACGGAACAGATGTGTCTGTTTAAGGACGTCAAAAGCCACTGTTTTATCTTCATTCACCAGAAAGAACATCCTTCGGCTCGCCACCAGCCTAAATTCCGTCCTCAGGCTGGTGACGGTTCTAAAATTTATATCGTCCCTGGATTTAGGAAATAAAAAAAGAGGCGGCGTATGCGATTTAAAAAAAATGTTGGCTCACGTAAAATATCGAGTTTGGTCTCAGGCCAAAAAAAAAAAAAAAAAAAAAAAAAAAAAAAAGAGTTCAAGTATATATTTATTTTATGTATTTATTATGAGAAAAAAGGAGGAAATGAAATGAAAAGAAATAATAAAGAGAATGCTATTATAACTATGTAGCTGTTAATCGTTCGAAGTATCTGCACCAACACCTATTGCTGCAACGCTACTTATATTTCCGTCACCGTTATCATTATCCTTGCGCTGGGGCTGAGCAGACTTTTGATGCTTGACCCTTGCCTTTTCCTTCTCCTCTTCCTCTTTGGTGTAACGAGGGTTTTCAGACTGCATTAACGAATGAACTTCATCTAGAGATAAAAGGGACAGATCTCTAGCAGAGAGATGCGACTGGACCAATGGGTAATTGTTCTCCGAGAAAATCCACTCTGCAGGCACAGGGGCCCTCGCTGCCACCATTGAATCAACCTCGGCTTGGATCACCTTGCAGAAATCATCCAGTGGCAAATCATTGTAATCATCATTAAACGGATTTTCGATCTCATAACCTATACCCAGAATACCAAGCAAAGTAAAAGCAGCCAACATCGTGGCTGGAATCATGACAGCACCCATGTTAGATACGAGTTGGAAAGGAAGAGCGAGGAGATAGATCCAAGTGGCATGATGCAGGTGAATTGAATAAGCCAAAGGGATGGGTGTACGGAGAATGCGTTCAAATCCTGTTAGGCAGTCCATCATTGAGACAAGAGCATTGTTCATCACGGTCACGGAGGAAGCGTCAATCTTGCCTTTGTTACTGCAGCTCTTAATATAACTTCCAATGTAGTATGACAATTCCACAGGAATATTGGTGGGTGTCAAGAGGTCGAAGGCGAGCGCTTGCTTAGATCTGACTTCTCGACGAGCAAACATTCTACTGATGAATCCTGATGGTTTTTGTTGCTGTTGTTGTCGTACTTGTACCTGTGTAGGGGAAAGATTCTGCAAATCTTCTGTAGGGATATCGATGCGCCACTCCATAGGTTGAGTGGAGGTAGGGATTGAGTATTTAGGAATATGAGAGAGAAGCTTGATCATGTCATCATAATTGTAGCCGTATTCATCACGCAGGTAATGCTTTGTTGCAAATGCAAAAGCTACAAGGAGGTTAATGGCTGATTTCTTTTCAAGCAAGTCGCGGGTTTCGGTTTCTTGTACGCAGACCCAAATAGTACGAGTCAAATTACGGATACAGAGCGTCATTTGAGACCAAAGACGACGACCTTCCCAGTAACGATCGTAGGCTAATTTGGAAAAGGGAAAATAAAAGTAAAATGAAATAAAATTATTGGCATGAGAATGCCCTATTAATGCATGTGATGGTGGCACAAGCATGCTCTAACCGTCTTTTTATTTCGTATGAAGCCACACGAATCACGAATCAATGTCAATTGAGAGTGTTTTTACTTACCAGTGTTGGTTCTGAAGACCAGTAAGAGGGAGACAACCATGCCCATCACTGAAACGAGACTCTAGATTGTGGGGAAGGAGTTCATTTAGGCGCGAAGCATAGTTTCAGTATATCAATTAGTCAAAAAAACAATATTTACCCTTAAGCAGCGATCAAATTCACAATGACTTACAAGTGAGTATGGCATTTTCCAGCTGCTAAACCTGAAGATGAGATAGACAATAGCTGAGAAGAGGCCGATGAGGAGGAGCTGCCGCCAGATGGCAAGGATGACAGTGCCCTTGAGTCGCAACATCAAAGGCCGCCTACTACTCACATGGACGGTAGTACCATACTTGCGAGGCATATTGGCAATATTTTTAAGAATGAGATGTAAGTGTAAGTGGGTAAAATACAGAGAATGAGACACAGAAAAAAAGATGAAAAGTAAATAAGAAGGAAATAGAGCAAAGTAAAGGTAAAAAGACAAATAGAAAGGGTGAAGAAAGAGGGAGCAAATAAAGAGAAGAAGAGAGGGATACGCGAGAAAAAAGTAGTAAAGTAAAAGTAAAGATGGGAGGACAAGTAGAAATAAAGAAGAAAAGAGAGTAGAAGAGAGTGGAGAAAATGACGTTGGCAAATGGTGAGAGGACGATGTGAAGCGCGGTTTGTCCGTTAGCGATGGAGTGGTTTTTAATTTGAAGGCAGCGAATCGCATTGCGCCCAGAATTAAGCTTGAACAAATCGTATTGAAGCCGTTAAAGAAGAGATGAACAGATTGCTGCCTTTCTTCCTTTCGCCCTGTGTATCACCGATTTTAGCTGCATATCAACATGGGAAATACAATGTTGAGTCTCCGCACTGCCCAAGGGATGCGATAGGCAATGATTTACCTTCTAACCGTTTATAGGTTGTGTGCGCGGGAGTTTATTCTACACATAAACATGAACTACTATTTGTCATTGTAGTTGTTGTTTTTGCCACCCTTGTTTCTCGTTCCTGTCTGTTCAATTGCTATGACCGAAGACATTGAGCCCTCCAAGATAAACAAAGTGGTTTAGACTGTAGGCGTATACGAAATCGACATGTTCATCATAAGGCATGAATGGTCTCTCGCAGTTAAACATTACACAAAGTGTTGCTTGAGGACTAAAAATGATCCATGGATATCGATGCCCTCTTACCCAGCATCGCCTCTTTTGTCTCTTGCTCTCATCCCCATTCTCACTCTCAATGTTTAAGTTTCGTTCCTTTCGTTACTCCGGAAAAGTTGAAAGAACACATATGCTTTTTTTTTTTCCCTTTACAGAACCATCAGCCCACCTATTATTCGCCCATATAAACATCGTCGCAAAAAAAACCTGGGACCTTGACCAATGTGGTCCCAGCCCAATCAGGCGAGGAAAGAAGGTACGGATACTTGAACAAAGACAGGAAAGAAGGATGCTTTTCTTTATTCGACCAAAGAGGGAATGAATGAAAACGGAAAAACTCAGCTGTAGAGACTTTACGAAATTTGAAGAGATCGTTGTCGAGTCTTTTTGGCCGAATTGAAAAACTGCGTTGCCGCAGTTTATAAATTGTTATCCTTGACTGCAAAATAAAAGAAAAATGGAGCCATTCCATTCACAAAGCCAATCGACAGGTCAGAGGATCTAATATAATGTGTGCTATGGCCGTGATTTGATGCTTTCGGACTAGCACACAAGCAATAGTTTTTTTTTTTTTTTTTATTTTTTTTTTTTTTTAAATAAATAATAACCGAAGCGCTCTTTATTAAAAAAAAAAAAAAAAAAAAAGTCAATGATAGGAAGCTAAATAGCTCAGCAGGTGACAATGCGTTCTCTTGCAATGCACTAAGCAATCCTTTTTACCGGCCAGGATCCCATTGTAGACGTCCAACTCGAGGATATCTCTCGCGCTTTTCATTGAGCTTTAAGGCAGCAAGCGTGACACGACCTTGACAAATTGTCAAAAACGTTGTCATCTTCAATAAGGATTGAATCTTAATTTGAATCTGAATCTGGTTCTGATGTTGATAATGATATTGAAGTTGGAACCAAAATCCGGATCGATTTTGATGTATGGAGCGATTGGCGGCGGCTGTGAGGGCTATTGAGTGCTTTCCAAAAGACATAGCAACAGAAACAAAAAGAGCTACGATAATAAAGGCAATGGCAATTTTGGTACTTCAATAAGACATGACGCTCTTAGGTCCCGCATATCGCTCAGATGTCTGCATTGCTGAAGCAACTGTCTTGAATCTGCCTCGAATCCTGTCTAGAAGAGCAATGATGTCGTCATCCAGCGTGTTTTGGCGTGGAAATGAGTTGATCAGATCAAGCAGTGAGCCGATTTTCTTCAATGTTCTTGAAAAAAGAAAAATAAGAAATAGATATAATTAGAGCTTTTAAAACTAATAAAATGAAATGAATAAATAAAAAACAACAACGATGAACTTACTTCTCCGAGATGCGTTCAGGATCTAGCAGAGCGAGACTTTTCCACACTTTAGCACATCCAGCATAGTAGCCGATCTCACGAGAAAATTCAAAACCCTTTTCGCAACCCATGACTCTTCCTTCAATAACTCCGTTTCGCACTCCTGCAATTAGCCCGTCCTCGCGACCATACTCCACAAACCTATGGAATTTAAAAGAAGTTCGGAGTATGAGTTAAGAGAGGTAGCAATAAATTGTAAATAAAGGATTTAAACTGATCAGATGTATTTTAGCATCTTATTCCACTGTATTCTCCATATTCATCGACCTACATATTCTCAAGATGAACTAAGTTGTCAAGATCCAACTCCTTGGGTAATTGTTGTTCAGCATCCATTATGTTTTTTTTTTTTTTTTTTTTTTTTTTTAGTAAACGTGCTTATGCAATTCAGAAATGAAAGAAGGAATACAGAGTTGCTGTGTTGTTTGTAAACTGAAAGCAGTCATGAATGTCAAAAAGATGAATGCTTACTCTTTTTTTCTCCTTCCATCGCCCCTTCACTGGGATGAAAGATCAATGGTCGCGTCTCCGCCCGAGTCTGACTCGCACGAGAATATCGCTACTATTTCATGGGAAGCCTTTGAACCAAATAGAACCGAGTTTTCAATAACTGCTACGCCAGTAGATACAGAGAACAGCAGCTCTTCAACACACATACACAAAGACACAAGCATTGGGACGGGAACAGGAACAAATTTCCATGGTTATCTCTATACGCTCGATATCTCACGCATCCAGCGGCTCTTACGACCTATAAAAGCAAAGCTAGCTGCTCTTCACCTCGAAATTAAAAGCTCACCTTCCTTAGGATTGACACCTCCTTTAACACCAAGTAATGTTACCGACTCGACAATAGAATCGAGTTCCACTTATGAAAGCGATTATGACGGCAATTATAGTATTGACGACAATAGCAATAATTATCAATCTTTCCCTCAAAATCATCAAAAAAACCCCCGTCACCCTATGTCCTTCACTCGATCGTCACGCAATTACTATCTTCAACAAAAGCAACGACAGCAACAACAACAACAGGATCGATGCCATCGTTATGTATCATCATCGCCATCCTCACCACCCTTCTTAAGACTCATATTGTTGGGGGATGAAACGAATCCAAAGGGCTCAAAAAGCGATTTACAAGCTAAGATCAATGGACTTGTCAAACGCTTTCAATCATCTTTTCAAAACCAATTTAAGGATGTAGTCGAAAAAGTATGGTGGCAACCATTCTGTGAAAACCATAACCTCCCATTTACGTCGAATGAAAATGTGTTTTCTGAAGTGGGTTATACACCTTGCAGTACCCTGACACTGGGAGCCATCAGTGCATTTTCAATTGGAAGAATTGTAGCCCGAATCCCTGACAGCAATTCAATTCTAGTGGAGAGATATTACAGCGTCATGCCTGCTTATATGCGCAGGTAAGGGGGGAGGGTTTGTCTCAAATACTTATCAGGCTTCGAAATGTTTATTCAGCAATACTACTACTAATAAAACTTGTTTCAACCAAAAGTCGCCAGTATAAATCATTAATTTTCTTCTTATCTTTTGATGATATAGATTTGCATTGCTTGAGCATCTTGTTGAGTTATGCATCACTCAGATACCGATTGGAAATTTGATTTTGCCACTTGTCAATATCTGCGTCAGATATAGGGCAGATTACCAGGTATTGTTCACAGATGTTATGTACTTATTTCATCAACCAGTCGTGTCCATTATTTCCATTTATTATTAAACATATACTCCTTTTTTTTTTTTTTTTTTTTTTCAGGTGTTGCGGTTACTTGAGTGCTTAGTAGCTATCCAAGACAGAACATTTCATCTGGATTTGTACTGGGCATACAAGGTTACATGCAGTATCGATTGTGGAGAGAGCTGGATCAACATTCTATCGGGTATGGTAACGACGGCAATAGCAGTGGCGGGCACCGCGAATAGTGGCGTCAACGTGAAAGCTAAAGCCGAAACTAGATCCAAAACCAAAGCCACAGAAGCTAAAGCCAACAACAACACCAACAATCTTCCTTTTTTTATAACAGATCGTTTTCAAAGCTTTCTCGATCAGATTTTGCCACATCATCGTGCGATCCTTATCCAAACATTGTTTAATGGGCTTATGGATCAAGCGCCGTCATCAGCACAATCATCATCACTACAAAACCATCATATTGTGCGTATCATCACCGACAGGATGAACAGATTATGGGCTCCTTCATTAATTGAAAATTCATTACAGCTCTTAGAAAATGTCACAGCAGGTGGCTCAGCAATGGTAACAACGGCAATGGCGATGACAAAACAACAGAGTGTAATATTGGAAAAGTACCGCGAGGTGATTGAAAATGTTGCAAAGCCTCTAATAATGAGAACCACTGAGGAGAAGGACCAGGTTGATGATAATGACTGTATAAGGAAGCAATGTAGAGGTGCAGGACTTGCTTTAGCTCTTCATTCATTATACCTTGCAGTTGTGGTGCCTTTACCATCATCATCAGCTGCCAATCATAGTAAATGGAAAAACGATGAGGGCAAAAAAGAACAAGAGTGGGTTGATTTGTTGATGGGAAGCCAATTTTGCTATTCCAGTGAACACCATATTCAATCGGAAGACTTTGATGTGGTGATCCAATCCTACAGAAGTCCCTTGAACCTTAATGGATTGGCAGTTGTCTTGGATGCGGCCGGATTACATATGTTTGCCATAAAGTTGATTGAACGAATCTTAAACAGCTATCCCAGCTTGCGCGGATATTCACGAGATGGCTTTTCTGAATATGAATCCAATGTAACGAGTACAGATCTGAAGTTATTTTTGCAAGAAGTGAAAGGAAGACAGGCTCGAAAAGAATTCGAAGATTTGTGGTAAGATGGGGCTACTGCCCTTCACTTTTTTATTATTATCATTACTACAATCCTCCCTCATTAAGTTTTTTAAAACCTTCATCTCTAGGCAATACGACGAATTACTTGGTGACTGGGTTGAGCGTGTTGATCGTGTTAAGCGTGTTGATCGTGATAGCTCTGTCAATGACGATGACGAATCAAGGACTCTCAGCTTTGGAAGTACGAGTGACAGTGATGATAGTAGCAGCAGACCAAGGGTTACAGGAGCAGAAGTAAAAGCGGCGAAATCAAATACAAAAGCAAACTTGAAATCAAAGGTTGAAACGCAACTCCGGCATCAGCCCTACACCTCACGCCAGCCGTTATCGCCCTTAAAAGGAAAGAAGTCCTATCAGAGCCATCGACCACAAAGAAAAAAACATTTCATCATCTCTTCAGAAACAGAGCCAGAGCCAGAATCAAGACCAGAACAAGATTACTGCGCTAAAAGCAATGGTGAAGGTAGCAATGATAGCGATGACGAAAGCGAGTGTTACGTCAATCATGACTACGATATCAGGGATGATGATAGTAATGATATTGACTACCGTAGCAGCCAGGATTGGCATAGCTCATCATCATCATCATCAGACATCAATAAAGCACAGTTTGTGCGATCAACCAAATCCCTATTCAACTCTCGTTCTCGCTTTCAAACTCGTTCCCGTTTATCATCGTTATCAAGACTAGGGCATAGACCAGGGCATAGACCAGGGCATAGACCAGGGCATAGACCAGGGCATAGACCAGGGCATAGATCAGGGTATAGGCTAGAGTCAGAGTTTGGGTCAGGGCCAGAGTCAGAGTCAGAGTCAGAGTCAGAGTCAGAGTCAGAGTCAGAGTCAGAGTCAGAGTCAGGATCAAACTTTAAGTCAAGCTCAAGCTTGGATTCGCAGCATAGTTGCCCCAATATTTCAAAGAAACGTTCACAGATACGATCTATAAAATTTGAGACAGCATGCAAGAGGCGAAGAACTGTAGACGACGGTGATGACGATACGAATGAGCTTACTGTCGCCAGTACCATGAGTACTATCATTTATGATAGTGTGCTTGAGGCCTCCGAATTTGAGGAGGAGGATGGAGAAGTGGAAGGGGAGGACGACTGGATTCAGACTCAAGAAGAAACCGATGAAGAACCTAGTGTGAAGGACAGCTCTCATTACGAGGAGAATTGAGCTAGGAAAGGCGAAGATGAAGATGAAGATGAAGAGGGAGAGGGAGAGGAAGAAGAGCTGGAAGGCATTAAGACGAATAGAAAGAGGGGCTCGTTTCATGTGAACTCACCCCACTCCATGACAAGGACAAAACCAAACGAGCTTGCTTTCTGGATTTGAGCATCTTTCATTGTGAATGACAATCAAGAAGATTAATTGCATTTTTTTTAATGCAGATTTACTTCGCTACTTTTTATCATATTGTACTCATTACTAATATATTAAGTTGTATTTGTATTACAAAATAAAAATAAAAAAAACATCTTAAACATTCGAATCTTCTTCTCCCCATGTACCGACCGTAGCAGCTGTAGCAGCAGCAACAGCGCAAGAGTAGATGTCTGAAGGAGATGTAGTAGAGAGTGTCAGACCAGGCTCAAACTTTTGTAAAAAATCATCACTCTCATTCACTACATGTTGTACATCAGCAGCTACAACCGCCACATTGGCACTGGTTCGATCATATGATACAACATTTCCATCAGGTCCCATGGGTATATAGTGATGATGACCACTAGGCTGTGACGACGAAGTGGGAGAAGAGAGTTCAATCGGTAGCAGGACATCTGAAAACGATGATGAGAGTAAAGTTGATGCTGTAGAATCCAATGGAGGCGTTCCCGGTCGGGAAGAGTTGGCGACAACATTTTCAGAATCGAGTTGTTTATGGTTCCGATATTGGTGCTGATTCTGGAGCCGAAGCTCTTGCTGAATCCACAAGGAATCACTAGCTGGATCAAATTCGAGATCCAGTCCCAACCCTTCAGTAAGCTCTATGGGCGACGATGACAGTATTGGATCTGACGAGAGCAGCGACAAAGGCTGTTGATCTATCACAGTAACAGCTCCTTCATCTTGTTGGCTAACTGATGTTACCGTCGTTGGGGTTGGAAACCAGCCATACAGATTGGCTGTTATTGCATCATTTGTTAGTAGATCCTGTCCAGCAAGATCAGATTCGGGCGTGCCTAGAGCGGGCTGCTGTGTTCCATATACGTCATAGTCGTCTCCAGCCTCAGAATACAGTAGGCGATCAATCTCAGATTCGTCCAATTCCGTCTCGTCTCCTTGATCCGACTGATCGTCATCGTCGTCATCATCTTCCTCCTGTCCAAGCTCATCATCTGCCCCCAATTCACCTCGGCCGATTTCTTCCAGGACATCGGGCTGCTGACTACTACTACCCATAGGAAATACCATTGTTCCAAAATCAAAGTCTGGCTGCGGTGCTGTGTTAACTGAGAAGCCATTACCGCAAATATCCTCCGTTCCCAGATCCGACATCCACTCATCAAAACAACTCAAGAAATCTGTATTCACCTGCGCAGTGTCCAAAACCTCCGATGTGTCTGTCACAGATACAGATGTAGGCACGGGCATGGGCGTGAGTACAGGTGCCTCCACAGGTAATGATGTTATTGCAGGAGAAGAAGATAGTGTTATGGCTGTAGTAGCAAAGTCAGTTGTGCCTGTATTCACAGACAAGTCTGTAGAGCCTTCTTCTGTCAGACTGGGCAGAGTAGAAATGGCGATAGGATCCGTCTCCGGGGGTTTTGAAGGGGTTATTATAGAAGATATGGTGGTTGGAGGCAGCATATCATCCTTGGGGGCCATAGAGGATGGACGTTGCCTCTTAAATGCTTTGATCAAAGACATCTGATCGGCGATAAAGTCCGCATCCCTATTTATGGAGACTAATTGTTGTCGGCCTAATATTGGAGATGATGGAGGCGATAGTTGGTTTTCCTTGTCATCAAAAGCTGCGTGAGCCCGCTTGTTCCTACTGTTGATGTTGTTGCTAGTATTATAAGGAAGTGGTGTGTTTTTGGCCATTGTTAGGGCAGGGGAAACAGCCGTTAAAAAGGAACGCGTCTTGGTAGGTGTGGAAGATCGTGCCGATGCCAAAATGTTTTCAGTACTTGGAGCCTTCTGAACTGGGTTCAAAGGCTTCTTCTTTTTTGGTGTCATAAGCAAAGAAGGTCCTTTAAATGGAGATAAGGTTGAGAGAAGCGAGTTCTTATTTGTGGCGGTGGTAGTCGCTCGTGATGATGCCGAAAGAAGTTCTCGCTTTCGTTGCTGATTTTGCTGCTGCTGTTGTTGTTGTCGTTGCAATTTCTGTCGGGATGGCGAAGCTTCTAGACGGCGTTGTCTATCCTCCTCTTCTATTTGATGTTGTTGTAGTTGAAGCAACAGTTGTTTACGCTTTTGCTGCTGCAATTGCTGCTGTTCTAACTGCCGTTGCCTTCGAAGTAGTTCCTGCTCTTTTAGCCGATTCTGCTGAAGCTTTTTTTGTTGACGTAGACGATGTTCTTCTAATTCTCTTTGCTGCTGTTGCTGCTGTTGCTGTTGTATCAGCTGCCGGAGCTCATCTTTTAATGCAGATTTGAGTTCGCTATTGGTATCAAACGTATTCCTCCGTTGAATCTCCATCTGTCTTGGTCTGGGTGCTGGATTGATAGTTGAGTTCTCGATATATGTAAATTTGTCTACCACCTTTAACGATGATGGTGATGGTGATGGTGATGGTGATGGTGATGGTGATGGTGATGGTGATGGTGATGGTGATGGTGATATGGGCGGTGATGCTCTACTACTAGTAAGTAGAGCCCTAGGAGCTCCAGGTGATAGCGTAGACCTGCGAGATGTAGTTCTAAGGTAACCTAAGTCATTACCTACTAACGAAGTTTTCTGGTGAGATGATCTTTGGGCGTGAACCCTCTGAAAGGCTAACTGTTGCTCCGTTTGCATCTGTTGTAGTTCCTGAAGCTGCTCAAGTTGTTTCTGTTGAAGCTCTTCTAGCTGAAGCCTCTGATGCTCAAGTAGTTCTTCTTGGGTCATGGTCAGTGTAGGAAGATCGGGGTCTAAAGTTGCCTTAGCTGGTACGCGACGCATAGGCGGCCGAGTCAGTGTAGAAAGGCGAATATCAATCTCATCGCCGTCATCTGAACATGTATCATCATCATCAGATAAAAACTTCAATTGACGCCTAACGCGGTTTTTGACGGGGGTTTTCCATGGTATAGGCAGGGAATGAGACCCAATTAAAATTGGTTGGTCCCGATCATCTGTTTTCTTAGAATGTGGCGTTTTTCCTGTTTCAACAGCCTTGCTCGGGGAAATAGGGATTCCAGGGGATGCTGTACGGCTAGAACGACTCGGCGTGACCAATGTTTGATTCGTATTAGCCGTTGTTACTTTCGATGGAGTAGCACAAGGTTTATTGTTTGTCTTAGACAAACTCCGAGATACTTTTGCATTATCAGCTTCAGAACTATCTTCAAGACTTTCTTCGAAAAGCTCTGCAACCATGTGCAGAGGTTGCTCTTCTAAACCTCTGTTAACTTTGTAATGCGCGTAGGCAAGCCGCGATCGCAATACGCGTAGGTGCTGTTGTCCAAAATTTTTAAGATAGTGACGTATACAATAAGGAGGGACTAAAAAGTCAGAACAATCACAGGTAATATAGCAAGACATAACATATTAAGGAAGGCATAATAAAGGCTTCAAGTATTACAAACCTTAATGATAGCTGTCCTGTTCATGACACGTCGAGTGGCCTCCAAGTCCCGCATCTCATTTTCATCTTTGATTTGAGCAGCCAAGAGTGCAGCCTGCTGTCGCAGGATTGTCTTTTTATACTGTCTTTTCGGTGGTGCTCCAGTCGGTATAGTGCCTTCCGCAGATGTGGCGGCTGCTGCTGTCCCTGAAGACGATGTTACTGTAGATGATGAAGCAGATGTGTTGGCAACAGTCATTGTCGGTGTGGGAGTGGGAAAATTCTGTTTGGTTTTAGCCTTGTAAGGCCCCCGCGGCCGTGTAAGCGACGATTCTGGACCCGCAACTGGGGCCTGAAATGGATTGGGCAACTCTTTTAGCCCATTCGCGATATCATTTGAGTCAATATTGGTTGTCTCGTCCCCATCTCTAGTTTGTTGTTGTTTCTGTGGCTTCATAGTGTCTTGAGTATTGGGCTTATCGACTTTATCCAGCTGTTTTGAATGAGCGTGGCTGTCTAATGCTTGTTTCATATCAGTTTGGGGCCGTTGTTCCTTCAGTTGTTGTTGTTGTTGTTGATGCTGCTTTTGATGTTGTCTTTGAAGACATTGTCGTTGCAAGAGTTGTTGTTTTTGGACATGGCTTTCTAGGAGTGCAGTGAAATCGTTGGACGAAGTGAGTGCGCATAAATCCGATTCATCCAAATCACTATCATCGAAGCTGTATTCGTGTTCACTATTGTCTTCATCCTCATCATAGTCAAGCACAAGTTGGTTGTCATCGGGATGAGACGCAGTCACAAAGGGCGAAGGTAGGTGTGAATGTTGATTATGTGCGAGAGTGTCGCGCCTATTTGGCGGTGATGGTTGTTTCATGCGTCGGATAGGTGTCCTTATTCTTGAGGCAGAGGCATGTGCCTTGGCTGCATTAGCAAGAAGCGCATCAAGAGCTAGGAGTGTGCTTGAGTGCTTTGAGCTTGAGTCTGGGCCTGGTCCCGACCCTGACATAGACATGATGATAGAATGACGGTTAGTGAATAAAAAGATGAATATTCAACCTTAATATGGATGTCAATCGATAAATCAGCGTATGTGTGGGAGCAAGATAAAGTGAAATAAAATGTTTGTGATAGAGAATGAGTAACTGAACAAGTAGTTAAATGGTGGAAGGAAAGGAGTGGAAAAAAAAAGGTCGTAACAAAGTGTTGATTGGATCTCGCGTTGAAGGAGTTTTTTTCGTTTTAGTTTTGCCTTCGTGCTGGGAATGAACTTAGAAACGCGAATTAAACAGGGCAGGAGTGGCTTATAATTTTTACTCATCAAGGCTTGCTCTTTCTCTTCCAAGTTCAATTAAAATGTTGGCGCCGAAGGGTGAGGGTATCGTAAATCTGTCTCAAACATTTGGCTCACCTAGAAAAGCTCCGGGATAAAAAGACGTAAACCCACGGAGGCTACAGGCTCAAATGAGACTCCAGGATGAGCAGTATTTTTTTTTCTGGACCAGCTTTTCCTCACTGAGAGGGTAGGAACTTGAGAAAAGACGGCAAATGCAGCGTTACTAAATAGAGAAAGAAAAAGGAATGAAGAAATAATTTGCCTTGAAAGGCTGCCCACTCGAGAAATGCAGCGGGTCATGGCAATTTTCCCGAACTGCCACTGATAGTAATAAAGATCACTTTCTCTGTTGAAAGTAAAAGTAGTGTTCGTCGTGCTATAGTCATGTAGACTTGGCTAAATAACGTAGACTATCGTATTTATCTAATAGTCAATTTCGCCATGTGCTTCCCTCTTTGGCTCGCTTTAGCAACAAAAACACTGATGAACGTTTGCAGGAGCTTTCCTTCGTGCCCAGGAAAGCCCCCGAAAGGATCTGATACATATTTATTCTTTTTAATATTAGCACTATACGCTCTGGTTTATCTACTGCTTGGAGCCCTATAAAGCAAAAAACATCCTCCTGTATGTTGCTTTCCACCATATCCTTCCCGATAGATGTTATATAGATGGGTCTTTAGGCCAGAATCTGGTTCAGATTCATAACTTAAAGGCACACTTTCAGGGGGAGGGGGATTTAGTAATATGTCGGCATATTGGTCATTGTTTACTTTTAAGCTGAATTTTGGTAGTATTCGCCCCTCTATACACGACCATAAAGTTACCTTGACTCGATACTGTGCGCTCTAATAGTTCAGCACCGTGGTCCTCAACGAGCTCTGGGGAGTATGAATGGAATAAGTAGAAGCATAAAACAGATAATGGTCCTAATCGGCTTCATATTGTACATGGTCTAATACTCTAGGCACACGTGCTATACCAGGACTATCCACCCCAGCGGTCAAGACTGGACTTCGTCATCAGGGGGATTTGCCTTAAAAATTTATCGACTTATCACAACAATCAATTGTGAGAGAGAATCGGGGAGCAATCACTACCTGTCAAGGCCTACAGTCCTGGCCACTCGCTTTGAAGGCTCTACTGATGCTATGGAGGATCTTCAATGTTGTCTCCTGATAATAGTGGATCACTATAGCTACTGTCTTTGTTATAGTTCCCCGTCTCACTCTCCCAAGCATATAGGCGCTTTGCTGATTGATAAATAGAGGGATGGCCGTTTATCCTGAGAAAGGCTACGGTCATGATCTGTTATGATATTGTCCTGCTGCTTGACAGCTTTCTCTTGACTTGTAGCAAGTCGAAACTAGTTCATATATTCACAGACTGAAGAATGGGCACTACAACAACATCGAAAAGTGAAAACAATGATCGTTTTACTTACAAATCCGAGAAATCCAAATCCACTACGGCAGCGAGGGGTTTCCTTAGGAGTCCCAGCGAAGCGGGACAACAATGGTTGGAGACCAACTTCCCGAGGCAACATATGCGCAGGGCAGACGTTTTCGGTACTAGCCGCATCACGATCAAAATACACCTCGCATCTACTACAGTGCCTTGACGTTGATGGGACCAATTCTAGGGAGCTGCTGTGGCTGATATGCTAATGAAATACCCATCAATGCCAACAACTTCTTATCCTAGCGATTTGATCTGACGCTGTCACTGCTAGAGTCAAGGACTTGGCCTACAATCAATTGACTAACAAAAAAAGAATGTGGCTCAAATAACAACTTGCCTCTAGCAAATAAAAGACCAGGAAGAAGTAGAAAGTAAAAGATATAGGCACTTGATGTTTTGTTTATCTATAGGCTGGGAAGGCGATGAGCACAGGAGGAGAGAAAAGTGGTGGGAGTTGGTAAATATACAGAGAAGTGGAGGCAAGTGAGTAACTGTGGTGATAAATGTAGCTTTATATGGTCATTACCGATTTTTACTCATTTTTATTACTTCCTTGGCATGCGCTCATATGCATGATGTGTAAAAAAATGTATCAGGTAGGTTGGAACATTGGCATTACTTCCATGCACCATAGCTATGGCCTCGTATTGGCGACAAAAAGTCAATAGTCGGTTGATCCTACGCTTCCTATGCTAGTAGGAAGCACAGAGAACCGGATCTGGCCTGCCTATGGGTTAATGAAAACTAAATGGCAAATTTGCCCGTTTTACGCCCTAAGAGATAGTGTAAGGAGAGCCAGTTTTGCTCACCACAATTATCAGTGGAAATGAACCTGAGCGACATATTGGGCCACTACCAATAGGTCCAATCTTTCAATTAAAACTAACGGAGGCGAGATAGCTGGGATGATGGAGTAGATTATTAATAAATGAGCTCATTAGAGCAGATGCAATCCAAAAATAGTTTCTTCTATCTCAGGGACATATTATACCAATGACCGTCAAAAACTCCACGAATTGGGGACGCTCTCTAGTCGTTGTTGACATATCAAGTCCCCCAAGGAATTTGAGTTGATAAAAGGCCGATGCGTCCTTTATAGTCCTGAAAGACCAGTATGCTACCATCACCTTTTTAAAGTTTCGATTTATAGACCTCCACATTGTCAAGCTGAAGGCTTTTTGTCCCTGCTCGGGTAACTAGACTGCTCAGGCTGACAACAAACTTCATTCATTGCTTTGCCACAAATATTGACTACTCCAGTATGACAGCTGAAGTTAAAATCCAATTAGTATATAGGAAAAGCCTTCTTTTAATTTGTATGCTGATAGTCATCCCACATTGGTCTTCAAACTCATCATAAAGATCTCTTGTGAGACTTGTCTTTCTATAGTTTACGCTGATACGGATTGTTTGCAAATAAAACAAATCATGGTTTAAATAAAGACGAAGGAAAGCGACATAAAAAAAAAAATACAGATCATTTTCCATTGTCATTGCCATTACTATTCCTATAGCTACTGATACCAGTGTTGCTCTATCTAAGAAGGCGTAAACCAAGGCGTAAAAAATGTTTCTCTAGTCAAGCACCTTCAAACGACTAAACTCCTTGCTCTGGATCGCTTTCTCCATCAACTTCACAGGTGACAGCTCCTGTGCCAGATCCACTCCATTCAAAAAAAGCTTCATCAACGCTCCATTAAAGCCTGATACCATCGCCACTCCAGACTGGGATGATGCCACCGGCTTGTTTCCCTTGTTTGACCCACGTAGGTCCCAAAATACAATTTGAGGCAGCATATATCCAGCCTTTTTGAATTGTCGCTTGACCACTTTATAATTTGTAAACATTTCACCGCTGGTACCTGCCCCTTGTACTGCTGTATCAAACTCCATGTCGGAAAAGATAAACAAAGTCTTGACCATATCTTGCTGATCCACCTTGTTTTGGACAGCAATTTGTAAGATGTGATCAAATGCCTTGGCAAGATCAGTTGTGCAACCCCATTGCATACGTCTTAAATCATTCACTTTTGATTTCAACGATCCTTCTTTCACTCTATGAACTTGAGGTGCCTCAGAGAATGTGAGTACTAGTTGATTGAATGGCGGTCGAGTTAGCTCTGTCAAAAGTAGAGATAACGCGATTGCTACCTCTATCGGCTCTCCTGACATAGATCCCGAGACATCACATATTGCCATCGTCGACTCCATAGAACCAGTTTTCGCCAATCGGTCAACATAAGACCTCCACTGCGCCTCTAAAGTCTTCATACCAAGATCTTCATCGGGGTTACCGCAAAAGCTGAAGGCTTCTCTAACCAGCTGGTGAGGCAGCAGCGCTTGCGCTGCAATGGTTGTCTCGCCCTTGGCAAGTGACTCCAAATATATCTCGAATCTCTCCTTGTCGTGTACCTCAAATAGATGTTTGTTATTCTTCATGGCGATGGCTGGGACGCGGTTATAGGCGATCGTATCCCATCGTTGGGACGACATCAAAGTCTCCAGCACGGGCGTCACTTTACGTAGTGGGACATAAAACTGCTGGCGTAGTAGTTCTCGAACTCGATTCACATATGCAATATGGTCCTCCTGAGGTCTCTTGTCCGGGGAGATAATCTGGGCAATAGTGCTGTTTCCTTGTCATGAAGCTGCTTTAGGCTCGGGCACCATTTTGCCGCTAAAGGTATTGTTTTCCCTTGTTCTAACCGTGACTTGTCGCGGACAAGAGCGTTAGCAAATAGCTGTGCAATCCCCAAATGTAAAGCCCTATAGGCCGTATCATCCATAAACTTCGATCTGGCGCGTTCCAATCGATCTTGATCTCGTGCTAGGCGAGCTTTGCGCGCCTGATCTGAAAATGTTCTCTGTCGCTCCTCCTGATTCGCGGCCCTAGCGCCTTTATCAGTGGCAAAGCGATCTGAATCGGGTAAATCAGCCTCAAGTCGGGTTTTCACGAGCTTTTGATGACTACGCGACTCCATTTTCGTTGCGTTCCGGCCATGACCCTTTTTCGGAATCCGTTCTCTTGTAGACAGGTGGTAATTTATGCGGTTCTGGCGAACCTCGAATACCAGCCAGTTCAACATATCTTTCCAGTAGCCATGGTCAGGGATAAATTTCAGGTTATAGAGCATTGTTTTTGGATGTTCGTCCCTCAAGAACTGCATGCAAACATAGAACCCTCGTCGATCTCCCTTGCCATGTACAATAGAACGGAGTTGGAAAATCAGGCGCAGAGTATCGAGCGGGTTGCTTGGCCAGGATTCACGTGCTAGCTTTAGGATTGTCTCAGATTGAATTCCATGTAGAACCTCGAAAAAGAAATCCAGACGAGGATCACCGCTCGATGCAAATGTTGGCGCTCCATTTTCCGTTACAGTCATTGGCAGACAGGCAACGCCTTCTTGTTCTGCAGCATCTTGCAAGAGCATATCAACGAACGGTGAAGACACAGTTTGAGTGGTAGTGGCAGTAGGTTCAGAGGTTGTTATGTTTATAGGACCCGGAGAATCGACTATCGTATCGACCAAACGTTCTGGTAGCAATGCAGTTACGGTCAAAAGTTCGTGATCATATTCAAGTATATCATACTCATCATCACTATGGCCCGAAAGCTTATTTCGCTCGACTATCACGGTATCATCTTCACATGAAGGAAGGATCTGCGTTTGTTTAGTAGATGTGATGGTCCTGGGGGTTGCTAGCTTTGGCAAAGGAACAATAAAAGGCAGCGAATGATCTTGTTGAGGCATCACAGTGAAGCAAATGGGATACGGAATGAATAGAGCAGAAATGAATAGAGCAGAAATGAAAAAGAAGAGAGGAGACAGTGAAAAGTAAAGAAAGCAAAATTATAAAAATAAATAAAAAGTGAAGTATTGAATATTCTCGGGGGCGGAGCTCAAAGAAAAAAATGCAGAAAAAGCTGCGGAACAAAAAACACCAATAGTTTTTTTATTTTTATTTTTTTATTGTGATTATTATTCAATGCGCGTAGATTTAGACGACAAATCCCACAACGATTCAGTCACTATTGGGTCAAAGGTATGAGTCTTCATTCCATTAGTCCGCGAGTGAGGCTGACCTCCGTCTGCACTGCTCCCGTTCAACGGATTGATTAAACTCAGCCATAAGTTACTATCCGAATCAACTCCTTGACTTGCTGAGGCCCAATATGCATCATGCGTATTGCCTTCAATCGAATCACCAAGAGGATTAAGTTGTTTTGGACGCAAAGGGGGAAGAGGTATTTGGGGAAACTGCTGAGAGAGTAACGAGCTTCCTTGCACCGTCTTCTCCATGTTTACATCTAAATCTACATCTGGATCTGGCTCACGTTCAAGGCTCTCCCACAATTCCATGGCCTGTTCAACAGATTCCATAAGCTGAGCATTCTCCTGTCCTAACATTTGAATCTCATTTTCTAGTTGCTGCGCTTGCAAACTTTTTTTCTGAACTTCCTCTTCCAAAGCTGCGATCCTAAGATTAGCTTCACGAGCCTTCTCCTTACTGGCTTCTGCTGCAACTTTCCATACAACTTGTTGTTGTTCTAATCGCTGCAGTCTCAATTGGAGGGGAGCCACCTCATTTTCGTGCAACTGCGTCGTTTTAGATGCCCAATCAGATTGTTCTGTTTCTAGTCGCTTGATCTCAGTTTGAAGGCGCTGACATTCAGTCTTTAAGGGCATAATTTCCGACTTGGTATTGGCTAAAGTTGATTGAACCTGTTGTTCCAATGTTTGGATGGCCTGCATTGTGTCTTCCAGCTTTGGTTGAGTAGAAAGTGTCGATTGGCGTAGTTCTAATAACTCCTCTTGGAGAGCGGACGCATGGGCGTCTGCCTGCTTGATCGACTCTTGTACAAAGGAGAGTTTTTGTCGGCGCTTTTGATCCTGTATCAGAGCCTTGGATTGCCCTCGACCAATGCCCTCTAACTCCTGCCGTAATAGAGACTCACTTTTGTTCTGATCCCGCCTTAACTTTTTAAGAGCAACTTTAGTAGCGTTTGCAGCATCCACTGATGCCTGAATAGATGCCTGAAGTTGTTCGAAAAGTAATTGGTTGGTGTTTTTTTGTTCTCTTGCTGCAGTGCACTCCACGGGCTGATTAGAAGCCGTCTCAGAGTGAGGATCGCCTGGAAGCATTGTCAAAGGATTTTCTATTACTGAGTTTGATAAAGATGCTGCCGCCACATTCGTCGCTCCTGTTGCCTTGGACCGATTCGTCTCCATTCCCTTCTCTGAAGGATCTTGTTGGCTCTTTTGGTTTTTTTTATTTTTCCGGTTTCTAACTTTGGAGGCAGGCTCAGCCGGTTTTTCTTGCTTTACAGAGCTTCTTACCGGCATGGGCATCCCAGCTAAATTTGAGAGATGGATGTAAACAATGTCAGAACATTTCAGAAATTTTATTATGGCAATACTAAAGTCCATCCAAGGCAATTCACCCTTCACGCCACAGTTACGTATTAATGTACTTACGTGGCGCTGCACGGGTACCAACTCTGCTCACAAAGCTAGAGAATTGATGAACTTTCATCTCAATCTCATAGTCTGTCGATGGAGTGAGGCCGTATACCGTAAAGCTTTGCTCGTCCGGAAAGTGATACTGAACTTGGTGCCAAGGAATGTAATTAACGTGTATCACAATCTCTGAAGTTGAAATAATCTTAGGAGTCGATGTCGTCTTGGATTGTCGTGATGAAGATGAACTACTAGCGGGTCCGATTTTAATAGATGAAAGGTCCACAGTTTCAGGCACAACTTCTAAACCCCCTGCTGCGTTTGTCTCCGGTGTTACTGATGATGAAGTATTTACAGATGAGTTCTGCGCCATCGATTGATCCTGAGATGGCGTTTCTGACAGAGCATTGAGGCAAAATGAAACAGTGAAAGGCGTGATTTCTGTTATGCAGAGCTCAAATCGAAGATTGCTGGAAGGATCTACTGAGCGTGTCGAGGACGTACGCTTGGATGACGATCTAATAAATGAAAATATATAAAAATAAATTGTACCAGCACCAATTTACCCTAATTAATGCCATGCAAATTGAAAAGGAGTTGCTTCTGAATTCAAAATCTAAAAATGCTTGCATGGATTACCTCAAAGACACTGGACCTTCTTTTTGTGTACCTACATAGTTGAGATATCGACCTTGGATAGGATCCGGCTCAGTACTATGTAGCATGACATCCACCAACTCCGACATGAGGATATATAAACCAAATCCGACAGTATGCACTGGAATGACTCTGTAAGCCGTGAGATCGATGATAGAAGCTGAAGAGGGATCCTTGCGATAAATGTCAACGAGCCCAAACAAGAACCAAAGCAGACAAGAGACTGAATCACCAAAGACTAAGCCTCGTGTAAGATTGATCACATAAAAGTATACTAGAATGTTGGCAACCGTTGGCAACAAGCCAAGTCGATCCTGATGCAGAAATAATTGGCCAACGAGGAGGTCGAGCATACCCAAGAATGAAGTTAGGCCAAGCCCATGTTTGATCGATGTCTGAAATGCCCTTCGCAATGCTACAATTGACTGAACACAGAATCCGATCCACTCGAGCCGTGTTGGTAGTGAGGTCATTTGGCCATTGATAGCAAACATGACAACGTAGAACGCAACTAAATCAAATAGTTTATGGTGCATGGAAAAGAACACTTTGAGATGATCCTGACACCGATTTGTGAATCCCAACCGGAAAATAGATCCTGTCTGCTCATCTCCTGCTCTTGCTTCATCAACTTTCAGATCTAGTACATCCTCTGTTCCAGACGAGTCTGCCGATTTGGAGGTGGAGGCCAACTGCGCCCTTACAGTTTGAGTCAAGTTGTCCTGGCTCATCGAGCCATTGCTATAGCCACCACCTGAGGAGCGGGAGCTCTCGCTTCCAGTGTCCGTAGAGAGAACAGAGGAGGCCAAGGTGCTGTTCTTAACAATTGCAACCGGCTTTTGTGGATTTGAACCGCCCGTTGGGCTTGATTTCAGCTGAGCAGATAAGGATGCGCTGCTGAGACTCAATGTAGATGGAGTGTCGTGTGAGGGCTTACTAAACGTCGTATCCCTGTTGCACCCAACGCTGGTCTTTCGAGATGTGCTGTTGTTGCAGTGATAGTTGGCAAAAGTCTCAGTATTCTCAGTGTTACTCTTTCTACCGGTGTTGGAGACAAGAAGTGATGAGGATATAGGTAGCGGTTGCTGTAGATGTTGCTGTTGTCCACGCTGTGTTTGTTGTTTTTGTTGTTGACGTAAAGTAGCAGGTTGTTTCTGTTTTGAATGCTGCTTATGTTGCTGCGGCTGCTGAAGAGCCATCGAGGCCAGAAGCAGACCTAAAAATACTATGATACAAAGGAGAGACCCAATGTTCTCCCTCTGTGACGAGTGGATGATGAAGACAATGATTAAAGTTGAGCTGAGTGAGATCAAATGAAGCAAGATCAGGTAGAAATTAAAAAAATAAAAAAAAAATAAAAAAAAGGATTCTGTCTGTTTGATCTATGTCCTTGACTTGATCTGATCTTTGCCTTGGTCTAGTTCTCAGTCACACCTTTTGTTGCTGTTTGCTTGTGTTCCAAAGTGTGATCTCCACAGATGTATTCGAGAGTGTGAATGTTTGGAGTAAAATGTGTAAATCAGCTTAATAAAAAAAAGGAAAAAAAATCAGGCCGCTTTTAGTTCGGTACGGGACAGGACGAGGGAATCGAAAAAGGGAGAACCGTTGGGCGCGGTTTATGGGGACTGGAAAGAGACTTGATCTTCTCAAGTGCTTTGTGGGAGGAGTGACTCCGTTTGCACCGTGCACGAAGAGAGAATGCGCAACCATTTATTTCGACTGACTCGACCGTGTACTGCAGACAAAGCGAGGCAGTGTATCTGACAAAAACTTTATCAATTTCTAAATGGACGATCCTCAGAAACAGATATGCTTACAAGTCTAAAGGATTCAGGATCATTGCCTACTTGCAAATTCTGATACTATGCAACCGCAGAAATAATATATCGTGAACACAACAACAGATATATAGAAAGAGTTTCTCTTTACTTATTTAGCCTTCATTTTCATCACCACCAGTTTTGACACCAAGAATGTCAGTTTTATCGGATTTGATACTTTAATGTCATCGATACCCAAAATCGACGCAACGGTGGCATTTTAAGCCTTCGGACCGATCAATAAATAGTGATAATTGCCATCTCCATGAAGCTCCTCAACCCTTATTGCGTAGTGTATGACTTCCGTCATACTCGTCTAATTCTTTGGAATATTTTCTGGTTCCGAGTGACAAGAAGCATCTCAGAGTAACAGTTTTAATGCCTTATTGATCACACAAGGTGCAATGTAATTAGTAAATGATCCAAGCAAAGCCCCATGTATCATGTTTCTGATGTGTGGAGAATGTACAGCGTCTGTGAGCAGAGCCACAGAGGATGCACTTAGTTCAATGATGTCAATATATATAATATAGCTTTTTATTCTTTTTTCATTGACAACGAATCAGCATGCTAGAATCAATCTCGGACAAGAATAAACACATCGCCATCGGTGCAGCGCTCGGTGTCTTCTTTACACTCTCAACTACTGCCATCGTCCTTGCCACCCAAGGGACGTCGACGAATGCAACTCGTTATTCACATTCGAAGAGTAGCCGGCGGCGGTCCTCCATAGGTGAAAATCTCAATAGGATGATTGCATTGCCCAAGCCTGAAAAGAATACTATGATATGCGACGGCGTAGCAGGATTGATCGGTAATACACCCATGATGCGTATCAAGTCACTCAGCGAAGAGACAGGGTGTGAAATCCTTGCCAAAGCAGAGGTAAAAAGGAAAATATGGGTGAATGAGTACAAAACAGCCTCTTTAACACCCTCCCAGACCAACTTACCTGCAATATATGATGGAATGACCCTGTCTTCTAGTTCTTGAACCCTGGGGGAAGCACCAAGGATCGTGTGGCACTCAGTATGATTAACACCGCTGAACGAGACCACGTTTTAACACCAGGAAACGGCTCCACCATCTTTGAAGGAACAGTTGGCTCCACGGGCATTTCGCTTGCCATGATTGCCAAAGCTCGTGGATACAATGCATGGATCGTCATGCCTGATGATGTTGCACAAGAGAAATCTCAGCTTCTGGAAAAGTTAGGAGCACATGTTGAAAAAGTACGGCCTGTTAGCATTGTGGACAAGAATCAATTTGTTAATTTGGCCAAAAGGCGGGCTCAAGAGTTTGGACAGGATAATCAAAGCCAAGAGGATGCACCGCAAGGAAGCCAGAAAAAGAAGGGTTTCTTTGCAGATCAATTTGAGAACTTGGCAAACTTTGAGGCACATTTTACCACGACGGGGCCAGAAATTTACAAGCAGACACAAGGGAAAATTGATGCAATCGTGATGGGTGCAGGTAAGAGAGAGATGAGTAATACTGATCTGATATACTTGATTCATTACTGATGAAGACTGACTTCGCGGTTACTGACTTTGAATGAAAAACCTTACATGTAGGTACTGGTGGGACCCTCGCAGGTGTTGCGAAATACTTGAAGGCATTGCTTCCCAACCTAAGAACCTACCTTGCAGATCCTCAAGGTTCAGGGCTCTTTAATAAGGTCAAATACAACATTATGTACTCGTCCACCGAAAAGGAAGGCACGAGAAAGCGCCATCAGGTGGATACTGTAGTCGAGGGTGTAGGAATTAATCGCCTGACACGCAATTTTGCTCAATCAGAGGGGTTTATCGACGATGCTGTCCGGGTGACGGATCAAGAGGCGATAGACATGGCTAGGTTTCTAGTCCATCGAGAAGGGCTGTTCATTGGGTCGTCCTCAGCAATCAACTGCGTGGCTGCTGTCCGGATTGCTCGAGAGCTAGGCCCTGGTCACACTATCGTTACACTTCTTTGTGATTCCGGCCAGCGGCATTTGACCAAGTTCTGGTATGAAACCTCACTATTCTTGTGAAAGATATCATGTCATTGTAATTGATGAAAGATTGGTCTTTTAACATTTTAATTTTATGATGATCATCATTTCATAGGAATGACGAATACTTGGCAAAACATGGTCTGGTAGTCAAAGATGTGGTTGATAACCTGGATTTTATTGTGTAGGCTAGAATACATGTGAAAGACAGAGACATAAATATGTATCATCGTCATCTTTTTGATCCTTATAATGTTTACTATATTATATGAATTATGAATAAGATGGGCAACCCTTATTCAACAGTGATATCCTTGACTGGAACCATTTCGAACTGGAACGCCATAAACACCACAGATGAGTCCGCAGTCTTGAGGATATATGTCAATGGCTGAAAAGCAAAAATAAGGAAAGTAAAGGTGAAAAGAAGAGTGCTGGTTAGTGGTTGACCAAAACGATCTGCTTATATCCTTCAAAGCTTACGAAAAAAAAAAAAAAAAAAAAAAAACCTGCCTGTCCATCCCAGTACTTGGTGATATCGACACTAAATCCCGGAACTTTAAGAGTAAAATGAGCAAAGTCCAAGTAAGGATTGAAGAAATCAAATCCATATACATGGTCGGGGCGATATCTGTGTTTGGTCAGATTAACCTCGCGTGCAAAATACGATCTCCTGGCAGAACTGGTCATATTATGAGGAGTTGACTCTGTCAGTTTGCTTCCAGATCTTGTTTCAACTAGTTCCTCTTTATCTTCGCCGCTATTAGCATCTTCCTGCCTTTGCTGCTCCTCTTGCTCCTTTCTCTTTTGTTGTTCTTCCTCTTGCTTCTTAAGATTGTCCTTTTGGAAAAGGATGTTGGTATCCTCTACAATATGCTCGCCTTCTGGCGAAGGCCATGGAGGGAGTTCATTTTCAAGACGCTCTTTGGCCTTGTCTCCTCCACTTTGCTCAACCCTCTGCTGGGCGGCGGGATCAATGTGCCAGCCCGCAACATTGATTGTATTCATCGTAGCGATCAATGGGCTGAACGCCCAGGGTCGCTCGCAATAGATGTCGGCTTTGAGTCCTGGATCGATGAACTGAACGAACTTGAGGGCAATAGATGAGAAAGGTGGAAGTTTCAAGGGCCTTTCAAATTGGTTCTAGATGTCATAATTGGGTGGAGATTATGTTCAGCACAAGAAAATTAGGTCTTGATGGTAATTGTTGATTGTTCATGAGAATATTGCCATGATACTGGTATGACGCCAAGATTATTGAGGCATTTGGGAAGGAAGAGAAATTGATGACCTTCAGTTTTGTCAGAGTATACAGACAACGGGAGCATTACTGCATCACCGCTCATCCCTCCTTGCCTCCCCTGGGAGCTGTGTATAAATACAAAGATTTATGATTGAGGACTTACTCCAAAGACGATTTGATCGCCAGGCCATTCACGCTTGAATCTACCAGAGATCTGGATGGAACTCAAGTTGTTGTCCCCACCTGGCTTAGTGAACCAAGGACTATCAGACATCGTCTTGAGGCCATCTTCGGCTTGTCCATCTGCATAACCATAAGTTTTATCAAGGCCACGGATGCGCACGACAATCTGGCCGATAAACTCGTCCGATTCAATCAGCAAAGGATTTGCGTCGTCGTTGACCGTAATGAGCTTAAGGTCCTTTGGATCTGCGCTTGGTCCAGCAGAGACGCGCAACCTAAATCGAGTAGGTGTATATGGGGACATTTATAGCTTTGTTTTGTAATGTGAAGGGTGCTATGTATTGAAGAAGAGTGGGTTTGACAAAAAAAAAAGGAAAAAAAAGAGGTGAATTAAGAGCGAATAAAAGAAATTAAGAGAATGATATCATTGTTCAGCAACGGTCACAGTCCCGTGCGATTCAATTGTCTACCTGACACTTGGCACTTGGCACTGTGAGAAACTTCAGTGTGTGCTCCATCCTCCTGTGCTCATTTCTCATTGGCATTCAAATCCCTTCCTTTCATCACCTTACCTACCCTCCACTCAAATAAGAATTATCTTCATTTGTCCGTACCATGTCACAGTCTCCTATGATTGCTGTACCTCTGAAGAGGACAGACGAAGTCGACTGGGTGACACCACTCAAGAGATATATCGCCCTCTCCTATCAAGACGATCCCGAAAAATATGCAGAAGAGTGTGGAACTATTCATCGTCTGCGTCAGGATATGCGTGGCGCAGGAAATGATATCACTGGCAGAGATGTGCTCTATCGCTATTTTGGCCAGCTCGAAATCCTTGACCTGCGCTTTCCTGTCGACGAAGCCCATATCAAAATTGGTTTCATGTGGTACGTATTGAATAGCTATGCTTTGTTCCATATTTCCCTTGATACGAAAGAGGAATGAGCATGAATTTGGTGTCATGCAAGTGTCTGCGTTTATGGTCGCGTCTGTTACGTGTTTATGTCTAGTCGCCATAATGTAGGAAAAAAAAGTCTTGGCAGCACTTTTGTCTGATGTGTGTAATTGTATCTCTAGGTACGATGCGTTTACACAGAGACCAACATCGCAGTTTTCACTCGCCTTTGAGAAAGCTAGCACCATATTCAATATTGCATCCGTATTATCTGCTATTGCGGCCTCACAGACAAGGGTCAATGAGCCAGAAGGTGTCAGAAAAGCTTTTCATTTCTTTCAAGCTGCAGCAGGAATTTACACCTACATCAACGAGAACTTTTTACATGCGCCTTCAATTGACTTGAGTCGGGATACAGTCAAGATGCTCGTGTCTCTAATGCTGGCCCAAGCGCAGGAAGTCTCATGGGAGAAAGCATATGCAGAGAAGAAGAAATCTCTCCTTATCTCTAAACTAGCCGCCCAAGTTGCTTGGAGTTACAACGCTACACTCGAGGCTATGGCTGATGGTGTATCCAAGCAGATTTTCGACAAGAACTGGCAAACTCTTTGTCAGGTATTGTATTATGTTCTTCAGGGTCTTGTCGTTAAACTTGTGATACAATACATGCTTACACTTTTATCTAATATATCATATACTTTTTTTATTTTATTTTATTTTTTATTTTTTTTATGTCATTGTAGATCAAGGCCAAGATGTTTACCGCTATCGCTCAGCACTACCGAGCATTGGCAGCAGAGAATGATTCAAAGTGGGGTGAGATGGTTTCGAGGATTCAAATTGCAGAGACAGCTATCAAAGAAGCAGAGAAACAAGCAAAATCATTTACTTCGGGTTTCACCCAAAGCTCCCATCCAACAGTGACGCTTACACAGGAGGCAGTTAGCTCTATTCATGAAATCACAAAATCACACCTTGCAATCATCTCAGAGAAGAAGACATCTGCTGTCCGTGATAACGACATGATCTATCATGAAGCTGTGCCTAGCGAAGGTTCTCTTGGACAACTCGAAAAACTGAACGCAACAAAGCCATTGCCCATCTCGGAACTCTACTCCCAAAGTGAGATGCAGAAAGTGATTGGTCCAGATACTTTTCAGCGTCTTATCCCATTATCTGTCCATGAATCGTCAAGTCTGTACTCTGAGGAAAAGGCTAAGCTGGTCCGAGCGGAGGCTGAAAGATGTGAAACCGCAAACCAAGAATTAGCAAGCGCGCTCGAGTTTATGAATCTTCCTGCAGGCCTTGAAAAGTTCAAAAATCGAGCCAATGATGGTCAGAATGCTACACTTGACGCTCTAGCTGTCCCACCTAACCCTGTGAAGGAGCTCGCTGATTTTATTCAGAATGAGGAATTGGGTGAATCTATTGCAAATTTGATTGCGTCGCTGGACCGCATCAAATCAGGGACGCGAGATGCATTGGAGAATGCCAATCTGTCGCTGGATGAAGAGCGAAGTCAATGCGAAGCTCTGAGGGTACGGAAGTTGTTATCAGGACCATAAGCTTTGTATATTTTCCTAGTGGGCTTTGCTGCTAATCATAGCTCGATTAATTTCTCATAACCTATTGTAGGCTAAATATACCGATCTTTGGACACAACGGCCCTCGGGACCATTGACACAAGTTTTTCGTACCGACTCGAAGGCATTGTTCGAATCACTTGACAAAGCCGCAGTATCCGACCAGAACCTTTACCGATCTTTTGATCAGATTGCTAATAACGTCATGGTACTACGCGAAGGACGTGATGGTGCAGCTCTAGAACAGCTATTTGCTAGAATTGTAGTTGAAGCTAGCAAGAACAGGAAGAGTTTAGTAAAATCGAACAATAGTCTGTTAGACGTGGAGGATAGCGGCGAGAGTGAAGCCATTCTGAAGACTGTTTCCAAAGTTGAGGATGTGATTGCCAAGCTCAAGAAACTGAGGCAGGAACGTATGGATACCCTTGAAGACCTGAAGATAAAGGTATTGTCAATTTCTAGCAACATCGATGCTTGATAAAGGCGTTAGATGGCTTCTGACGCTGTTTGTTTCTCCAAATTAGACTCAACAAGACGATATCTCAAATCTTCTGATTTTGAACAGGAAAAGTTCAGGCATTGAGCCCCAGTTATTTGCTCAGGAGCTGGAGAAGTTTAGACCCCACCAGACAAGAGTGACGGCGACGATTCATCACCAACAAGCCTTGATGCAGGAGCTCACTATGCACTACAAAGACCTCATGAATGGTCAAGAAGCACGTAGCCTTCAGGAAATTTGGGATATCGCAGAGAAGAAGCGACAAAGTTTGGCGGATCAGTTGCTGAAGACTAGAGGGTCATACACAGACGTCAAAGTTGGATATAAGAAGGGCATTCGTTTCTATGAAGATCTAAATGCGCAGGTGCAGGATCTCGTTAAGGCTGTGGATCAATTCTGTCGTGCTAGAAAGGAGGAGCGCGGCATGCTTGAGCAACAAGTGATGACGACCCAATCTGAGCGCGAATCAAAGGCGTTGAAAGATCAATTGTCTAGATTCGAAAGCGTGTCTTCACCATCGACAAACGCGCTGCCAATAGACGCACTTGCAAATTTGAACCTTGGTGGAGCGTCGCGTGCTCAAATGCCGGCCCCAATGGCCCCAATGGCCCCAATGACCCCAATGAATCCACACGTAGCCGCGGCATCCCAATGGACCCCCACAGCAACGGCTCCTGCTCCTGCTTCTGCAGCTTATACGCCTATGAGTGCTCAGCCGACTGCTCCTTCTTTCGCACCACAATCTCAACAATCAACACCTCAACAGGCACATACAATGGTTATTCCCAACACAGGACCTTTTGCCCTGCCCTCGCCTCAAGTGTCTAGTCAGCCACCTCCTCTACAGCAGCCACTACAGCGCCAGTCAAGTTATTCAATTCCGAACCCACCTTCCCAGCAGCAGCAGCAGCGTCCTTATTCCCTTCAACAACAGTTCTCACAGCCACAGTTGCAGTCTCCAATGCAGCAGCCTCTAGTACAGCAGTCTCCAATGCAGCAGCAACAACAGCAGCCATATCAGACTCAGCCATCTATTCCTAGTACTCCTCAATATCAACCACAGTCTCAGTTCCAACAACAACCCCAATACCAGCAGCAGCAGCAACAGCTCCAGTATCAGCAACAACTTCCCGCAAGCAGCTCTGGCTACCAGCAGCAGCAGCCGACTCCTGTTAATTCTGGCTATCGACAGCCTATGATGGCACAAGGTCAATATCAACAACCCATACAGCATCAATATCAGCAACAGCAGCAACCTATTCAGCAGAATATGCAATTGCCGTACCAGTCTACGTCACAACAGTTCCAGCAGCCAATACAGCAACAGCCATTCCAGCAGCAACCATACCTACAACAGCAGCAACAGTCACAGCAATCATTGTATCAGCAGCAACAACCAATCCAACAGCAGTTACAGTCACCCGGACAGTTCCAGCAACCTGGCTATAATGCGTATTCTGGAACATCATCCCCTTCTCAACAGTACCAACAACAGCAACCAATGCAGCCACTGCAGCCGGTTTATCAGCAACAGCAGCCAGTTCAGCCATTACAACCGCAGCAACCACAACAACAACCATTACAGCCGCAACAGCAGTCGTACCATGGAGGATACCAGCAGGGACCTGTCCATCAACAACAGCAGCAGCAGCAGTTTCCACAAGGAGGCTATGCGCCAATCCAACCCACGACATATCAGAATTCACTCCTTGATTAAAGAAAGATAAAATAAAAATAAATAAAAAAAACGTAAAATAAGACGTAATTTTATACGTGTAGGTGACTGACATTGAGTGGTACCATAAAAAGTGATTTGGTGGCTAAATCACCAGGTTGCTAACCCATTCAAGGATATTCAACTTTAAGAGGTTGACACTAAATGAATGGCGACTATCATATTGTTGGTGGGAGATACGACCTTTAATTGGTTTGTGAAGCTGGTCACTTCCAGTTACAGAGGTAGAGAAATCTTGAACGAATATTAATATATATAATTGTACAACACAAAAGACTGAGTGAGAACATTCAGTTCTCAGATGGCTCTGTTGAACAAAAGAAGGAACAAAGAGCCAGAGGTGGCGATTCCCACGTGACCAGAGTAAGTCTTTAAATTGTATGTTGTCTGATCTTTAGTACAGCCAATCAGAATTGCTTATGCAACAGGGCAATTCGAAGGCAGACAATTTGAAAGTCATGGCTGGGGATTTAACACGGAAAAAATAAGATAGCAGCTGAACAGATCAAGCAAGCAAGGAACAAATGGCTGGCGGGGCATGGCCTGATATCATTATCTAAGAGCGAGAAAAACAATCCCCGCACTTTACTGAAATCAAATAGCATAGCGGCTCTTTCTTTTTTTTCTCTTCTTTTTTCTCTTTTCTCATTTACCTTCTCATTTCCTACATTCAACCCCATCTTCATCTCTTTACATCATTACTTTTGCTCAAAAAGATGGTAGCTGACGCTTACAAGGAATTCATGGACGTCTTCCCCGTCCTTGCTGAGGAGCTTCTCACTCACCTGCGCTCGATTGACATTCCTCAGAATGCTATCGAGTGGTTTGAGAAGGTAATGGGAGACTATTCGATTTTTACACTGATCAAGTCTGTTTACAAAGCTTACGGAACAAGCGATTGACAACAATCATTACTGATGCTAACGTCTAAAACTATACGTGTATAATTCAACAATAGTCCATGCGTTACAACGTCCTTGGTGGTAATTGATGATGATATAACATTTTACATTATAGATCGCGTGGGAAAAACTGGGAATCAATTTTTTTGTTTGTCATGGGATTGATCAAGGATACTGAATATTGTTTGTTACTTTCCAAATCCAGGCAAGATGAATCGTGGTTTGACTGTTGCTGAGACCCTCCGTATCCTCAAGCGTGGCGAAACTCTGACCAAGGAGGAAGCCTTCAAGGCTAACCTTTTGGGCTGGTGCATTGAATGGGTAAAAAAAAAATTTATAGATATAATGACAACTATGAAAGTGTTTGGAACAAGGCCATTGAAATAAATAGAAAGAGAAAGCTGACATCGATGTTCCTGTCAATACAATAGCTCCAAGCCTTTTTCTTGGTCTCGGATGATATCATGGACAACTCAAAGACTCGTCGTGGCCAGCCTTGCTGGTACCGTGTTGTAAGTAAACTCTACTTGACATGATAAAAAAAAAAAAAAAAAAAAAAAAGAGACTATATCATTGACCTATCTATTATGACTATGATTTTTCAATTCAACAGGAGAATGTTGGCATGATTGCCATCAACGATGCTTTCATTCTCGAGGCTGCTATCTATTTCTTTCTGAAGAAACACTTCAGGAAGGATGACTATTACATTGATCTGCTAGAGCTGTTCCATGAGACAGCTTTTCAGACCGAGCTAGGTCAGCTCTGTGACTTGATCACAGCTCCTGAAGACAACGTTGACCTCACAAAGTTTTCAATCGAGAAGCATGCCTTCATTGTCAGATACAAGACTGCTTACTACTCTTTCTACCTCCCTGTTGCTCTCGGTATGCACATGGTATGGTTACATTTATTTTTTTCTGAACGTAGTTTCTCTTTGTCTACAGGGTTTCATAACTCTAATCTAATTCTCCATCCTTTTATTTTTAGGCTGGTGTCAAGGATGAGACTGCATATAAGCAAGCTGAGGACATTTTGCTGCCTTTGGGGGAGTACTTCCAGATCCAGGACGATTACCTTGATTGCTACGGCAACCCCGAGACCATCGGTAAGATCGGTACTGATATCGAGGATAACAAGTGCTCATGGTTGATCAACCAGGCTCTTGCCAAGGCTACCTCTGAGCAGCGCAAGATTCTTGATGTAGGTTTTTATTTTCATTTTTTTTATGGTGTCCCCAACATTTCTATACAAGAGTGTCCTTTATTCTGATCTTTTCCTTTACTTTATTTTATATCCACAGGAGAACTATGGTCGACGTGATGAAGCCAATGTTGCTGCTGTCAAAGAAGTGTTCAAGCAGATCGATGTTGAAGGTCTCTTCAAGGCTTATGAAGAAGAGTCCTATAGCCGTATCAACGCTTTGATTGCCAAGGTTGACCATCCCCTTTTGAGCCAAGATGTCTTCACCACCTTCATGAAGCGCATCTACAAGCGCACCAAGTAAAAGAAAAAAAACCCCCCCTCCCGCTTTTTGTACAACTCACTCATTCCTTCATCCAACCGAGTATAGAAATAAAAGTAAAAAAAACACGTATTTAAATTTTCATTTTTATACAATTTGATTAATAAATTTATTAACATGAATATATATTAATCAAGGTTGATGATCATCTTCATCCGAAAGATTGGATAGCTGGATATATCGACTCATAGTCGTCGGAGTATTTGTGTGAGGTGATTGTGGTGGAAGAGGAATCGGAATCGGAACATTGGTCGCACCGGTCGATAATGCACTGTCATCTACTATCATCGATCTCTTCTTCCTCTTCTTGCTTGGAGTATATAATCCAGGATGATTTTGATGAGGTGCTGTTGTATCCTCAGGAGTAGTTATGGTATCAATAGTGGCAGAGTTACGCCTCGACAATGATCTAACATCATGGCTGCCAAGACCTGAAAAGCTTTCAGAGACTCCGCAATTGCCAGAAGGTCTAGGCTGTTCTTGTTTCTGTTGTTGCTGACGGGATATGTCTGACGTATATGACGTGGAACCAAGTGCAGCCGCAGCAGTCCCAAGATCATCGGTAGGCCGACGTTGCTGCGATGGCCATGATTGCGGTGATTGCTGTGATTGCTGTGGTTGCTGTGATTGCTGTGGCTGTTGGTGTTGTCGATGTTTTGCTGGGCTGGCTGGAATGATATTAATGAGTGGTTGGTTTTCCTTGGAGCGCACTTCTGGCACAGGTCGCCTTGGTGAATCACCGTTAAAAGCTATTGTCCTTAACAGACTTGGCGCCGGTGCCGTCATCGTGTGCTCTCCTTCTTCCTCATTCTCGTTTACCTTCCCTTTCCCCTTCTCCTTCTCCTTCTGCGGACCTGTTCTTGAACTAGTAGAGACTGCTGTATTCGCCTCCTCTTTATACCCATGCCCATTTGAACTGCTCGAGGGTGAAGACAATCCATCCAATAAAGATGAATGGCGTCGCAGTTGTCTTTTTGCCGCAGCCTCCTCCGCCTCGCGTGCCGCATTCCTGGCCAGTGTTTCGTCATCATCTTTCTCCCATGCCTCTAATGATGGATTGAATACAAATGTTCCCTCGGCAACGGCGTTCTTACTTTCATCTCGCTTGATGCCCCAGTAATCTTCCTGCTGGCGTTGCTTTAATTGAGTTTGTCGAAGTTTGATTAATGGTTTAACACCGATGTGGCCGTCTTCATCATCCCTTGCATCGCCATCTTCACCACTAGTAAAGGAAGTTTTTGAATTATATGGATCACCGATACTCTTCATTGATGTACTTCGGAATGTGAATTCTGAAGATGGGAAAGTAATTGCTGAAGAGGGAAAAGGTGGTCGCTTGGATGCTTTTGGTCTGACGGATCTCTGGAATCGACCCCAATTCAGTGGTGGAAAGAGAGGATCTGTTTGAGGTTGATCCCGCAGTGGATCGATATCGCTGCTTTGATTAACTATCACACTTTGTGAACGGCTGTTATCTTCATTTTTAGGTTGAGTTCGATGCGTTGATGGTTGAGGTTGTGAAGTGGATGGAATTGTGTCCTTTGGTTGTGGGTATATTCTATCATTATTGAGGTAGCGGTGAGACTCCAGTGCCTCCTCTCCATTATGCCTCTTCAAACTACCCTTAGGTGTGAGCTGATGGTGTGCTTTCCGCTTACGTGACGCATGGGAACTATATGCTGTTGCTGCTTCGGGATGTTCATTATCACTCGTATTCGTCATCTGATGCGAGAGCCCTGTTGTTGGTGGGCGTTGTCGATGTTGATCTGTACGAGCATTTGCACTCAAGATTTCAGATCGTGTGCTTAATGGTGGGGAGACCAAGGATGGATTTCTTTCCTTGAGCCAATCGTGAACATGCTTCATTCTAGATTCAAGACTAACAGACCCTAGTCCTGTATTTCGCTCCATTCTTTCTTGTTTATTCACTGGAAGTGGTGTTGTCATTGAGCTGTGCTTCCATGATTCCCGACTATCATGTTGTCGTGGAGTTAGAGTTGACGAAGGAGCAACAGATGTTGGTCGCTGGCGTGGATCAATGACTTCTCGACGAGCTTTGGCTGGCGTCTTTGGCATAGCAAGCGGCGTCAGACGTTGTGGTTCAGCAGTGTTGGCACCATCTTGATTTCTTTGATACTTTTTTGTTGTTATGGGCTCTTTGTCTTCAAGTTGTTCAATCTCAACAAAGGATCGATGTCGTTTGTTTTGTCTCAATGGACCTTCCTTGTTAGAATGAAGATTAGGGGAATTTAAATATTTTTGGTCAAGAGACCTGCGTCTTGCCCTCTGGTGCCTGGGTATTGACCTTTTCAACAAAGGTTCCGATGCCATGGCTGATAAAGGCCGTTTCCGACTAGATTGCTCATTCCCGAATTGATAAATAGGATCTGTTTGGTTTCTTCTCAAATGAGGAGGCGAACTTTGTTCAATAAATGATGGCAAAACTGTGCTCACTGCTGAGGTAGGAACCCTTGCTTTCCCTGTCACAGATGCACTCCTCATTGATGTTGATGACAATTGCGGGTTTGAGACTTTGAATGGATTTGGCAGTATAGAAGTCGAATGGGCACCAAGGTCTACATCCTTTGACATATGGGGTAATGGTTGTTGCCGTATTCTGCTGTTCATTGCGGCTGGTGTTAGTGGATCAACGTAATCATCAACAAAAGAAGTTATAGACCTTGACCGTCTCCTTTCCAGATCGCGTTTAAATCTGCCAAAATCCAGATTAGCTGCTGTTGAGGAGGCGGCAGATGTTGATGCTTGCGCTTTTGTCTCGTTTGGTCTTACAGTATTATGTCGTTGAGTATACGCCACAGGCGGCGATTGTCCACTACCAAAAGCCGATAAACTGCGGATATCGCCACGATTGGTGAGTGCACTAGTTTTAGAAGGTCCATGTCGAGAATGATGAGGAACAGAGGAGGATTGTGGCTCCTGCCATGTACTATGGGTTTCAACATAATCTGTTGGTTTTGATAGGTAAAAATGTGCTAGTAATAACCATCCTGCAACTATGACCTTGGAACTTTCGTATAAAGGGATCCTACATGAATTGTTAGGACGATAACAGGTTCATGATATTAAAAAAAAAAAAAAAAAAAAAAAAAAGAAGCGCGTCAGATTTGCTCTATAGTAGACACCTGTAAGTTGTACAGTGGCAAGTATGAAAGCGTAATCTTTACTGTTGACTGAGAACTGAATCAGCGATGGGTTCAATCGAGAGCCCTGCTAGAGTCAAGAGCCAGAGGAAGAGATGTCTCCTTGCCTGGCTTCTATCTGAAGGATCGATCACAGCCTTCCATGTCTTGAATGATGAGATGGTGATGCTTTTTTTTTTTTTTTTTTTTTTTTTTTTTCAAGTGAGAATGTATACCAATACAATTCAGTTGCGTCAGTGTTATTTTACTCATCATCATTTATTGCAGAGTAATAAGATTGAGCAACACATCAGTAAGCGTGCAATTACCAAGCGAGACGCAAGGTGTGATATAGCATTCGGTTATTAGAGAATAAAAAGTTTGGTTTCTGGAGTGTCTGTTTCAAAGTTGTTTTTTCTCCCCTCTTAAGAATAAAATCAAAGAAAAAAATTTTCGCGTTTCTCAGAAACAGCATCTGCGCGTGATTATAGGCTGCTGATGATATTGAAAAACATTTTATTTTCATGTTTCACAGGAATGTCACTCTAACTCGCTAGTTCATAAAGTGAATGGGGCTGAAAGATGAGATTCAAAATCTTGGTCGTTCTCCAAGTCTCCAAAATGCTTCAATAACGAAATACGTAAGCGGTAGGTCTGTTCCTTTGGTGCATCCACCACAGTCAAAGTAGATCCTTCAGCCTTCAATATTTGACCATCCCATCCCATCACCTGGAATGCGTTGCCCTCTATTTGGTCATTCCGAGGTATATACCGAGCAACACCATTCTTGAGGATGCCATAGCTCTTGACTTGGTAAGGATCATCTCCTTCCGCCGCTACTAAATCCAGCACCAAGACCTTGCTTGCAGTAATCATACGGAACACTATCTTCATTGCGTTTTGGATTTGAACTGGGCGGGCTAGTGCATTGGGGTCTTTAGCAGTGTCAGCATTGGGCTCAGAATTGATTCTATGACTGATGGATCCTGCGGCTTCAACTTTTGTAGGACCCGATCCTGAATGGCCATGTTTTTTCGTAGTACTCCTGGCCCGAAGTTGGCGTCCTTGAGGATCAAACAGACGGAGCCCAAAGGTGTGATCGAGAACATTGACTGTCTTGTAGTCACCCTGCATGCCCATATAAGGAACATGTATCGAATGCAAGTCGGCACTGCTAGTTTTGGGTTTGAAGCGGACAAATCCAGAATAAACGACATACTTTAAAGGGTCCGTATCAGGGCCTGTGAACTTGAGGTCGACCGTGACGGAAGAACCAGGTGGGACTGTGACAGATTTCTGCGCAATTTTGGCAGAGGCTTCAGCTCGGATGTGCTGTGGCGACTTTTCGACCATCATATTCTTGTCGAAAGGTAAGAGCCCAGCTGCTGGAAGGATCTCTACTTCGTACTCTAGAGGAGACTTCCCATTGTTGCGGATTGTGATTACTTGATTTGAGTTCATGTTAACTGTGTCATTAAGAGAGATAAAGGACGGTGTGACCTCGACCTGACTCTTGAAAACATTCATCATGTTCAGAAGACCGGCCCCTTGCTGGGTGACTGGGGCATAGCCCTTGAATCCTGTCTGCTGCTGTCGCGGCTGGGCACTATTCTGCAAAGCAGCCTTGATGCTTTCAGCTGATCGTTCTGCATCAGGAAGGCCCTCTAAATACAGAGCAACACATCCTACTACATATGGTGTAGCCATTGAAGTGCCCGAAAGTGAAGCAAATGAGCCAAGCTATTTGTATTATACAAAATATTAAACATACTGGAGTTTCTCAATAAACAGGAAATATAACCAAGACCAAAAAAAAAAAAAAAAAAAAAAAAAAAAAAAGCAAAGCTCATTTCGTTCATTTGATTACCTTGATAGGGAACGTAGACCAGATCTGGCCACCAGGCGCTGCAATATCTGGCTTAGAATTTAATTCTGCATCAGGACCCATAGACGAAAAAGGAGACAGGAACCCACCATTGGGACTGTAAACTTTCTTTGGGCCATTACCAGCTGTCAATTTAATACCCTCAACTTCTTTTTTCTGTTCCTTGATCATCTCCAAAAGATATTCACCATCACTCAAAGTGATTGTGCTGACTGGAATCCTAGCTCCTCCTGTATCAGCCGCAAAACCATCAGATGGTACATTGTCCATGATGATCACTGCACTCGCATTGGCTAAAGCTGCGTTTGCAACCTTTTGTTTAAAGACACAATCCCCACGACGGATCAATGCAATTTTTCCTCTTAGGTCCTTCTTGATGGCTGAACATGCATCAGACTTGACCTTTCCGGATGTTCCAGGTGCAATTTGGACTAGCGTTACATTTTTGAAATCTATGTGGACATCTCCAACATACAGGATTGGACGCGATTCACCATCATTTTGTTCACCTTGTCCACCTTTTTTTGTTTTCCCTTCACCTTTTTTAGCAGGAATAAGGCTAACTGTGAAGTAGTTGCTGCTCCGAAACTCGTTTTCAGTAGAGGCAACTGTAATCACAGAGGCAGCAACGCCTGGTGAGGATGATTCAAACAGCCCCATACGACCTTCATTGCCCATCGCTGCAACAATGATAGTACCGTTTCTAGCTAACATGTCTGCTAGTCGAGCCTCACGATCTTGACTCCAGCCACCAGGCCCCCCAAGAGAGAGATTGATGATCTGCATACCGTCTGCAGCGGCACGAAGGAGCGCCTTCATAATCAAGTCATTGCTTGTGCCTCCTTTACAGCTGAAAACCCTGTACACGCCCAACGTAGCTGTAAGCGAAATTGTCGTTAAAGTTATTAAAGTCAGCATCAAGCAGCAATAACTAAGAGAAAAAAATCAATGGGATGAAGACATTTTTACACACATATATATTACCTTGGGGTGCTACTCCAATAAAATCAGTATGATTGGCAGCGATAATACCGGCAACGTGGGTACCGTGACCGTCACAGTCCGTCATAGGGTCATTATCTGGACTCATCCCGTCATCTCCAACAAAGTCTACGCCATAAGCAACCTTACACCCTGGTCCGAAGCATCCTCCTAGCGCTGGATGCTATTACAATAATGATTATTAATTTCTTGAGACAGTTTTTTTTCCGGGTTTTAAACAATGTTCAAATATTAATCAAGATTAGAATATCAGCCAAACGTACATGATAGTCAACACCAGAGTCGATGATTCCAATCTTGATACCCTTTCCAAACAACTTGAGAGAATCATGGACCGCCTTCACTCCCGTTAAATCATGTCTATAATGTAGTAAAAACATGTAAAAACATGTAAAACCAAGCAAACAAAAAAAAATAAAAATAAAAATAAAAAAAGTTTTCGATAGTAAAATTTGTTCAGAAGGGTGTATTTACTAATAAACTCATATATTATTATGAACAGTGACGTCCCTACGTTTTAACCCAACTTACGCTTCATGCTCTTTAACTTTGCCAAATTCACGAATGGGTGACTTGATGTAATCTGGGCGATCATGAATGATCTATATAGGACCACATTAAATATATTTTATTGGAAAAAAAAAAAAAAAAAAAAAAAAAAAAACGTAGAGTTTTTATTTTTCATATTCATTATTTGTAGTAGTAAATCGACGTTAGTGGCAAAGCATTAGAGAAGACACCGTAAAGCGAGCGTTCCAGATTTTGCTTTCCCTAATAAGAAGCAAGAACAAACAATCAAACAAAAACAAACAAACAAACGAGCAAAAAAGAATGCTTACAACTGGCTCCACAAGTTTGATTCCTGGGATTTGATCCAAAATCTCCTTCAAGACGCTCTCATCCCGGACAGATACGGAGACCGCGTTCAGAGCATCCCAAAACTCATACCTTAAAGTAATTCCTGGATGTTGCTTCACCATTTCGGAAAATTGAGAGTGCTGATCGAATCGATCATGAAAATCAATCCAATAAGCATTCTCAATAGCATTTTCGACCGTACCCGAGGATCGGATGACGGGCTCCTGATACTGTGGATGGTGGTGTTTATAACCCCCGATAGTGCTACCTCTATCAGAAATTATTTTGATGTGGTCAAGGACATTTGAGAATCGTTGAGCAGTGGTGAGCGATGGGAGATAGTAAGGAAGTAAGATTGCTGCTGCTATGGAGAGGATATAATTAGAGGGTTTCATCGCGCATGTGGCGACTGAAAGGACAGGATTAAGGAAAAAAAAAAAAAAAAAAAAAAAAAAAAAAGCGATTTCTACGTTATACAAGAGTCAATAGACGGTTAAGAAGGAGAAAGAAGTGAACAAAAACCCCCTGATAGAGTTGTATGGAACAAGCAATATATAGCCATCCCTTCGTGAGGTAGTGGGTAATACAAGAGAAGGACTCAATTCACCAAACAAGCCCGATAAGAGCCCTGTGATCCCATTCGTTGCCGCTGTTTTTTTGACCGACGTATTTCCAACGGTCACTTGTAAAGGACATTTTTATCGGGATGAACACGAACCCTTCGAATTGAAATGATGGTGAGATTGATGCAAGCGTTCCATATTCTAACCTGTGCTCTTTTCTATTTCTTAACTCTTTTTATTTTTTTTTGTTTTTGTTTTACTTCTTAACCATACTATCCAGTAATAACGACATCGAGTATCACTTCTAGCCTAGTGATAATGGAAACTTCAAGGGGTACTATTTATTTAATTTCAGCAATCGTGTTGTGTAAAGCAGGGTCCACCCTTTTTTTATTTTAACTGTAGGCGGTACGTTATTAGGGTCTTTGGAAGATATAAAGCAATATATCGTGATGTTCTTCTTCCTTCCTTTAAAAATCATATTCCGACATTGGTGGAAACATCAAAGGCACCAGTGTCTTCATGAACACCATGCTTGGTTCATCTACGTCAAAGTCCGAATCTACCAGCACTGCACCTATCAACGCTTCCATTGTATCTGTAAACAACTTTGGAAACTTCATATTTCTCGAGTTCAAGTATACATCGCCTTTGGCCCCGATCAGCTCATTAATACGCGTAATCTCAGAGTCAACAATGGTTCTCTTTGAATCTTTGATAAACTTGTAAAGCTCAAGTCGATAGAATAATCTTCCAGCAATGTTACTTGTGATCATTTCATTTATCTTATTGCTGACCCGTCCCTGATCCTCCTCATCCATACATCGCATCCAATATAGGGTCACGAACAAACTCATCGCCGCGTTGCCTAAATACCCAAAGCGATCGAAACTAATTGACGTGGGTGTGAAGACGTTTTGGAGGATTAACTTGTTTTTAAAGGTATAGCCGATGATAGTCTCGATGTCCTTTATATCCTGATCGTCTAAAGTCATCAATGGCGCCGATAGCTTGAGGGAGTGTGGGAAATGGGACATGGAATTTTTCGCAAAGGCTTTGCTTAAATCCTTCCATTGAATGATCTCTGGAAAAACATCATCTCCAATCAAGTCTTTCGCTATCCACAAGGCAAAATCGAGACCCCCTACAAATAAAGCCTCAGCTAAGGTTTGCGCAAAAAAACGCTCTACTCGAATACCCGAGTTCAAGAATGCTAGGCCAGAGATATCTTTGAACCGATCGACTAAAGCCTCAGACCTGAGATAATTCTCTCGTCGCTTAAGCAATAAACTTCTTTTATTGTCAGGCGTAACAACAAAGCCCTCAACTGCCAGCAAGAACCTTAATGTTGATAACCCACAGACATTACGGGCCCGGGGGGAAACCCTGGCAACAACCGTTTGCCTCAATGACATTCCACGGACTAGGTCAAGTTTCATGCACAGAAGTAGTATGGCGTGACAAATTGCCAAGCCCTGCTCTTTGAATATGTCTGATACAACTTTGACAGAATCTGTTTGCAATCGCATATGCATCTCACATGTAAAGGCGGGTACGTCGCGAACGAGCGATTCCTTGACTTTAAAATAAAATGGATTGGGTGGGAGAGAATGTGAATCCATGAATAAGAGGAGGAAGCTTCTTGCTTGTAGAAACAAAAGAAAAGCATTGACCCCGTGGACATCAATTGTAATTGCCAACAGTCTCATGGTTGCTTCGATCTCCTCTGACATTTCAGAGCCATTGTTCATGATGATACTTTTTGCTGCGTCCCTATGATGTTCCAAGCCAGAACCATCTTTGCCTTTGTGAGGCGTCTGTATATCCATTTTTACAGAAGTTGGTTGCAAGTTATCGTCAAGTGCACCGAGTTCGTACAATCGTTTGCAGACTTTAACTGCAAGAAGAAGTTTGCCCAAGGGCTTAGTACGATGTGGGCCTGACCAAAGGCTCTGAAAAGGTGCTCCAGCAGGAAGATGTACCTGTACTATCCATGCGTTGGCTTCGTCGGGGGCCGGGGAAAAGTTGAAATGAGGCTCGGTGACCGTTGACTGTGGAGCTGAAGTAGGAGTGGTTAAAGAAGCAGAAAGTACAGAAGAATTGGCTAGAAATGAGTAGTATCTCTTCAGGACAGCCAATCCGGTATACAATGTCAAGCGAGCACCAGTGCTGGGAACAACGAATGAATCGTCAATATAATCGGCAGTGGTGGGATTAGCAGAGGCATTATTCAAGGAATAGATTGCAGTGTCTGTTTCATTATTCGACGATGAGGAAGTGGAGCCAGTATTGAAAGTTGCCATGCTTGCTTCAGTAATATCAGTAGCGGCATCGACACTTGTGCGTGTCTTCTTGTAATAATCAGCAAAATGTTGATGTTCAATCATTCTTTTCTGCGACATTACTTCAAGGAAGAACAAGCCCAAACAAAACAACTCTCTGCATAATATTATGAACGCACGTGGACTGGAATAATCTTTTATTTGAATAAACATTTGACACAAAATATTTTTACCCATCTAAAAGTGGAGACGGGCGTTAGACCGACGAGCCCATATAAGATGAAGGAAAGCTGTGTAGCTTGGCGATATCCATGCCACTTATAGGTGATAAAGCAATGTTTTTAATTCTTGCGATAGGAAGTCATTGACTGTGGAGCATTAACTAATGCCTTTAGTTGATAGCTCCATAAAGATTGCCAAGGCTTGATGGGAGGGGTCCTCTAATGCTGTCCCGGTGACTGACTTGCTTGTCGCCTGCCAGCATTTGAGAATGAACTCGAACGGTGATAACGTAGTACCATCTCTTGAGTCCTCAAGTTGAGAAAGTACAACCCCATCGCTTGTTTGTGGCGTCGATTCAGACATAGGATGGGTGGCATCATTGGTACCACCATGAATCTTTTCTCGAACTTGGTATCGAGCAGACACAAGCGACTCGACTGAAAAGATGTCAACAATGCAAGTAAGAAAATAATGTACAATGTCTGCTCGAACAATGTATCCAACTGATTCTTTATCAAGATCCAACAGTGCAGTCTTCTCAGGGTCACAATCCGGCCATTCTCCAGGGATGAGTGTTTCCGGATCGCACTGTGACACTTTTTCAGCAAAAATTAACAATGACAGAGCACAGTCTGTTTCAGGAGCCGTTCTCACATCTAGTATAAGCATTGAGGAGATTATTACTCGTTAGGCTACCTTTCTTGTATCCTCTGGTTATTGGAAAGTCAGATGCTGATCAATCCCTATACAAGACCATACCATTCTCTTGTAGAGTACTATAATGGATAGCTTTCACAATGCTCTCCCAAGCTCTCGTACACCGCTGCGTAATTAGAGGTAGTCCTGTCAGTTCAAGTTCCAACCAGTCTTCATTTGCCGCTTTCTGAATCTTGTGTTGTAGCGCAATGGTTCTGTAAACGCATTCTAAACAGTTATCCAGTAACTCTGTACGCACCCAAGATGCTTCTGTGAAGCCCAGGCCCGAAAACGTGATAGTACCAGGTACTATACTTTGACGTTCCTCCACAAGGTCTATTAAAGAGTGGAATACACTGTTAACCATCAACGAAATAGATAGTTCTTTTGGAGCTTGAATATTACAATGGCAAATGTCAACACCATACATTGACCACCAGAATTGGAGATTAATGCCACAATAAGCTTAAGGGCCAGATCACGGATATTCTCAGAGTCATCCTCGATTGCAAGCCTCAATTGAGGAAAGAGGGCTTGATTTGCGTGCTATACGAAGTACAAAGCAAGGAAAGTCCGTTAGAGATTGAATTTTTTTGACCTCAGGTTAATGATACTGAGATTCTCAAAGCATATCACCATACCTTCGGCAGCTTGGAGCCAAGGGCATAAATAAGCGAAACCCAGGAGCTAGCGCACGTTACTCGGACGCGATTGTTTTTTTCGTTCAAAAAGCTGACATGAGGAGGAGTAATAATGGTGGATATTAGTTTTCAAATAAGCTTTTTTTTTTTTTTTTTTTTTTTTTGAAGCAAAGATGTCAAGTGAGTGAAAAAACTGTGAACAAACTTACCAATCTGTGAGTGGGACGAGTATTAATTTAAGGATCTTCTCATCCCTGATATGCCCATCGATAGCAAAGCTATAGATGAGCCGACTACAAAAAGTCCATAGAATACAAGCATAACATTGCATCAGATGCTTCTGAAGTTAATACAACGCTAACTTGGATAAATAAATAAAAAAATAAAAAATAAAAATAAAAAGAATTCATGAGGTTCATCTTACGTCCATGCTTGGAATGCAGCCACCTTAATATTGGTCTTCGTGGGCGATGTTGAGTTGAAACATTTCTATGAGTGATAAATACGTCGAGATCAAAGAATTGTATTTTTTTTAAAAAAAAAAAAAAAAAAAAAAAAAAAAAAAAAAAAGAAAGAAAGAAAGAAATAAAGAAAGAGTCAGTATCATTCAGCAATGCGCCAATGCGGAGCGCCAGCTCTATTGATTAAATTACCTCTGCCATCTTAAGCATGGAGCTAAGCGCGGAGCTTTTTCTTAGATCCTTTCCTAATAATGTGACCAGGGCTCCCCATACAGTGATAGCATAGACCTCTAGGGTTATAGGAGAAGTACCCAAATGTTATTCAAACAAGATTCATTGAAAAAAAAAAAAATAAAAAAAATAAAAAGATAAAAAAAAGGGCCCTAGTCTTACCATTATTATCATTCAGGAACCGTTCTGCCAAAATCTCAAGGAATTCTGTGCCAAAGTCCTTCATGAACGCTTTAGCTGCCTGTATCCGCTTCGCGTATTCTTTTTCAATCAATTTGGGGATTGCCATCGTCAGCAGCCCCAGCGCCTTTGACCGAATGCAAGGAATGACCGATATTACTTTCATTAGCACGGGGAAGAGCCATGCTTGGACTGTCGCTACAATTTTGTACGGATACTGTGCAAACACAGAACATAGGCCCCCCAAGCACTCGCAGGTGATGCTCGGTGATTCAAAGCGGGGATTCAGGTTGCTCAAGAAAGTTTGAATCATTCGTGGGAGGAAAGGAAGCAATAAGCTTGAGGGGGCCCCGGTGGATGCAAGGGTACAGATAGCCAAACAACAGGTTTGCTCCTCGCTCGTCACGTTGATCAGATGTAAGATCTGTGTAAGCAGGGACTCGGTTTCCCCCTGAGTAAACGTGGCAGCGACCAAGTGGTCGGAAAGGAAATAGTCCATGCACCTGAGTGCTGCCTGGACTAGACTTGGAGGATTGCTCAAATCCATATCCCTCATGAAATGCCTTGCGAATGCTCGCATAGAATCTGCGGCTTCGCTTAGGTACAAAGGGATTTTATTATTCTGATTGGAGTCGGCTCGCAACTTCAGGTAAGCTGACGAGCGTACCTGAGCGTCCCCGGACTCCAACGACACAAGGGCTGCCTCCACGCAGATGCCATCCTCCGAATGGTTGCCGCGCGTTGGAGCTGGCGCTTTGAGGACACCTTTCAATTTGTTGGCCTGCGCTGTTCTTGGGCTCGACAGCTGAGGCTCCTGTTTCTCAAGAGAGAATGTGACGCCTCTCTTGGGAGCGGCTTCTTCAGCTGCAACCTGGGCGTCGTAGGCTGGTCCCGTCGCCACCTCTGTGGAGACTACATCAGCCACCGATAGCCGACGGCTCTTGGAAGAGGATGTCTGCTCTGGCATCGTGCTTTCAAGCTTCCTCTTTCTGCTCGTAGATGGGTCCAGCTGTGTGGATGAATCTGAATCCACTGTCGCTCCTTCATTTTCTCCAGTATTATCAGTCGCCGCTAGCCGCCGGCTCTTGGATGCGGAGGCTTGTTCCAACATCGTGCTCTCCGACTTTCTTTTCATACTTGTGGATGTATTCATGGTATTTGGGGTGTATACGTGTTTGAAGGAAAAGAAAAAATGTGTAAAAGTTGCTTAGAGTTTAAAAGGAAAAAGCTTATGAGAAAGGAATTGAGTGAGAGGAAAGAAAAGAGAAGAAAAGTGCGTTACAGAGACTTTGGACGGTATATTTATACCCAAAAGAAGGAAGAGAGTGAAGCCTATGAAGCCACCGAGTACCTTGGTCTTTGTACGTTCAGTAAAGAGTTTATTTCCTAAACAGTGGCAAAAAAAGTCTAAAATCAACACCCGAGTACCTTGATGCTTTTTGAAAGGAAAGGGATGAGGATTACTGATAAGGGAAAACAGCGTAATGCATCATCCATCCATCTGTGACATATTCAAAAAGAAGAAGAATAAATGTTCACCAGCATGAAGCTTGACCAGCTTCTGATGCACAGCAGGAGAGTAAATCAACCAAAGTTTATGTTGTATCTTCAGAATGACACTTTCAAAACCAAAGACCGTCTGTGTACACTTCTTGCTTTTTCTGGCCATTTTGGGACGGTGATATCATCAATAAAAAGAAAAATATATAACAACTTGATACAATTTTATGTATTAAAATATTATAGTATTAAATAGAATATAATATCTGTTTAATCACTAACGCTTTATCTTTACATTTGTTACCCAATCACTCGCTCGATAAGTGATCCCAAGTTCTTTCTCCAAAGTAGAAATGTAAGCAAAAAAAATAAATAAAGGGAACTCTATACATTAGAATAAGTAAGGATTCAAATCAAGAGATGTCGCCCACTGTCACTTGGGCGACTATGATTGGTGAGTTTGACTCCGCAAATGTGAAACAAACATTAACTGATCTTTCAACGCGTCTGCTTTATTTGAAAGCGACAAGACGTGCCATAATCGACATCAACCACGAGCTGCGAACATGTGACGACCCTGATAATAGCCGCGTAAACGCTTTTTTTTTTTTTTTTTTTTTTTTTTCATTTATTTATTTATTGTTGTTATTTCTTAAAATAAAAGGAATAAATCAAATCCTCGATTCAACGAATGAGGGCGGAAATGGACAACATGCTCTGGCACATATTGAGTATACTCAAGTAATCATTAAGCGCTAATTCTATGTCCACATTTTAAGTATTTAATAGTCTTGGCCTCAATATCATTTATGTCTATGATTTTATTAAAGAGAAAATAGAATAACGTTATACGATCAGACACTATTCAGCACTTGTTTAGTCTGGCGAGAATTATCAAGCAGGTTTACTAAAAAAAAAAAAATAATAATGCAGAAAAGAAAAAAAGAACTGCCCAATCAAAATGCCAATCCTGCAAAGGAATCATGCAAAGAAATTATGCGCTTTGCTGGACCTCACTACCCATCGTCGAGACAAGGTCTGCTGACGAAAGTCTACCGCTTGTGGACTTTTGTATATGGGCCTCATTCACTTTTCTCCACTTTAAATCAGATACAGCACATCCCCTCTACTCACCACTCAAGTATATGGAGACTAAAGCTCTTTTTCTTTTTTCTCTTCCCATGAAATTAAAGAATATGATGATATCACTCTTATTCGAGATTTATTGTTGATGTTTTGCCACCAAACTTTATTTTTTCCTATGGGCCAATAGGAGTTTTCAGACATAAATGACTCCGTTAACGCTTTGATCTCGTATCCTCTCCTCCCCTTTAATTATAAATCTCACCAAACAATAATACAAATCAAAAAAAGCCTATCCCTTATCCTGAAAAAATTAGGGTAAAATTTTACATGTAATTAGTACACAAATTTATTTAAGTTACCTTTTTTTTTTTTTTTTTTTTGGTATGATACTCCTCAAAGCAATTCTGTCTTGCTTTCAAGCAAAGAAAGACTTTGCATGTAACGCAGCTCCATTCTGTCCGAGAAGTAGTTTTCTTGCCTTCTTTTAAACTCTTGAGCCTACAATTGGCGCATGTCATCCTGCCTTTATCACCCCCGTTTTCGCTTCCTTCGGCTCTTACTGGGTAATGAAATCCCAGTAGATGTCGGTGGGGATTTGGAGTAGAATTGTTTTTAGTTATATATTTGCTTTTCGACATCTTGATGGTGATTTCAGGGTATTCCTCAGCTTCTAACTTCCTTTTTGAGTGCCTTTGCTTGATGACAACTTGGGGCCTGGAGAGTGATAAAAGTTGGTTTACAAGATTCAGACGAAATTGGCGATGTCCGTCTCTTCTCGTCGACTTGTTATTGGTACACCACAGTATGTATGAATTGATGATACTCGTGTCTAATAGCTACAAGAAGAGCGGCATCCAAGTACGACTGCACCTCATCTGAACAGTGTAGTATTGACGAAGTTGGTCTGCGATATCAACCCCACCCATATATTTGTTGTAATCATCAATGATGCGAGGGATGGGTAGTTCCTTTGTAAATGAATCACCAAAAACTTTTCGTATCTTGGGAGCATTTACTTTGTTTTCTCGCGGCCTTCTTCTGGTCTTGTTTATTAGCCAACTGTCGTCATGAAGGCTATGAATAGTCGTTAACATCGTCACAGGACCATTGTCAACCCAAAGCACAGCCAATACATCCTTTACTATCGCACCTTCTTTCTCATCCCACTCTAGACGTGCTTCTTTGAGATATTTGAGGGAAGCAGGGAAATATGGTGAGTTGAGACGAACGGTTCCACATGCTCCAATGCCGCGGTTCAACATATTCTTGAAAAGGGGGATGGTTGAGAAATAGTTGTCCATGTAAACATTGAATTTCAAGTTAGGAAACTTTGGAAGCTGTTCTACGAGGTACATAACTTTTCGTCCTGTGGTAGAGAGGGGTTCATCATCTTCACGAGATGGCAAAGGATCCCGTAAGAGTTCGACATTGGACTCTACCCGCGACTCAGGTAAAAAAGCGAATGTATAGCCCGCATCGCATAAAGCCAAAATCTTGTACCCTTCTGGAACCGGCTTTGATCTTAGTCGAAATGTTTGCTTGCTCCGGCCGGAGAAACGAATGACCATCTCGTCAACCGATACATCTCGTCGTGGGACATAATAGTGCTTGGAAGCATATTGCACCTGACGAAGGAGAGGCTGAACTTTGTCATAATAGCTAGCCCGAACGTCGTTGGACAAGACATAATGAGGATTTGAAATGTGCAAGTAGCGTTTTATCTGCTGCACTTCATGAAGAGTCATATATTCGGCTATCGGGTGGTTAGGGGCCATATCGTTATCACGGAGGAAAAAGTCTTCAATCCTTGTCGAAGGATAGACACCTCGGTACACCAGGAATGCAATGAAGCGAAGCAAAGAGTTTCTTGTCATTGGAGCCCACTCGCGAGATCCAACTTCTCCTGCTTGATGAAGCACCGCATAGATATTGGTGTTTTTTGCAATCTCGTCCAAGATATCGTCTGTAAAAAACAACTGAAAGAAGGCGGCTTCGTCTTGTTCAACATCCATTGATCGAGGGAGTCGATGGACGTATGCAGAATGGCCCATATTCGACAGTGGTTTGTATATTGGAGGCAAGGGTAGCTTCGCTTGTTTCTCATTACGGACACCTCTAGATCCTCGACTCCTTGGTTTCTCTGCTCTAAAAGAAATTTCGTCTTCATTGAGAGTGTCTTCGACATTATCCTCCTCCATCTTCAAAATATGAAGGACAAGCACCCTCGAAGTCATCGATTTGAGGCTGATAGTCCTCGTCATGAACAAGATGGTGGAGATCCATTATATGCTGACTAATGATAAAAGAAAAAGAATCGAGGGAAATTGACTGTTGAAAACACTTTTCTCCTTTGCAACTACTCCTGTTAAATAGCTATCATAGTGAAGATCATGCTGATTAATGAAAAAGAGGCTTCTAGATGATATTTATTAGAGACTTGCTAAGAAAGATTTCATTCAAGTAATTCATGCGGAGTCTTCTGAGGTTTCAAATGGAATCATCCCGAATGAATGAAGCTTTCGCACAGCCACAGGCCCTCTAAACCTTAATTGTGACATGGGTAGCCGCAATGGAATGAAAATGTCGAAAGGATCATTCACAATGAAATCTAATTTTCAATACATCTTCAGATTCTAGAGATCAAGCTCTTTCAATTTAGCCTAAGAATAGGGAGCTTTAAGTAAAAAAAGACATTTTTTTTTATAAAATTGCAACCAAAAATGGTCGGAATTCAGGATAAGGGATAGGCCCTCCATGTCTCATGTTAGCTGTTCATGTGAGTGACTTTTTTATTTTTTATTTTCTTTTTCGTTCCTTCGTTATTACGCCAATCATAGCAAGAGTTACTCCATTTCTTGACAGGCATCCGAGTCCCTGGGCCCTCTTTAGGAGCAGCCTTTCCTAAGCCCGGCGAACCATGGTGACCAGCGTCAAAACCATAAAAACAAGAAAACCCAAGAAGACCCGAAAAACGAAAAACTAAACAAAACCAAAAACTCAAAAAACCCAATAATAATTATAAAGATAGTAGACAGGTCAATAACCAATACGTTCAGGAGCCTAGCTGCGTATGGTCCTCGAGATTTTCAAGGTAACTAAGATATCCAAGATATCCAAGATACTCGAGATACCTGTTTATTTAGAAAGTTAGATCGCAGAAAAATAAAAATAAAAATAAAAAAGTAAAATACTTTTTTAACATAAAAAAGCACACCTTGAAGCCAGATAAAAACGCATCTTTTCTGAATGTGCTCTCTGTTTACGAGCAACGGTCTAAGTATCTGAATCTTTGCTAAACAGAAATTTTTAAACATTATAAATGCAGGGATGGAGTAAAATTAAAAGATGTAGTGTTTTGTCGGGTAATGTAATCTATCCAAAGAGTCATGCCAGGAGGACCCGACAATATAGAAGTTAATTTCAAGGAGGAAAGTATTCTGGAGGTCGAAGAGCTGCTGTTGAAGAAGCAGAGGAGAAGTGATGATAGAAACGAAAATTGGACTTTTTTCCGTTCGTCGCTTGGTACTGAGCCCCCTTACTTCCTTTGGCACAGCTCCGCGCTCAGTGGGGCTATCGGCTTTTCCATGATCCCTGGAGTAGGATGCTGTGCAAAATCGAACGTGTATTTATGAATCCTGTGTTGCTGGGAGGGGGTTTCCCTTCCAGAATAATTATGCACTTAACTATAAGCAAATGGAACCAGGGACTAGGGGATATTGAGGAAAGGAAGAAAAGTAGAGCATGATCCTGCATTTGAGGAGAGTGTAAAGGGGCGGATGGGCCTGTGAGTAGGACCGAGGATCTTTCCAGACATTCATAGAATTATCGGCGCCAAACAAAGGTGTTAATAATCAAAAATGGATTTTTTATTTTCCCCGGCTAGTGACGCAGATAGCCATGGTGGAAATATAAAATGATGGGAACGTTTATTTAGATATTAAAGACTCTCGATTGTCAATTACCAATCATCGGTTTATGACATTGGTTTCATTAAAGAATAATTGTACTTTGTAGCTCTTGGGAAAAGAAACACTTATTCATATCTGTATGTGTATACGCTTAAAGCTTACAGAGTTGCTTAGCAACAGTAAACAGTTTATGTAATTTTCTGATTGCTTTCTTTATAAAAGTTGTCCTATCTAAATAATTGGCCATTCCTCTTTGATATCTAACAGAGGTTTCACAACTAGGGTTCCTGGCTCCTTTGAAACATTTGTTTCCACACTCACAGGTTTGTCTAGTTGACATCGCCTCTCATCTGAAAGGCGTGAAAGGCCAATATGTTATTGTAACTCATTCATTTATTTATTTTGGGAGATCTCCCCTTGTCTTTATTTGTTGGTACAGGATGTTAGGTGCGTAATAATTGAGATAAAAATTATAATAATTAATATTTACATTCGCGCCATCAAGCATGATGTTTAACCTCTTCGCTGACAGAAGAGTATGGCTATGATTAGACCAGAAGATGAAATGGTCTCGACGTTCCTTTTTTTTTTTTTTTTTTTTTTGTTCGGCATTTTACTCAGATATCTCCATTTTTTGTCATAGACTTTCCCTGCCCTTGACAGGTCATTATTGTGAAGCCATCATGACCTCTAGTGCTGTTGGCGCTTGGAGTTCTCCTATAAGGTTCCAACCGTCTGGAGGCTCTCGCTGCCTTGTTATTCCTCGGTGATTTGCCATTGTCGCCATTACTGCTATTTCTTTTGCTGCTGCTGCCGTTGTTGTCGCTTTCGTAGTACTTGAGGCTACTGAGGCTATACCTATCTTGGGTAGCATTGAGCCGCTCAGTATACTGGTGAAGTGAATCTTTATATGAATGTAACAATAAAAGTCTTGATGTTTCTTCAGAGAACTTCGAATATGGACCATATAGACGAGCGACCTCGGCAAAGGCTTCGAACCGGGCTTTCAGAAATATGCTTTTTTTGCATGAGGCACTGCCTGATAAAGCGATAGGGCATATGACATCTTTAAGGTCCACTGATGGAGTGGGACGAGAAGGTGAAGGACCGGTAATTGACGATCGCAAGGATGAATGTCTCGAAATATAGCTTCTATAGTTATAAGAAGCATATGGACCCGTTGGTAGAGATCGAGTAGTGGTAGCGGTAGCGGTAGGAGCAGGAGCAGGAGCAGGAGCAGGAGCAGGAGCAGGAACAGTAAAAGCAGTGGTAGAAATGCTCAGCTGGGCTAATGACTGTAGCAGATCGTCCTTATGAGATCTAGGACCAGAACGAGTTATTATGTCATTGAGATGAGAACCATTGAGGGGTATCTGCTCTAGGTTCTTGTCTGGGTTTGCAACGAGCACTTGGCCATGTTCTTCTGATAGATCTGGTAGACATATCCGCATCTGCTCTAACTTTTGCAATATCTCTTGTGGTAAGGCCATTTTAAGACCCGAATTGATCTGTAGAATTTTACTGAAAAGGCTCGAAGCGTTGAACCTTATGAACAATGAACTGAGAATGAGAATGTGAACGCGAATGTAAATGCGAATGCGAATGAGGACTAAAAAAAAAGAAAGAAAGGTGTCTTCATCGAAGAGACGCATAATCGCATAATTTTTTTTGTGTATCTGTGCACCGCACCTTGGTGCCTTTGACGGTACAACACGAGATCACAGAGACGCGATTTTGTTTCTCAATTTCTGGCCAATTGTATACCACAAAACTAAAAAAGTTCACACAGGCCAATATGATGTGTTTTATTAACTGTTTGCCTTGGAAAAAAAAAAAAAAAAAAAAAAAAAATTGCTACTGGTTATTGACAAGCTCCTCATTAAACGAAGAATAGATTATGGCTGAGAACGCTTGTAGCTCCTTGACCATCGAGAGACTTTCGACATACTCGTTTGGAACTCCATTGATGATCAGGTGCACTTGTCTCGTCACTACTGAAAGTAAAGATGCCAGAGGTATAGCATCTCCCTGAGTCTCTGGGATAGGTAAAGGAGCATTCCCAGCACCGGCATCGGCGGGCATTGAGAGGAGAGAAGGATTAAATGTCGGCTGTAGCGCAAAGTTGAAACGTGCAAAAATACTCGCTAATGAGGCTTTGAGGACAGTTGTAAAATCCTGACTGTCAATAAAGTCCCTTGTCTCGTCAAGTAAATTGCGAAGTGTAGAGTCAATGATAAGATCAAACAGATCAACACCCCCTGCTTTTAAAGCTTCACGCTCTTCTCTTGCGTTATCTGGCAGTATATATTCACGCATACTAGATGGATGCAAGCATCAGCCAAAAAAGAAAAAAAAATTAGCCTTTGTCGAATATACTTCAATAACAATAAAAACGATAAGGTCCCCATTTCCTTACTTGACAAATGTACGCATGCCGTTCATGTCTACATATTCAAGTCGAGTGCGAATCTCTTCAAACAGATCAGTGAACTCTTTGGCCGTGAAGGTTTTCTTTAGGGAGATACTACCAAATCGCAGTAAATTCTCAAATCAGTATTGGCAGTCAGAAAGATGACAAAAATAGCTTAGAACTTAGGCCACTCACCCTCCAATAACGTCCTCAACAACTTCACGGACCCTCTCACTCCATCGCCGCCAGCCTTCGTGCAATAGCCAATAGCTGAATGTGAGATATTTCTTTTCTGTTTGAAAATCCAAGAGTCCATTGGTTGAAGTCAAGGAGCCCTTGGTAGATGGGGTCTCGACCCTGTACGACTGATCTGTCGTACCAGAGAGCGCCACTACGGAAGATACATAAGTGAATCTACCCAGGAGGTTGAGCTGAACTTGCGTAAGCAATGTTAGGAATGTGACTGAATATAATGCGGTGATTGTACGTGTGAAGCTCATAACTTTAAGTTCATTCCAGAGTTCTCGCTTCGCACGGCGTTCGATAGCGGCGGAATTGTCGTCTTGTTCACGATCCTGGATATTAATTCCTGGCATAGATTCACTGGCTATGGTGTTCTCCTGTGTAAGGCCATCGCCCGCCTCTGATGGTGTCCTGTTGTCGTCAGGAGTGACCCCGCTAGTTGTTGCTATGTTGCGTGCATCAGTCTCCGCCCTTTCAGCGGCATCGTTTTGTTCTTTGTCTTTAACATCTTGGGAGTTTTGATCGGAACCATCGGCTATAAATGGTCCTGGCATTGCTGTTACGGCTCTAGTATCTTCTTCACTATTATTTGGTGGCCTGGGTAGTAAGGGCATATTATTGGAAGTGGATAAGGGCATCGATCGCTGAGATCTGGATTGTTGTAGCCTGGAAGCAATCAATTCTACATTGAGTTCATGCAAAAGCTGATCACCTAAAATCGGAAGGAGGGAAAGCACGGTGAAGACACAGTCCTGTTGATTTTGTTGGAACCGACGCTTCATGCTACGGTAGATATTAGACATAGTTTGAGCAAAAGATCCATATATTTATCAATTACAATTCCTGGTAAAGAGAACATTTGCCCCAAATACAAATCGCCCGATAAAAGAGTTGCAAGAGGAGGCCTACTTTTCATTAGCAGTTCGTTCTGAAGCACTCTTCTCATGGAATTCGATGAGCTTACTCTTGGCATACTTGCCCATGAGATAGATACCACCAGTGATTCCGGCAGTAATCATCAGACTACGGCGGTTTCTGCTTGCGAAGCCCTGAACAGCAGAAATCATTTAGAAGGAATATTTGATGTATGTTACTAGGTTACGAATGGGTGAATGAAGAAAGAATTGAGGATTGAATGTAAGCAAGAATTAAATGAATGGTGGGAACAATGAAAGAAGAGAAGTAGAGAGGAAGGAAAAGAGGGAGAGAGAATAGAAGGAGACAACAAAAGCAACAAAAGGAGACAAAAGAGACAAAGAGCTGTTTCTTTGGCTCGATTGGTTTTGTGGGCAACATACATGTAAATATTTGCTTTTGTTTTTGTGGAATGTCAGCTGCTTTTCATTAAAAGAAAGTTTCTTCATGAGCGCGACCTGCATTCACGCGTCATTAGATTCAATCATTACGTGACAGCGCGTTTTTCATGCTTGCACCAAGCATTTTACCTTCATTCTTTTTCTTCATTCTTCTTACTTTTTTAACCTTCCTCTCTTTTTCTCTCCACTCTATACACACACATAAAAACAAAGAAAAACACCATCAACCATGTCTCTTCTTCGTCTTGCTGCCCGCCCTGCTGCTCGTCTGCGCCTTGTTGCTGCTCCCCTCTCCACTGGTGTGCGCCACCTCTCCTTCAAACCTATCTACGTAGCTGAGTCCACCGTAAAAGGCGCCAGGTAATGTTTTTCAGACAGAAGCTAGTAGGAAAATAGAAGCAATCCCAAATATCATCACCAATGATCGATCACAACAAATCTCATTCCATTGTGGGAGTTACTCTTTCGGATCTCTCTTTTCCCCCATGCAGATGTGTTATTTATTTTTTTCTCACGATAGCATGTATACGTGAGAGTGATGATTGAGGTTCAATGATGTATCTTTCTCTTACAACTATACTGCCTTAACGCCATAGCCGTTTTGCTCTTATCTGACCCAACTCTCATTTCCATCCTCGCTTTCTTGCTCATTCTTCTCTCTTTCTCTTTTTTCCTCCTCTTCCATAAAATATAGAGATGGACGTCTCACGACCAAGACAGGAAACCTGGACTTGAAGTTAGATTTGCCTAAGGAGTTTGGCACCAAAGGTAATAAATATTCTTCAAACTGATGTCTGCATGCCATATTTTGTCCTAGAGAGTGAGGGGAACGCCACTTCTGTCTTTTTTTTTTTTTATTATTTATTTTAATTATTGCTCATTTTCAGCCCCGGCACTTGGATGACATTTTAATGGGACACAAGGAACTAAATTAGAATCTGACATAATAAAAAATTTTACTTCTCTAGGCGGACCAGGCACTAACCCCGAGGAACTTCTCGGAGGCGCTTATGCTGCTTGCTTTGGCGGTGCTCTTGCTGCAGCTGCCAGGGAGCTCAAGATCAAATTGCCCGCCGATACCACGATCACTTCATTTGTCAGCGTCGGACCGAAGCAGCCAAAGGGGTTCCAGCTCGCTGTGGAACTGAGAGTTGCTAACACTGGACTCGAGGGTGAGCAATTCGAGAAGGCGATTGACGTTGCTCACCAGATCTGCCCCTTCAGCCATGCCCTCAAGAACATTGAAGTCAAGACCGTCAAGGCTTAAAGGAATAGAAGACAAAGATAAATAAATAAACAAACAACAGATGTCTTCTGCTGTCAAGGATGAACATAAAGGATTCTTATCTTTATTGATGAGTTGTTGGGTGCGATATTAGATCAATGTAATGTGTAAAAGAAAGAAGTCAGAAGTTCTTGCCCTCATCAGCTTTTTAATTCCTTTGACACGCTTCATCAAGCTTCGTCCGCTCTAGCCTTGTTTTGAATGATGACATGAACAACCTCAGGAAGATGCTCTCATATCATGTCAGTCATGGGTATTACTGAGGTATAAACAGATCGAATAGGAACCTTTTAAAAACATCATATACGACGCTTCACATAAAAAAGACCTCCCATAAATATATATATAAAGTTCGCTCTGATCCCAGTCGGTCGTAAATCCATATCAGTGTGTGAGATGATGTTTTGAAACTCTGATCAAGTGCTGGTGGCTTTTCAAATAAAAAAAAAAAAAAAAAAAAAAACCTCTCACTAACACCTTTCCACACTCAACCTTAATCCTTTCATTCATAATATTAACACATTCAAAGAATGGCATCAACAACTGACAGTTTGGCAGCCTCACCTGCGTTTACATTCTCTGCTTCCACATTTCAGAAATTACATCCAACAGAATATTTTCGTAAATTTATTTCACAAGGTGTCCGCCCCGATGGACGCTTACTCGACAGCTTTCGTCCAACGACGGTTCATTATGGTGTGATCACTACAGCAAATGGTTCGGCCATGGTCCGTATCGGAGGAACAACCGTTGTCTGTGGTATCAAAGCAGAGGTTGCAGAACCCAAACTGGATAGCCCTGACCAAGGTTATCTCGGTAATAGAATTTTTTTCAAACACTGGCCACTTCCTCAATTCTTCTACTGCAAATGATACAAATATTGATCTTTTTTTATTTATTTTTATTTACTTTTATTTTTTTTGTTGGCTTATTTTAGTACCAAATGTCGATCTGTCCCCAATTTGTTCAAGCGCCTTCAGACCAGGATCTCCTAGTGAACAAGCGCAGGTCGTGTCAGAAGCCATACATCGTGTCTTGAAGGAGAGTAAAGTCTTGGATTTAAAAGATCTCTGTATTGAAGAGGCAAAAGCTGTTTGGGCGTTATGGATTGATGTCGTTTGTGTCAGTTATGATGGAAACATATACGATGCTGCCTTGATCTCTGTTATGGCTGCACTTTTAAATGGTATGTTTTTTTTTTTTTTTTTTTTTTTTTTTTTTGTATGACGCTTATTATTAAGTTTATTATTATTATTTTTTTTTTTAATGTACCATTTTAAATGATATACTTTTTTCTTTTTCTAATATGTAGTCCGCATTCGCAAGCCAACATACGATGAAGGCATAGTCAAAGTACCAGGAGGCGAAGCAATTAATGATGAAAATTCCTTCAAATTGAACTTGACAAGGATACCACTCAGCACATCGTTTGTTCTTTTTGACACCGATTTAACATTGTTAGCCGATCCCAATTTTGCAGAAGAGTCAATTACACAGGGTCAAATTTCAGTAACGATTGATGAGCATGGTCGACTTTGTAGAATTTCTAAAGTCGGTGCCGCTTCAACTTCACAATCATTGTTGAAACAATGTATTGAACGGGCGAAAATACGTAGTCATGAACTTAGATCCATCATGAATCAACAATAACTTGTATAACCATTATAAAGATAGGGGGAAAAAAAAGTGTGTGTATATTATAAACATGCGATCGAGAGGGAAAAAACAAAGATAAGAAGTGGGTGATATAGTGGCATTATGTCGGATGATGCTTATGAGGAGAGAAAAAAGATTAATCAGACTGAAGGGTGGCCTGCAGTGCTCGCTTGACCTGAGCACACTTGTCCATGAGCACCTGCACTGCTTGAACTAACAGATCCTGAGGCTCAATTGATCCAACAGATTCGATAGTAACTAAAATAATGGAAAGCAAGATCATAACATATTTTTTTTAATTAAAATAATCCAGCTTATTACAATACCACAAAAAAAAAAAAAAAAAAAAAAAAAAATCAACGTCATGCAGGCTTTTCATCAACTTACAGATAAAGTGATCCCGGACACGAGTCAGCTTGACCTTGTTTTCAAATTCAGGGTAGCGAAGCACTTCTCTTGAAACAGTATCCTTCCTTGGATTGACAACCTTTGCTTTCTTAACACCATTCTCCTCCACAATGTCAACAACACCTTCAGGGAAACACGACTGGAATTTAACAGCGTCTTCTCCTACGATCTCTCCGTTGATCAAAATCTCTGGAAGCAGACGGTAGGTCGCTGTGGCCACAGGAGACCATTTTGCATGATCCTGTCCTATTCCCTTTTCACAGTGCACTTCTACATCGATCTCCTGACCCGGTCGCAGCTTTGCAATAACAATATCATCATAGACAGGTTTAATAGGGCAGTCCTTGAATTTCTCTGCTTGATCTCCTTTGGGATCCCAGATCAGATCTCCAGAATATACAGTTGAATGAATATATTTCTTCAGAGGATCTGTCTCTGTAGCAGATGCGTTGGGATTACGTTTGCAACGAATGTTCAACCGGAGGACAATAGTGTTGATATCTGTTGATGTCTCTTCCTTGGCTTTAAAATCAAACTTTGTAGGATCTGCCAAGATGGGAATCAATCCCAACCGGTGTGCCAGAACCTCATCCACGACAACTGAAGTGTTGTTCATCACAAAGACTTGAGAGATCGCCATGGTTGGGACTTCCGCAATGAGGATACGTCTGAAAGCATTGGCGATCGCTGCATCAATCCCGACCATATCAAACTCGATTTCATTCTTTGAAAGACGGTTGATTTTGACCTTGAAGTTCTGTTGTTGTAATTTTTGTTTTTTGTTTTTTGGTTGGTATCCGTTTAGAGTTGATAGTGCAGACAAAAAGTTCAAACCGACAAAACTTGTTGGGTCAGTGACTCGAAGCAATTAGCTATTAACACATGACCTCTCCCTCTGGTCATGACCACAACTTTCTTTACCTCTTTGAACTTTTCTAAATCAAACGCCAAATCAAGGCCTGGATAATTATGGGGATAATCTGTCGAAGCAGTCTAAAAGTAAGGAAAAGTTTTTTTTAGCAATATTGGTAAGCGTGCTAGTTTGCGTTGTCTTTGCGTCCCGGATATATATATATTTTTTCCTTTATTTGCAAACCGCTGTATATCCAAGCTGCATGCTTTTATTAGTTTATAAAAAAAAGAAAAAAAAAAACATACACTAGTAACACGGTCTCGCTCTACAATGACACGAGAGCGTAGTGTCTCTATATCATTATGCTTGAAGTCTTTCTGTGTGACCATGGTTGAGAATGTAAAGCTCTTTGCTGTAACTGAAGGAAGTAATGTCAAGTTTGAATGAAAAGAGTGTAAGGAATACTTTTTTTTTTTTTTTTTTTTTTTTTTTGTTTACTAAATCTATGAGGCTTAGCACGACTGCTGGCCCAGCATTTACTCTCACGCTGTGATTTGGATTTGGCTCTGTGTGTTGTTCTGGCTTCTGTGATGGCAAGTAGGACGCTTCCCAACAATTTTACTGTGGTATACGTGTTATTATTTATGATAAATGATTAGATATAGTAATTAGGCGGTATTAACATGAAGAGAAGAAGAAAGAAATACAGTGATGTATACTACTATTACATGTACATTGCTAGATTACTACATGATAAGGCATGACTGATCGGAATCCGTCCAATGGCGGCCTGTAATGGCCTCCATCTCCTCCATAGCTTGTTCACGGCCCGATTCCTTGCGCTTCTCTTTGATCTCTTTCGGGAAATATAGCTCCATAAAGCTCATCAGTGAAGTATCCAAATTACTGGCATCCGCATCTAGCACAGTGTTGGGTCCACGACAAATAGGGCAATGAATCATCTTCTTGCGTTGCGCTTTGATCAAGCAACGGACACAGAACACATGTTGGCATCGAAGACGAATAGGCTTCCATGCCACAGCTTATAAAATAAAAAATAAAAAAATTAAAGCCAATAATTAAATCATCTTTAGAGTTTGTAACAAAACAAAACAAAACTACTTACACATGCAGATGGGACAAGAATAGTCATCCGGTTGAGGAATAATCGAAAGAAGCTGGGTCCCGATGGTGTAGGTCAGCGATTTTGAGATGTTATCACTATAGAAAGGTTCATTCTGCAAATGCTTTGGGAAACCAGAACTCGCGCTAGACAGGCCATTACAAAAAGTGATATTTAAAAAAAGGCCCAAATCCAAACCAATTAGATACAATCATTCAAGGGAGAGAGAAGGAAGAAAAAAAAAAAAAAAAGCAACGGGGATAGAACCAACGCAAGAACACTTACGTCAGGTTTGTCCTTTTATCGTGCTTTTTTAGGATCTTGATCATAGCCATCTGATTCAATTCCCTGAATTGCTTCATCATGATCAGCTCCGAGTTTAGCTGAAAAAATGTGTTGAATGCAACTTTACTCTTCGACTTTTTAAACTTGTGCGTTAATTTACTGCGGTTCATCTCCGCTAGGAACCATTGCAGCTGTTTCTGCGCCTTTTCTGATGATCGTGTCGAGCGATCTGCTTCTTGGTCCCCCACAAAGACCTGGGCATCCAGATAAACCTTAAGGATCTCGCGCCATGTATACATATCCTTGTTCTGAGGAGCCGACACGACCGTGAGGATCTTGCTCAAATCCTCAACCTTGGACTCGAACTCGCGCTTATTCGCCTCTTGTAATTTGCTTAGTTGAGAAATCTCTTCTCCCAGTTGATCAAAAAATGCCGTGTCTGCCGTCAACTCAATGACGAGGACCCTAATTATAAAACAATACCGCGGGGTATTTAGAGTCAGTTTGTATTAGAGAGATAATACAGTGCAAAAAATAAAAAATAAAAATAAAAATAAAATAAAAAATAATAAATGAATACCTTGTTCCATCTTCCTCTGTAGTAATGAAAGTGGATGTATCATGCTGTGGCTGCGGCTGATGTTCGCTCAGGGCACCAGGGGTGATGATGGTCTCTATAGGTTCTACCGTCGAGGATATGGATGTGGATGTAGATGTAAGAGAAGATGATGACCTTTGCCTCTGAAGTGAAGGTTCATCAGCAGAGGATTGTGATGATAGTGGTATGGATGATATCACCTCAGGCACAGACGTTGTGATCTCGGGCTGCTGCTCAGTATATTTCGATTGGATCGAAGGTTGCGACGATGGTAATGAGATTTGTAATTCATCTGCTCCTATAAATTGTGGCGTTGTGCCTGGGGTAGGTCTGTGCGTTCCTTTAGTCGACAAAGTTGATGGGTGATTTAGACTGTCGCAAAGGTGTGATGATGAATCATCCCTTGCAGCTGCGCCGTCACTTGCGGCTGTCGTAATTGGTGCGTCTGCATCTGCAGGAAACAAAAGCGGAGAATTCAACTTTGAGGTCGCGTGCCCCGTCGTGTCACAGTCGTCATCACTGACCACAGAGTTATTCTCGAAGCTTTCTGTGGATGAATCATCTAGAAGATCCAAGAGACTGTTTTTGTTATCCATTTTGCTCTGATCTTCTTCAGGTGTTGTATCTGTCTCAGCAGTAGCAGCAACAGACGTCGGTAAAGATACACTGTCCTGGGATAATTGCTCATGCAGGTCGCTCGAAGAAGAAGATGCTGAATTGCTGACAAAGTGTACTTCATGTTCGAGGAGTTTGGAAAGCTGCTCTTCTAATGCAAGAGGTACGGGGCCAAGAGTCTTTGCGTTCTTTGTCCCAGATTCAAGGTCATCAATGACAACCTTGATGCAGGTCTTTAGATGCTGTTTATCGTCTAAAACGAGAATTGCAACGGCGGTTAGATTTTTTAAAAAAGGGACACAATGATTCGGTCAGCCAGGAACAGGGAAATCTGAGTATTAATTATTGAGAGCAATGTCGGCTACAAAAAAAAAAAAAAAAAAAAAAAAAAGGAAAACAAAAGCGAGCAGGGTAATTTCCTCACCATCAAACGAATACTCGAGTCGATGCATGTTGCCAGATAGAGATTGAGTGAGTAACTTTTTAATGATGGGTGAAGGTAGACCTCGGTCGTCGAGTTCCTTTACGATAGCATTGATCTTCTTTTTCAACGACTTGTAATGGATAACGTATGGACGCCAGTCTTCAGGCATAGCCTCAGTGCCAGTCTCGAGTGTCTTGCCAAACTTCATTGTGAATAAGACAGGGTCAAGTCAACTCGATCAAAGGAATGAGATGAAAAAGAAAAGCTAATGACTGAATGGTGGTAAAAAAAAAAGGTTTAAAAGAAGAGAAAGAAGACGAAGAAAGGGGTTGTAATAAAAACTTGACGATCGAGAAAGAAGGATTGATTGTTGTTGGAAAGTGGGACAATCTAATGAATGGAATTAAAAAAAAATAAAAAATAAAAAATAAAGAATAAAGAGCGGAAGAGAAAGAAATTAATGACTGTTCAGGGAACTAAGAAAATGTTGGCCCAAGCTGTTCTATTTTGCAGTGTGGAGATTGGCCTAGCTGTTTTCAGGTTTGGGGCGTTCCGCTGCACTTGAAATAAAAAGCACCCCACGAGACCTGTTGCCCCATTTGGAAAACCCCTGATGACTTGTCTGACCAATAACTGCTCTTCAAAAGAACATTCCCATCTTCGAACATTCGAGCCATGCCATGGAAGCAGGTTTGTAACTGCAACTGAAAGAGATTATAAGACTTTGACTGTTCGCACTCGCCTGAATGACTTTTCCTGCCGCTTTTTTTATTTTATTTTTTATATTTATTTTTATTTTTTTTATTTTCTTTATTTTGGCCTGATCATAAACTAGAGCCGCCTATTGTGCCCAGCCAATGAATCCGCATCTCAAAGGCCATGTCATAATATAAAGATCAAACTATTCTTTATACAATCTGTCCATGTAAACCAATTAAAAGGAGACGGTAAAGATGCAAACCGAAGCAAACGTGAGAAGAGGGATAAGGACAAGTTGCTGTTCAAACACTGCAAATCACTTGTTGAAAGCTTCGTGACCACATTAGACTTTGCAAGTACATCAGCATTGGCAATAAAGAAGTTGACTGTCTATCGAGCCTGAGGACTGATAACGCCCATTTCAACTTGTTGCTCAATGAGCTGAAAATCGCCAGGCTGATCAATCTTAACACACAGAGTACATAGACTTCATTGCTAATCTTATTTTTTCGAATCAAAGTCTGGTTCGAAAAATCTGCCCTCATGTACAGAATAGGCTTTTTTTATATTCAATAGCACTTTGGAATTGATCACGATGGCAATGGCTGTCTATCTGCCCCATTGTTTCTTGCAGCGATGGTGAGAGTGAGTACTAATAACAAATACCCTTAGTGCATAAAGTAAGTAATGTAAGGCAAGCCACCGTGGATATTCGTTATTCCAAAAAAAAAAAAAAAAAAAAAAAAAAAATCATGCATAATGATATCATGATCGCCACACCGGCAATGATTCATTAAGATTTGTCATGCCAAGCAGTGCTTATGGTATATTCAGGGTTGGTTATTGATTGATCACATCAATTCAGGAACAACATTGAGTGAGCTCACAATGATCTTGTCAAAACTGTTTTTTTATTTAAGTTGATATGAATTATGAAAATGTCGGATGGCTGAAAGAAAGAAAAGAAAAAAAAGAGATATAAAGGATTCCTAGAAAATCATCTGCCGCGTTTCTATGCACTCTACCAAAAACAAGCTGCCTATTTTTTTTTTTTTTTATTTTTTTTTTAGGCAATAGCACCAATCAAAATCTGGCTCACTTCTTCATTTGCAGATCGAATTGCCAACTGAAGAGTCACACCTGTTGCAGAATCAAAAGTCATGCGGCAGCGAGCCAATACACGGATACCTCCAATGAAAATACCCGACAGAATCATGGTATGCACGTTCGATCCTTGAATTGTGCCGGAATTTTCAAGTGCCTGCATGCCCAGTAGTGCAATCAAGTCGCGGCAAGCATCCTGCAATCCAGGTGAGGTCGTCAATGCCAAAGTCTCAACAACTTCGTGTTCACTGCCCAACTCCTCCCATGCCTTATTGAAGCTAGGAATATAAGATGGCAAGACAAAGTCGGCAATCGCCAGCGACACCTCCTCAATCTGGTAATCGCCCTCAAAGCCCTTTTCATCAGGTTCTCCTGTCTGTGGGTCGCAGTCCTTGTCAATGAACTTGAGCTCATTCATAAATGTAAGTTCGGGATACTCTTCCAAAACAGTCCTCTCGAATGCGACATAAGCAACACCAGGAACATCATACACCAACTGAGGTGCTGGAATCAGCACACGTTCAACAAGTGAGGATTCATCATTATCGGGTGTCATCAACACATTGACATCTTCCAAAACCCTATCGTTCAAAGTGTTCTTAATGTTGAACTGGAAGTCGTACGGAGGAAAATATAATAAAACAAAAAAAAGATTGTTAGGAAAAAAAAAAAAAAAAAAAAGATATAAAACTTCTGATCAATGTTATAACAACAAGAATGGATGAGGGCGCTGTACCTGGAAGACAACATGATGAGCAAAAACATGCTTAACACAGGTAACGACGTATTCCGTCTCAGACTCGGTCAGCTCGATAGGCTTAGAAGTAGATTTGAACAAAGGTCCATACGAGGCAAACTCAGGTACTTCGGCCAACTTTTGGGCATAGACAGCTTGCTGATCCAGTGAAGGGGTAGTAGACAGAGCTGGACGAGCGCCCGCTCCGTTGGAAACGCCACCGGAGTGAGGGGGAGAGATGTTGCCACCCAAGGTCTGAATAGCACCAGCCTGTTCCTGAGGACCTCTGGATTCCTGCTCCTCCTGACGTGAGACCTTGGGGACAGCGGAGAGATCAAAAGGCGTGTCCGCCAACTCTGGATTGGAAACATAGTTAAGGAGTTGGCGCTCAAGATAGGCAAGAGCATATGTAGAGTCGTCCTTAACATATCCCCTTTCATCATTGCTCTTCATAATATTCAGATACATGGTGACTCTGTCACGAACCTCGTCATCAGCATCATCCAAGCAACGGTTCAACAGAACCTTCACGCTCTGCTTGACAGATTCGTCTTCGACATTCACACCAAATTTGGCCAAGGCGCTGACAGCAGCACCACGAACCACTGCGTTCTCAAGAATGACGCGATTGTAGATATAACGGATATATTTGGTGGGTTGTGGGCATTTAGGACCCTCCACTCCAAGCAAGTGAAGTATCTTGACTGAGAGTTTTGAATACTCACAATCCTCAATGATCTCACACAAGTGAGAGAGCGCTGCCTCCTTGGACTCTGGAATATACTTGACAAAGTTGAAGATAGCCTCAACAACAGCACGCTTGAAGTCGTATCCACCGTCATCGCGAAGAGCGCCACTGAGGAAACTAAGCATAACATGGTGCTTGGCAGGGAACTTGATACAAAGTGAGCCAACAGCCTCAACAACCAATACCTTGGACTCGTCTGTGATTTCTGACATAAATCCACTGATCTGCTTCATCAGACGTTCCACAGATGCCTCATTTCCAGTCTTTAACAAGGTGGTGATCGCAAATGTTGAGATACTCCTGTTTTGGTCCGTGATCATGTTCTCCATGTCAATATTGCAAGGAGCAACTGCTGCGGGCTGCGTCATGGCCAACTTGTTAAGAGCGCGTATGGCAGCAAACTTGATGCTTGGTTTACCCGATGACAAAAAGTTTTGCAACGTGGTGACAGCAGGGAACAGCTCCTTGACAGTAGCATCCTTCATTTCACAAATAGCTTTAGCAGCCTCCAGGTTGACCATTTCGCTCTTATGACGCAGCCATCCCTCCAATAACTCATACACAGCGCGAGTCGAGCTACAAGAAGGGAATAACCAATGGAGAAACAAAAAAATCAATATATACCCATAAGAGTATGATAACTGGTTAAGAGAAAAATTGTATTACAGTCACGATTCCATACCTTGGATCTTCCTCCATGACCTTGCATGCATAACGGACCAGAAGACATTGAGCAAAGGGGGAACGAAGTATGGAGCCACTAAGTCCGCTCTTGGCAGCATAGTTCTGTACTAACTTGGAGACAGCCATGCGATCTTTTTGACGAATGGCATACAACAGACCAAGGGCATGATACTGAACAATGTTTGAATTGGATACAGCAGAATAGGTTTGAGGCACATTTCCAAAGGATGTTACATAGGATGTAGCAGCGGAAACAGCCGATTGAGGTTTGGCGTTGATGGCTTCCTGAGCTTCGTTGGCCCAGCGTTTCACAACCTCTCGAGCAACGCCATATAAATGGTATGAAGACACTAGAGCAGCTGATGAGACCTTTGCGTTCTTGTCCACAATGGCTGCCTTCAAAAAGCGCTCCAATCCCTGCAACATGGAAGCCTAGATCATGAACGATATATACATTAAGGTGAATTATCAGTACCTGAATTGGAAGAATTCTACATGATCCATGATTAGGATAAAAAACAAAGGAGAAAAATGCTGACTGGCGATAAATGACTTACATCTGTGATTTTGCGAAGGACTCTAATGGCATTGGCGCGGTACATGACCTCAGATGTGGGCTGCATGTCCTTCATCAAGCTGCTAGTGACCATAATAACATCCTCAGCGACAATCGACAACTCCTTGATGACCAAATAGACCATTTGACGCAAAGCCGACTAGTATCAAGTTTACGTAAATAGATAATGTTTAAGAATAACAATAAAAGTATGAGATTAAGATATAGCTTGTCACAGGATGTTTTGCAGAAGCAGGGTTTGAACATTCAATACCAATGAAAAACAGTCAGGTCAATGGAGTGAGAAATGTTCTGAACTATCAGCCTTGTCGGATACTTACATCCTTTGATTGGAACAGCTTTGTAACGCTGAAAAACAGCTCTGTGGCTTCAGTTGTGCCAAAAGTCTCTCCCTGTGAGATTAGGTAGAGAATCTTTGTCAAAAGTGCGCGGCATTTGCGAGCATTGATGGGCGACTCATTGAAAACACGCGCCTCCTGCAGCACAGTAGTCTTGTCAAAGTAATGGTGATAGCCTATCCTGCCTGCTCAAGTATTGTTTGGTGATGCATCAAGGCAAGTTGTTGGCGTCGACAACGGATATTTGTGAATAGGAGAATACAATAAGTATCAAAAACTAATAATGATTATAATCATCATCGACATCGACGGATGAAACAAATTTTTCCAGTCAAGATTATTGCCTCTTACCAGAGTCTTCGTCTCTCTTGGAATAACTCATCGTGTAAGAATAATCACTCTAGGATACTAAATGGGGTGATTTAGCGGTACGTGATGTGATTTAGTGAGTTGATCACTAAAGAGAGAGAGAGATGGCGAAAAAAAAAAGGGGAAAATCGAGACGCGTTGTGGGCAAATGGAAGTGGGAGAGAAGATGCAGGGAGAGAGATGCTTTTGCCCAAAGATGATAAGAAATGGAGAAAAGTGAGAAGTGAATAAATGATGTTATTCAAATAGAGACGTGTTTTCTCACTGATGGACTGATGGACGATGGGACTGGATGATGCGATTGCAAACTGACACGTCGCAGAGGAAATTGGCTTACAAGGAGAGATAGAACAAATCATAAATATAAGTGATGTTTATATAAACGAGCGTAGCAGAAATGATATTCAAAAGATGCCCTCCCTTATCTGACATTACTCGCCTCCCCTCACATTTGCTGAAACTTGTATTTGTTCGTGTACGCCACAGACATGTGTCTCCATGTGTGACCAGCCCGCAACCGAGGCATGCACGCGCTTTTTTTTACTTCTCACTGTTCACAACCTCCACACTTTCCCTCTTCCCCTCTTCTTCGTCCTCGTCCTTTTTCTTGTCCGGTTCCTTTCTTCTACTTGACGTCCATCCATCCTTACTCACAAGGACAAAGCTCTCACTTGCACACTCTCTTTTCTTCTTCCTCCTCCCTCACATTTCCACCATGAGTGACTATACAACCATTGACGATGGTCAGTCATGGAGTTCACATGACGGTCAGTCATGGAGTTCGCATGACGTGCTTTTTTTGGGTTCAACTGAACAGGTAGACTATTCAAGTTTATCATCAACCGAACTATTATGACTAAGAAGCAGATCCTTTAGACGAGAAAAGCAAAATAAAGAGGACAAGCGATCAGAGCAGTGATAGCACAGCTTTTTTTTTTTTTTTTTCTTTTTTTCCACTTGAGGAAGATGACTTTTACAAGGCCTGGCATCATACTTTTATGCAATCTGTCTTATTTATAAACAGCTAAGAAAATACCGCCTTTTCCAGCTACTGCTTTGAATCATGATAAGCCTAATCTGAAGATCCTCTTTTTATTTCTTGATCTATTTTGCTACTGGACCATCTAGGAAAGGATGATCGAACAAGGGGCGGGTAAGTGAATCTATTCTGGAGATGATAGGCTGTCCCTTTCAAATGCATAAACCTTTTCTAGATGGTAATGAAATACCTAAACATAATGGATGATCCTTTTTTTTAGGCTTCACGGTCCTGGTTTTTGTATCGCTCACCCTCCTGTTTTCAATCATTAACACACACAAATCAGGAGCACATCTCATGCTTGGCTTTATTATCACAGGATTCGCATTGTGTCTGGGACATTTGGTAAAAAGAAAAGGACAGATGTTATCCGAACTTATTTTAAGCTCTTAAGCTCTCAGTGCCAATGTCCTAATCCACTTATTCTTGTCTGGCTCTACTACACTTTCTAAACATTTAGCTTAGGGCATGGAGAAATGGCGATCTAGGTAAGAAATTTTATTTTTCCTTTTCTACTAAAACAAGCTCCCTCTTTGATCTATGTACTGTTAGCTAACCTTGTTTTATTTTATTTTTGAAAATAGATCCAAAGTTCAAGTACTTTGTAAGGAAACATGGTTCAAAAAAAAAAAAAAAAAAAAAAAAAAGTTTAATGTTCTGTAGATTATCAACTTACCCCTCTTTGATTTTACCTTTTTTTGTAATTGCAATTTTTTTACTAGATCCTTGCTCAGACTGTCCTCCTCACACTGCTGTGTATCATTGCAAACATTTACTTTTGGCAGTAGACTTTTTCAAAAATAAAATGGATGTAATTGGATTTCATTTGTATGGAGAAAAGGCTCCAGAACTATGTAAAAAATAAAAATCTTGTACACTTTTTTCTTTTTTTTTTTTTACCACTTGACAACCTCTGAAAGTGGAATATCTCTCTCGCCACGACGTCCACGCTTGCCATCCTCTCCTTTCGATCGTCCATGATCTTCTTTCCAACTCTTGGTCATCTTTCCTTTGATGTCATCCCATGATAATTCTTCCGCATCCTTAAGTTTTAATGGATTCTTAACTGCAGCCCATAAACCCTCCAGATCTCGCTCTTTTCTGGCCTCTGGCGTCATGAAATGAATAACAACCGACCCTGCATCGATCACCACCCAATCAGATGTATCACGACCCTCCATCACAGGTGGACTACTCTTGGGGGAACTCCTCTTGAGCTAATTTTTTTTTTTTAAAAAAAAAAAAAAAAAAAAAACAGCAGTAATAAAAAGCGACAAGGACAAGTTAATGAACGTTTAAAACTATAAGCGTAGCATCGACAAAAAAAAAAAAAAAAAATAGAAAGAAAAAAAAGCTTACAGCACTGTAAACTTGATCTGCAACATTCCCAAGATGTCTTTCACTCAGTCCTTCACAAACAACCATCCATTCTGTCCAATCACATTTGTCTCTCATATCAATCACTTTAATATTCTTGGCGCGTTCAGATTCCAACATCTTGAGAAGTGCTGAAATAGAGTCTGCAGAATGTTCATGCTGCTGCTGTTGCTGCTGTTGTTGTTTCAAACTATCCATTTCAGTAGGTGATTTTTGAGTATTCTTTAACCATAATGGCACAAAATCAGAAGAGGAAAATCCTTCTGTTGATGGTGTTGCTGTAGTTGTTGAAGCTGTATCAGGATACGACTCATCTACAAACCAAGAAAACTCTTTCTCTGATCGTTCCTTATCCGTGAGCAACACTGATGTGGATGATGAATCTCTGGATTCAAAATCGCGTTCATCATCGGGATGTGATTCCTGATTCAAGCCTTCAATCTCTTCTTCACCGCCTGGATATAATTCTGGGAAATCATTAGGACTAATCCTTTCAACGCCTTCATTTCCAACCATGAGATCATCCACATCTGAGAGAAGGTCCTTTCTCCTATCAAAGCTACTATTGCTGCTGTCGTTACTGTCTTCGCTATCATCTATTCGCGGTGCTCCTATTCCTGATACTGAGGGTCCAGATTTATTGATATTGACATGATCATGATGTATCTCTATTTTACGAAAAAGCCTTGGTGTGGTGCTGTAATAACAATGACTGCCTCTTTGAGAGGCTTTAACATTCAGCTCACTGACGACGACGCGAGAAGTGTAGGTGTTCTGTGGCGATGATTTTGACAAATATTGATTTTGAGAAAGAACTTTGCGGCGGGCAGCAGCAGTGGTTGTCCAGAACTGTCTGCCTGAACGAGATAATGAAGTGCTAAACATTAGTTTTTCTTTGTGAGTATGTTGAGGTAAAAAAAAAAAAAAAAAAAAAAAAAATATCAAAATATCAATCTCATTTCGTGAGAAAAATCATTATTATTAGGTCATTATGAATTACCCAAGCCACTAGTCAACATTATAAAAGAACCACATCGATTGTAAAAAAAAATAAATCAGTTCCTGTCTCCTTTGATGCTGTACTCTGATCCGTCAATGAATCACTGTCGCTCAGCTGGTAGGGATTTTTTTTTGTAAAAAAAAAGATCTCGCTGGACATTGTGAGACAGGTAGATCAGACCACAAAAGCCAGGCTATGAGTCCGACTCAGTTGCAAATCTTTACAATTGAATCGGAATTTAGCAAATTGGTACATTTATATATTTATATATTTTTTACTTTCTAATTCAAACCAAAAAAAAAGAAAAAAGAAAAAAAAAAAATAGTGCTGATGACATCAATCATGATCATTTTACATGTGTACTAATAATATAAATACTCGTATTCGTCAAAGAGAGAGACCTTGATGTAATCACAAGTCTTGGCTGGTGTTGACATTTGCTTAGAGCCAGGTCATCAGCTGAAGAAGAAAAAAGAAGGGACCTGATTTCAATTCGCTTCTGGCGTAATTAACGAAGTTTTTTTTATTTACAGATTGAATATATTTTGTTTTCCATTATCAATTTTTTTTTTTAAGCAGCAAGCAGCTTCTCAATATCCTTGGCAAGTGACTTTGGATCAGTTGTCGAGGCATAACGCTCATAAACAGTTCCGTCCTTAGCAATCAAGAATTTCTCAAAGTTCCATTTGATACGGCTCATCATCAAGCTCTTCTTCTGAGACTTCAAGTAAGTATACACGGGGTCTTCATTATCTCCATTGACATCGACCTTATCCATCAAAGGGAATGATACACCAAAGTTGAGCTGACAGAAACTTTCAATCTCTGTTTGTCACGAAATAAAAGGCAGAAAATAAAAAATGTAAGCATGTTGTGTACACTGAGAAGATAAAAAGAATATCAATCTTGCATATCGTGTGTGTTTTTTTTACCTTCGTTTGTACCGGGTTCCTATAAAGAGACAGTGAATATCAAATAGTACAAATTCAGGACCAAGTTGTTAGTTCATTTATGACAAACTTTATGTTTCTAGGCGCAGGCTTAAAAGGAAGACAATTTTAAAGTCTTTACCTGACCACCGAACTGGTTGCAAGGGAAGCCAATGACGACAAAGCCCTGGTCCTTGTATTTCTTGTAAAGTTCCTCAAGAGCAGCGTACTGTCTAGTGAAACCACACTTGGAGGCAACATTGACGACAAGGACGACCTTGCCTTCAAAATCCTTCATGGAAACCTCTTGATGCTTCTTGTCTTTGGCGGTCAAAGCGAAAAAGTTGGGAACAGACATGCTGAGTTTTGTTTGCTAAAAGTTTTTGCTGTTGTTGTTGTTCTTTTTTTTAGTTGGTCAATTGAATGAATGAGATTGCTAATGAGCAAGGAATGAAGTGTACAGAGAAAAAGAAAGAGGGGAAAAGCCAATACCTTTTATATTTGAGTTAAAGAAGACAATTAATTTTAATTTGCAATAACCAGGTGACAACAAACAAACAAAAAAAAAAAGCAAAGAACGAGAACATTCGCCCATACGCACATAAGCACATAAGCACATGCACGGTCTTGTCCCGTCGGACTCGATCATATTTGTTGTATTTGTATATTTGGAGTTGTGATACGTGTCGTAAATGATCAACGAATAAAAACCTCTCCCTTTTTCCTTTTTCGCAGTATGATCGACGTTCATCAAAGTGTCCGGGCTTTTGGAGGCCGGCGCAGTCACAATTTCGAATTCTGATGAATGAACTCTAAAATGTGGCCTTTGCTTAATAATACCTGTCGCAGCAGCATGGCCACTCCCAGAGATGCGCTCCTTCTCTATGACTGGCTTTGAAATATTGGGATTGAGTTAGGCTTTACGTAGATGCTGCAGGTTTGTTGAAGAATTTTCCCAGAAAGCTGTGTGTTTTGCTCTCTCTTTTTTCATATGTTCTCTATCATCAATCGAAAGGCTACAATTCATCAACATGAAGAAAGATAGAGAGAGTTTCGATCTGTATAAAGACTATAGATGGCCTTTTTTTTAAAAAAAAAAAAAAAAAAAAAAAAAAAAAAGCATGTTTAAACTGGTCAAAAAGACTCCTTAACTATATGAACCAAGGTACTTGATACTTTCTTGCAAAGAAAATCCTATTGATCGATCGTAGGATGCTGATGATGCTTGAATGAACTATCTTGTGATCATAGTCATCGGACTGAATGCCATCACTAAAATCCATAAGGACATTTCAAGTACAGATTTCTATCTGACCATTGAGGAAGGAATTCTTCAAGGTAAATAATCACATGAGTAGCTTTGTGCTTAGCCCAAAATCCACTGTATCCCTTATCCTGAATTGCGACCAAAAATGGTCGCAATTTTTTGAAAAAACTCAGTTAAACAACATTCTACTAATTGCGACCCCCCCATTCTTAAGCTGAATTAAAAGAACTTGATCTCCGGTATTACGGAGGTACATTAAGAAATGCATTTCATTATGATGATTCATTCAGCATGCACATTCTAATACGACGACCAAACTATGAGCTTATTTTTTCATTCATTCATTCGAGAATGAGAATGGTTAATCTATTTTTATTTCAATTGAAACTATGCCTTCATGTCTTTCAGAGGCATTTGGTGTCATACTGAGAGAGAAAAATAATAAAAGTGTCACTTTTCTACGCTTCCATATCGCTAAGCTTTTATGCTATTTCCCTTCAACTTCTATCACGATGGATCTGCAATACATTGTTAATGATGAAGACTATCAACCCCAACTTGACTTTAAAGATTTGGATCAAAAAGAAAGATGGACATCGCCAATTTCGCTCAAATCTTGTAAACCAACTTTTAACGCTATCTAAGTCTCAAGTTGTCATCGAGCAAAGGAACTCAAAGAGAAATGTAGAAACTAATGAGTCTCTGGAGGCTACTTTCAAGATATCAAAAGGCCCATATATTACTAAACACTCTCTTCTAAGCCTCGTCGACATCTACCAGGGTTTCATTTCCCGATAAGAACCAAAGAAAGTGAAGGAAGAGATGTTAAGAGTAGGATGGCATGTGAAAACTACAGGATTAAGGGTATTAAGGAAGGCAAGAAGTCCACCTCACGGTCAGAATGAATATGCGTTACATGCAGGGTTCCTCTTTGCTTGAAAGCAAAGCAGAGTTGCTTTGAGGAATATCACACCAAATAAAAAGAAAAAATAACCCATAATATTTTGCGTACAGTTTTCCCTCACTAACCCGTTGATTTTCGACGGGTTAGTGAGGGAAGGCCTCTATTCATTTTAATTCAATAAATATATTTAAACTTTATTTTTCTTACATTCATTATTCTGATTCAATTCCTTCATTCCTTCATTCATCTGCTGATTCTCTCTCAATAAATGACGATATTCATTAAATAGCTCCAACTGCTTTTGCACAGCGACCCAGCGCTTCATCAGATGAGGGTTATCGATTTCATGTCGAGCATTCATAAACTCTAAATAGTTTTCCATCGATTCCTCTTCATTTATCTCTTGATAATCATGTATAGTTGGACTTGAAGGAGGGGATTCAAGCACATCCTCGATACATTTTTCAGAGTGCGCGGAGTCTTGGGAACTCGAGTCAGAAAGACTGAGATTATAGTCGACATCATCTTCATCGTCTTTCTCTACCTCATCGCCTTCGTAAATGATATCATCTTCCACGTGGGGAATGAAGCGGTGTCTGTACTTTTCGAGAGCCATTATCTTGTGGACAACATCACTAATCAGCTCAGAAGGCCCTTCACAATAGTTCATGATAAGATAGTTAAGCACATTAATGTCCTTTTGTTTGGTGACCTCCTCTTCGTCTCCACCATATTGATTAACAAGCTTGTCTTGAAGTTTGAAGATATGATCTGCTTTTGACTCAATTCCAACAGTGCTCCTATTCGGTTTAAAATTTTGTCAATTGATATTTATTTTTTTAATCTGAAACATCATAATTGACAAAATTTTAAACCGAATAGGAGCACTGATTCCAAGCCAATGCAAATGACTCCTTTGTTCGAAGGTCAAGATGGGAACCTCAGCAAAGCAGTTGCGGATGCAGCCTGGAGTCACTGATTCCCAAGCTCTAGCGATACATGACCAAAATATCGCGTTGGATGGCAAAGCAATAGCTGATTTTTTCTTTGCCCTTACACGCGCCACGGCCTCAAGCATACTACTACTATAAAGGGCTTTGAACGATCTTATAACGCCTGCATCTAGAGGCTGTGTCATTGCCGTCGTGTTCGGAGGAAGCCGAATGACCGTGATGCTCTTGAGCTCAATTGCCTCACAGTCCTTGTGTGCTGGTGCGCTATCAATTAAGAGAGCAATGCGGCGGCCCTGTTCCTGCATGTCATCATCCAGTTGCCTCAACCACTTAATGAACATTGGTTGTCGCATGTAACCTTTACCAGAAAAGTCTGCGTCAATCGTCTTGAAGATGGCCTTGCCTAGACCCACTGGACGGTGCATGGCAAGCACCAAAGGCTTGCGCTTGTCAGACCCCGTCGAATTACTGCAGAATAGAATTGAGACTCTAGCTGACCGAACGATCTTCTTTCCACGAATAGGCCCGGTCTCATGCGTTCTTTTGGACATAGCTGTGAGAAAGAGACCTGTCTCATCACAATTATAGATATCATCAAGCTTGAAATCGGTAAGTTTGGCTTTTATAGCCTCGATGCGATCCTTCACAACCTCCAGGTCCACTGATCTACTTTCGCCATGCCCAATAAAAGATTTAAGGCCATTCCTATTTTTAAAGCGGTGAAGCCATCCTTTCGAAAAATAGCACTGTTTGGGTGCTTGACCTGGAAGAAAAAAGGGCTTCATCTCAGTCCAAATTGCCACTGCTGTCCCTCGTAGACGGTTATCAGTGACATTGAGATCGAGGTCCCTCTCCGCAGCATACCATTCCAGCAGAGCATCCTCTATAGGCTCCATGTTTCGATTAGTTTTGCGCTTCACTGCTTGACTAGCCAGGAGGGGGAGGGAATTCACATCTTGGACATACTCTTCCCTTCGACGATATATCTCTCGTGCCGTGCTGGGACTCATGCCAAAACCTGCTCCAATAGCGGCAATGGAGGCTTTAAACCCTTTTGCTCGTAATCCATCAACAGCCGCAATGAAATCCGCTTTATCGACTAAGGAAAATGATTTTTGTAACCCGTTATGCTTGAGAGATGGTTTCCTTAAGGATTTTCGCTTCAACAGAGGCAAGCACTTGTCAGCAGCAGTTTGCTTTCTGACTAAATCGTTAAGCTTCGATTGTGAAGATTGCTTTTTAGACATTGTCTTGTTATTTACTCAAGTATGTTGATGAATAGTGGATAAAAAGTGGTGAAGAAAGAGAGAAAGAATGACTGCACTCTTACACAAAAAATTTCGTCAAATAAAGTTTAAATATATTTATTGAATTAAAATGAATAGAGGCCTTCCCTCACTAACCCGTCGAAAATCAACGGGTTAGTGAGGGAAAACTGTACACAAATTGATGAAGCGAGGCGGAGATATATTATGACTGCCTTCATGAAATTCAGAAAAAATGAAGACGAGTTTTGGAGGAGTATAGAGAGGAAACGCAAGCAATCCGAAGGTAATTGATTACCTCATATCAGTAGCAATTGCACTTCGCTCTCCTTTTCTTATTTTGTTTTTGTTTTTCTTTTAGAAGCCATTGATGAGTTAGAGGGCCTAGATGACTTAAAAGAGAACCCGTTCCATTCTCTAATAGAGTACATCTATACGAGGGTGAGTTAAGGTCTGAGTAAGAAATTGAGCTTTTTTCATGTGGTGCTAAGACCTAAGACTTCCATCCCATCCTCTAGGTCCGCGGCTTGCCGGCTGATATACCAGTGGTTCCACCTAGAATTTCCAATAACCATGCTGAGATGTTCGAACGTGCTCGACAGATCCTTTTGGACGACAACACCCCTGAAAAAAAATCTTTTTTGCTGAGCAAGGATGTGTTGTAAGTAGGCCCTTCCCGCTTTTATGTAAAAAATATGCAGATAAAGATTAGTATGATAAACCATTCAACTTCCTCAACTACTAGGGTGCTCGCTTCTGGGATCATTGACACGGTCTCGGACGCTAACCATAATCTGTCACTTAACGCAGAAATTCAAAAATACTCACTGCTGCCAAGTTTCAGCGTGGTAGAAGAGTATGTAAAAGAGCTCATGGACGCAATGCATCGTGCTCTTTGCCCAGGTGACGACCGCAATCCTTTAGCTACCCCAGATTTGAGCAAATTAAAAATGTGGATCTGGGGTCAGCTGGCCGCCTTGGACAAGACACCGCAGGATTTCAGAGAAATGACAGAAAATATCCTGCTGGTCGTCAATCACCTTTGTTCCTGTTTGGAGACCGGCGAACTCGCGCCACCAGTCACTGAACATACAGTTGTATCATTGTGGGCATTCGTTTTAAACAGGCTGATGGGCAGGAAATCAATCAGAGTGATCCCGTAAGTCTCATTTATACTTGTTCGCTCACTGCTGATTATGCGGCTGCTGTACCTAACCATCAGTGTTAATATTTTATGTTCAAAAAGAGGAGAGCTTGCGTCCGCAGCAAGCAAAGATGCAAGGATAAACGCCGAGAAGAACTACGGTTCGACCACGAAGTCCGTCGGGGGCCGTAAGGTGGACTTGTCGCTTCGTTTGGCAACAGACTACCATTGGAATATGGAGATTGCGGTCTTCGAACTCAAGACTGAAAATACTTCTAAGAAGATATGTATCCGTCAGCTAAAGAAGTCTATCCGTCTGAACACTGCTGTGTTGTGTTCTCTGCAAAAAAATGGACTTGACACCACTACCAACTTCCCAGTCATAGCGGAAGGTCATGGATTTGTGCTTAACTTCTATACATTGCGCCGTTACGACGATGTACATGGGGCGGGGAAGACTTCGAAGGACTTTGCATGGCTTCCAAGGGACGTGCTGGCGTTGAAGACGTGGCTTTCGTCGAGTTCACTTCATCTGCTACTTGCTTTCGTGGTAAGATCAAAGTGATAAGATATTGACAATTAATGGCATTCGAGTCGACTTTTAGATTTAACCTCTTTTGTTTCAAATATTACAGAGCCATAATGCGAAGTTTGCCGGCAATGTGAGGGATTCACAACTACGGACGGTAACCAAGTCTCCATCCTCTACACTCCCCCCATCAGTGCTCTTCACGCCTTCCAAGTCTAACAGACAGGTGCACGATTCGAAAGCTGTCTCGAATTTTGACTGCGATATTGACTCCGACCTTGACTTATATGATGACTCTGGAGCAGTGGCACAAGACAAAAAGCGGAAAATTCACATTACAATAAGTAGCTGAGATGTAGTCAACATTAAACGATAGATATTGCACAATGGAGTCAGGCGATAGATACGAATTGATAAATATCGCATTTAGTAGTCATCTGTGGGCTTTTACTCTAATTAAAGAATGTGCAAGCAACATGAAGGCATGTGCAATGCCATGCATGCAATCGAATATGAGTTGACGAGCGTCGGGCCAACTGGAAGTCGCCTTCCTCTGGGTTTTATTGAGCTATAGTTAAGTTTAACGCCGTGGATTTCCAGGGCGCCGCTTTGGGATAGCACCAAAGGGAAATCTGTCATAACCATATGGCAACAAAGTCGAGGATGGAGCTGGGGCTAGCATCCGCTGCCTCGTATTTAGTAGCTGTGGTGATGAAAGTGAGGACGAATGTAACAAAGACGAAGGTGGAGCTGGGGCTAGCATCCACTGTCCCGTATTTAGCGGCTGTGGTGACGAAAGTGAGGACGAATGTGGATGCGGGGCCGGCGACAAAGACGAGGATGGAGCTGAAGCTAACACATGCTGCCTCATATTTAGTGGCTGTGGTGATGAAAATGAAGACGGAGGTGGCGGTGGCGGTGCCAGAAACAAAGATGAAGATGAGACTAGAACCGGAGTCGAGAATGAGGTCATGGCCGAATCTGAGGACGGAGCCGGGAACGAGGTTGAAACTGAAGCATTGCTCGATGCCTGCGTTCGATTTGATGATGGTAACGATGAATTTTGTAGCCATGTGGGGTCTCCCAACAAGCGGATGCTAGGTCCTACATTCGGGTATCTTTCATTGAGCTTTTGCTCTTCCTCTATTAGCTGAAGTGATGCCTGCCATAGATTCACTCTTTCATCTTCATGCAATCGTCGACGATGCTTGAAATAGGCTTCGTTGATGCAGTCCTTGTTCTTATTGATTGTGGAATCATAAACAATCTCTATTCTTTCCCCTTCACCATCATGACCAAGAAGCCTTAGCGCCGCTGCAGCATCCATGAGGATATATGGGTCCTGTAAATCAATGCTAGGATCCAGCACTACAGTATCTTCGGCAACCCAATCATCATCAAGGTCCATTTCTCCAGGAGAGGCTAAGCGATCAGTTCTATAAGAGGCATATTCCTTTCCCCGCGTCTTGAGGACTTTCTTTACCGGTGACAGCTTTTGGCCATTATCATCTTCGATATGGTACTCCGAAGAAGCGCTGGGCTCATAGTCGTCATCATCCATGCTCTCATCTTCAGGAGACTGTCCTGTCTCCATGAAGGCGCTCGCCATATTTGTCTCATCCTCAGGAACAAAGAATTCCATGAACTGGCGCTCTTTTAGCATCGAATCAATATGCTTGCAGACCGAGTGAGACCCATCCAATACCTTTAGTAGTGCCAACACTTCTTCATCCGAGGCAAAGGAGCTCTGAGCCGGATTCAGGCCTGGATCTTGCTCGTCACACAAAGAAGCACTCTCTGCATCAAATTCCTCTGTCTCCTCGGAAGCAGCTCTAGTAAGAAAACTACTTCGTAGGCTATCTATGGCAACAGTCACATCAAAGTCCCTAGCCCGGTCCTGTGATTCCCTCAGGGCATCCCTCTGCTCCTTTTGAAATATGTCGACGTGAGCGAAACAATTCCGGATCGACTTTTCTTTCACTTCACTCCAAGCACTCGCAACAATCCCCCATCCTGTAAAGTTATCAATGTAAGCTTTCTTTGCCAACTCTTTGTTTCGGCTCACTCTTAATACATTCTCGCGCTTGAGAAATGTCTGTTTCAAGCATTGCACCTTGTAGTTCCTTTTGAACACAGCTATGATCCCGGCATCAAGAGGCTGTGTCATGCTTGTCGAATTTTTTGGAAGGAACAAAAGGGCCACATTATGAAGTGCAGCACGCACATCGTCACTCATTATGTGACTTGGAGCATGGTCCAGCAACAAAACGACTTGGCAGTTGGGCTTTTCAGTTGCAATCTTCAGCTGGAATCGAAGCAGCCAAACATCAAAGACAGCGGCTCTCATGTAATCCGGCCTTTTGCCAACCCAGGCCACTGTAAGCTTTTCCTGAAGGCTCTTTGGAAGTCGATCAAACTCTTCTTGCCAACTTTCCCAAAGATCTGCCTCAACCTGTTTGTCCAATCCCTGCCAGGGCAAAACTTCAAATTTTGAGCGAAATGTCTCACCAGTTTTGAAGCCTCGCGGTAAACTCTCACCTATAACAGCGCCGAAGAAATAAAGAACAACTATGTTATTAATATTGATTATGTTAATGTGAAAATAATAATAATAATAATAATAATAATAATAATAATAATAATAATAATAATAATAACAATAATAATAATAATAGTAATAATTTCTCACTCAGTGAAAAATATTTAGACAGTAGTTATCAGAAGCTAAGATAAGTGAGAATAAGATGTGGGTCCACACACCACATCCATGGGGTATTTATTCATTTTCTGGTAGAGAGACTCGTACCAAGTAACTACATATCTATCTAGAAGCGACATGGGATCATTCAGGAACCATGTCGGTGTTTTGTCGCGTCTCTAGTGACGCGTTATTATTATATACTTTTCTTAGCGTATTAATTTTAGGAATTCCCCTAGTGTGTTCCTAGTGCGTTTTTAGTATTTTTCTTAATCTTCTAGCTGGGCCGTTATTATCTTGTATATTGAAATATACAACACTCAGCATAAAGGGTTTGCATCGATCAGTCCCTGTTGCATTTGTGCACAAAAGGATTGAAATCCTGGTACTCCGTCCTTTGGTACCAGAGACTTTGCTATAGTCCAGTGTCCAGTTGGACGTGGACTGAAGAAATAACCCAGTCTCATCGCAGTTGTAGACGTCGTCGAGGCTATATCGACTGAGGGTGCTTTGAATCATTTCTAGTTGCGGACGGAGCTCCTCCATGTTGACTGAAGCAGCTTCTCCTTTAAGATTATATCTGCGGAGGTTATAACGCTGCTTGAAACCTTTTAACCAACCGTTCGAGAATTTAGGTTCTTAAAGGTAAGATTGCCCACACGAGCTTCGAGGAGCGCATATATTGCGCCTCCCAACAGCCGAACACCCAGGTTGTCGATGGGTAGAAGAAGGTCACGTCTGATATGCTCAATGGTATGAGAAAGAGCATCTTCAACAGGATAAAATGACCTGGTGTTGCTTTGAAGGCGATATCGCGCGGAAGATTGACCAGCAGGGACATTCAGGAGCTCTTCTCTTTTGGCCAAGATGTGGTTGAGGATTGTCGGCGTGATGTTGTGACAGTCACAGAACACACTCTTTGGAGGCTCAAACATCGATCCTCCTTTAAGTCCAATGTTGTAGTTAATGACATGTCTATCCCAATTTTTTAAAATATCCACTCTTTGTCCGATGGTTAAGCTTCTGTCGTTGCCGAGGGATGGTGAAGGCTGAATCGATCGATATTTATGAGGACCCACGGACATGATGCTGAAATTATGAATTATGTGAAAGGAAAGAGGGCTAGGCAGGTGAAAAGGAAATATGACAACGAACAGGGTTCGTATTGCATATTGCTATATATTTATATCTTTCATGAGCAAATGCATGAATTACCACGAAAGACCACGCCTCTAGGCCCATGGAACCTGATGTAACTGCATGTACTATGAGAGGCCTTCGTTGCGTTGTTACAATGGATTGGCTTTGGGTAACAATTTCACTCCTCCATCGCTCTCACGGCGCCCTATAGCTCTCACAGCGCCATGATTCCCACAGCAACCTATTGCTCTCACGGTGTCTTCACACAATTCGCATAAAAGGCCCTCATTATCGTATTATTGTATAACACTAGAGCGGGCAGAGATCAATAAAAATTTACGGCCTCAATAAAAGAATCCTACATTTTGGTTGCTGAGCTCCTTAGTTCACCGAATAATGGCAAGGGAGGCACCTGGTTCCACCTTAAATCAAGGTTTCTGTGCATTGCTCACGAAGGAATTGGCCCAGATCATTATGGAGTTCAAAGTATATACATACCATTATCACAGTTGGAAAAAAGTAACCGGTTTCTTGTGTGGCATACCATCGGGTACAAGGAAAAGAAAATTAAGGCATGGTTCCGTCTTAGAGTCGTTCAGCCATAAGTCAACGGATGGCTTCGGGCAATGACCTGATTAGGCAGGCCCAAATTTTAATTCGGATAATTTCGCGATAGTCAAAGCCAGCTTTCCTCCCCAACCACGGATGAGCAGCCTAATCCTTACTGAATTCAGCTTTTGTAGGAAGACCTTACATCAAAGGATCAAAAAGCAAGGTCTTTTCTACTTTTTTTTGTTTTTTTTTAAAAAAAAATAAAACAAAAAAAAAGTTTTCCCCACCTCTGGGGTGGATACTGGGTGAGCTCTCCTTTCGAAGTACAGGAAGATTGAAGTGGTCAGTAAGACATCACTTCCACGGCCTAGTGCGTTGCCACTATGACAATATTTTGGCACCATTGCAAAGGCGCCTGAAAAAGTCCACTATGTTTGTCGGTTTAATGATTTTCACCTGTGAATTCTGTGCCACTATCGTATGTTAGTATATATTATTAGCTTAGTAGCATGATGGAGGATATCTCACCTACATTTAAAGACAGAATGAGGTGACCATTCGTTTTGTTTGATTGCATAGCTGGTCTTCCATGGTGTAGTTGATTGTGGGTCAAATGAGGTGGCTAGAATTTCCTTTTTAGACAAATGTGTCAATTGAGAATGTCAAGAGATTCTTCACGTACGTATGTCGATGATGGTGAAAGATAATAGGAAAGTATAAAAATTTTCAATTGAAATGTGCTCTTAGCCAATCATAGTTTTAGATTTATAGAAAAACTTGCCAAATAACCTTTCCCACTTCGATGAAAGGACATGGAAGAGGGGAAATATAAAAAATGCAAGTCATGTCAACCTGGAAGATGAATGAGGAAGTCAAAAAAAAAAAGTGAAGACAGACATGTGCAAGAACTGCACAAATTTTCCCTCTAAGGCCTTTGGGCACATGAGGCTGCCTTGAGCTCGTTTAAAATCAGTGGAAGAGCAAAAGGATTAAGTCTTACACGCTCTGCAGCCATCCGCTTACTGACGCGTAACTATAGTCACGATCGCACTGCTCACCACTGAAAAGGATTCCTGGTGTATTCATGGACTGTGAAGTTTAGAAGGAACAGGAGAAGGTATCACTAGAGGCTGATGTACCTTGTTGTTGTGCCACTCTTCTGAGTGCCTTGCAAGTATGTGTTACCCTTGCCGGTCAAGCGGTTGAACAGAGTTTGTCACATCCCAAACTTGTTGACCGTTGGCGGGCAAATGCATTCTCGTTTATCTGTACAATTTAGTCTACATAAATTAGTCTACATTGTCTGTTCTAGCTCCACTACCATAAACTGATTGTCTGTCAGCCTGTAGGGAATCAGAAGTTCCTGTCCTCTGAGCGTTTGCGGCTAAATCCCGAACCACCTCCAAAAAATCATCCACAGCCTGCTTAGATATTTGCCAATGCAACACCAGTCGAACTTGTGTTTGGGTCTCAGGAGCATCTTTGTTGCCAATGTTGATCCCCTTTCTTGATTCTAATTGCCTACTCAACTCACTCAACCGGATGCCTGATCCAGCAAGGTCTAAGAAAACCATGTTGGTCTCTACAGGGATGAACACTTTAGCACCGCGGCCTTCTCGCTCTAAACCTATTGCTAACTGCTTTGCCAGCGTGTGAGTCTCCTTCATGGTAGGCCACACGTGATCGACACACCAATGAGCCACAGCCGCAAGACCACCGGCCTGCCTCCAACCTCCACCAAGCATCTTTCGGAAGTGGCGTGCCTTATTGATTAGAGCCTGATTACCAACCAATATGCTACCAATGGGTGCACCAAGACCCTTAGAAAAACACAGAGAGACACTGTCAAATTGCATAGTAAGGTCCTTGAGATTACACCCCAATGCTACTGCTGCATTCCATATTCTAGCTCCATCCAGGTGTAAACGGACATTATTTTCTGTTGCGAACTGACGGATGGCCTGGATTTCTTGTAATGGCATGATGGTCCCATCCAATGTGTTTTCTAAAGAGATAAGGCGTGTAGGAGCCATGTGTATGTCTCCGTCATCCTGAATGAATTCACGTTGTAGATCATGGACTGTCAAGTGATGACCGTTGTTGGATAATGCTTGTGCAGGATAAACTGTCAGGTTTGAGAGGGATGCGAGGCCTCCTACTTCATATCGGTAGACGTGTGATCGAGTGTCGCAAAGAATGGATGCAGGGGGCATGAGGAGTGAAGAACGGAATGCCAGTTGGTTGGTCATTGTTCCAGAGACGCAAAAGAGACCCGCTTCATGTCCTGTCAGTTTGGCAACGTATTCTTCCAGAGATCGAATCGAACTATCCACCTCATACACGTCGTCACTACGTGAGGCCTTCTTCATAATCTCAAACATTTCATCTGTTGGCTGGGTTACTTTATTTGAGAAGAGGAAAGATCTTTTGTTAATAGAAGGGAATACTGAGAAAGAAATAAGTTTATTATTGATGATGTTTCCTTTACTTACAAGTATCGCTGCGGAAATCGGCGATGAGCTTCATTCTTGAAGGAGCATGGGTGGAGAAGGCAAGGACTGGAGATACATTTGAAAATACGATAGGTCTAAGACTGGCAATGGTAGATATGGCAGTAGGGGTTCGCCTGCTGACAGCAGTAGCAGCAGTAATGAAGTGAGAAGCGAACATGCGGAATGAGAATTGACATTAAAGAAACAAAAAGTCCAGGCAGAATGAAACAAAAAGAAGACTCTGATGGATCACATGGCCAATATCAAGAAGTTGTTGGTCCAGTGTGTGGTCCTAGTGTCCAACCCCGATTTTCCAGGGTTATATTATATTAATGTATTTTTACCTTGTAGGATATTTCTGTTAATGGTAAAATGCCATGCGACAGGATCGTTTCAAGGACACGTTTTTTAAAATAATCTTTGCACCTTGGAAACTGTAATACCTCCGTACATTTGTGTAAAAAGAAAAGAATTCAGCCTACAAAAGGAATTGCATGTAATCAATCGAGCACCGCCTTTCCTTCTTCACCTTTTTCTTTTTCTTTTTCTTATTCTCTTTCTCTTTCTCTTCCTCTTTGCTCTTTTATTATTATTATTTTTTTTTTTGACCTTTTGTCTTTTCTTCCGACTTTCCTTTGTACCCCTCTTTTCTTGCCTGCTGACCTACACAGACAACACACACACCAATACAACACACTCTCCCTTCTTTCACTCCCTTCCCTTTTTACTTTTTACTTTCCTTATTTTACGCCTTATCTCATCATTACTCATTATCACTCTTTCTCCTTTCTCTCTCTTTGTTTTGTTTTTTTTTTCTTTTATTACAATCAATCCATCTCCCTTTCATTTCTTTGTTCTCTTTCTCTCCTTCCCTTTCTCTCCCCCTCTCTCTCTCTCCTCCTCTTTTTCTCTCTTTTGGACGTGGGATTGTGCGCAGCATGGGAAACAGTAGCACAAAGGAAAAAGTAGACCATATTGACGGAGGTGCATTGATTCCTCACGGTGTCTACTCTGGTCCTCAGGATTATGACTTCCGGATTGTACAACGGCTCATACAACAACGCAAACTCGCACCTTTTTATAAAGGCTTAGAGGACTGGGATGATAGTGAGGATGCCCAAGAGGAAAAGGTGAAAAAGGCCACAATGGGACAACCCTCTCAGAACAACCACAACACCAACACCCATAACAATAACAACAGCAATCATAACAGCTTTGCAACACGAGGTTCTCATGGTTACATGACAGAATCTGAAAGGGACATGAGACGACTATACCAGGGTGCAATCGAATGTCCCATCTGTTTCTTGGTAAGAATACATTGACCCATTGGTCATTGCATTTGTTGTTTCTGAACTTAGTGCATTGTGCATCCTTGTTCTCCTTCTTTCTGGAGAGATCGCGCATTGAGATTGAGAGCACAGTGACCTCAGCATACACATACAAAAAAGAGAGCAATGACACAATAGACGCAAAGACGCAGAAGCATTGTCCCTTGTCCTGTCAGCCATTTTCTCACTCTCCTCCGGGCGTGCTGAGCTTGTTTGCTCTTGTGAGTTGAAACTCCTTGATCAAATATAGAAAAAAAAAGTTAGTCAGGCAGGAAGCCCATGGTCGTGGTGTGTTCACACAACTGACCACACACTCACAGTCTGCCACAATCCACGGACCGTGAGTCTTTGACTATTGACCACAGACTATAGAGCCCCAAACTTGACCGCTGACTATCCACGACTGACCTCCTTTTGCTTTTTTTTTCTTTTTTTTTTTTTTTTTCTTATGATATTAATTGCTTCTCCTTTTCTTAAATATAATAGTATTATCCTCGAAATATCAACCGCACGCGATGTTGCGACAAACCAATGTGCACTGAATGTTTTGTACAACTCAAGCGCCTGGAGAGCGCACCGACTGAATCACCCGCTTGTCCATATTGTGTTGAACCTCATTTTGGCGTCATTTATTCCTCATCCCTCCTTCCTAGTGGCTTCCAATCCTTACCTGCATCCTCGGCTGGAACGACGGTAAATGAGCTTCTTTATTTATCCTATTATATTATATTATACTTTAATTTTTGCGATGTTGCACTTTTTAAAGACCTCTAATGATTGAGTCATTTGATTCTTACCACAACGTCTTTATAATAATTTAATTGGAATAAGTGGTGAGGATCATTTCATTCAATGTCCTTTTACAATGATCAGCCCCGTTTTACTGTAACAGTATCCTTCCCCTGATTTTCCATCCGTGTATTACTATATATGTATTTTTTTTTCTTTTTTTTCTTTTTTTTTTTTTTTACAGCTACGGCTAATATATATTTTTTTTATCTTAAGATGATTCAACATGTCGTTATGTGTATGTTATGTCATTCTTAATTTTTTTTTTTTTTTTTTTTTGTTTTTTTCTAGACTGTTGGCGGTACATCCATGTCAGTTTCTTTGTCTAACAATTCCGTTGAACGAACCGAGTCCCAAAACCCATCCTCACTCCCTGCTCGCCGCCGAAGCACTAGCCATAAGAGTCCAGAGGTCGTGACTGCAGGTAACTTTTTTTTTAAAAAAAAATTTTCATGAACTTTTAGCTTTCATACCATGTCCGGCTAATATGATGTGATCTTTTTTAAAATTGCACTATAAAACTGCTTGGTAGATGAGATTCGTCCCGACTGGAATCGCAGGATATTAGTGGCATCACAACGTCAGCCAGGATCCAGAAGAGCATCAACATCATCCTCGGTCTCCAATGCAACATTTGCATTGGGCCGTCGATTGGCTGGACAAAGAAATGGATCCAACTCGAGGCGATCCAACTCCTCGGCTGCGGCAGCTGATTACAGCGGATATTTGACTGCGATGCGAAATATGGGCGCGGACCTTGAGGAGTTGATGATCATGGAGGCTATGCGACAAAGTTTACAGGATGAGCATGATCGGCAGGCCAGAGAAGCTGCTGCCGCTAGTTCCAGTAATGGATCCACACCTTCGAGCTCACCAAATGGTTCGAACACTACAGATCCTTCCAGGCGGCCACAGGGGCGAGATACTTTGAGATCAGGTTCAAGTCGAAGATCGCAATCAGGAGCTGTTATGACATCCTCTCCATTATCATCACCACCAGCCCCACCTTCAACAATTTCATCATCATCAACAGTAGCCCGTCCGCGGGCATCCAGCTTGACGAGTGGTCCAAGCGACGAGGACCAAGATGCAGAGAGCGAGACAGATAGCGATCAGGATACACCTGGACTACTGCATAACCGTGCGATCCGATTTGCGACAGTGACGCCTATACCAGCCTCGTCTCTGGAAACAGGCGGTGGCATGCCAAAGCACCGTCCGCAAGAAGAATCTGCAACCGCCACCAGTTCTGCTGGGGCTGTTTAGGAATGACATAATGGACGCCTCTGGATGACGTTCTTTTCTTGCTCCCTCCCCTCCTTCCCCTCCTTTCCCTTTTCCCTCTCCTTTTCTCCCTCTCTCTCTTTCCTTTTTTTGTAAGAAAGCATCCTTCATAAAAAAAAAGTGACATGGAGACGGAGTCTTGGAGTTTTTGAATTAAGCTGGGGATAGCAGAGATGGCGTATGTATATACTTTGACTCCATTTTAGAAAATAATAAAAAAAAAAAAAAAAAAAAAAAAAGATAAGCGGATGAACTACAGTCGTAGCACTTGGTATTATTGGAAGAGACTAATAGGGATATCATTGGAAGATGTTTCTGGTGGTGATGTGCCTCATCACTTCAATAGCTCAATCGATTCATGCTGGTTTTTTTTTTTGACACGTTAGATCATTGCTGTCTCCAGCTTCAAACAAAAAAAAACTGTTGCAGTTCGCTAGATTTCTCACGCCTTCCCAAGGCGCTTTAGCAGACATAAAAACGGATGGCGCAATAGACTAATGTATGTAGTATAGACTCTCTAATGAGTATTTAAATGTATTATTATCTATTTATTAATATGATGACGAAGAGTTTTCTGTATATATAGAAATATATAATATATATGAATGTAAATACAAAGGGAGTTTTTTTTACCCTTTCTTACGCTTGAGCATCAGGTGTATTAGGCTTTGGAGAAGCCCTAGCTTGATTAAGCTGCTCTGTAATCTGAGAAAGAGAAGTTTTGGGAGCAATGAACAACGCTGTAGCATCTGTCAACACCGTGCCATCGAGGGTTTTGAGTGAGGCCTTTACAAAAGCTTTGCGACCCTCAAGCGAGGATAATTCTGAATGGGCAATAATAAATTGATCTGCAATACAAGGATGACGGTAATTGATATTCAAATTGGCTGTAACGCCAGTCTTTCCAGGAAGATTAGGGATAGCCTATCAATAACAATTAAAATTTGTTAGACTAGATCTGGTTTTTTTCCTTTTTTTTTTTTTGACAAATCGTACGAGATCGTTGTTTCTTACGTTCATGGCAGTGATTTCACTGTCAAACCCAATAGGAAGGAAGAAAAAAAAAAAAAAAAAAAAGAAAAAAAGAAACGTTTGATGATTGAGTATTTTTTTTTAATGTGATCCAATGCCAATTCAAACTCATATAAATTAATAAAAAGACACTTACTCAAGGATGGTTGCCAAAAGACCACCGTGTGTGATACTGGGGTGTCCGCAAAGATCCCTGCCGACATGGAGAATCGAGATGACCTGTTTCTGATCTAGGGTCCGGAACATGGCGGGGGAGACGCCCAACTTGTTTGCTCCACGAAGAGTGCCTGCAATGAGATGATGCGAACGATATTCGTCTGACACATTCGAATAAGCTGTAATACGCCTCCAGTTCTCTGAATCAATAACATGAGCTCGGACAATTTCAAGCTCTTCAAGTTCCTTTTGGAGTGGATTTTCTTCCTGTGATTCTGTTCCTGATGCAAATCCCGTAGTAGAGGCAGTAGCAGCAGTAGTAGCCTCATGCGCCTTAACAGGAGTATGGTCATAAGCAGAGTCAGGGGCATACGTTGTAGGCATAGCGACGCTTTCTGTGGTAATTGATGAGATTGGCATGGTGCTTTGAATTTAAATGAATGAATGAACTGGGTGAGATGGAGTGGTTGTTGTTTTATGAGCTATAGGGAGAATAGGAGAAAGAAGAAAAAAAATGAAGAGAGGCCTTTTTTTATTTCTTTATATATATAAATATATCATTATGAATGGTGGTTTCTGTCCCAATGATCAATGGCAATGGTGTCTGACCTAATTCTGGCCATTTTTTTTTCTTTTCTTGGGGGAGCAATGTTTTTTGCCCATTTGTCAAAGTTGGCGCGGAGAGGCAAAATAATTTTCCATTCCTTTTCATTAAGTCTTTACTCTCCAACAGCCAAACATATTTCCGTCCGTCCTCCGATCACTCCTCCGTTCAGACCATGTCACCTTCGTAACTCATCCAGCGATCGACTCTTATATTTTCAGGGACAATTACACTTTTTTTTTTTTTTTTTTTTTTTTTTTTGGACAATTGGGCAATTAGGATGACTCCATGTGCCAAAGATTCTTTATCTATCATAAAGACAAACACTTCCCCAACATTCTTCTTCATATAGGCACCGTAAATCTCGGTAAATGGTCTTCTTTTTATAACTTTAACTCTCCAGCCTTTGAGTCGCATACGTACGTATAATTCGTACATTTATCCTCTCTTCACCATGCATAACACATGCAGGTGAGATAATGGGGAAAAAAATGCACTCTGACTTCAAAGTCACTGTTTGTCATTGTTTGTCATACCATGCCCTGCACAGCATTCAGTTATTCGGGCTCTCTCATTCTTCACAATGTCAATTGGTTTGAGCAAGCAAAAGTAGTTATATTTACAACAAGCAATTAACGGTCATGGCTTTATTAAAGTGATACAACCATCATAAACATGCACAAGAACAAGAGGGGTTGACAAAACAAAAAGAGAAAAGGGTGAGTGAGAGAAATAATAATAATAAAAGACAGCAATAGAAATAGAAAAGCCAGTGTATGTACGCATGTATGTATAAATGAACACATGTAACCAAATGAGCCATTATGAGAGATTTTTAATAAAGCACTTAAACATTTAACCTGATCACCATCACACTGATGTTGTCTGTACTGAACTTTTGGAGAGCATGATCCAGCAGTACCCGACTAGCTTTTGTTGGACAAACTACGTCCTTGATCAGTTCAACCGCCTCTTGATCGGTACAGACATCCCAAAGCTAGTATGGTAAATGATGGACTATCAGCTTATTGCAAAGATTTTTTTTAAAAAAAAAAAAAAAGTTTAAAAAATAACATAATATGATCTTTTATAGGCTTACTCCATCGCATGCAAGAATGAGGTATGGGTTATTAGCTCCAATCTCTGTCCTCGTTGTGTAGGGTGCTCCAATAATAAACTCCTTCATCGAGCTGTCGCCCAATGCACGTGTGACAGCCAGCACTCCTATTAAAAATCAATAGTCGCAAGCTTAATTAATCACCAATTGGAAACATCAGAGTAAGATAGTAAGATGCAGTCATAAACCCCAGCAACAAACTTTTTTTTTTTTATTATTTTTTATTTTTATTTTTTTTTCCTTTTGACATACCATTAACACGGTTGTTCATGACAAATCCGCCTACGTCTAAAATCCTCTGCGCCTCTGTATGATCACTACCTTTGTGGTCGTATGAAAGTCGCACTGCTTTATCTTTATGGCACAATACAGCCCTAGCATCACCGACATTTCCTGTGTAAAGCACACGCTAATAAAGCAATGGATTGAGTAGGAATATAGATCTCTGTGAATTTCAAGTACAGAATTGTATTGTAAGCACTATAAAAGTAATTGATTTTTGTTTTGTATAAAATAAAAATAGAGCTTTGATCGATTACCTTATCGCCTTCTTTCCTGATATACGCCATAATGGCGGTGCATCCACTGGAACGTCCTTGCTGAAGAGCTTCTGCGAGCTGTTGATCCACTGTTAAAAACGTCTCGTTGACTAATTCCTGGAAATCAACATCAGGTTGATCTGCCTTTTCTTCTAAAATACGACCAAAGACCTATGTTGTAATTCATTTATTCAAAAAAAAAAAAAAAAAAAAAAAAAAAAAAACACGAGCAAAATTTTTGTTTAATGCAACATTCCTATTGGTAGTCAATAAAACCTGCACAAGTCGGAATAATCAATAGACCAAATTCCAAGGCGATTCAGTTAAACTTCCCCGGGCCATTGAGCAATCCCTAATCTGATCATGTAAGCAGTCCATTCCAAACTGTCTGCTTTTGGCAATATAAAAATCTCCTTGATCAGATCCAAGGACCATTTCCCATCAAAAACACTACTCCAACGCCCGCTCGGTGTTTGTGAAAATCAGGATGAACAAGCGCGTATTTGTTCGCGTACTTTTTTTTTTTTTTTTTTTTTTTTTGGGTTTGTGTATATTTTGCGTATATATTTTTTTCCAAGTACAGAGCTTCTTTTGTGGTGCGTTGGTCATATGGTATTGTGGAAAGTGATTTTGGATTATTACCTCATGGAAGTGCTGGCCACACCAGTCCGCTGCTGCTTTTCCTGCATGTCCATCAAAGATGGCAAAGAAGCCATGTCCGGTTATACCCTCATAGTTGTAAATAAAAGCATGGGTGTCCTAAGTGTGCGGTCGTTTGATATTTGAAAAAATAGATTAATCAACAGTTGCTCTCCAGAGCGTTTGTGTCCAAGACGCTTTTGCCAAAATAAAAAAAATTGACATAGAATGTGCGCAGACATGTGTACCTCCATTGTTCGTCTGCATCGTCTGTTCCTGTCTTCCGCCACACCAACGACAAATTCATACTCTTCTAGGTCTTTGAGCACACATTGCAGGTCAGAAGCATTGTTGCTTGTAGGGGGAGTCTCTGAATCAGCCAAACCCATGGTGGACCCTTCAATGGAGCTTGTATCGTCTGGACTATCACAGTTTTCAATAACAGTACTGGAGATAGCAGTGGCCAACATGGGGTCATGCTTCTCTGAGGTAGAACCCGGTCGCTGTCGAGTGTTTGCTGGCGAGTTTGATGAACCCTGTTGTTGTTGGCTATGATGGTGATGGTGATGGTGATGGTGATTGTGGTTATGGTTGTGGTGATTATGATTATGATGATTGTGAGGTTGCTGGTTTTGACTTGGACCCTGGTCCTGTAGGTCATGTTGGTTTGAACGCGCGTCTGCTCCTACAAGAGCAGCCGTGGTTCTGTCAATTTCATGGCTACGGCGGGTCATGTCAATTTCTTTTATGGATCAATAAAAAAATGAATTATAGACAGTTTTCGTCAAGGTATGGAAGTTAAAAGTGGAATTAAAGAGAGAAAAAAAATAAGTTGTGATGAATGCGTTAAAAATAGTTGTCTAGGGGCCCAGTTCATTCAATGACACGCGCCCACGACCGCCAGAAGCTTTACAAACGCCGTAGAAAGCTATCCTGCCCTCGTAATACGTAATAAATGTCCATTGCTCACCAATCTTTTACTTATGCACTGACACTTAACATCAAACCGATGTTACGATTGTATCGCATCTGCATGACATGCAAGCTTTGTTGCGCATGTGGCATGTGTGGACAGAGACATGCCAATAATGGACTGTGCTGTACGTGTAAACTGTACGTGTATTTCCAAAAATGGCACTTTCAAAACGCCAGTCACCCTGTACCCTGTTTACAGTGGCTTTGCATAGCGTCGAGTCTTGTTAGACAACTTTTTTTTTTTTTTTTTTTTTTTTTTTTTTTTGGTTCCTCACTATTTTCTCCTTGTTCTTCCTTCGCAGCAATCCCTCTCTTACTTTGCTCTGTCGTCCGGCGCTATTTCCTCTCCTCCTCTTTATTCCTGAATTGACAGTCTTGTGCTGGCACTGACTTTACTTTGCCCATTTCACTCATCTCTTCACAGTGTGAGTGTATACCAGGAGGTAAGACTCTTTATGTGTCACTCCTCTATGCCTTTTTTTTTTATCATTGCTATCCTCTCGCATTGGCTACAGAATAGTGCTGACATGACTGCGGTATTCCTTTGAACATCATGCTTCAGTAGGTCCTCTCTTCTCTTCCTAAACGTATATTTATAAGACATAGGAAGTGTACTTGACAGAAGCTGGCAATAATGTTATCAGTTGCATCCACACTCAGAGGCAACAGAATTACCTTGGCTAGCGCACGCACAAGCTCTTTAAGGACTCAGCTCGCTTTACCTAGAATAGCCAGGAATCATTTACGATATAGACTTCACTCCACTGCAGCAGTTGAGGAGAGCTCACAATCTATCACCCATACCACTGTTCCGATCAGCCAAGCTCGTGCAGAGACGAACCAAAATCTTCATTCATACTCTTCAGCATCAGGAAAACTTGAACCTATCCGTATCATTCGCTTGCCAGAAGCTAAATCTCATGAGCCTCGTGAATCCGGCAAGTTTGGAGATAATCAACTATCTGAACAGATGGCTGTTATGTATGCTTGTATAAACACAGGTGACATGGATCGTGCTCGCCGCATTTTCGTGACGCTTCATAAGAACAATCCTGAAGATATGCTAGTCCTTGGAGATATTAGAATGCACAATAGTTTCATGGAGAGTTACATGAACGCTAGTCCTAGTCCCAGAACTAAGGAGGCCTTGAAATGGTTTGAATCACTTTCAAAGTATAAAGTCAAACCCGACTTGACCAGTTTTGCTATTCTCATCAAGGGATTTATCAAGTAAGGGCATGGCTCATCGACAAAAGAAAAAAAAAAAAAGTAAAATCGGAAGGAAGTTAACTTCTACACTTTTCTAATATAATGCTCCTTGACTTAATTTTTCAATCGATTATAGGATGGACAGCATGCACACAGCCAAAGTCATGATGATGGAAATGCAAAAAGCTGGGTTTACCCTTGACGAATTACGACAGTGCCCCGACTTACAAGCAGAGGATGTGGATAGGATTAACAGTGTAGCGGGTATGCTTAAACCCGCTTCAGCACGCCTGAAGCCGTTGACACCTGTATCATCTGTGGCGCCAACTACCCCTAAATCTGAGTTTAAAGAAGCTATTCCTGTTCAAAACTCAAACAATGAAACTGTTATTGGAGTTCGATTCATGAAGGATACTCTAGAAACCCTTAATCTCAAGGAGCTCACTCCCTTTGAGCGCCAGATGAAGTTAGAAGAGCGGTCCTATCAATCGGCCATCGACAGGATGGAATATGAACGAGAGAGCATTCCAGAGCAACTAAACGTTCGTCCCCTTAGGACTTATTTGTGGCAATGGCACCAAGCACTCAAGGCCGGTATCAGAGCGGAAATAAAGCGTGTAGATGCAGTTTTAGAACGGAGGTCACTTTCGGATGATGCCGCTCTAGACAAGGATCGCATGTTATATGGTCCTTTCTTGAAACTTCTCTCACCTGACAAGTTGTCTATCATCACTATCTTGGAGCTTCTACGACTCAACAACTCTGGTGGCATTATTGAGGGTATGAAGTCTGCCCGTGCTCTGATTGGCATTGGCAAAGCCGTTGAATCAGAGTATAATGCTGAGCAGATGGCGAAAAAGTCTAATAAGGCACTGGTAAGTTATAGATCATGGCGGCTTTATCAAAAACTTGTACATTACAATCGTCGGACTTTCTATCTGATTTTTGTTTATTTATTTATTTATTTTTCCTTCCCTCCCCGTTAGTTTGATCAAAAAGTCAGTGTCCATCAACTTTATGGAAGTGGAAAACTTTTTAATATTGCTGTTCGGAAAGCAGAGACAAAGAGATCTTCAACAATGCACCCTACAGATTGGACACCTGTATGGCCGGAAACTATGAGGGCTAAGGTCGGCTCCGTCTTGACGACTCTTTTGATGGACTGTGCTAAAGTTCAGATCCCAAGTTTTGACCCTGAAACAAAACAGAAGATTGTGGAGGAGATCCCTGCCTTCTATCATTCATATCAATACAACAAAGGCCAGCGCATTGGTGTTATCAAGGTTCACAATCATATTTCTGAAATTTTATCCTCTGAACCCATTGGAAGTTTAATTCATCCAAGCATGCTTCCAATGTTGGTTCATCCTCGACCCTGGCTGGCATACAATGACGGTGGATATCTTACTGCTCAGTCTATAATCATGCGTATCCGCCACTGCCCTCAACAATTGGATTACCTTAAGAAGGCACATGAGGAGGGTCTCTTGTTCCGCGTTTACAATGGCTTGGATGTTCTTGGTAAGACTCGCTGGGCAGTCAATAAGAAGGTCCTTAAGACTGTTTTGGAGGCATGGAACTCTGGAAAGGAGTTTGGAAAGATCCCTGCTGCAGCGGCTCAGGTTGAGGATCTGCCCAAACCAGATGATTATGAGACCAATAGCAAAGCCAAAGCTAGGTGGCTTTTCGAAAATCGCAAGATGAAGATGGAAGCTAAGAACCATCACAGTTTGCGATGCGATGTCAACTATAAGATCGAGATTGCCCGTGCTGTAAGTGTTATGTCCCCACCTGATCCTTTTACTTTTTTACTTTTCCTTTTATTATTATTACTATGACATGGATTTGAATCAGAAACTCACTGTTATTACGATCCAATGGACTCCTCTTTGGAAACGTAAAGTTTGCAGATGAACCCATGTTTTTCCCACATAACCTAGACTTCCGTGGACGTGCTTATCCTATTCCTCCTTTATTCAACCACCTGGGAAACGATCTGTGCCGTGGTCTACTTCTCTTTGATGAAGCTAAGCCCTTAGGCCCTAAAGGATTCACTTGGCTAAAAATTCATTTGGCTAACTTGGCAGGTTACGATAAACACTCACTTTCGGCACGTGCAAAGTTTGCCATGGATCACCTTGACGATATTTTCGACAGTGCTGACAATCCAATGGAAGGTCGCCGTTGGTGGCTCAAGGCAGAAGATCCATGGCAGTGTTTGGCTACTTGCATCGAGGTTGCAGAAGCGGTTCGCAGCGGTGATCCAGAGAGCTATATGAGCAGAATCCCTGTACATCAGGATGGTACTTGTAACGGTTTACAGCATTATGCCGCTCTTGGAGGAGATATCGCAGGTGCTCAGCAAGTCAACCTGGTCCCATCTGATGCGCCTCAGGATGTCTATTCGGGTGTAGCTAAAGCTGTGGAGCGTATTCTTGAGCAACATGCTGCAGAGGGTGTTGAGAATGCAAAGATTCTACTTGGCAAGGTGACCCGCAAAATTGTGAAGCAGACCGTCATGACTAACGTATACGGTGTGACCTTTGTGGGTGCCCGTGCGCAGATCGAAAACAGGCTTAAGGAAACTGAAGGAATCCCCAAAGAAAATGTTCATGCACTGAGCACGTACTTGACTCAACAGGTATTTGCATCTATCGGAGAAATGTTTACAGGAGCCCGTGCCATTCAAGATTGGTTGGCGGAAAGTGCTCGTCGCATTGCAAAGAGCGTGCCCAAGGACGTAGTTGATCCAGAGACCGATGAGATCCAAGAAAGTTTAACCGTCAAGGGACGTAAGAAGAAAACATCCAGAAAGGCCATTGCAGACCAACAAATGACAAGCGTCATTTGGACTACACCACTGAACCTTCCCATTGTTCAACCTTATCGCAAACTGGAGCACAAGCAGGTACGCCGATTTTTAGCCATATCATATATTAATCTACATGTGGCATTGTCTGAAACAATTTATTGACAGGGTAGTTTAATTTCCATAGATTCGAACCAACCTGCAACAGTTGACCATTAAGGATCCCTCACAAGCAAGCCCTGTCAATGTTCAGAAGCAGAGGACTGCATTCCCACCTAACTTTATTCACTCTCTGGATGCTACCCATATGCTTATGTCGGCCGCCGGATGTGTTGAGGCAGGATTAACGTTCGCTTCTGTGCATGATTCTTACTGGACTCACGCATGTGATGTTGAAATCATGAACGAGGTTCTGCGCAAGCAGTTTATATTGCTGCATAGCAACAACATCATGAAAAATCTCGAAAATGAGTTTATGGAGCGTTATAAGGACTACTTGTATCCTGTTACATATATAATTGCTGGCCCTGGCGAGCCTGTCGAAGAAGGCATGATTGCTTGGGACGATGAGCGTGTTCACCGCAAAAATGCCAGGATCGAGAGTAGTATTTCTGGTACAGAGTTTGTGCCTGACCTTGAGGCACCTGCAGATGAGCCTATGACTACAAGCTCTGACCGATCTGCAAAGATCAAGGAAAATAACATGTATCATTTTGACGATGATGAGGATGATGAGCACGACTTGTCGGGTGTGGTTATTGAGGAAGACGCAGCAGAGCTAGAGGCAGAGGCTAAGGCAATGGGCAAAGCACTTCGTAAGCGCGGTGGAAAGAAAACAAGCAAGAAGTTATTCCATTCATGGGAGTCCATCTCGTTCCCACCATTGCCAGACCGTGGTGAGTTTGACGTGGCCAAGGTGGCCGACTCGGACTACTTCTTCTCATAGGACAGCTATAGGTCCATGGCAACGCGCTTTAATTGGCTTCCTTATTCTGCCCTGCATTCATTTTAATATTTTCTGTTATCATTATTTCAACATCAGCATTGCTCAATGTTACCATTTCACTATTGTTAATCCACCCTTTATATCATGTATTTTTATCTCACACAAAAATAAAAGTCATTATCTATTTCATGCGTTCGTGCGACCACGCGTCCTGCAAAGCGCGACATCCAAATATGTTAGAGGCCACATGACAGAAGGCTCATACACAGTCACTAGCTTGTCTCTCCACATCTCTTTCCTTTTTCTTTTTATTTTTTTGAGCCCATTCCTTCACTTTCCTCCATGCCCCTGTTCAACGTATAGACCTATGTACACCTGTATACCATAATCAATTGTCCAGGTTTCTGATGAAACAGCCATTAACGGAAACAAAAAAAAAAAAGAAAGAAATTAAGAAGTAAAGACCAAACCATCATACTGATCAAGTCCCAGTGCTCGCCTACATTAATACGCATATACAGATATACACATCAGTAATCGTCTATATAGGCTATTGCCTTTAGTACTGACCATCAATAACTTTGCTATCAACTCTTCATTGGCGGCGCTCCATATAACACACAACCAACTTTGCCACCAAGTAGATTTGTGAGCACGACGTGAACATTGAGCTGTGAGCTAATATCCATATCCTTTCGAGGCACTAAAACCATTATTCGGCCTCACGAAAACACAAAGAGCAATAACGCCAACTCAAATTTAGTCAACCTAACCTTCGGTCCAAATCATGTACAGCCACCAGCCACAGCCACTGAGCAACCTCTCACGATCCCTGCCACCAACACCAAGCCAGCTGCATTCCCCAGATCTGCCGGACGACAATGAGGCTTCCGATGATTATTTTGTAGACTCTGAGGACGTCCCTTTACCCTTCCCTATTCAAACCATTGTTGCAGACCCGCAGACTGGACTGAGTCTGACGCTTATCTCTGCTCTCGGCGCCGGATCCTATGCCGTAGTCTATCTCGCCAGAGAAGTGGCTTCCGGAACCTTGTATGCCCTCAAGTGTCTTGGAAAGGACAAGCTGACAGACGAGGAAGTAGCGATCCAGCGAAATGAGGTAAGTCACCTGAGCTGGCTGCATCCCCGTTGCCTCCAAATCTTCACGCTCTTCACATCAACATAAGGAATGTTATTGTCGCTCTTTTCCCAAAGACCTGCGCATTAATGTTTCCTTCACCATAGGTTGTCATTCATACGTCGCTGCCCAAGCATCGAAATATTATACATTTATTTAATATGTTTGAGACAAAGGATCATTTATTCCTGCTTCTTGAATACTCTTCTGGAATGGACATGTATCAATGGATCAGTATGCGTTCTGATAAGGCAGACCCCATCACTGGAGAGCTCTACTCTCCCAAGGCGCGCTATGGTGTCATCAAAACAGTGTTTGATCAGGTCATGGAGGGTGTGGGATTAGTTCATGCATGTGGTGTAGCCCATCGAGATCTTAAACCAGAAAACTTTTTGATCGAATTTTCCGATGGCCATTATACTGTTAAGCTTACGGACTTTGGTCTCGCCACGACTGACTCGCAGTGTGACGAATTTGAGTGTGGTAGTAAGCCCTATATGAGTTTTGGTAAGATATTGTTGCTATTTACCTCCAGCCCATGCTATTAACCACTAAGATGAGGATCCCGTTGACTCTGTTTCTGTGGCGTGTATTCATTTATTCATTTGTCATTTATTATCATTTTAGAATGTCGCAATGGCTTAGATGCGACATATGATGTACAGATGGCCGATATTTGGTCACTTGGAATTATTCTTATCAATCTATTGTACCATCGATGTCCTTGGTCTGACCCATGTCCACAAGAGTCATATGCATTTTCGGAATTTTTGAAGAGCAGAGTGGACTTTTTGCAAAGACGATTTGAAGATATGCCAGGATCAGTGGCGAGATGGCTTGGATTGCGCGCATTTGCGTTTGTGGGCAATGCGAAATGTAAGAAGGGGCGTACGCGGCCTAGTATCAATGAGTGGAAGGCTTGGATGGTCGATTTTGTGCCGCGGATGTTAGGTCAGATCAGTTTAGATCAAGAAGAAGATTATGACTATGACGATAAGCAAGAATATCGTGAGTACTTGGAGCTGTTTGAGGATGATATATTAGGACAAGAAGTGGAAGGCGATGAAATCCTCGATAACGACAATGAGGATTATGGCTCAGATAACCAGGTTGTTCCTATCGCAATTCAGTCTTCTTCTGTCAAAGAAAAACAGTATTTACATCCTGAAGCTGAGCGAGCTTATGCATCATATCATGCGAAAACACATAATACGTTCACATCCTCATCTGTGCCTAAATTTGATCCCTCGGCTTTTTACCAGCCTGCGCGGCTTCGACAAGAATCATGGTCTGATGCTATTGACATGGAGGGCACTGAGGATGCGGAAATGGACTTTTCCGCACCAATCCTGTTCGAAGAATCAGAGGAAGATGACAATCAGCAGTCAGATGATGAGGACGACGCTTCTGGACTAGCTGTAGCTCTCCCTGACGATTTCATTGATCCTTTGCCAGGCCCTAGTGTAGCGTCCTCTGGACGCCAAACACCATCAACTCCGACTATGACGCATCTGAACTTCAACTCGGAGAAACGGCAACTCCCGGTGCATCTTCGTTCCGACGTGGACTTGCCTGGTCGTCGGTCCCCTCAAGAATCTACAAAAAGAATCGCTGGCCGTGGATCACCAGGCCCGGACTTGAGTGAGCAGATTAATACGTTGGTTTTTATTGAGCCAGATGTCTCAAGAGTCACTCCTGATCCTCATCAAATCACATCTGGAGCGGGGGGACATGCAATCGCTTCATCTCTGCCTTTGGCTAGTCATATTGAAGCAAACCTTGGCTCCAGCTCATCATTGAACAAAGAACAAGCTTATTTGAAGCAGCAAGTACGGACACCAGCCCGCAATTTACAGGACGTTAAAGCTGTGCCTTTTGTATTCCCACCTCTCAAACCCACTACAACGCTGGGAAATCCTCACACTGATAGTGTGAGTGGACTCGCGCCATCATCGCAACTTAAAGATAAATCGCTGTTGTCTCAGACTAAGACCCCGACAAGTAAAAAGGATGTTAATGGACTGGAGTCTATGAGTTTAAAGAAGATAGTCTCCAGCAAAACCAATCCTCAAGTCACTCCTAAACAATCTCAGCTCGGCTTGTGGGCTAATTCTTCTGCAGTGTCTGGTCCTTCACGACTGTCAGAGCCTAACAGTGCAAGTCATGGTCACAATTTCAAATGGCGAGGTCACCGTCGTGGGGGAAGCTGGACATCTATAGATGATGGCTGGGATAGCCGTAGAGATATTAATTCGTACCGTGGCGGAGATGGATCGAAGGCTGGTTCAGGGACATGGCGCGCGCGTCAAGGTGATAGGGAGGATGGACATGGTCTGCCTCCTCGAGCAGAGAACAAATTTCGGCCGAGATACCGCCAAGGGCGCAGATTTCCTCCCCAGTCCAGCTCATCAACACTGCCGCCAGCTCCACCGATGTCCCATTCAGGATATGGTGCACCTCGCTCACGTCATCAGAGTAGACATGGAGCGGTGTTTGATAGTGGTGCGTCAACGAAAGAGAATGATGTTAACAAGTCTACTTTTAAAGAATTGTCATGTAAAGATTCTTTCCATCAGCAAAGACAGCATCAGGAACAGCAACCTCCAAAATACGAGCATAGTCAGCTTCGAATGCATAAGGTGAGCCATTCAACTGGATCAAAGCTTGCTGGACAACGCAATAAGAGTCTGATCGACTTACGTGCTATTGATGTCACGAGCCAACCATGGCGGCAACCGGAGCAAGGCAGCACGCCGCCTATTACACCCACTATGACCAAGGCACGGTCACAGGCCGGTGCAATTGACTCTGATCAGCGTAAAGGATCAACAGGAGCTGTTCATTTAGATTCGCAAGGGAATTTTGGCGGTCCCTCTATGCGCAACCGTTTGGCCAATCGACAGTCTTTAACCGATTTTAAAACATCTAAAGACAGCGTCTATCACCCGCCTCATTGGCATGAGAGAAATAACTCGAGCCCGTCCGCGGGCTCATTGCAAAGACCATCAAGTGGATATGAATCGGATTTCTCAGGATGGCAGAAACAAGATGGGTCAACGACTCTGACCTTTACATCTAAAAACAAGCCAGCATCAAAAGGTCGCCATGGACATCACTCCAGCTCAAGTATGAGCTCATCAGGAGTGGATCGCAAGCATATAGCACCACGACAAGCAGACACAGTCAACAGCTGGAGGGGTGGTAGTTTTGGCAGTGGCGGAGAACCAATACGTGGAACACAGGATCGCCTGCATGGCCTTGGCAAGAAACCGAGCATGGATTTTAATAGCCTCAGCCTAGGTGCCAACGCGTCACAACTCCTGGCTCCTATGTCACCGCAGATGACACTGACCCCACCGACTCCAAAAGTAGTCAGATCGGAATTCCTTACAGAGACGCCAACGTCAACCCCGGCAACGACCACTAAAGAAGCACCGCCTGAACATGGCCAGGTACCTGAGGGATCTGAAACCAAAAAGATTGTCAAGGCAGGCGCAATGGCAGGACTTGGAAACATGTTACGTGGACTTGTGGCCTACAACAAAAACATCAAGGTTGGAGGAGAAGGAGTGGCAACCTCACAGCCACAGAGGACTGATCAGCCTTCACCGTTTTCTGCGGACGAGCAAGGCGCACCAAACACGTAATTTATTGATCTTCATTTACCTCAACACTAATTTATTTGATTTGATTTCGATTTTTATTTTTTGCTTTCTTTTTTTTCTTTTTTATTTTTTCTTTTCTTTTTTTTTCTTTTTTTTTTTTTTCTTTTTCTTTTTCTTTTATTTTTTTCTTTTTTTTATTGCTTCCGTTGATTCCATCTTTTCTGGACCTTGTATAAATAATTCTAGGCTATGTTAATAAAGCAGCAAAGCAACTGTAGGAAGTTCCAAGGATAGCGCATCAAGCTTAAACTATTTAACATATTCTACAGTTAATCATCATTACCAGTGTAAAATGAATATGCTCTAGCGTTTATTTTAGCTCAGGTAAAACATGACAAGGGCAGGTCTAGGTTACTTTCTTTTTATTTGATCTTGGCGCCAACGACAGAGGGCACAGTGCAATCGCCTAGTTCAGTATGTAGGACATGGACGGCGCCTTCATCAGACTTCCAGGCAGCACGAAGCTCGGCTGTGGTATGGAGACCAGGCTGGATAGTCTCCCAAATTTTCTTCTTGGGGTTCATAACCTCATCGGGCTTTTCATCTAATTTTTTTAAAAGTTACAAAATTTAGTAAGAATGATGAGTGAAAAAAAAAAAAAAAAAAAAAAAAAAAAAAAAAGCTATCATGCATTTTGGTGTAAATTACCTTTCCAGTCACCAAAGTAACACTTGTCTCCTGGTTTGGATCCCTTAGGTGGCTCAACTAGCTCGAGCTTGCCAGCATCATCAGTAGCAGCCAAGACCATAGCAAAAGACTTGACGCCTCTCATGGCAGCAGGCTTCAAGTTGCAGACACAGACCAACCAACGATTCTCCATCTCCTCAATAGGAATATGCTTGACCAATCCACTGACGACTGTTCGAGGTTCAGGCTCACCAACATCAATAGACTCAACATACAATGAGTCTGCATCTGGGTGTTTTTCGACCTTCAAAATCCTTCCGACACGGAGATCAACTTGCCATGGCTGTGGGGTGGTAGGTGCAGCAGGTGCAGCAGGAGCGGCGGGGGCCTTGGGAGCCTTTGCCTTCTTTTCCTTCTTTTGAGCGTCACCTGTATTTGTGGTGGTGGTAGTGCCCTCCTCAGAAGCAGCATTAGCTTCCTTTTTGGCCTTCTTCTCCTCCGTCTTGGCCTCCTTCTTGCTAGCCTTCTTGGCCTTCTTCTCGTCTACTGAGGCGCTAGTAGAACCAGCACTAGCTTTTGCAGATGTAGCCTTCTCCTTGGGAGGGATCTGAAGCTCAGGAGCCTCAAGATCGATAATGATAGGTGCTAAGTGGCCCAACTCGCTAGTTTGTTCCTGAATCAAATCGAACCAGCGAGTCAAATGAGGACGCTTCAACTGACCATCCCTGGACATGGCGCTCTGGTTGGGGGTTTTTTTTAGAGAGAGGAAAAAAAAAAAAAAAAAAAAAAAAAAAAAAAAGGAAATGAATGTTTAGTAGACTATTCAGTGCGTTTGTTTTTCTATTTAGAAAAATGAAAACAAAATAAAAAACAAAGTAAAAGCAAGTCGCCGTACGAATTGTTCATGGATCTTGACAAATGTCCAGAGGTCGGCATTGGTAATAGAGTGTCCGACTATATAAGTCCGAGTCTCGAGATGTTCGTTTAAAGCCTGTCAACAAAAAAATAAAATATATCAGTTGCAGTAAGCTTTTTTTGCATAGTCTTAAAATGATGAGTATAATCTAGCAGAGTTAAATCATTCCAAAAAATTGAGTACCTTGGCAAGAGGAGTAAGATCTTTCTCGAAACGTTCGATCCATTCTTTGATCTAGTGAATTGGATGGGACAGAGAGCAAGATAGAAGTAAAATAAATAAATAAATAAGTAGTAAAATAATCAAATATATTATGGTCTTAAATGGATCACATGAGGCCGTTGCTATCCATTTCCAAGTCATCTTATGTTAACCGATCATCTGTTTATGACAAACAGTGGTAAACTTAAGTCTCAACAGTTTGAGCCTTTTCCTGTAACAGTAACAAACCCTTTTTTTTTTTCCCAGTCTGCTTTCTCCTCATGTCTTGTTATCCAGTTGCTAGTGTTCATTTATAAGTTCCAGTGGCGCGTATTCTGGATAAATCTCTGATCGTTCCATGAATAATTAATACAAAAAGAATGTAGAATGAAATGGAAGCTTTGATTTGTTTTTTTTTTTTTTGTTAAGTTTATTTGGCAGTACCTCCTTGCGATCGCTGTCAGTCTTGCCTTCCAAAAGCTCTGCACCCCCAAGGCGACCTTGGCAAGCATTCAAGAAAGAGGTCGTAACGGTATCAGACATGGCGTATAAAAAATAGGCTTGAATGATTTAAAAAAGAATGCATGTCTTGTAGCACTCTCTGTTGTAATATAAAAAAAAAAAAAAAGGCCAGTCGCATACACGGACATGTAATTGATCGTGGCTTGTTCATTATATGATGATCCAAACCTCCTTAAATGAAAGTACGATTTTAGAATATTGAATTAACCTTTTAAGTTGATTTCCAGCCTAGGGGCTACACCTAAAAAACGCGTAATTATTCAGAGACGCGTACATGTACTCAAAAATTTGTACCGGTAAAAAAAAGGACATCAGATTATCATCTTGGAACGTCTTATACAACTTTGTGCCTTTTTCCGAATTAGATTTGCTTAATTGAGCACTTGTTCAAAAATTTGTAAAGTTATACTTGAGCGAGCTGCTTCATAAAATAAATATGTAAGGAAAAAAGGGGGGACTCTAATGAAATGAAACTTGAGGCTTTTCTAGGTATGCAGACGAAAGGAAAGAGTTGGAAGCTCAAGGTCTTTGCAAGGGTTGACAGAGATGAGACAAGAATGACTATAACTAATATTGCTGCCTTTTATGGCAGCGACATTTTGCTACCCTTATATGCTGGGAGTTTTGCTTCTCTCGGGTTGGAAGCAAACAAACTGGATTCGAGTCGAGAGCATGCTCGGCAGAAGCAAAATGCCGTTTCTATAAAAGGCAACACAATTTGGTCGTACACAAGCTTCTATTTATTTTGTCATCTGTGCTACAGCATTAATATATGCACTAAATCCTTTCTCCTACGCAATGATTACACTGTAATCGGAAGAAATGTAGTATAGAGTAGAATGGGCTATGGGATTTGGGAAGAGGACGGCTAATTAATGGGTATGCAATATAAAGTAGATGCCAAAGAAAGGGATATCAACATCAATATTTCAATCAAGCAAGTAAAAAACCAATATCTTCTTCAATTCGTCAACAAGCGCTTATTTGGTCCTATTTTGCCAGCAACAGTGCATGCACTGCAGCACTGAAGCACTGTAGCACCCAAACTTCCCTCTATGTGTTGCGCATGTGTACTTAAATCGGGCTCTAAAAAAAAAAAAAAAAAGATCGCATCTGTAATTGTGGTTTTTATTGTTTTCTTTGCTAAACACCCAAGGGTCTAGTGGGTGCGAGGAGGGGGCATTACAAACTCCTGTATATTTCCCTAACCGACCTGCGGACGAGAAAAGGGAAAGTAAAAAAGGCTTTATGAGAAAACTAGACCCTAGAAAGCACTCAAGCGCACGAGGAGACTAGACTCTTTTTTTTAAAAAAAAGCTAGATCTGTCACCAATGGCTAATTTGAGAAGTCAAGGGAAGTGGGAACAAAACCTTAAAATGTAAACAGAAGTGTCTAGAATAGAACCAAATCAGACATGCGGTTCAGGACTTACTTTTGTCGCTTTCCTTTCAGAGTCTCACTTCCATTCATCCTTGTTTTTGCGAACTATTATAAAAGCATGTCTCGAACTTTTTTTATCTATTTACCTACATGAAGGAAGAAGACGGAAAATATTATTAGAATTGCGCAAATCAGTCATTTGAATGGAACTCAATCTGCGGCCTCATTTGGAAAACAAAATCGCACTTTTATATCTTTTAATGCATAAATTTTATAGAGTAACAATTCAATTGCCTTACAATATCAATTAGAAATGAATGAGATTGTGAAAAACAGTGTGCATGAACCAACATTCAGCAGGACAACAGTAACTAAAAAAAGACAAGAGTAAAGCGATGTTTATTCCTTGGACATGGTCATCATATATTATCGTGTGATTCCACCAAGGATGAATTTTTTGTTGTGAATGGTTAAACACACCTAACCCATTTGTCAGGATCCACCTCGTGTAACTATTTTCATTTTGAATCGTCAATAATGTCTCGACTAAGAGCATTTTTATTTCGAGTAAAGTAAGGAAGCTCTGTCAAAGAGACTTTTTGCCGCTGATGTTAAGCACCACGGGAAATGAAGGATAAGTATATATCTGATGCAAATGTGTTACATGGTTTCATGGAAAGATTGAAGTGAAGACAATTGAGGCGGTCTGAAAAGGTAAACTAATAAACACCCAAGCACACTCCAATGGACCAAATGAGGCGGAGATTTTAGCTTTGCCTTTTTTTTTCTTTTTTTTTTTTTCCTGCATCCACCGACTCTTTCATCAATTTCCTCAATTACCCTTTTCTGTCTTGCTTTTTAGGCTCTTGTCGCTCTGGCCTTGATCTCTATGTATCTGCACGTATTTATGTATTTGCCCCAAACGCCCTGCCCTCTCATTTAGCCCTATTTATCCCTTTACATTGTTTGTTCCATGTAAGTCAAAAATATGGATCATTCACACTTTACAATCAATTTTCTGTTCCCGTTAAGATCTATGCTACGTCTTTCACTAATCCAGTGGCATTATTCTGTCATTATATTATCCTCATTTTTTTCGAGTGTATAACATTGTTTTAACCGCTTACTCATTTATTACAGTCTTCCTACAACCCTATGGCTTTCGGCTCCAAAAGAGAAAATGCTGAAGTAAACAAACCAAAGTCGGGATTGAGCATGCGGCATGAAATTCATCCTGTAATCAATCTTCTTTTTTTAATCCGCGTGCGAGTCCCAAGTCTTGTACGTCATCTGTACATTTTAAACGAGGAGGACAAAAAAAAGGTCGTCTTTTCATCTTTTCTCTCTAGTTCTCATCCATGTTGGCCCACAAGCAGCTGGACTATGTTGCTACAACAAAGTGCCTTGTATCTGAGCTTACTATCAGTTCTATGCTGTTAATGATGTTGTGCTTTGGCCAATGCTGATCATCATTGTCACACCACACCGGACAATTGAGTGACCCTTTTTATTATTATTATAAATATGTATATATATTTATATATTTATTTATCCCACATTTTTCCAGCCACTGCCCTTGCATCTAAAATGAGCGTCTCCTTACTCCATTGCTCTACGCGTTATTTATATATCCTTTTTTATCCATTTGCATGTAAATGGTCTTATTGGATATGGCCCTACATCCTTGGCATTATGTTTGCATGGCAAACAAAAATATATTGTCCAAGTTCATTGGTTGCACGTCAGAATACCCTTCCCCTCACTCTCATTTTTTTTTCTGCCTTGGCTTCTTTAATCCATATACCATCTTACAATATTCTTGTTTGTTGCGTTTGTATTGTTAAAAAAAAAAAAAAAAAAAAAAAAAAAAAAAAAGAACCAAGCAAACAAGTTTTTTTATTCATTAATGAACCTTGCTGCATAACAATGCAAGCAACTAAGTGTATTCTGGGCATCTATACTTTACCAAGTCCGCACTCATAAAATCGAACTTTGTCATCCTTCCATTTATTTTATTCTTTGAAAAGTATTCAAAAACCGACCTTGTGCGACGACCCCTATACTATCTCTGTCTTTTACATCTTGTACACAGAAGACCTTATGGGCTCGCTGATGGCTGTCCCTGGATTTTTCAATTGGCAACAAAGCGCAAACACCTGCCTACAAGTTATTTGTAGGGTACAATGACCACCTGACCTTGCACCATTTTTTCCATCCCCTTGCTTTCCTCTCTTTCTCTTACAAACCCTTTCTGTTTCTCCTGAATCTGCTCGGGGCCGGGGATCTTTGATTCGCAAATGCACCATTACGCTTTTGAGCATCTGTTTAGTCATTTTGTAGATTTTATAGATATAGTTTATTCCTTTTTTAGACTATGTTGGATCGTCCCGCCTAAAACAAAAAAAAAAAAAAAAAAAAAAAAAAACAACAAGAACAGCGACACCTGTAGCACTACACAACTGTTGTTTGTTTTGACTGACAAATTGCCCCTTTTTTCCGTCCAGTCCTCACTTCTATTGCCTTGCTTTCCTTTCTCTTCCATCTTCTCTTCAAAGGGCTCATTGCTCTTGAGCTCGTTTGAACCTCCTTTTAAACGTATCAGAGACTTGGAGGGGGGAGGACTAAGCTTCAGTTCTCCCTTTAAGGCTTAACTGTTCGCTTACAGCAATCAATAAAAAAAAATAAAAAAAAAAAAAAAAAAAAAGCTTATAGTAGCATCCCTTCGATAAACTGCAAATGTACGCAGGCTACCAATTGCTGCTCTTCACTGTCCAATGGCCTTTGCACCATTTTTTGCTTTTTATTGCCATTGGCTATATTCAGCAAAGACATGTCCAATGAACATCTCAGGTCTCGCGACCGCTTAAATGACGGCAATGCATCCTTAGACTCCAAAAAGGCCTACTTCTGTTCGTAAAAATAGTGATAATTATTGATTTTCTAAGCCCATACTCTTGTTTACTCAAGATTGCTTTCCAGCATTTCTATTTACTTATTGCTTCTTGTACTTTAGCCATTAGCTGAACAAGGAATATTAAAGCAAATAATTGCTAAAAGGGGTTTAACGTACCTACTTTTCACTCGATAGGGTTTCCTCAAGAGCTTATTACCATAGCACTTTAGCTTTTAAACTTTAGTATTCGTAAATCTATACTGTATTAAAAAAAAAAAAAAAAAAAAAAAAAAAAGAAAGAAAGAAAGAAATAGCTCGATGTATTTTTAAAGTATTGGACACTACAACATTCCATGGCGCTTTTGCTCCTTAGCAGAACAGTATGGAAAATATCATGTCATTGTCCAACTTTATACTTTTGCTCGCTTATATTTTTTCAGATCTTCTGAATGTTTATGTTCTACTTGTATCACCACACCAGTCTCCCCCTTGCAGACAGAAACAATAAAAAAAAGGCTTTCACTTCCTTCCGCTCCTCTGGATCAACTCTGTAATGCAATAGCTCTTAGATTTTTACCACATTGGTTATTGAGGCCCATTAAAACATTACTTTTTCTACTTTAAATCTTAGGGCGCAATATGCACTTTATCATCAGATAGCATTGAGTGGATTGTGTATGTGGCGAAATTAGAGTTGTATTCTCCTGTTTGTTTGTTGTTGTCAAGTCTCATGTCCTTGATAGCAATCTTATTGGTTTTCTTAATTATCACACTTGTATTCAATCTCACGTCCACCACTGCAAGTGTCTCCATTTTGTCCGCACACGTAAATCAAGCTATTACCATACCCTTGGCACAACAACTGTAGTGTCGACCCTAACTTAGTTTCGCTCTCTCTTTTCTGCATACACACATTTATTCTACCTGTTGATGTCCCCTATAGCCGTTTTGTATTGACTATATCATGTCTTCCAGTGCCGAAGAAAGTCCTTTGCATAATCAAAACAAAATCGTCTCAGCTACTCAGCCTATCTCTTCGACAGCAATGTCTGTAGGAGTCACCGAGGCTTGGGCTGGTTTAGATACAAGCACCCAGCCTCAGCTTAAAGTTGAACCGATGCCACCGTTCAACGGACCCTCCTTGGCTTTGAATCTCTCTCACTCATTATCACCAAACACTCGAGTAGAACCACTCCATCCTCAATCTCCCCCATATCCTCTTCATTCGACTGCCTCTCGTCTTCATTTTCACTCCTCTGTCCTGTCCATGACTCCGACTACTGCCTCTTCCTCACCTTTAGCTTCTTCAAAAATCATGATGCATACCTCGCAGTTACCTCCGATGCCTCCTTCTTTATCTATGTCGCATCCTTCACACCATCTTCATCACCACAATGCCATTGGGGCTAGTCCTCCCGGACTATCACAGCAAAACTCGTTTGAGCTGGCTCATTTGAACGAGCTTATGACGGGTGAGCTGGTAGTCAGCAAGTCTTCTTCAGCCCTTCAATCGAGCGGTTCCAGTAACAGGCTGCCTCCACCCGCTTCTATGCCATCTTTGCCAAATCATACGATGTTTCATGGCCAAGCATCGTCATTCATCTCGATGCAGCAGCAGGTACAATCCCAGCCGCTGTCCTCAACCTCGCACTCTAACCAAGGTGCGTTTCAGTCCAACCAGCCTACTATGATCTCAGCTTACTCTACTCATCAAGGTCAACAGAAACAGCAGCCATATCATTGTGCTTCAGATTCTACTATGAGCCGTGGGCCGTCCTCCTCATCGAGTTGCTCTACTTCTTCAAGCGCAACGCTTCACCAAGGCCCATATCAGTTGAGCACCGTCAGTAGTGGAGGTGATGATGCTTGTAGTAACACACATTGTGGCATCAACCAAAACAATGCTGCAATGACAGTACTTGGCTCAACTTCTGCAGGAACTCGCTTTAATGATGTGGATTTTAACAAGAACTCTGGGGCCCCTACCACTGAAAAAGTATGATCGCACTGATCTCTGACTTTCACACACCTTTGTTTTTTTATATATTTTTTTTATTTTTTATTTTTTTATTTTTTTGGCTTGCTCCCTTACCCCTCACCTTTCCCTCCCCCCCTTTTTTTTTTTTTTTTTTTTTTTTTTTTTTGTCGTGTTATCGTTATTGTTTGTCATTTGTTGTTTGCTGTTTGGTGTTTGGTGTTTGGTGTTTGTTTAGTGTTTGGTGTTTTTTTTTGTTTGGTACAGTGGTCTTCAGCTTATGTCTTCTTTGCACTACATCCCGAATGAAGGAAGCATTGTGTGGCCCGTGGGTTTTTTTTTTTTTTTTTTTTTTTTTCTGAAAATGGGTCTGGGAAAATTCGAAGATGTAGGAACATATGAGCGTCACTATCCAGTGTAAAAAGGACCATGGCATTTCTTTCAAAGAGAATGGCGGGAAAACAAAAAAAAATTCTTTGTAAAGGATATACTAAAAAGAGGGAGGAATAGTAGACACCCAGAGGGTCTAGAAATCGGCCAGTGTCAAGCGCAAGGGTATAAAATTTCATTATTAGAGCCTAATCTATTGTTTATGATCAACAGTGGTTATCGAGAGTGCCGACTAAGAAATCAAGTTTCAATCTCCTTTAATACGATTATTATGATTACGATTATGATTACTATTATTATTATTGATGCTGCTCTTGTGGTTGGAGACCCCTGAACACCCGGCTTCCGTTGTATTCATGCGAGACATCTGATTCGGTCAGCTATTCATTTCCCTTGCGTTTTTGGGTGAGCGTCCCTATTCTTACAGTATAATATCCAAGCACTGGCAAATGAATGACCAGGTGCATGTTTCCTTCCTCTGTGTTTGTTTGGGGAAGGGGAGACGAAAAGGGAAGAGTAAAATAGACAGCGCGGGAAGAAACAATATTCAGCTCTCTCTTTTTTCTTTTTTTGATTAAGATAATGCAATTCAATGGGAGTTTCTGCAACCATGTCCTGTCTCCTGATCATCTGCAGTGTGTGTACTACAATCTGTCTGGGTACACAATAAAAAAAAGGGAAAAAAAAAAAAAGCGCGCCTGGTGGCTGTTACTCTCACCTTGTACTCCCCTCCTATCCCCCTCTTGGTTTTCCTTTATGGTATTCTTCCCGCGGTTTTCCTTTCACATTTGTCTCTTGGTCATTTCTATTTACCCCCATTCCCACTGGCACTTGAAAAGAAAAGAAAAGAAAAGAAAAAGTCAAATCCTGACATTTATCCTGTTATGCATGCTACAACCTCCATTCAATTTCATAACGGCAATTGCACACATCCTTTTCCCGCCCTTGTTCATGATCATGTACGTTTTTTTTTTTTTTTTTTTTTTTTTTTTTATTCTTTCAATGGCCAACTCCTGCTTTGCCTTTACTGAGAAGGAGCAATGTTCTTTTATGAAAATCAAGGATGAATGGATCGATCGAATGGGCTGTAGAGGAGGAGGGAGAGAAAGAGGGAGAGAGAGCTGATTATAAAATAGCTAATGAAGGTTTTTTTAATCGTCGTACATGCCTGCGCGTGAAGAAGTCATGAATGTGACATGTGTCTCTTGTTTTGTTTGTACATCCTTTACTTCATGGTGTCTCTTCGTGCCTTTTTTTTTTTTTTACAATATGCTCTATTATTCGTGCATGTCGATGTTAGTCCATATTCGCATATGAACATACACAGAATGTGGGAGGAAGAGAGAAGGAGGGGTCCTCCTTTCCTTTTCTCTCCTCTCCTCTCTTCCGATTCTCTTTTTTAGTCCTATGGGACCCTGTCTGCTGTCTGATCCTTGTGATTGCATTTTATCCTTTATAATCACCTTTCTTTACTTCATCTGGTCTTGTATGCATGGTCATATATCATTGTGGTGTCCACTGTGCACCTTTTTTTTTGCATATCGAGCTAACATGTTGTTCTTATTCTATTTTGGGGGGAGTTTTTTCTTTTTTGGGAAAATGTAAGGGGAGTCAGGATTGAGCATTAGTGTGTTGGTGGCAAAATGGCATTTTGAATGATCAAAATGACTTTATACACTGTTCGGGCTGTGAATCGTGGTTGTTCATCAAATTTCTTATCTCTGTCCTGTTGACCAATTTAGCTCAGCTTTTTTTTTTTTTTTTTTTTGCTTCGCCTTTGGTTTCCTACCTAAATTTTCTTTTTCTTTCTTTCTTTTTCTTTTTTTAAAAAAAACAACTTCTCATGATGAATCCTTTCCATTCGTCTTCCATTTTACCTTATGTATTCTCCCGCCTTTGTTTCCGATCCACCTATACGCGTGTCCGGTGTTTCCTCGTTTTCTTTCGTTTTGATTATGCGGTCAAATTGTATGTTTGGCGATGGCAATCTTGACCTCTTTTTTTTTTTTTTTTTTTTTTTTTTTTTTCTCGGCCTTTTTTTTTTCGTTAGTGTGTGGTGGTGTGTGTTTTTCCCTTAATGGCCCATTCCCGTGCTTGCGTTGGCAGTGCTGACGAAGTTTTTTTTTTTTTTTTAATCAACCTTGATGACCGTTACACTGGTATTTCAACTTGAGCTTCCAGACTAAGAATAATTTGTCCGTTTACATCCAGTAGCCAACTTCATTTGGGAAAGGAGAATGAGCGCAGGTGTGGATTTAACAGTTTGTAGTTTGTGTTGCGAGTACAAAAGTGTGCGTCTTGTCTTTGATTGTTTACAGTCTCCCAGTCAAAAGAACATTTTGTGCATGTTCTTGTCTGTCCAGCCTTGGTCACACACACGCACGCACGCACACACCCCTCTCTCTTCTCGCGCGCTTTTATCCTTATGCTCTCTTTCTCTCTCTCTCTCTTTTTTTTAAATATATATATATATATATATGTATATAAACATTTTATTTTATATTATATTATTTTATTATCATTTATATTTATATTTTCGATCTTGTTCTACGCGATATTCAATTTGGTCTTCTTTCTCTCTCTTTCCGTCTCTCTCTCTCTCTCTCTCTCTCTCTCTCTCTCTCTCTCTTTCTCTTCCTCTCTCTCGTTTCTTCATTTCAATTCTCCTATCCTCTCTCATTTCTTTTGTCTCCTTTTCTCCCTTTTCTCCCTTTTCTCCCTTTTCTCCCTTTTCTCCCTTTTCTTCCTTTCTCCCTGTCTGTCTAAACACCCTTTCTTCTATTCTTTTTCTCTCTCGTTTCCTTAAGTGTATCTTACTTTTACTTACCCAAGCTTCCACCTAATTAATATCTGTTAGATGGACGACTTTTATGACAAGCTCCTAGGCATGACCTTTAAGCAATCAAGCGACGCCATCAGTAAATGTCGCGACTTGGCCCGGGAGCATGGCTTCACAGTCAAGCAGGAGACAAGTTCGAATAAGGTAATAAAAAATAAAATAATATTAAAAAAAAAAAAAAAAAAAAAAAAAAAAAGGGTTTTCCCAGTTACACACACCAAAGTTCTGTGCATACCATGCACATATTTTGAGAAACAAGAAAAAAGAAACAAAAAAAAAAAAAAAAAAAGATAGAGAGGGCCATGGATTTATGGGATGATGTATGTGTGAGAGATGTAAGGGAGCGTTTTTAAAAAAGATATGAATGTGTTTATGAATGTGAGTGGACATGATTGGGCAAGCTGGGATGGGACGGACAGGATCGCTCACCTTGTTTTGTGATATTTTTATTGTTATTGTTACACTCTTCCACCAGTCCACTGTCCTGGAAGCTCCTCCCTTCCCTCCTTCATCCTCCCCACCTCAATTTTTCCATCCCATTTTTCTTTCAGTCATTCCGCCCCCATCATTTGTCTCAACTCTATCTTCTCTTCTCTCTTTCTTCTCTTCTCTTCTCTTCTCTTCTCTTCTCTTCTCTTCTCTCTTTTGAATTCTACTTTTATTCTACTCTATTTTATTTCATTTTCCCTTCATTATCTCTGTGTTACGAACAGTAATCCACACTTGTGGGCACGTCAATGTTAAGAAGCTCAAATCATGACTGTAACTTAAAAAGGGCGGGATATTTTATCAAAAGTAAGCATTTGAGTTGCATGCATATTTCGCAGCACATTCTGCAAGCATGACAAAAAGGGACCAAAATGATTTCAACCTCAGACCAAGGGGGGAAGGAGTACAAAAAACAAGGGTTGTACTTTTTTTTTTTTTTTTTTTTTTTTTTTTAAACCACATTAAAGTGTTCTGTTGACGACACCTGCCACAAAATAATCTGTGCTCACAATATCAATTCAGTTCTTTCAAGAATCAATGACGATAACTGCTCTCTTTTTTTTTTTTTTTTTTTTTTTTTTTTTTGGGGGGGGGGGGGAGAGGAGAGGAAGGGGGGAAAGAGAGGGCAAATGAATGAAGAATGAAAGGAAAGCTTGCGGCTTGTCAGCTCTTGTGACTTTTACAATATGATGTAACAGCCAATGCTCGTCCAACGGAGAGGATGCATGCATCTCTAAGATCAAAACGAGTGTCCTTTCCTTTTTCTTGTTCTTTGTGTTTACGTTTTTTTCTGTTGGTGTATCATGTATCATGCATTAACGTGCACAAGAGTGTTCCCAAACAGCATTTTATTATTTGTTGTGACCCACTGTCTCACTAACTAACTATACTCATCTAAATTGGCTGATTTTACTTTTCACTTCCTAGAATGTCTACCTGTACTGTTCACGTGAAGGTGTCCCTGATTCCGTCAAAAACAACAAGGAGATTAAACGTAAACGATTGTCTATGAGATGCGACTGCAAGTGGCGCATTACCCTATTCCAGCAAGAGTCAAAGCATTGGGTCTTCCGCAAAGCCATGAACCCAGCTTCTATGACCCATAATCACCCGTTAATCTCACCAGATGATATTCGGCAACCTTGGCCCCAGGCTGTCTTTGACAGAATCGCGTACTACGCCAGGCAAAGAAACTTGACAACCTCGGATACTCGTGAAAGAATCAAGGAGGATTTTCCAGACTTGATCTGGGATGAGCGACGCTTCTATAATCGATTGACTGAGGAGCGTAAGCAGATTAAACTACGGGATTCAGAAAGTCGAGTCTTTTCCACGATGGAGCTAGCTGCCCGTGTCGCCAGTCTAGCCAGCGCAGACCCAACTCTCTCCTACAAAGTCACATCAAGCCTCGAGAATGTCCTAGTTGAGATTTGTGAGCAGCTGCGGATCGATCCCGCTGGTGCAAACTCGCGCGTTCTGGCTTCGCCGCCTCCCTCTGGAGGAGCAGGAGGGCCTTCAATGAATATGACCTCACCTTCAAACACTAGTCCTGCTTTCAGTCCATCTTCATCCTCAAACTCGCCACTTAGTTCTTCTGATTACCTTGTGACTTATCCAGGATGTGTCATATCTGTCAAGAATACTCCGAGCCAGAAAGGACGCCCTTCCTCTGCTTCATCCCCAGTGGTGGATTCCAGCTACGGTTTGGGCCTTGGAATGCCATCAATCAATGATAGGAAGCGCTCTCTCAGTGAAGAATGCTTTACACGGCATGGTATCGGCGGCGCTTCGACAACAGCTCCTTCATTCAGCTCTGCCATGAGTGCTACCCAGATGATGAGCCATCTGGATATGTCCACAACCTCGTCAGGAACTGTAGGACCATTGCAAGGACCCCTTCCTGGCCTAGACTCCTCTGTCATGTCTGGGGGCCCTAGTTTGCTGATGATGCAAGGCAATAATGGTTATCACCCTCACTCGGGCCCTAATCATGCTCATCAGCAGCAATCACATCATCATCAACAACAACAGCTATACCACCCCCATGATACCCAACCACATCATGGCAATCAATCGTTGTCTTCTGGAATGGCCACAGCATTTCGGCCTCATCAACAGTACCATCCATACCAACAACCGCACCATCAGCAAGCGCACCCGGCTGCTATAAGCCAAGAAGATTTGTCTTCGTCAGAGTTGTCACTAGACCTGGATCCTTCAGATTACACTCGTCAAGAACAAGCTCCGACTATAAAGAGAAACCATTCAGTAGATATCAAGCAAGAATTTCAATCATTCTATCAACCCATAATATCTACTCAACAACAGCAGCAGCCACCACTCCCTCCACAGGTCCAAAGACGAACAGGAGGATCTCCAGGGCCAGGAGGGGCCACCAACAGAGCGTATTCACATCCCAACATTCATCCTAATCATTTCTTAGGTGAACCAGAGGACGTGTTTTCAAACCCTGTGACATTCCAACAGGTGGCTACAACGGGTCAATACCACTACACCACTTCGTCTGGAGCCGGTGGTAGTGGTGGTTATCTTCATACGAGCTATCCAGGCACTGGTCAACAGTCCAACAATAATTCAGGGTGAACAAAACATTTTGCGACAGGTTTAGAGTAAGTAAGTGTGCTTGATACAAGTCCTTTATTTGTAGGAAGATGTAATCTGTTTTTAATATTAACCATTATTTTTTTCTTTTGTTTTTTATTCTTTATAGTGAAGGCCCTTTATTTTTTTTTTTATTTTTTTATTTTTTTTAAATGTTGAACAACGAAAATGGTCCGTCTATTTATTCTATTCCTTCAGCGCCATCTCGTTTATTTTTTATTTTTTTGTGGTTTTTGTTTTTTGTTTTGTTTTGGTTTTTGTTTTATTGTTGTTAACAGTGTAGTTGTTTTCTTTTTTTTTTTTCTTTTTTTTTTTTTTTCCTTTCGTCGTCTTTCCTGCTGTAAATATAATAATATAATATAATCCTTATCATTTTTTTTATTGTCAAAATTTTCCTATTTTTTATTTTATTATTATTTTATTTTATTTTATTTTATTTTTTTTTTTTTCGCATTCTTTATTTCTTCTTCCTTTACTTGGGCCTAGTATAACATATATTTGAAGGCATAATAAGCTCACAGACAACAATAAAAATAATTTTAAAAAAAATAAAAATAAAAAGCAAAGATCTCTATCCTCTATTTGAATGTGAATGGTGTTTATAATTTATTGTGCTTTTTTTTATGATTCATGTTAAATGTGGCTGTATAATTGTGGTTCTAAACGTGATTGAAATCGTAAGATTGAAATTTTTGCTGATATCGACATCAGAGATCCATGTTGAGCAAGTTTTTCTTCAAGTCCTTGCTGCATGGTTGGAGTGGTGGAGAAAGTTGTAAATGATAAAAAAAAAAAAAAAAAAAACGGGAAGAAAGAAGGAAAGAAAAAATTGAAGTAGTCATGTATGCATGTATGTAATTTTTTTTTTTTTTTTTTTTAAACAAAACAAAAAAAAAAAAAAAAAGGCATAGCAAGTAAATCAACAGATCCCTAGCATAGAATTGTAAAAAAGAACAAAGATAGGAAAGAGAGAACACAAAGAATCACCTGAAAGCCTTCAAACATCATGAATACCCGAGTTCTGAGATGAATTCATCGCCATTTGCGCTGCTGCTGCTGCACGACGGTCTAATTCACGTCGGACATGGCTCATTCCCAACTCATCCCCAAACGTCATAGATCCAGTCTCGCCTGAAGATTTGCGACTTCCTGGACTAGTATTGCCATATGCTGTCGCTAAATTGCTATTGCTCCCATGACTCGTGAGGTAACTTCCTACTGTCCGTTGCTCACCATTTGCTGACGCATAACGTGGATGTCGCCCTCCAATTGTACTGTTTGTAGCAGTGGTCATACCAGATGTAATACCGTTTCCGGCAACCGTACGGGCAAAGCGCGCTCGGTTTCTTTGTTGTTGAATGGTGGGACCAGAGAATCGACGCCGACTTCTGTTCCATTGCCTGGAGCGTGAAAACATAGGCTTCAGATATCGCTCATCAAACGACAGGAACCAATGTGTATCATCTGGATGATTGGCTGAAGCAACTGGAAGCGGAAGGATTGTATTGTCGCGATATTGATGATGGCCGTTGGATCCTGTGGACGGACTTGATCCTGATGACCCAACATAATCATCATCCGAAGGCCGTGACTGCAAAGACAACTCTGAATTGGAAAATGAAGACTGTAGATAAAGCGCCTGGCTATCTGATCCACGCCCATAGACATCCTCTGTGAGGTATATTTCCCGTTCGCGATCATAATCTTCGTATTCATTGTCGTCACTTTCGCCTTCAGAATCTACACATCCAATCTTGACTCCCAAAATACCAAGCATCCTGGCAGTAGTCCCTCCAAAGACGATCACCGACAATACCACTACCACTAGGATCGTCGTTTTCAGTGCTGCTGCCTCATTCACTCCGTCCAAACTAGCTGCCAACGCAAACGCAACGGCCCCGCGTAGTCCAGCCCAGAAGAGCATGACCTGATGTGGCCTCGATAGTGTATCCGACCTCTTTAAAACATATACTGAGATCATGTTAATGAATGATGAAAGTGGGAAAACAGCCGAGTATCTTGAAAAACAAATAAAGACCTAAGAAGATGTATTAAAGTAAAAAGAGTATAAGAAGCAAGTTCATATTAAGCCTTTAAATAATAACAATAGTAATAATAAAACTTACAAAAGTAAAGAAAATGAAAAACGGCCTGTAGTCCAGATCCATCTCAGTGAACAAAGTTAGTCCCAGGTAAATAAAGATAAAGTTCTCCGAGAGTTGAGCCAAAACCTGAAACAGAGACTTTGTAGTCCTCTTGGATCTCGAAGACATACTCTCGTAGGCGTAGTGCTTTAGTGTGATACCACAGAACAATAATGAGACAATACCGGAGAGGTGAACACTGTTGGAGAAGAAATAGGACGCATAGGCCATCAAGGCGATTAGGCATGATTCCAATCCTGGGTAAAGATGGATATTTGTCCGTTTCAACGCCAGAGCTGCAATCAATCCAATGATAACGCCAATCATCAGGGAAATAGAGAAAACAAAAAAGAATGTTGATACTCCGTGGAGCACATTGCCCAGATGAAAATCCTCTCCTCTGTATTTTTTCAACGTCCTAATGGAATAGGGATAGTTAGAATGGAGGAGGGGAGTTAAATGTAAATTGAGTGTCGTTAACGCTTTTTTTTTTTTTTGTTACAATATTCCAAATTCTCAAATGTTCCTTACTCAAACATCACAATCGAAACGGCATCGTTGAGAATACTTTCTCCAAAAATGACGGAGTATAACTTTGGATCTACTTTGAGCTGGTTAAAAATAGCAAGGATCGTCACTGGATCCGTGGCAGATAAGACAGATCCAAAGATCATCGAGTCCAGGAAACTGAGCTGAAGCGATTCAAGTCCTGTCAATGACAACAAGTATACGAGTACACTAATGGTTTTTTTTTTTTTTTTTTTTTTTTTGAAAATCGAAAAAAAAAAAAAAAAAAAAAATACACGTGGTTAGTTGATGAGACTTTTCAGTGAGTGGGAAATTCAGAACATGGCGCTTGCTTTGCCCCCACCCCCCCTTTTTTTTTCTCTTCTCATTTCTGCTTTTAACAGATGTTTGTGAACAAACTTTTGGTCTTACCCAACTACGAGTGCAGATATGAATGTGCCTACAAACGCAAAAGTCAAAATACTACCAAGGTTTCGGAAGAAGCGAGCTTGCTTCATCTCATATCCTGAATTAAGAATAATTGGCGGTAGTAGTAGGTTGAAAAAGTAGGTATGTTTAAATGTGACCATATCCTGAACCATGCGTCCTGGCGAGACCCGGATGATGAACCCGACAACCATCCCTATTTTACAAGAGAAGTATATATTTTATTTTATTTTTTTCAGTGAGCTTTTCTTTCTCTCATATTTGCCACAATTGGGATGCCATCGTAACACTGAGAAGCCTCCCCCTCTTTTTTTTTTTTTTTTTTTTAACTGAAGAGCTATACTAACCAGTCATGATGGAGATGACAGTCTCATGGATGGCAGTGATCTTGCGAACCTGAAGGTAATACGAAGTCCACATGGCACCGATCAACAACACTGTGAGAATTAGTAATGCCCAGCTCGAATACAATTCCTCCACATCAGCTGGTGGCGGAATGCCCTCAGCAAAGTCAATTTCGCCCATGGAGTTTAAAATTATACAAGTCTGTCAAGTAGATTGCTTCAATAAAAAAAGAAGGTGCTGAAAACGTTAAGGGCAATGGGAAAGAGGAGGTCTCGTGAGGTCGAGAATGCTGATAATACAAAATAAAAAAGTGAAAAAAGGAAAAAGGAAAAAGGAAAAGAAATAAAGAAAAATAGATAGGTAGATAGATAAATAGATAGATAATGGGATGGAATGGGTAGAGAACAAAGAATTGAATGTGAATGAATGAATGGATGAATGTGAGAGAGAGAATGATATAATTTATTTAATAACGACGTATGACAGAGAAAAAGCCTAATGGACTAAAAAAAAAAAAAAAAGAAGGGCGAAGGGGCCAATTTTGCAGTGCAACAGAACAGTAATCATATTTTCTCGTCCCTCTCCCTGTCGCTCAGGGACCAGTTGCACTGCCCAATCACCACGCATATTTCTTATGACTACTACAATTTTTTTATTTCAACATTGAAAAAAAGCCATTGCTCATTCCCAGCGCGACTTCTTATTCCGTCTATTCTCTTCTTCATGCCCATGCTGTTGCTGTTGCTGTTGCTGTTGCTGTTGCTGTTGCTGATTTACCCCAGGGAAAGAAGCATGGAATGATGAATCTTGACTCTGTCCGAGCTCACGCTTCCCAGGTCCTTGCTCTGCTTGGTCTTGCGAGAATCCTCCATGAGGACGATTTGGAAGTGGATGCAATCGTTGTTCAAAAGTAGATGCATGATCATTAAACCCACGGCCTCCACGACCCATACCTCCACCCACATTACCTCCTCCACGACCCCCACGACCCCCACGACTACCCATACCATCAGCTCCTCCACGTCCACGGCCTTCTGTAAATCCATCACCTCCTCCTCGACCTCCACCTCGACCTCCACGACCCACACCAGCACCAGCACCTCCTCCTCCGCCACCCTTTCTTGGTAATGCTTCACGACCATCCGCCGAGACTGCCTCAATATTTGGCTCCAGAATCGTAACACCTCCACGGATTGGCTCATGTGGTCCAAAACCTCCGATGACACTGTTGCTCAACCATCGACGATCTGTATCCGTCAATCGTTCTAATGGAATAAGACTGGCCCCTGAAGTATAATCAAAGCAATCTCGAGGACCAAATCCACAACCCCATCCAACCTTCATCACCTCTCCCTGTACAGTCGTCCGATCTAGCTCAGCCTTGCATCGTTCTGCATGGGCTCGATCCGCCATCTTGATAAACGCGTTAAATTTCGCATGGTTCACCATCAAGGTCGCAATTTTGCCTTTGGCCGCAAAGATCGCCTCTAATTCAGTCTCCGAAATCGTAGGCACAAATGTGCCACCTACCCATAGAGTTCGACTGATAACTATGTTTTTTTTTTTTTTTAAAAAAAAAAAAAAAAAAAAAAAAAGAAAAGAAAAGAAAAGAAAAGAAAAGAGAGGGAAAATATTAGTTTAGAATGAAAGCTATTTTTTGCTCTCTTTTACTTAAGAAAATTGATGATAAAAGCTTTATGGTTATACCTCGAATTTGATCCGGTCCAACAGATGGGTCCTCCTTAACGACTATGGGAGCTCTAGGTGGATTAGATTGGAATCTGTCTGTTGGATGCTGAGAAGGACCACCATTGGTATCAATAAAAGGCTGTGGCCGATTTGGCAGGCCGGGAAAATTATTGGTACCACTAATGTTATTAATGCCAGGACCACCATGGTATGATTGTAGGTGGCTGACGCGATCCATGGGTCCTTGCGTAGATGATGATGATCCATCATCTTGAAGTCGAGGCAGGGGGAACTGACCCGGTAATGGAAAAGGCGGAAAGGGGGGTAAAGGTAAAGATGTCGTCGAACCTAATGGCAAATGACCTGCCTGTAGAAGTGATGCATTCTTGTTGGCATTCAGAAATGCTAGGTGAGCCATAGCGTTGACATCAAACTCTTGTCCATAGTGATTAGGTATATTGGAGGATGGCGCCGCAGACGACGATGATGATAACGATGATGATGACGACGCCGACGCTGGCGCCGACGACGTCGATGGTACATGGCTAGATAAGCCAAAGTGGGGCATCATAATTGGTGGCTGTGCATTTGGCTGTGGCTGTGCATTTTGCTGTGCATTTTGGTATGCCAAACGAGGGTCAATGCGAGGGTCTCGTACACCCGAAGACGTAGTTGTAATAGCAGCACTAACGCTGCTGTTGCTACTCCCTTCGTTGAAGCTGCCACCCTTTTGTTGAACATCAGTATGCATACTATATGCAGATGGAATAGTGCTTGAAACCATAGTATTATTATTTGAGAGAAAGGTGCCATTCTGATTGCTATTCAATAACACCCCCTGAAGTTGCTGTAGAACCGGTGGGAGCTCGTGGGCCGGCGCTTGGAAAATAGGAGTTTGTGCGACTACGGATGAGGTGGCTGTTGTTGCCGCCGTTGTTAAGGAAGGGTATGTTTGATGTGGAACGGCTCCAGCTTCCGGGATCGATGTTGACGTTCCAGATGCAGATGCAGATGCAGCCTTGACTTGCGAAACTGTCGCCAATAAGGTCTGCAAAGCCAGAGCAGATGAAGGGTCAGAGATGCCGGCAAGTAAGGGGTTTTTGGATGAGGGTGGCTGCTCAGTAGTGGGTAGTATCGCGGGCTGTGTATACGCTGCACCATAACTGATCGGCATGGTTGTCGAGGCAGAAGCATCAGTTGCTGTTGTTGCTAAAGGGACATAGGAAGGCGTGGATGGCTCAGATGATGTAGGAGTCTGGGCCAGGGATGCTGCGAGAGATGAGATGAATGATGCAGTCTTTTCTGTCATATCGCTGCCTGCTAAGTTGTCCAAATTGTTTTTAAGTTGACAAAATAAAATAATAATGAGTGAGCATACGAGCAGACCGATCAGAAAGTAATTGATACATGCTAATAACTATGGCACTGTTTATGTTGCCCTTCAAAAGGCAAAAAAAAAAAAAAAGAAAAGAAAAAAGAAAAAAGAAAGAAAGAAAGCTTACCTGATGGTTGGGATTGTGCAGTGTTAACCACTTGCGATGTGGAAGACGAGCCTGTTTGAGCTGCGTTTGATCCATCTAGAAGCGGGAAATACTTCTTTTTGATACTCTCTATCACTGTCGACGTAAATGTTCCTGAGCGCTCCCAGATTTCCACAACACGTTTTACTTTCTCCTACGGATCGAGAAACAAATTAAAATTCCCCCGGGATACATTTTTTTTTTTTTTTTTTTTTTTTTTTTTGAAAATTGGCAAGGGATTTATAAAATGGAAGAAGGAAGGAAATTTGGGGATTAATAAGAAGGAACATTTAGCCAACAGCATAGAGTATGTGCATCATTACAGAATTCATGAATAGATTGATAGTTCATAGCGGCCTTTATTGGTGTCTGCTGCGGCTGCTGATAATTTTTCTTTTCTTTCAACTTTTTTTTTTTTTTTTTTTTTTTTTCTTATTTTCTTTTTATATGAGCCCTTCTTCATTTTTCATGTCCTGATGTGGTATATGTGGTCTTATTTTTTTTTTTTTTTTTTTTTTTTGATCGAATCCTATATTTGCCCATTGTTGAAAAAATGCCTTCAGCTGAAAATATATTGTTAAATGTCGGATATAGCCGCCAATTGGTAAAGAAAAAAGTCATTCTGCAGAGGATGCGAAAATGATCCATCGTCTGTGCCTTCAAACAACATCGCTAACGTATTTTATATTGATGGTGACTGTTTCCTTGGAGCTTATTGTGAAGATCCATTGGAGAGCGATTCAAGCGTCCTGGAATACTTTCGTGTTGACATTTCCTGCTGATCGCACTCTCAATATGGTTTTCACTGTGCTAGGCTTTTTTTTTTTTTTGCCTTTTTTCTTTCCTTTTAAATAGTGATTATATATATTATCCTTGTATCCTCCGAATCAAATCGTTAAACGAGCAAAATCCATGAATACAAGCTCCTGCTTTAGACGGCGTCCTCGCTCCATTTCTCTTCTCCTGAGAAAATCATTGTAGATGAGAGGGGAAAGGAAAGATAGGTCTATATTTTTGGGGGCTAGATAATAATAATAATGATAATAATAATAATAATAATAATAATAATAATAATAATAATAATAATACCTTTTCTTTATCCTCCTGGACTTTGCAAAATTCCGCAAAGAGCGCCTCGATATTTTTCTCAAATCGTGCTACATATTCAGCACCTGTGAAGGATGATCCTGAAGAAGCAGAACCCGAAGATGATGCTTTTGTCTTGATCGATTGTGAGGCTCGACAGATAGAGTCAAGCACATACAAGCCTGTGAGCTTGTACTCGGGCACACACCGAGTAATAAACTTCTCGAGACAGTAAACAACATTTTTGTAGTATCGGGCCGATTTGATAGCCATCTTTGTCAACCGGTCAATCTTTGACGCAGATGGATTTCGTGAATCAAATAGACCATAGAGCTCCTTTTGGAACTCGACCACTTCTGGAGGGTCCTGTTTCCCGCTACTACTATTGCTGCCGTTGCTGCTGCTGCTGCCGTGATGACTTGACGAGTCTTTGTTCGCCATGTTGGTCCAGAAGCACAAAATAAAAAATAAAAAATAAAAAAAAACAATGAAATAGGCTTATTGTCTGTCCTGAGTTTGTTGATGTACGAGATGAACGATAATGTGATGCTACATTTGAAAGCCTTTTTCATTGTTTGGTGGCTTTGCAGTTAATAAAAAAAAAAAAAAAAAAAAAAAAAAAAAACGTGGACAAAGAAGGTACGGTACCGTTATTTAAATAAAGTCGGCTTTGCTCGCAAAGGCCCAACCCTCTCATTACTTCACATTACACTACACATACAGCTCCTAATAGACTGACGGACGGACACAACGAATAGAATAAAAGTCGATAGGAGGAAAAAAATAAAAAAAAAAAAAAGGAGAAAAAGAAAAGAAACAGGGATAGAAAGACAGATAAAGACAGTTTATAAAGACTTGACACTTCCTAAACGCCAACGACCCGCTGATACCAACCAACCAACTTTTCAAAGAATATAATTACAATGAGTGACAATGAGCGAGGAAACGATGATGAATTGTCTTTGCCAAAAGGCATGTCTTTTTTTTTTTTTTTTTTTTTTTTTTTTTTTTGCAATCCCGTTTCATGCATGAAAAAACAAAAAAAAAAAGCATGAACTAAAGCGGTAATTCTTTTTATTTCTTTTTCCTATTAGCAACGGTACAGAAACTCATCAATGAAATGATGCCCGATGACATTGCATGTGCCAAAGATACACGCGATTTGCTGATCGAATGTTGCGTTGGTAAATGGCTCCACTTTCATTCTGTCTATCGGTCAACCAAAAAAAAAAAAAAAAAAAAAAAAAAGCTCAAAGAATGGACTTGAAGCATGAAGGATGAAATGCGACAGGATTCCCATTAACTTCCTCTCTCTCTCCCTCTCTCTTTTTTTTTTTTTTTTGTTTTTGCGCTTTTAGAATTTATCCACTTGCTTGCATCAGAATCTAATGAAATTTGTGAAAAGGAGACAAAAAAGACTATTGCAGCAGAACATGTCATTGCGGCTCTCAAGGTAAAAAAAAAAAAAAAAAAAAAAGTCAAATAGGCAGTTGTTTAATTGATAAACATTAGAGCAATAAACTGACTAGGAGTTTTTTTTTTTTTTTTTTTTTTTTTTTTTTACTTTAATCTGGATCAAATAGGCACTAGGTTTTGATGGATACCTCCCAGAAGTTGAGGTGGTTCTGCAGGATCATAGAACACAGCAAAAATCTAAAGTATTTTTTTTTTTTTTTTTTTTTTTTCAACCAGCAATGTCGGTACAATTCTTAATATCTTTGCTGATATATTGGATCACTTTGATTTCATACTTTCTGCTCTAGGATAAGGATAAGAAATCGGGAAGGCTAGAGAACTCTGGCAAGACGGAAGAGGAACTGTTATTGGAACAGACTAGATTATTTGCAGAGGCAAAATCTAGGCAATTGACACAGCAACATTAGTTTAGAACAATATCAAATAAACGAAATCAAGAACCTTAAGCAAAGTGTCATTGCATTGCATATCATCAGCTTCATGGGTTGACATGGTTATTCATGAATGTTTTATTATTACGAGGTAGGGGGTAATAGATCAAAAGAGATATATATATATATCTTTTTTTGTGCCATTTCGTATACATACACTGGATACATGTGTCTGCATGGATGTAGATGAGCTTGTGGTGCAAAGCGGATGGGTTTAATTAATTATGTACTATTTTTCGTAGTTCAGCCTCATTTCAGGCTATTTTCATTTATCGTGATGTTACAACCGCTGATGACAGTGACCGCTTTGAAACAGGTGGTGGACCAATAGCGGATGTGGGCGAAGTCAATGGCATGTCAAGCGAGTGCCTTTCGCGGCGTGAAGGATCGTAATGAGCATCGGGATGGCGTTGCTGAGGCGATTCATGAGGTCTCTGATGAGGATGAGGTAAAGGAGCTGAGGTAGGACCTTGAGGATAACCATGGCCGGCGACGCGATACGAGTTAGGCCTGCCCGGCTCGTTGCTCCCAAAGTAACCATTATTTAGGTCTTCACGTGGGAGAGGAGACATCACCAACCTTTCTTCATTCCGGAATGGTCGTCCAGACATTCTCTCGGCCTCTTCCCGGCTGTACGGCTCTGGTCGATCAGCCTGATGGGAGTATCGGACATTTCCTCCTTCATAGGGCCTGCCTTCAGAGCCTAAAAAGCGCCGTGGTGGTCCTGGAGACATGGATCGCCTAGATTCACGTGCCATGACCTTAGGATCACTTGGATATCTCGACTGGTGATGAAATCCCTCCCGATCAGCATCATATTCCGTAGTACTCTGTGATCGGACAGGGTAATCACGACCCACATGATCCTTCATCATTGGCGGCTTTCCACTTTCTCTGTAGAAATCTCTCTCCTGATATGGACCAGACTGAGGGTGTCGCTCTGCTCCGACCACACCACTGTATGTATGTGGTCGTTCTGGGCCTGATGACGTGGCCTCTGGAGCAGGAGCTCGACCGATAGGGACTGGTTCACGGGGATGCTGAGGACTGTGAGGAAGTTGCTCGAATCTTGACCGGTGAGCAGCTCCTGCATCAAGCTCATGGAATGATCTTGAGCGTTGCTCGCTCCAACTATGGGCCGGTCCACGCACGCGATCAATGTCAGTCATCGATCGCAGACGATCATGGTCCAATTCTGGTCGACGGAGAGGCTCTATTGATCGCCCCATCGTTGGAGGCCCTCCTGGGACAGATCGAGCGCCATGACCTCCTGCACCAGGCTCTAATGGATAAGGTGAGCTAGGATAGTCTGTAGGTGGACGTTGTGGGATTCGAACAGGGCCTCTGGGCGAAGTTAGTTCCTCCCGTGACAGTGGAGACGAGGGAGGGCCTCCTCTTGGCCACGAGTCCATGGTTGAGGCTCGAGGTGGTGGGATAGGAGGGTGGGGAGCTTGATCTTGCGGATGTGGTGACGGCATAGGTCCTCTGCTAGGAGGTGCTGATGACCAACCCGCATGGCGATGTCTTACTTCTTGATGGCGTTGTTGGTCCCATCCCCATCGATCTGGGCCTGAAGCATTCCATTCTGATGGAGAGGCGCGCCTTGCCTCGGATGGCGATGGTGGGTAATCTGATGGAGGGTGAGTAAAAGTTCGAGCGCGCTCATACTCTGGCGCTTCTGAACGCGTTATAATAGGTCCTGGAGGAGGTTGTCTCGAGTGTGGTGCTCCATGGTAATACTCTGAAGGCGGTGTACTGGGATCTTGACCTGGTCCAGGCCATGACCCACCATTTCGCCCGTGTGAAGGCGGGCCTCTTCTATCCTGACTAGATATGGCACCAGAGGGTGGTGGGACTGAAGGAAGGGGTGCTGACATTGGTGAAGAGGTTACAGGAGCTGAGGGCTGGCCGTGACTGAAGGAAGAATGAGAGAATGAGCGACCATGCTGGGACAAGAAGGCTGGTGTCTCTTTTGTACTTGGTGGCGTCACGGCCCTCCGCTCTAGGGTCCCACTCCGGTGAACGAAGCTCATGGGCGCATTTCCAGATGCATATCTCGACTGTGGGCCGCCACTATCACGACGTACCATTCCTTGCTCCCTTTCGTCCTGTGACTCAAATCCTGATGGATGGATAGGTTCCGGAGCCGAACTAGGCATTTGAGACATTCGCTGGTCCCGCATGGGTTGCGCTGGGGCAGATACGGACGCTGATACAGAAGCTGATGAAGCGGGCATTGTACGCTCTGATTCCGGTTCCTGTTTTGAGTCAGGACGAAGCGTTGGTACTGCTTGGCCCTTGCCATGAGCTTGCCCTTGCCCAGCAGGTGAAGCGGTCGTTGGAGAGATGGGTGATGTGGACAACATATATGGAGGACCAGCCTTGGCCGTTGCATTACCAACTTCACCCGATTGAGATGCAGAAAAATTATTCGATGGCGTCTCCGTTGGTGAATCTTCCATATGATCATCTCCACTTTCTTCACTCTTGTCCTGGTTGGAGCCAGGAACGGGACCAGGATATCCACTGCATCGGTTGTGACCGAAATCGAGACGAAGATGACGCGTTAGTGCGTCTTGCCTTACAAAATTACGGTGACATTCTGGGCAACTGTATGGTTTGATTCTCCAGTGTGTGCGCATATGTCGGTTACAGTCATGTAGTCTCGAGAAAGCTCTTGCACTATTTGACGGTAATTCCGATTATAAAAAAAAAAAAAAAAAAAAAAAAAGGTAAGCTTACAGTGATAGATTTGCATTCAACATTGTCACCACACTTTCTCCCTCTTCTTCCAGTGGAGACCCTTGTCAGCCTACCAACTTTTCCTCTCTCCTCCCTTTTAGGCTCCAGCCATGGATGTTACCCATTTAACTCCACATATGATAGTCTGGTCCATCTTACAAACAAATCAGAAGTCAGACTTTCATAAAAACTAGCCAAAGATGCGCGCAAAGAAGAAAAGGCAAGAGTCCCTGGTCTTTTATGCGAGCTAGAAAATATTGGAAAACGAACCTCCAACAAGCAAAGATGGTTCTACAGGTAGAACATTCTCCGTGCCCAGTAGACTAATATTTTTCTTATGATCTGACCACTTTTTCACTGCTAGTAGAGTATATTCAGCTTGCAGGTCAATTGAATCTTCCTGCCATCTCTCGCCATCTCTCACCATCTCTCGCCCACATTGCATTATTACAGCTCCATAGACATTAACTTACCAATGGGCAAACGAACAAACAAAAGGCCGCTCTTGTGTATGGGTCCGTTGATGGGATTTAAGATTAAAAGGTCGTGTAAAGTACTTGTCGCACTGTGGGCACTTGTGCTTTGCTGGGGTCGTCCGCTTTTTGCTACTGCCGTTATTAACGCTCGCAGTATTTCCAAAGCTACCTCCGTTTTCCCTATTGGCTGCAGCACCATTACTAGCTTCGGCACCATTGGTTGAATTAACACTATGGTTGTTAGGTTGACTATGATGCTCTCCCCCCTGTGTAAGGCTCTGCTCTGAATTTGGAGGACGCGCCTGAAGGGGCCGGTTATTACGGGGGCCGCCTTGTCGAGGTGACTCAGTAGTGGCGTTCCAGGTAGACATACCGGAATATCTCTGATCATCAGCTGAACCATCATGATTATACCCAGATCCATACCCTGCTCCCGGGCGGGGTAAGATATTGGGTAATGATCGGGAGCCATGGGATGGATGTGGGTGTTGCTGTGGATGGTGTGGAGCGCCAAAGGGCTGTTGCTGTTCTGGGTGTGGATAAAAAGAGCGATTATGTCTATCTGATCCGTTGTCGTCAAGCTCATCTTCGTCCATAAGCTCATCAACATTTTCCTCGTCTGTTTCACCAGTCTGTTTGTTTTCCCTCTCATCCATATCATCATCATCTTCTAGCTCATCCTCTTCGTTTTCCTCGCCTCGGAGTCTATTTCTCTGCTGTGAGATTGTATCATTGTCTTTGAATCTTCTCCCTTCGCGCACGCCCTCATGATTATGGGATAGATTTTCTTGCGAGACTTTTGTCCGCATTGGGCCGTGATTCTCGTTGGCACCCATTGGGCCCATAGCAGCAGAGTAAGATCGCTGATGAAACTCGCTTTCTGAGATAGGCCGTTTATTAGGTAGACGTGGGCCTTCGTTTGTAGGGCTGATGGGGAAGGACGATAGTCCGTTGACTGCCTTTGAGTCCAGTGGTGACCGAACTTTAGAGGAATGGGTATCTAGATCGTAATACATGAAAAACAATATATATATAAATAAAAAAAATAAAAAAAAAAATAAAATAAAATAAAAAGACATGTTACTTGATAGCGGCAATCATGGGAAGCATCGTATGATCCCAGGTAGAGATTGAAAACCAGAGCGGGAACACGGAAAAGGAAAGAGGGAGGAAGGGAAAGGGGAAGAGAGGGGAGGAACAAGTAACTAATAACCAAGATGTGTCTCGGACAGGGAATGGATGAAATGTAAGAGGCAAAAGGATACTTGCTTTGCAAGAGGAGGTAAGGATGTCTCTGCATCGGTTTGGGGATATTGGATGAACAATATTATGCCTTACCTAGGCTAGTTGATCCGGGCTGCATACTATAGTGACTCTTGAAATGACGTTGCTGCTGCCTGTCTCGCCTCTGATGTTCTCACTCTTGCTTGAATGCCGTCTGCCTGAGGGTCTCGTTTCAACGTATACAAATGGTGGGGGCGAGCACTGAACCAGTTCGTTTTAAATCCGAGATTGAGACTGATGTGAAGGGGGCGATAACTAAAGATTCCTGTATGGAGAAGAGGAGAAAGAGACCAATGCTGAAGAAGGACGGCAGTAAAAAATGACAGAAAAGAAGGGCCAAGATATGACTTCTCGCACAACAATAGAGATGGATGTAAACAGGCTGGAGGCAGGGACCCTTGATGAAAAGTGCGTCAGTAGAGAGGGAGGCCGATGATGATGGCGACTGTTATCTCTGTAAATAAGCTGCAGGTCAATACAAAGCCGCAAGACAAAGGCGAGAAAAAAAATATTATGGTGATATATTATGGAGATATAAATAAATATATTAAATGTTAGTGCACAAGACGGCTGCGCTAACGTTGTTGGGAGTAAAATAGTTGTTGGTGGTAACGCAGTGCGGTTCCTGTGAGTATGGGAAGCAGGAGGCTAATACCGACGCAAAAGGCTAACGAGAACGTTGGAGGCCGATATGAGAACGAAGGCAAGAGCAACAATGATCGCTTGTGTCGCGTATTAATATTACTAGGATTTTTCAGCTCTGCAAAGCACAATTAAGAAGAAGAAGAAGAAGAAGAAGAAGAAGAAGAAGAAGAAGAAGAAGAAGAAGAAAAAAGAAAAAAAAAGAAAAAGAAAAAAAAAGATGAAAAAGTATGTTTGAGATTAGAGTCAAGTCATTAGGATTTACAAAAGCAAGATGGACAGATTAGATGGACGTGTTCAAGTGTGAGAATGTGTGTGAAGGTTGTGTGCTGTGTGCCTGAAAGGCGCTACGGCTCTGCTGCAGTATGTCTCTGATTCAATATTCACCGCACCCCTATCCCACCAACGTTCTGTGTAGCGTTATTCGCTCAATTTTTTTTTTTTTTTTTTTTTTTTTGCAGTGTTGCTCAGCATATGAGACCTGATTGAAATATTATTAATAATAATAATAATAAAGATGTAGAGGACGTTTGATGGATGATTGTGTGAAGAAGGATGAATTGGATGAGGGTGAGAAATAAAAGAGATGTATGAATGAATGTGAATGATGTGAATGAATACGAGTTTGTGGATGACTAGAAACTAACTTTGCACTTACAAAGTATCTAGTAATTATAATTGAGACAAGGAAAGAAAAAGAGGAGGGAATATGGTGAGGAAGGAAGAAGAGAGGAGGGATGAAGAGGATGAAGAAAGGGAGACAAAGGGAAAGAGGGAAAAGAGACAGAAGCAGAGAAGCAACAGAGCAGAAGCAGAGGGAGAGAAGAGTGAGATGACACATACGACTTGTTCCTACGTTAAGACAGAACGGTGTCCAAGGAAGAGAGTAATGTAAAGGAACAAAGGGAACCAAAACAAGTGTGGTGACTACACAACATGTTCAGGCAGAGGGCAATGGAGGATGGTCAAAGTGAAGCAAACAAGCCAGAGGACGATTTGAATAAACAAAAAAAAAAAAAAAAATACAATAACGATTCAATCCTGATTCAATGCGCCACTTATTCAACCCTTTTGCCAACCAATACAAATATACTATATACATGTAATATATATATTATATATACAGAATATTATAAATGTACAATATTATATTCGTTTCAATAGAGTGCTGTACATATTGAATTCAATTCAACATTTTAACAAAATAAAGAATAAAAAGGAACAACAATAACAAAAAAAAAAAAAGAGCGATGCGTTTCTCTTGAAGGCGATGCGTGACGAGAAGACATGCTTAATTCACACAAACCCACAACACGAGAATGTCATGACAGCATGAGATGAACAATGAAATACTGAAACATTGTCAATGTGAATGAAACCATGGAAAAAAAAAAAAAAAAAAAAAAAAAAGATCGCTGCCCCAACCCTTCATTTCTCAAGTCATTTTTTTTTTTGTTGTTGTTGTTGTTGTTGTTGTTGTTGATGTTGATGCTGATGTTAATGTTGCTGCTATTCTTATTATTCTTATATACTATTGTTGCTGTAGATTAAACTCGTACCCAATAGTAAAATCTTTTTTAGCTGGGTTAGTTGGCTGAATGAAAAACTTAGTTTGGCAGTGATCCTTTTTTTTCTTTTGGTCGCCACAGAAGGTGTTATTGAATGAAGGGGAGAGATTAGAAATAGGAAAAATGAAAGTGTAGCGAAATGTAGGGGGGGGGGGGGGGCGAGAAAGACTGAGCGTTCAAAGAGGAAGAGGAGAAGAAGGAGAAGGTTATGGATTGATAGAAAAAAAGAAAAAAAAAAAAAAAAAAAAAAAAGTTGAGGTAAGGATAGGCCAGGGGGAAGAGGAAGGGTTGTTGAAATGCAGACAGGAGCGTGTTGTATGCGCGTTTGCAACATCAAACATCAAAGCATATAATGTTTGAATACACCAAGAGAAAAAGAATGAGAGAGTAGACTACAGTATAAATATACATACTTTTGTATAAAATAAAAATATTTATGTCAATGTATACCCACAGTCGAAATTGTGCATGCGGGCAGAGTGCATACGAAAAGCATAGAGCGAAGATGTTGGGAGGCGGGAAGAAATGGCGGAGGAAAGAGGAGAAGGAACAGTAGGGATGAAAAAACGAAATAGAGGAACAGACTCCTTTTTTTTTTTTTTTTTTAACTTCAAAAAAAAAAAAAAAGAAGAGAAAAGAAAAAGAAGAGCGAATGAATTCATTCTAAGGAAGAGAGCAAGGATCAATATTAAACAAATGGCTTACTTTGTCTAATCTCTTTGATGCCAACCCAATGCGACATGATAAAAATCCCATGAGCGCGTGCAATCTTATGATGGAATAGAAACAATAGAAAGAACAAATTTGCATGGCATTCCATCTAGCATGACATGCATCCTGTCCAATGGTTTCATTGATAAAGATTTGATGGCCCATGCTACTGCTCCCTGTATATCTTAAATACCTTGACCTACCCTGTGAATCGAGGGATGATGTAGTTCTACTCGTGATGAGAAGGAAAAAGAAAAGGTCTGAATGGGGCTATGGAATAGGGGTTATAGGGATACTCCATAGGCACAGTGCAAAGAAGGGGGGAAAGGAAGGAAAAAAGAAAAAGAAAAGAAATGGAAATGGAAATGGCTGAGTAATGGTACTGAACTGTTGTGCCTCTACAAGAGAAAAAAAAAATAGAATAGCTTACTCCACGTCTCACTCCATTCAGCCAAGCTTTCTAGCCTGCTTTTTTTATCTTCCTTCATCCCGTTCATCAGACGCCAGGATCAATAGAGCTACTTCACTAAACTCACGAGAGCCACAGCACTGGACGAGCTGCGGGTATTTTTTTTTTATGGTATGTTTAGGTTCGAATATGCATGTTTGTATTCATTGCATAGTCCATTCGCACTCGAAGCTGTTGTAACTTTTTTTTTTTTTTTTTTTTTTTTATTTATTTATCCATTTATTTATTTTATTTTATTTTTTACTTTATTTTTTTTCCAGTTGTCTTTTCCGTCGTTCGAGAGCCTTGTTTCGACATTTATCATATAAATAAATATATTATAACTAGCTATTAGGAGAATTCTCTTTTTTATCACAAACACGGCACCTCAACTCTGGGAAGGGTAAGTAAGGGTTGTGCTCATTATTGTTTTTATGAAGAGAGAAAAAAAAAAAAAAAAAAAAAAAAAAGTTTAAACGTAAACGTGAATGTGGTTGAGGAACTACAAAAAAAAGAAAAGAAGAGAAAAGAAACAAAGAGATCCTTTGGAATAACCGAAGGGGAGAGGGGACGTCTTCAATGTTTCTCCGGTTTATAAAGACCATTGGTTGATTGGAGTGCAGATGTCTGTTAGTACTTGTAAGAGTTCGGCAACTCTGGATCAGCTGCACAATAGATTGACAGTGCATACCCCATTCTTTTTTAAATGACATGACATGTATATCTGTTATACTGTATACAAACGGATTGAAAGAAGAAGAGAGAGGAAGGATGATGGAGGAAAAAAAAAAAAAAAAAAAAAAAAAAAAAGAAAAAGAAATGCCATGTGCTATTCTTGGCAGAGTAACAAGCGCGTACCCTGAGTCATTCATCGAACAAAAACCAAAAAAAGGAAAAGGTATAAACAATCTGCAAGGCATACCGCTGTGCTTCCATTGTGATTTATTCTACAGGATAATTTATATTTACTGTTGTTATGGTCTAATGGTCAACCATGAAAAGGGAAAAAGTATATAAAATAAAATATAAAAAGGGGAGATTGGGGGGAACGTAGGGGGTCTTTTTTTTTTTTTTTTTTTTTTTTTCTTTTTAAAAATGTTGTAGCGTACGTAGTGTAGCGTGTAATGTATAATGTGTAGTGAATAGTCTATAGTGTGTAGTGTGAAGTGTGTAGTGTGTAGTGAGGAAAAAAAAAGTGTGAGACAAATCGGGCAAAAGACAGAATTGACAAGGAGTGGCGAGACGCTTGATGTCGTCGCGCAATGGTGTCTGCGCAGATACCTCTTTCTCTCACACTCTGCGTTGTCTGAGCTCTCTTTCTCTTTTCTCTTTTTCTCTCTTTTGTCTGTCCTCCCCCCCTTTTTTTTTTTTTTTTTTTTTTTTTTTTGATTGTTTGATTGTTTGATTGTTTGATTGTTTGATTGTTTGATTACCCTGCCAAAAGGAAATCAATGCTTTAGGAGGGAAAAAGTAGGAAAAGAGAGAGCGAGTTGGTGGCTGTGAGCATGTGTGTACATTTCAATGTAAATGAAAAAAGCATCTAAAGTATTATACATCTGTATATTATAACATGGGTTGTATGCGTGCATGGAAGTGAGCCATCCGATTTGAAATTCCTTCGCATATGATTTGAAGCGTAAGAGAAAAAAATTACAGGTGTCTTCACCTTACAGCCTAACAGACCAATTGATTGAAACGTACATTTATATTAATACACATTCAAATACTCCAATACATTTGTGTATAACATGGACATGTAGTCTGCATAGCCCTCAACAGAAGCAAACATAGCGAAAAAGATGATTCACGATTGAAAAGGAATGTGTACACTGTACATTTACATTTACAATTACAATTACATTCAAACATATACATGTATATATATACATCGATGAGATTATACATACACATGTAGGACAGAAAGGCAAAAAAGGAGTACAATCGTGGTTTATATTCAACACCGATTTCTTTACTTTTCTTTCTTTTTTTTTTTTTTTTTTTTTTTGTTTCTTTCTCCAAGCAACAAGCAATATGCAATAAAGCACGCACACCCGATACACGATACACGAGCAGCAACACAGGGAAAAGGTAAAAAAAATAGAAATAAAAGACCCAGGGCCTGGGCCTTTTTTAACTCATTTTTTTTATTCCACGGTTATTCCTAAATTCTCTTCTCTTGTTGATTGTGTCTGTGTGTGAAAAGTTTTGACTGAACTTTTGATGATAATTAAAAATGTTATTCCTTCCACATTCATATCTAACCCCAAACTATCTGCATGGCGCATGGTGCGTGGTGCATGGTGAAGCATATATACATTATATATATGTTAATAATATTATATATTATATACACACATATAATCTCCTTTTCATGTGCGGATTCCATGGCTCTCCTCCACTATTGCTCATTTTTAATATTTATTTTGCTATACTCTGATGAACACTGCCTGTGCATGCCTGTGCATCCCCACATACACACACACAAATGCGAAATCAATAAAATCAATAAAAAAGTAATAAATAAAAAATGAAACGGTCTATCAGCAGCGCATGCAATCCCCAATCATCACTCTTCACATTTCAATCCCTTCCCCTCAACTCTCCCCTTTCTCTCTCTCTCTCTCTCTCTCTCTCTCTCTCTCCCCCTATTAGTCTTTTTTTGCTATGGTTTACCGAAAAATAAAAAATAAAATATATATAAAAAAAAAAAAAAGCTTGCTGCATGTTGTCGACATGCTCATATTATTCCTTTTGTTTGTCATGTCATCCATCCTCATCCAATGTTACACGAACCAAAGATGAACCTGTGTGCATGGCAACACGACACTAACGAACTAACGAACAATAACAGCAAATAACTTTTCCTTCACACTCAGATGGTCATCTCCTCCTCCTCCCCCTTGCTTTGACCTCGACGGTCTTCTATGCAGAAAAAGATGTTTTTATAAATATTGTTTGGATTTATAAAACCAAGTGTACATTGACATCAATATGCATTTTGATGGAAATGCTCCGTTTACAACAACAAAAAAGATAAAAAGATCGCCGTAAAGGGATGAACAGAAAGAAACAACATCCTTTTGTATATGTATGTATATATGAAAAGAGTTGCATCTGCGTAGTATATTTGTACGATGTGTATATATACTTTTAAGGAACATTAACCGATTCCTCTATCCACTTTTTTCACTTTCCACTTTGTGTATTGTATATACCTAGACAGAGTCAATATTTAGGGCTGATAAGGCTGTCACTAGGGCTAAAAGTAGTCTAAAAAATAAAAAAAAAGAAATGATCATCGCTCATAGCAATGAAAAAAAATAAAAAAAAAAAATAAAAAAGGACCTAAACTTGAATATAGACATGAGCTTCTTTTTTTTAATATTTGATTTCACGTTCAGTTCGGAGTTGATCGAAACAAACAATCGAAATCGAAATCGAAATCGAAATCTTAATTAGAATAATCACACATTTTTGTACATATAAATATATATACATTAGACTATCATTCTCCGACAGACTCTTAAGCTTTTTTTTTTTTTTTTTTTTTTTCCTCCTTTCTTTTCCTTCCTCTCTCTCTCCTTCTTTATTTGCTATGGACCTTTGTCTACACAGGAACCACTAAATAGACTACACTCAATCAAAAGAAAAAAGTACCCGACCCAAACATCCAGCCATAAGAGAACCTTGATTGAAAATTGTTTTTTGTGTGAATCATTGATCTTTTTAGCCCCAGTCCTAGCCCGAGTCCGAGGAAGGAAAAAAAAAAAAAAAAAAAAAAAAAATGTCGCTGTGCTCTGCTGACGAAATTGCTCCCTTAGTCTACTTACCCTTGTACTCAATATATTTGTCATTTAAACGCCTTTTTCACCCATGCTCATGTGTTAATTGATTAGTCTATTAGTTCTATATTTCCACTACAGTATATATTTATATATTAAACAGCAAGAAACAACAACAACGAAAAAAAAAAAAAAAGAAGGGCTGTGTAATGTGTCATCGTTTTACCGGATTAGTTTCCACGTCGCGCGTCTTGGTTAACAAGATAATGGATTGTCAATTGATTTTTTTTTTTTTTTTTTTTTTTTTTTCCCTGTGGCTCTGTATCTTCATCGTTCATAAATATATACTTTAGATTGACAATTAGAACCTAAAACATCCAAATGCATTAATGTGTACATGTATTTACACTGTAATGGAAGCAAACCCACTATGATAATGCTTAATGAGCATGCTTCTAAAGGAGTACAGATTGCTTAGGAATGATGGATTTTTGATGGATCGATAACACTATCACCTGTTTTTTATTTTATTTTATTATCGCTTCGGCACAGATAAACCTGTGTGGGCGTAAAAAAAAAAAAAAAGAAAGAAAAGAATTGGAACAGCGAATTGTCATGGTGCACAAAAAAGAAAATGATGTTTACCGAATGCAAAAAAAAAAAAAAAAAAAAAAGTCTTCCTGCACCTGGTGAAACTGCATATGCTTGACTTTTTTGTCGTTATTAGACTACACAAATATTTCATACATGCATATATATCATAGTGCAGTTGCATAGTTGCAATGTTTTTTTTTTTTTTTTTTTTTCTCTGAGCCATGCGCCTCCTTCGTCTGCGAGGCGCCTCTGCATGATATAAATATAATTTACAATACAAATTCAGAAGATCACTGTCCCAAAGAAAAAGATTTTCGCAAGTGACTGCGTTCACTTTGTTCAATACGTTAAGCTGTGGCTGTGTGTGGATAGAAGAATTTTTCTGGGCTGCGATTGGTCAAATATATACTTTCCATGCCCACAAATAGAAAACACGTTCCTGAAACGCGTGAAAGATGGATTTTCCCTTTTAAGCTTGAGGATACATCACGCATGAGTGAGTAGTAAAGAGGAATATACCGAGGAAAGCAATACTCATAGAGCCCACTTCGCCCTGAAACGCGTCCCATCCCCCTTCAACTTCTCCAACTTTCTCTCCCTACACTATATTTTTTTTTTTTTTTTTTTTTTTTTTTTTTCGAAAGCTCTTCCTCTCTTCCTCACTTTGGACAATGATCTTTACTGACTTCTCTACTCCCCAATCCCTACGGCTAGATGCTCTTTCCTGTTCCTCCTCATTCTTTTTCCATCCTCCTGGGTGGTTTAAATCTATTTAACATCCCGTACAAGCAATTTGGCTAATAAATCTTAATTTTACGCCTCATTGTTTCCAATGCCTCTTTTATTTTTTTTATTTTTATTTTATTTTTTTTCCTCGGAGTTGTCAATTCTTCTTCTTTTCAGTACTAGTTCCCAATGCCTTCAGCACTTTAATTCATTTATATTCATTGAGTAGCTTCTTTACTTGTTTTTTTAAGCTTCCGTATAATGTCTTTGTACTATATATCTATATATATATATATATTATAGTCATCTCCTTCACTTTGACCACCATCATCGTTATGAACACCACATCATCTTCCCTTTGATTATTTGCTTTGATCTCTCCCTTTACCCCTAGCCTAGATAGCTCCCTGTTCAAGCTATATATTAAGGTCTAACAGCCTACACTAAATTCTCCCCGTTATTTTTCTGCCTAAGCTTTATGTTTGTTATGAAACAGCATAACGGCAGAAAAATAAAAAAAAATAAAAAATAACTAAATAAATAAATTAGCGAGTCTAAATAGACTAATCATCTTTCGTGTTGTTTCATTGGTAAACTTAAGGTCCTCTCCTCGCCCCCCTCCCCCCCCCCCCCCCTTCCCTTGTTCTTAACCACAGACTGAAGAGGTCGCTTTACAGAATTTTCCTCCATTACTCCAGTTCACTCTTAACTTCTTTGCAATGTAATGTCTCAGCAGATATCGCGTTAACCCAAAGTAAGAAGCTTATAGCGTAAGCAATAATGGTTCTCTCGAGCTTCTTTTTCTCAGCCCTCCTTTGTATCCGATCCATTAATACTGGAGAATGAACCCGAATACCTTGAGCTTGATTCTGTCTGCCATAACCTCACTTACTCAAATATACTTGTGATCCCCACTGCCTCCTCCTGCAGCTGTGCAGATGACGATGTAAGCACTGATAAAGGTGGTCTGAAGTGATATTGGCGAGGATGGTAGCATTAGGCTGTCTCCCACGCATATGGGAGCTACTGATAATAAAAAAATAAAAAATAAAAATAAAAATAAAAAAAAAAAGTATAACACAAACAGCTCATTGTGGACAGTTCTGTGGCAGTCTCAACTTGCCTCTGGCACCTATCCTCTCCCACATATAGAAACTAGGATAAAGAAGGAGAGATCAATTGAGTTTTTCAGGAAAAATATCCACCATCCAGATCTTTGTACATGTACACTTTTCTTTTTTTAGAGTCAAAAATAAGAAAAAAAATAAAAAAAGGGACATGGGGTGGCATCAACACAATGATGTAAGAATATGAACAAGGCAGCTTTAGCTTCAAAAAGGTATGTAGTCAAGATATGTGTGCATCGGGGACTTGTTTGCCTCTCCCCTGTTGACATTTAAAGCGAAAAAAGCTTATGGATCATGACGCGAAAACGAATGATGGACTTTATTGTGTTTTAAAGAGCAAATTTAGTCGTTCTTTTTCGATGACAATGCAATTGAAGTAACAGACTCCTTGGTCATCTTTACGGGGGTATCTAATAGAGATCTCATAACAGGGCCTGTCTCGGTCATCTGTACGACCTTCTTCTGACCCTGCTCTTGACCGCGTATGTTTGCCTCTAGACTCTCAAGCAGCTCTTTATCCTCAACATCCCATTGGGACTCTTCTACCTCGTCGTTCTGATCACGAATGCTCTGTTTAACTTTCAGTTCTTCTGAAATCAACAGTTGACTGACTGATCTACTGTTACTGCCTCCAGATCCTTTTCGGTCGTCTATCAATTCGTCCTTTTGGACATTATTATCTTGACGCCTAGTTCGTTGTATCAAACTAGGAGAACGTGTTACTCCTGCAGTGTCCGATGTAGATTCACCCTGCTGGCTCTTTTCCATCTTCTTCTTTTCCTTTTCCGCCAAGCGTTCTCGTCGTCTCTGTTCCTTGGCCTGCTGCTGTTCTAGCTGCTGCAATCGACGCTGTTCTTGCTGCTCTGCAGTCAAACCCCCCTCGTTTTCCTCATCAAGAAGATGCAGACGTTGGTGATGATAATAAATATCATCATGGCTTGGCAAGGGAAGTGCGTCTGCAGCCGTTTGTGCTAACCCTGACACCATGTCCAGTGTTCGTTGTCTAGAAGTCTGAAATCTATAAAGTACAAAGTCAAAAAGAAAAAAACTTTGTCAGCACTCAGTCTAGACGAGATGGCTATTAAAGCGTGAATTCTTTTTTTTTTTTTTTTTTTTTTTTTTTTTTTTTGTTAGAGTCCTTGTAGCGCTCACCTGTCAGACTCCGCAACATCTGAGACCACTGTACGAATACCTCCGATCAAAGAGCCAAAGCCCTTGAAAAGAGCTCGGCCAGTGTTAACTATCACCTCCTCTGCTTCTGGTGGAATAAATAGCCCACTAGATTCTCTCCTTGGTCTTCTCATATCCCGTTGTCCCTTGTGGAGCTGCATCTGATTCGAATCTGGATGCCCAGAACTACTGATACTGCTCTGACTCGAGTGACTAGCCTCAAACGACGTTGGACCATCTCCTCCATTGGACTGGGAAGAGGAGCATGTTGAGAGTGAAGACAAAGACGTCCTGTCGCCCTTCCTAGCCGAAGCAGAGTTCAAGCCGCTTCCGTTATGTCCAACAGGTGATATTGGGCTATTGAGACCATTGAGAGAGGAACAGTTGTTGAGATATGTTGGCAAGGGGCTGGCAGGTCGACTTGAACCTGTAGCGTTTTGGCTCTCGCTTTTTCCTGGATTGCTACTAGTACTGCTCCGGCCACTCATCAATCCCCCAGGACTGTTTGTGGAGGGAGAAGGTAGATGATGATGATGCTGTTGTTGTTGGTGGATTACATTGATGTTATGGAGGCTAATACCACCGCTGACGCCGCTGATACTACTAACACTTCCAACAACCGTGCCCCAAATGCCTGCACCTGTGGATGACAACCGATGTGAGACAGACTGGGAGGTACTATGGCCATTCTGATGCTTTTCCCGTCCCTGGATCGATGCTGTCGCTTCGGCCTGCTGACGATTACGCTCCTCAATCATCATCTGGGACCAGCGTTCCTTGAGCTGAGTCAGTTCAGTCATATTTGTTTCCAAATCCTCACGTAGCTGTGCGATTCTAGCTTCCTTTTGGGCAATCACTGAGAGTAAACTTTCGCTAGTCTGCTGTGGAAATTCACTTTCAGTGGGTGAACTGACCATTGCAAGGTTACTGCTGAGTGCCTGAATATTTCTATTCTCAATAAGCGCAATCGAACTCTATCCACCAAACACGCCACAATAAAATAAATATGTATATCAGTTACCATCATGTGAACATACGACATAAGCAACAACAATCACATCTATTCCTTTTAACCTTACCCGACTCAAACGAGCTGATCGGCCTTTTTCCCGCTCCCGTTCACTCCCGTTGAGACCCGTAGTACCTGAACCGAATGAGGAAATCGATGTAGGTGTTCCAGGTGTTTGGTCCTCGCCCGTTTCTGAAAAATCCTCTCCCTGATCTTCTTGATGCTGTTGCTGCTGGAATCGGTTCTGAAAATCTTGAGAAGCGCTTCGACGCGTTAGCATGACATGCTTCCCAGGACGATGGGTTGAAGATGGTGATGGAGGTACAGTAGAGTCACGGTCTTGTTGTTGTTGCTGTTGTTGCTGTTGTTGTTGTTGTTGTTGTTGTTTAGGGTGCTTCCTTGATAGAGACGAATGACGGCTCAAACTGAGGGAAAGAGAAGAATTTCGTCCTAATGAGCCAGGTCCTGCAGTACCTGCGAAAGATGGAGATTCTTCAGCTACATCTTCTGGAAGAGAGGATGCTGATAAATCACGCTGGAGACTGGTAGTACGACGATGAGTCAATCGTTTTGAGGTCGGGTTAGATGCTGGTGAGGTAGGAGTGATGGGCTCCACCGACGAGGCGACTTCATCTGTCCCGTGCATCGAAGGGGTGGAAGACGGTGCGGGGGCGACACGAGTTGGGATAGTGAGAGACCTGAGATGGTGAGTAGTGTAGGAGTGACTGCGCGTACCGATCGTATAAGAAGGACGAGCTGGGAACGTGATGGGGATATTAGCAGAAGGAAGGGTGGCCGGTTGTGGAGAGGAGGGTTCGGACTGTGCTATGGGGAAACAGGATACGGATGCAAGTGTGGATAAGGAGGGGTTGCCGTTGGAGGAGGGGTTAAAGTCCTCTTGGTCCTGCCACATTGGGTTGCTGGATGATGATGCAGAGTATACACTGGTAAGACAAGTAGATTGTGAAACAAAAAAAAAATAGGGTAATGAAAATGGATAAAGAGAAATGTAGTTGATGTGGATGTGGATGTGATGGGAGGGGTATAGATGTTTAGAAGCGTAGATGTGTAGATGTGGAAAATGTGAAGATGCGTAGATGTGTATAGGTAACTAAATTGTGATGTGAAAGAGAGTGTAATGAAAAAAAAAAAAAAAAAAAAAAAAAAAAACGAGTAAAAAAAAGTGGCAATACATGAACACATGCCATGGGGAAAGTATTCGAAAAAAAAAAAAAGTCTAAATGTTTAGGATGTAAACGTGGGCAGGGTGCACTTGCACCATGCAAAAAATTATTTCACCCTTTGCTATTGGCTACATTACATTTTACACCAAAATTTTGTTCCTCGTCCTATCCTCTCTCTTGGTCTTCCTACCTGCATGTGAGGCGACTGTTCGATGCTTGTTGGTTTTCCAAATCTGCTCTGATTTCACCACAATTTAGCGGAATTGATTAGCATCCCCTGAATAGCTGCCGTCCAGAGGGACTACTTCGAATGGACAGGATTTACTGTGTTGTTCAAAACAATAAAACTTGACTGAAAGCCTGCTAATCCTCAAGCTATGAGGCAAATAATGCCTCTGAACGCTTCAATAGGATTGTGGCGAGCTTTTGGGGGTGCAGAAAAGACAGCATTGTCTCTTTTGAGCAATGAAGGATATAGGATTTGTTCCTTGGGGCAAACTTTTTTGAAACCACGCTTGTTGCTAGTAAAAACACAAATGGTTCCCGTTTTCCGCATACTTTCAGCGCTTCCACAATCCAAGGACTGTGATGTAGCCATTAAATGTTACATGTTTGTCGAAGCATCAATACATCCCTTGCAAAAGTTCAGATATATGCTAAGAATATTGTTTAAGGGACGTAGTGTAGTCAATGACATGTGGTAGTGTTCAGGTGTTTATACAGTATCATATGGAGTCCGAACAGTCGCCTGAGTATATATATTATATATATATATATACACATAGATATTATATATTTATGCCATGAAATCGTGTGTAACGCGTGCATACAACCGTTCAAGCTTTGTAATTCAAGAGAGGGCAAAGCCAAGAAGAGCCGTTGCAGAAAAAAAAAAAAAAAAAAAAAAACTCACTGCTCTCTTCTTTTTTATTTCTTTATTTTATTATTATTATTATTATTATTATTTTTTTACGTGGGTCCCACGACTGTAAGGGTTATTTTTTGATGAATACCTCAATTGGAGTAAACATGAAGACACAACCTTGAGCATAGGAAACTGTTACTGTATTAGCACAAGTACAAGTACAAGATACAAGATAATGCTTTAGTTTTATTACGAATAGATAAATAATATGCAAGGAGAAAAAAAAAAAAAAAAAAAGGTTTATGCAGGACATTAAATAATAAAAAGTCATAAAAGACACTGGTTGTACATGGGATTGCAAGACTATTCCCAAAAAAGCAAACGTTAAAGGAAAGATCAAAAAGATTAACGTGGTGCCAAAGGAGGTAAAGTAGGCAAGCCTTCGTGTAAAGAAACTTGTGAATGAGTATGAGCACCATGACTATGGTGAGGATGAGCATGAGAATGAGAATGAGACGTCTGGTTATAGTTATGGCCATGGCTATGGCTATGGCTATGGTTATGGCTGTGGCTGTGGCTGTGGCTGTGGCTGTGGCTTGGATGCGGGTATTGCTTTCCATACAAGTCATGGCCAACTACGGGAGCTGGGAGAGTCATTGGAGTAGGTGGGGGTAAAGAAGTCCCCTGAAATGGGCCGTGATGGGGCGATGTCATGGGACTCGACGGGTTCGTGACAGTACCAATCGATGGAAGTACGATTCCAGACCCCTGTGGATGGTGGTGAGGAGGATACTGTGCATGCTGATGCTGCTGAGAAGCATACTGTTGTTGAGGATGGCTATGTCCAGCAGGAGCAGGATAGGGCGAGGTATAGGGAGAAGTCGTCGCAGAAGGTGTTCCAGAAGAGGGTGCCGAAGAGATGGATGAGTGCGTCGAATGCGCAGAATGCTTCCGGCTCTTGTCGGATCCAGCCCCAGTGGTAGCGACCATTGGCAGCGCAGGCAACTGCGAGCTATAGTTGCCAGCATGGCCGCTACCACCACTACCGGTTTTTTGATCGCGAGCAGCCAAAGTTTCTGATGGCAAAAGCGATCGGTTGCCGCTACTACCAAAAGACGAACTTGATGCTCCTGTCCCAGAGACTGATACCGTTGCCGCTGCTGCTGCCGCGGCGGCGGCGGCGGCAGCGGCAGCAGCAGCAGCAGCAGCAGAAACTGCGGCTGAATGATGATGACTAGCAGGCACTGTAGGAAGAGCACTTGCTAAAGCATTGGAGTTGACAGATGTCTGTGGGTGAGGAGCCATGGGCGCTAGAGGTGGCGAAGAACAGGGACTGGACATTGGTGATGGCCCGACATGAATGTCATTGAAAGACTTTATGCCAGTGAAAGGATGTGGCAGGAGTCTAGGACGAGGACTCGACGAAGGCGAGACTTTTGATGCCTGACTCTTGGGCAAGATAGGATGAAGATGTCCGCTTGTCGACACTGGTCTCTTGGTCGCAGCACTGCTTGATGATGAATGCTGTTCAGGAGGGCTGTTGGAGACAGAGCCAGGAACAGACGATAACGTGACATTTGAGCCAAATTGTGTGTGTGACTGCGTAGATGAACCCATTGGAGCCAAGCTTGGAATGGTTCCTTGACCAGGTCCTGGGATGATGGGTGGGGTGCTTATTCCGCTAGCAGATGTGGCGCTTCCACGTGCAGCCGGCTGTGGATGCTGCGGATTGGTGTGAGAAGGACCAGAATGTGGGCCATTTGGGCCATTACGACGCATCTGCGAACCCTGGTAGAAGAAACGCAGGGCAGCATTCTCTGATCTCAGTGAATGATTCTCAGTATGAAGTGCCTGAATTAACACCATAAACGTTTTTAATATTAATTAATATTAATAAAAAAAAATAAATAAATAAAAAAAAAAAGGTGTCAGCTGGGGGAGAGTTTCTTGGGCGGTGTGACAAGGATGAAAAATGTGTGACAAGTCAAGATACATACCCGAAGATGCTCCAATGCTAATCGAAGGATTGTACCCTTGTTAAGCTTGGCAGTCGAAGAGCAATTGGGCAAGATCTCGGCGATTTGTAAGATAGTCGAGTTGAGTGTATCACGTCGACGACGTTCAACATGGTTATGGTTTTCTCGTCGACGGCGAATCATTTCGAGGGCGGTACGACTATCGAGACTATTCCTGTTGAGGATGTTGAGGCCGTTAATCTTGTATGCAGACTGACGCGTCTTGCCTGTGGATGTCGTTGCTGTACCAGAGCTAGAGGTGTTGACCGATGTCGAGGATTTGCTGCTAGGCGAGCTGTCCTTGGAGACATTCATGTCAGAGGACTGGGCACCGGAACGAGTGAGACAGATGGGTTGAGGACTCGTGGGTCTTGAGGGTAGTAGAGGTCTAAGGGTAGGCCGTGGTTTAATATTAACTAGCGGGGCTTGCACAGCTGTCGCTGTTTTGTTGTTGGATGAAGATGGAGAGGAAGAGGAGGATGGTGAGGATTGGACTTGCGAATGAGACGTGTGCTGTTGATGCTGATAATGCTGTTGAGACGCTTGGGCTTGTTGAGGTTGTGACGAAAGGTAGTGTGGTTGATATCCCAGAGTTGAAATGTGTGAATGGCGAGAAGTGGAAGGAAGAGAGCAAGAAGAAGAAGATGCAGAAGAGGAAGGTGGATCTATCATGTCCTGATCAGGATTGTCCTCCTTTATTGTCACGCCTTCCATGTTGACGTCCTCGCTCTCACTATTACAGGCGCTGTTGTACGCGGTATTGTAGGCAGAATGATAGGTACTCTGATAGCCAGGATGGTCGTCATCATCGTCATCCTCGATTTCGTCATCTTCATCCTCATCATCGTCATCGAGCATCCGTCTATGGCTTCTGTAGTGCTGATGGTCATAAGGAGAGGGTTGGTAATGGCTAGAGTCCATACTGGAGTCCTTTGACTCTGGTTTGACAGAGATGTGAAAACCTCGAGGAAGCAGAGGCTGATGTTGAGACTGGTGTTGCTGGTGATATGCCGGGTCATTTGAGGACTGTTGATAAGAATGCGATTGATCGTATGGAGAATTGTGCAACGACTGTTGCTTCGGTTGGCTATCATATGGGCGTTGCTCGCTCAAGGCCATGGTTACAGACATTTTCAAATTAGATGTTGTTGAGGACTTTGGATTGGGTAAGGTTGACGCCAGGTCTGATGAAGTAGAGTGATATACTACTGTTGAGCTTGGCATTCAAGTAAAATAGGGGTAATCTTCACGCCAAGGAAGTCCAGGCAGTAAGACAATGGGTAAAGCAAACTCAATTGGCAGACAACACGATACCAAAAAAAAAAAAAAAAAGAGAAGCACAAGGGGGTATAAAAAAAAATAAAAAAAAAGGATAGATGAGGAGATTATATTAAACTGGAGTTTTTTTTTGTATTTGGATAATCAGATGCAAAGCAAGAGAAAATGCAAATGATATCCGAGAAGGGAAAAGAAGTCCACTTGTTTGCTTAGTTGATTATTTTTTAGCTGGGTGGATTTGCTTCCCTTTTGAGGAATTGATTGGGAACACAAGGTCGACGCAGGCAAACAAAACAAAGTTGTATTTGAAGTATGGCAGCAAAGTAGACAAGAAGAGGGGGAGAATTTCTTTTTTCCTTTGTTTGCGCGTGGAATGCAGAACTGTAGAAGCAATGTACTGTGGCTATGATATCAATCACCACTTTTTTCTTTTTCTTTTTCTTTTTTTTTTTTTTTTTTTTTTTTTGTTTGTTGTTTTGTTGTTGTTGTTGTTGTTGTTGTTGTTGTTGATGCAAAAGAACAAGAATATACACAAGCACAGGAGGAGATTGAGTAGTTTTAGAGCAATGAGAACAGGGTTAAACAGGTGTTTACTGATAAAATGAATGTGGGGGAAGGAAAGAAGTGTGGGAGAGGGTGAACAAATGTTACAAGTATAAAATGAACTGAGGTCGAATGAAATGAAATGAAACGAAACGAAACGAAATGAAATGAAATAAGATTGGGAATGAGAGAAAGAAGAGGAAGAAAAAGAAGAAGAAGAAGAAGAAAGGGAGGCAAGTCTAGCAGAGAGAAAATATGTGAAAAATAAACAAATAAGAACGACAACGGCAACGGCAATGGCAACGACGACGAATGGGCAATAAAATAATCTTTATTCTAATGTATTCAATATTGACTCTGCTTCGTAATATTTTAATTGAATAGATTCAATGCTGGAATAAAAAATAGAGAAAAAAAAAAAAAAAAAAAAAAAAAGAACGCACAAGCAACTTTTTCTTTCCCCGACACATCTGTAATGTCTCTCCCTCCACTACCCACACTGCATGCAATACTCTTGGGTAATAAAATAGAATGCCACGCTCTGTCTTCTGTTATGTATTCACTCTGCTGAAAAATCTTCTCACTAATAATAAAACCAAATCAAAAAAAAAACGTGCCTTGCCTTGGCTGCCGTTGAAAAGGCTAGAAAAGGGGAAAAAAAAAAAAAAAAAAAAAAAAATCTCAAGGGGCTTGATTGATAGAGTTGAATCAAATCTACACCCAGACTGTCTGATTGAATACAATAAATATAATATTTATACACATATAATATATCTTATTACAACATCTTTTTAAAAAAGAAAATTATGACATGATATGATGCGACTGGTACAAACACCTGGTGTGCCTCAGATTTCACAATGGTCTATCCAGTCTCAAACAAGCAAATCAAGGGTTGTAGTAGGATCCAAAATATAAAAAAAAAGAACCATTCTCACACGTCCAGATACACTAACACATTGTCTCTGTCAGTCACTTCATCTGATAAATGAGTGAGTGAGTGTGCGTTTTTCCTGAACAACTTGACCCGGTTGGCTGAATCTTAAGCCCATGGTCCAAGTGGCTCTGTACCACGACAGCAATTGTTCGCTCCTCATTGGCTGGGACAGAGGAAGTTGAAGTGACCTGGGCCTTTAACTTACTGAGCCGGCTACCAATTCCGCGCTCTCTTTCTCTCTTTTATATATATATAAAAATATATAATTTTATTGTTCCTCTTGCTGTGTCTTTTTATTTTCCGTCATAGACTATCTATCCTTAATGTCTGATCTCTCATATGCAGCAATGAATCCCAAAACAAAACCTTCTATGGGCGCGTCATGTCCAAGGTATGCTTGCGAATGACTGTAATTGTAGATGATAATCAACGTTTGCGAGTAAGCAAATAAGCATGTGCTTTTAGAAACCAAGCACAGTTATCTCCGTAATAGATAAATTAAAGAAAATGGCAATTAGACACTTATTCCCTTAATAAGACCCCTCTCCCACGATTTGTCTTTCAGATGCCGCTATGCAATCACGTCGAATCGGATAATGCGTTTTTACCCTAGTCGGCGTAAAGAAGATTGGAATATAGATCCCCGACCTCAGAGTTCATGTTGAATGGTCAAAAAAAGATTTAAGGAGAGATGGAGGGTCAAAGACTAGTTGAATATCTCAACCGAAGTCCCTTGCTGCCCCATGCAATAAAAGGAGCCGTAAATATGCGTACTACAGCGAGGTAATGAACGATCCAAGGGTACTTGTGTAGTTTTTAGTATATATTTATTCTCACGATGGTGAGACTTCTTCTCTTCTTCGTCTCCTTCTCCTTCTTCTCAACGTTCCTATTGTGCAGCGTCTGCATGATTACTTTTTTCTTTTCTTTTCTTTTCTTTTCTTTTCTTTTCTTTTCTTTTTTTATTTCTCTTTACAAAAGAAGGTTGCCGAACAGACCAGAAGGCAGCGTTACACCATTTTTTTATACATGTAAAGAAAATAAAAAGCACGCAAGGCAGGACATAAAATGAGAAAGTAAAAAAAAAAAATAATGCATGGAAGAAAGAGGAAAAAGAAATAAAATAGAATAAAATAAAATAAATAAATGATCGCATTAGTTGAAGAGCACCGTGCGAAAGTGATCTGCATGGTCTTTCTCTTGAAAAGGTTGATTAGATAACGATTCTAGATCAAGAGTGACCAAACAAACATTAACGTCCTGAGAACTCTTTCTTCACGCCAAGTCTCTTTTTTATTTTATTTTTTATTTTTTTTATGTTTCTTATTAGTTGAATTCTTTGCACTTGAAATGGTTGCATCCTGCTTATAAACCTTCATGCTCCTATTCTTCCACTAGATGTATATATATGTATATTTATATATTTGATCATCTCATTTTACCACGGCTCTTCTTTTTCAGCATATAAATTTATATATTTGTATGATGGCTAAAACTGCGAGCGCTTTTCTAATAGTGGAATATAATGATACATGGGGGTGAGGAGCATAACAAGTCGGCGATATAAATAAAGACTTTTTTCTTTTCATGTATTGGCTAATATTGATCTGGAAACGATTTTCTTTTTCTTTTTATGAACACCGCCTCGTCAAAGACCGCGAGACAATCAGGACATGTTTCCTCAATGCTGTCGTCTCAACCGTGCTGACTTTTTGTTGTTCACCTCCAGCGCATGATCCGTCGTCCCAGCAGGCAGTTGAACACAGAGTTTTTTTTTTTTTTTTTTTTTTTCTTCCCACGAAGAGCAAATAGAAAAAAGATATTTATATATATATATTATATAAATGTATTCAAGTATATTGATTCAAAAAGAGAAAAAAGCCGTTTTATTTGTTTTTACATTGAAAAATAGATGAGGGACTGTCGTCATTCTCCAAAGTAAACTCTCATTCAAACAGAGTTTTGGGCAATCCAATCTGTGCTCTCTTTACTTTCCCACCCTCCCCATCGTGGAAAAAATAAATGATCCCCAAGAAGTCAGTTGGTTCATTAATCAAACTGTTGTCGTGATCATTAAGTTAATCGATCGACTGGAGCAGAGAGAATCTCTTCGTATACGCGCGCAATTGAGAGGACAAAGCACGCTATTAACAACATCAACAGTGACAATAAAGAAACCATTTCATCTCTTTATTGCGCATTTATATTTGTAAAACGGCTAGAGCCTCAATTTTTTTTTTTTTCCCGCTCTTCAGAACATGGTATATACTGAAATATATATTTATACATACAACATTACTATTTTTCGATATCCGCATCATTGGGGGTACTTACCAAAAAAAAAAAAAAAAAAAAAAAAAAAAAGGTAAGCAAGTGCCTGAGCAGATTGTGAGTTTGATGATGAGCCATGTAAAGAGATGTTGAATATCTACTCTACCCATCCCTTACATACACCTTTTGATAAACATTGTACAAATATATTACACATAATGCAACGAAATGGTTGCATAATTGTCCATGTTTATGTGTTCTGTTTGCTTGGATATCGTTGCATCTTTGTTTTCTTGCTGTGAGCATCGCTCGTGCCACTCAACGTTTATTTGGCCACCTTTCCCCTGAAGAATTTTGCTTTAACCAAATTATAAATTACGAATGTGTCACAAGAAAGCAAGCTTTGTCTATCTATTTTGTTCCTCCCTTAACCACACTTTCTGGATACACTTTTTTTTTTTTTTTTTTTTTTATTTTTTTATTTTTTTTTTTTTTTCAATGCACATGCAAATAAATAAAAAGGGTCTCTGTGCTCTGGAGTCTAGGTTCCCTGCACTTGTTGACACTAAATGTGTAAACATTCTTATCTCTCATTTTGGTACAGTGCTACAGGTTTGGTTTATTGACTTTGCATGTACAGAAAGGACCAGTTCAGGCGCTTGAACACTCTTTTTTTTTTTTTTTTTTGCTATGTATGACCTAGACTGATTTTATTCAAGTTTGCGCACTATATCCTGTAACAGTTTGCCTTTCTCGAAGTGGAAGTCGCATTATGCTCGCATCAATCGCAAAGGAGCCCAATTTTCTTCGTACGTCCATCATCTCGTTATTATTCTGTCTAGACAATTCAGTAACAGCTTCCTTTCGCTCTATTCATTTTCTTTCCTTCTCTTTAGCTCTCGCGACCTAAAATTGTCATAGCAAAGATAATGAGAAGAGGCCTTCGAGGGGCTGTCCAAGGTGGTCATTGATATGGATCGTATCTTGGGCCTGCTCGAGCTGGGTACGTGCAGGTGCAGTATTGCCTTTGACATTGAATCCATTGCGGACTCTCTCTGCAAGGAGCCCTTTGTTTTTTCATGATCAGGACATGTGCAAGATAGAAGAACGGCGTTGTCTATATCTACAGTGACGGAGTACTCTTTCCATGGCGTAAAAAATGATTTGACCATCAAAGCAAGCGTTGTTGCGGCATGGGGTTTCACGAAGTGCGACTCTGTATCTGGATGGGTCATACCGAATTGAAGAACCACTAACAAGGGCTCACAAACACTTTGCGAAAAGGTACAACAACCCTTTCTCACACTGATAGATATTAATATGTATATATCTAAGAAACAAAATATAGCTGACATGACATTTCTCTCCTTGATATTGTAGACCCAACCCCCAAAAGACAAAGGTGTTTTACCTGCTGATGCACCAAGTTGCATTGACTGTAAAATCCCGGCCATTGAAAGAAAGCCTCATCCGTATGGGGAAAACTCTGGGGAATTCACGAAGGTTAGCTCCACTACCATCGTTTGAGGATCCCTCCATATGATTGTCCGAGCTCGACCTAATCCTTATTCTCTGGAAAACAGCGCGTCCAAAGCTGAGCTGACTGTCTGAAGAAGAGCCTAGGTTCTTTATCAGCAAGATAGTTACCGACACTGGAGGCTTTAACGCAGAGCAATACCCAAGGCCCAAAGCATTCAAAGCCAAGACTTTTACGATGTCTCTATCAGAAATGAGAGACCATTTTTCGAGCCATTCAGGATGATAGCTTTGAACCAAGTGCATACACGAAGAATGGCTATGCCTTGTGAGGATCGATTCGAACCGATGCCCTCCTTCTTCAATTGCTGGCATTTAAGATGAGCGAGCCCAATGCAGTGAAGTATCAACGATTACCTGAGAACAAACTATCCCCTCGAATCACCTCTTCAGTTGGAATCAGGAACATAATCAAGACCAGTGATGATGTTCACCGGCTTTGGGGATGTCAACTAGAAACTATCAAGCTTTTGGGCCTCGACCTCGGACAAGTATCTGTGGTTGGTGCCAGTGCTTTGTTGCCAAGTCATGGAAGCTTCATTGGTATAGCCGTACGACCCAAGTTCTACAATCTGGCTATCAAGCAAAAGACGGTGTATCAACCCACATTTAATCATCGAAACTGAAGGGAAAGGAGAGAAGCACCAGTCATTGATGGTTCTACAAAAACCATCAGTCATACTGAGAGCAGTCTACTACCTCTCTGTGGCAATGCTGCAAGCATCAAAGAGTACATCGACAAGCTTGTAGGAGCGGAGACACACCTCAGTTCCTTCTATAAGGGAAGAGCCATCAAAAGGCATCGGTGGAACGCGAAGAGGGCCCGAGATGAAGAATACGTTCAGATCGCCAATCGTTTGCTCAACATGGTGGGTGGATCAGTTGGGGTGAAAAGAAAAGAGAGCGACAAGGTTGTGATTGCTGTAGGTCTGGGGAAGTTTCCTTCCAATGCCAGGCTTTCTTCCTATACATGAGTCGTTCCAATTTTACTTCATTCAAACAGTAAGTTTATTTTATTTTATTTTTTATTTTCTTAACGATAATAATACATCCACACTTCTAGGCCAGATCCTCTTGGATACATTGTTGTCGGTGTGAACGAATATTATACTTTTAAGAAGTACCCAAGCTGCGAAGGATTTGTAGGGCAAGTTGACATCCATCTACTCTATTGTTCCAAGCGCAAGACATTTATGCACAGAGCTGTGATGGCTGGCCACAACATAGCCAACGTCGTCCGCGGTCATCTAATTCACCAACAGCAACCCCTCTACCTTCAGCCGATAGACAAGAAAGAATTGAGCACATCCATGGATGAAAGACAGTTGTTCAGTACGCGCCAAACGTCAAGCACCATTCGAGGCTGAAGAGGGATCAAGAAATTGCAAAAAAACCCACTGATAGTTCTTAGATTAATGTAGTCTAGAAAATATGTATGTTCGCGAACACAGCCACGTCTGAGACGTTTGTGTGCTGTACCATCAACACATTCACACATACACATACACGCATTCTCTGGCTTGTTAATTGGCTGTACTTCTACCGTGGCTGTGAGGGTGGGGTAAACAGCCCTCAACTATTCATCCATCTCATCCATACGGGTGCGGACTTTCGGCCACTGTCCAGAAGTCCTCTGATTCTGGAAATACTCACTGTCGCTCATCTGATGCCTTACAGGTGCAGGAAGAGAAAGAAGTCATTTATCTTTATTACTTTTATTCTGTGCTGAATTGCCTATTTTTTTTTTTTTTTTTTTTTTTTTTTTTTCAAAAGACTAACTGAATATTTTTATTGTCCTTGTCATCTGGCTGGCTCCGATTTTTGAATAATTCTCGGCGGCCAAATTCAGCCACTGATTCAATACTCAAATTCCATTCAATGTGGTGCTTTTTCAGGGACCAATTCAATCAATATATTTTTACAATATGTTCATGACCAAATGACGAAGGGAATTTTTTTTTTTTTTTTTTTTTTTTTTTTTGGAAACAAGTATAAAATTACATACTGTATTTTTACGTTTGTTAGCTGGAATGGTGCATAGATCGATATACGAATCAAGTTGAAATAGGTTAAAGAACGGAAGCATTCCCGAGCGGTTTGTTATTCTATTCTGTCTTTTCCCTAGTCCCGCGAAGCATTCTTTCTTTCTTTCTTTCTTTCTTTTTTTCTTTCTATCAATTATATATACATTTGTATCTGCAATAGCAATTAAACTGTTCAGGTGATTTATTTAGCTTCAATTCCTTTTGTGAATCCCGACCATAGTGTATCCCTTGCCCTTGATGTAACAAGAAACGGTATTTCACTCGTTCCTGTCCAGCACATGATTTGTGTGTCGGCTGCAATTTCGCCGATTGGCTGCAAATCAAAAAAAAAAAAAAAAAAAAAAAAAAAAGTTGACCAACAAAGGTTAAAATAAAAAATAAAACAAGCAACTTTTGTCACAAACCTTGCGGTATTTTTTTTTTTTTTTTTTTTTTTTTTTTTTAATCGATGCTATATTGATGATAATGCATTCATTCATGTCTATATCTATGTTTATGTCCATATCCATGGCCAAGTCTATATTAGTTATATCTATATCTATTGTCTATATGAATATCCGTATCCGAAGGAATCTTAAAGCCCCAAAGAATTCTTTACGTATTTGGCAACCATGATGGCTGGGTTCTTAGGTGAGATATAAAGTGCTGTGCATTCAACCAAAGTGTTGCCATGCAGATCATGAATGCTTGCATTCGTATACGCCTTTCGACCCTCTGTCTTTTCAAATTCAGCTGTAACCATCACAAACTGATCTGCCTTGACAGGTTTGCGATAATTGATGTTCAAATTAGCTGTGAAGGCAATGTGTAAAGGAAGATTTGGTAGTGCCTAATTTTTTTTTTAAAAGAGAGGGGACGGTGAAGCAGCCGATTAGTTGTTGAAATTTTTTTTTTTTTTTTTTGATATTTTTCTCTTTTGATGTTATACTCAGATGAACTTACCACCATACCGGTTGCCTCATCTACAAAGAGTAAAAAAAAAACATTGTTAATTTTTTTTTTTTTTTTTTTTTTTTTTTTAGAATCACAAAGTAACGTTCTGATCAGCCGATGGTGATCGATCGGCAAACGACTGTATGAAGCACATTACCGAGAAGTGTGGCCAAAAGTCCGCCGTGGATTATCTGGTCGTGTCCACAAAGACTGCGCCCTAGATGCATGAAGAGTACAATGGCCTTCTTATCCTTTCTCTCGAATTTTAGAGGATGAACACTCAACATGTTCTCTCCACGAAGAGTCCCAGCTGTCAGATGGTGAGGCTTTGTTGCTTTGGTCAAATACCAATACGGCTCTGCCTCCTTCCATTCACCCAATTTAGCCTTTGATTTATATTCCTTCACAAGGTCCAACTCCTCCATTTGTTGTTCCAACAAAACGGATTTCTTGATCTCCTTTGCCTTTTCAGGACTAGGCTTGCCATTCGAAGGGTAGGCTTCGTCCGGCTCCTCTGTACCCAAGATCGTAGGCTGGATCTTGCCGATAGGCAAGCTACTGAATCCACCCACACTGTTGGGTTCATATTTGGCATAAGCAAGAGCGCCTGCAGCTGCCGAGACTGAAATAAGCGATAGCCGGCGAAACCATGCTGACAGGCCTCCCCCTGCCTGATGTGCTCTGGACTTTGGAGTATCAGCTGATGGAGAAGACTGGGCTGGTGATGGTGATGACGGTGATGTCGGAGCAGTGCTGGTACTACTAGTCGAGTATAAACCGTATCTGTTTTTGGCCCAGCTTTGTGGATGCGGGCTGATCCATTCCCGGCTCAATCTGCCGGGGTGTGTTCGCAAGGATTGTGAGAGAACCCTTTGAAGGGCCCCAGTACGTGGTTGAAACATCATTTGTTATGTTGTTGGCTAGTCCAAATGGTTTCCTTTGTTCAGTTGAACTGAAATAGTGACAATTATTGATTGAAAGGAAAATGAGAAGAATAGGAATGAGAAGGAAAAAGAAGGTAAAGAAGGTAAAGAAGGTAAAAAGGTAAAGGTGATCACAGTTAAAAATTTCGGATGCAGCACCCCAGTTTCCGATTGCCTGCAATATGACAGCATGGTAAACAATTGGGTAGGAAGCCACCCTCCGAGCCCTTTCTTGAAGAGTCATGAATATTGTGGGAAAGTGAAGTTGTTTCCTTCTCCTTCCCGCTTTGGAAACAGAGTCGATTCATTCCTACCCTTCATTCACCGTCAAATCATGTTTCGCTCTCTGCTACGCCCATCAGCTGCTGTCTTCAGGACTATTCCTGCCTCACACAGTGTAATCTTACGCCATGCCACAACGACTGCCACACCCACAATCAAACCCAATATTAAGCTCATTGCAGAGATTCGCAAAACAATTGAGGGTGTTTCCATGATGAAGGCCAAGGAAGCTCTCATTCAATCGGACAACAATCTCGAGAAGGCTCTTGAGTGGGTTCGTGAGGATGAGGCCAAGTCAGGTATTAAGAAAGCTGAGAAGCTTAAGGATCGTCAGGCTCTTGAAGGTCTTATTGGTGTTGTTGTGGGCGAAGTCGGAGAGCACGGAAACCGGGGTGCCATTGTGGAGGTACACACATACAAATATATATATATATATATATATATGGATCATTACCAGATATCTTGAATGCCATTCTTTACATCTTGTTAAATATGAATACTCTGTGGCTGTTTTTTTTTTTTTTTTTTTAGGTCAACTGTGAGACCGATTTCGTCTCAAGGAATGATCTTTTCAAAGGACTGGTGAGCCAGATTGCTTCTACTGCTCTTTTTGTCGTTGATGGATCACCTGCTATTGGATCAGGAACGGGTGATCAGAAGGGGCTCATGCAGGAGGTCCCTGTTTCAGACTTGCTGCAGGCACCCATTCTTCCTGATCCAGCAGCAGCAACGACGAATGCTCAAGCACAACAGCAGGAGCTCATTACCGTCCAGGAATCTATTACAAAAATGATTGCAAAGTTGAGCGAAAACATTTCATTACGTCGTTGTGCAGTCGTCAACATCCCTGAAAATCAGCGCGGATTGGTCTTGACTGGAGGTGCAACACATGGAGGCGAAAACCATCCGATCACTGGAAAGCTGGGAGCCATTTCTGTCTTGACATTAGTCTCAAAGCAAGGTGCTTCCAAGAAAGTCGTCCCCTCGATAGCCGTTACTACTTTATCAAGGCAGTTGACACGTCATTTGATTGCTTCTCCATCACTCACCATCTATCAAGAAGACTGCAAGATCCCATTGGAAATCTCCAACGGGGGACATGCTCCTCCTGAAGAGGTCGATGCATGGTTGGATGAGAGAGTCTTGATGCGTCAGCCATTTGTCTTTGGAGGTGGAAAAGTTGAGCAGGTGATTTCAAAGATTGCCAAAGAGGAGGGTCTGAGGATTAAAGTGGTTGATGCTGTGCGATGGGAAAGAGGTGAAGGTATGGTCAAAGCCGAGGCTGCAGACTTTGCAGAAGAAGTTAGACATCAACTTGAGAAAAAGTAGTCATAAAATAGAAGCATTTTCTTGTGCAACAATATAAAATAATTGGATGACAAAGAGTCTGATTTACATCGATATTTTATTAAGTTGAGGAAGGGATAACAATGAAAGTAACTAAAGTAATCTAAACTAAAAGAAGGAACAAAGAAAGAAAGAAAAAAAAAAAAAAAAAAAACTACAAGGATGGAAGAGAGGAGGAAAAGTATAAAGGGAAGCATGAAAGGAAGAAAGGGAAAATATGCTTACGTGTACGCATACTGGGGTCCGCCGCCGCCCTCTGGAACTGTCCAATCGATGTTTTGGCTAGGATCCTTGATATCACATGTCTTGCAGTGAATGCAGTTCTGAGAGTTGATTTGCAATCTCTTCGAGCCTTCAGGACCATTCTCGTTCTCCACAAACTCATATACACCAGCAGGGCAGAAGCGACCCTCGGGTCCATCAAAAATCTTCAAGTTACGCTGGACGGGAATGTCCTTGTCCTTGAGACGTAAATGCACGGGCTGGTTCTCGGCATGGTTTGTGCCAGTTCTGGAGACTGAGGTGAGCAGATCAAATGAGATGACGCCATCAGGCTTGGGGTATTCGATCTTCTTAGAACCCTTGGCTGTTCTCAGACGCTCATGGTCTGGCGTCGTATTGTGGAATGTCCATGGTGTTCTACCTTTGAGGAGGATTGTGTCTATACCAGAGTAGAGCACACCTCCGATATTTCCGAGGGGGCTATGGAAACTAGGTCTACAGTTGCGAATTTCATTCAATTCCTTCCAGATCCAGCTCTCCTTGACCTTCTTCTCAAAGTCCTCCAAGACGATGGGCTTGTCTGGAGAGTAGTCTTTGGAGGTAATAGCAGCGTAAGCAGACTCAGCAGCCAACATTCCGGATTTCATAGCAGTGTGTGTGCCCTTGATCTTAATCAAATTCAGGAATCCAGCTGTGCATCCGATCAAAGCTCCTCCAGGGAAGTAAAGCTTGGGAATTGACTGAAGTCCACCTTCGTTAAGGGCACGAGCAGCATAGGAGAGACATTCTCCTCCCTCAAGGAGATCTTTAACATATGGGTGATGCTTCCAGCGCTGGAACTCCTTGTAAGGGTGAAGATAGGGATTTTCATAGTCCAGGCCAACAACAAGACCCAAGCTGAGCATGTCATCGCCCATGTGATAAATAAAGGAACCACCATAAGTAGAATTGTCAATGGGCCAACCCAATCCGTGGACAACTGTGCCGGGCTTGGATTTGCTGGGATCGATCTTCCAGACCTCTTTTATGCCGATACCATATGTCTGAGGGTCACATTCATCACGCAGGTTGAACTGACGGAAGAGTTTCTTTGTCAAAGAACCGTGGCATCCTTCGGCAAAAAGCGTTACTTTGGCATGGAACTCCATACCGCGCTCAAAGTTATCCTTTGGTTGAAAATTCTTGTCCAATCCGACGTCGTTGGTTGCAACTCCTTTCACGCTTCCATCCTCGTTGTACAAGATCTACAATTGTAAAAGACAAATATTCATATCAGCATCTTGGATTTTTTTTTTGTACAAGCGTGGGAAAAAGTCGAGTCAAGATGTGTCATATTTACCTCGCTAGCAGCAAATCCAGGAAAAACTTCAACGCCAGCCTCCTCGGCTTGCTCACCTAACCACTTCACATAGTTGCTCAGAGATACAATGTAGTTGCCTTTATTATTCATCTGAGGTGGATGGGGCAAAGGGATAGCATAGTTCTTAGTGAAGAGCTTCATATGGTCACTGAGGGCTGGTTGGTTCAAAGGAGCCTGATTTGAAAATACAAATAAATATCGGACAAATGTTAATGATCGCTGTCTCATGCTCTCATGACCTCACAAGAGACACAGAATGATTAAAACTGTATTTTTAAAGTTAACTTACTCCCTTCTCTTTCCAGTCAGGGATCAATTCATCCAGAGCACGAGGTTCAAGAACAGCTCCAGAGACAGTATGGGCTCCTGTAAAAGAAAATAAAGTTGTTGAGTTTCAGGCGAGTTATGAACAGATCATAGAGAACAAACGATAATAGGCATAGCCGGATCTCTTACCAATCTCGCCAGCCTTCTCCAATAGGACCACACGGATTTCTTGACCTCCAGCACTTGCAAGCTGCTTCAGCTTGATGGCAGCACTGAGACCAGCTGGGCCTCCGCCGACGATGACTACATCGGTCTCATCAGCATAACGTTCAGCTTTAGTTGGATCTTCAGAGTCTTCCATAGTTTCCTCGTCGCTCAACCTTGGGAGGGATTGAGAAAAGGCGCGAATGGCAGTGTTGTTTGCGCGAGCATAATTGAAGGGAACCTTGTGCGTGATAGATGCACCTTGACGGCGTCCAATAGCAGAGGAAATAGTGACAAAAGTGCGTTTAGGAGTAGAGCTGGCCCTTGTGCCTGTCACAGCAGAGCGTGCAAAGGCTGAATTTAGGGCGCGAGAGGATCTACCCAGGGTGACAAGGGACGACATGATGAATGATCCTGGTCCTGATCCTGAGATGACAAGCTACTGAATGAGAGAAAGAGAGGAGGAAGAGAGGGGAGGGAATAGAGGTAAGAAAGGAAAAAAAGAGCGTGCGGAGAAAAAAGAAAGGAAAGGCAAGCTTTCTCCGAAGATTTATTTTTTTGACGTTTGTTCCGTGGGACGAAAATAACCACCAGTGATTTCTTATTGCAAATCCTTTCGTTCATTGGAGGACATGTCGCGAAAACACCGAGAAGTAAAGTTCATCGCGCGAGCTGCACCAGGTTGTTGTCAATTAGACCGCATTTAGGTGTTTTATACAGAATAAGTGCACACGTAAAGCTATCGACCATCTCTGGCATGTGATCCATGTTGTCAGCAGAACCTTAATGGTCAATCTCAATCCTGCATACTACGCGTCATTCTAACCTCATTCTTTTTCACACCACGTTCCCACGAACATTTCTTCTCTTTGTCTCTTTTCCATACAAATATTCTCTACACAAATAAGTTCCTTATTATCTTCTTCTTAACCATGTCTGTTACCAGAGTTGTTGAATCGCGTGTCATAGACGTATGAATACTCTCAAAAGAGGACTTACTTTGCTACGTTACAATATGAAGGAAAAAAAAAAAAAAAAAAAGATTTAACAAATGTGAGCAATTTATCTTCTGATTTTGGTATGTCTTTAGGCACCCATCGATATTGTGTGGCCTTTTGTTCGATCAGTCGAACTGAGTTTCTGGAGAGCTGTCAAGAGTGTTGAAGTAAAGGGGTCCGCCAGTGAAGGTATCTTATCACAATCTGGATATCCATTTCTTGTGAAGTTAATCTCTTGTCTAATCTATTTACTTTATTTTGCCTTCAATTAATTACAAGTGGGAAGCACCCGAAAGATCTCTTTTCATGATGGAGCCGTTCAGGAAGTCAAGATTGTCGAATTGTCTGGTAACTTTCAATAACGATTTCAAACAAAAAAAAAAAGAAAAAAAGAAAAAAAAACAGACATGACAAGAAGACAAATTAAAATATTTCTTCTGGTGTAATAATTTTATTGTTGTAGATCTCACTCACTCTGTGAGCTACGACTTCATCGAGGCTGAACCCGCAGTCGACTTTATGTCAGCTTTACATACTATCAGTCTCCGAAAAGTTACAGCAAATAATGCCACGTTCGTGGAGTGGTCTGCCGAATTTTCATCCGATGCACAACTTGGTAAAAGCCATTAAAGTCTCAATGATTTGACTGGCACTTTAATCATAGCATCACTATTCAAGACTGTGCTCACTAACATTCCTTTTTTTTTTTTTTTTTTTTTTTTTTTTTAAAAAAAAAAAAAAAAACAACGATGTAGCGGTGATTGAGGACAGCCGTTACAAGCGCCTGGAGGGTTTAGAAGACCTCGCCAAGGCTGTTGCAAAAAAATGAAATCGTTGTCCTTTTGATAACACAAGCACTATGCGCTTTTTTTTTTGAAATTTCATACGTACTTTTTGAATAAAAGAAAAACGTGCTATCTCATAATATTGGTGGCAAAGTCACTATTCAAACTGTAAACAAACAAGCATTTCTTTCAAAATGTAGTCCTGCTTGAACTTTCTCCCAAGGACGCCATGGCTAATCCATCAACACAACCGCCAAGCAATGCAACGACTACCAATATCATCTTTGGGCGGGATTTTGTACAATCTTCCTACGCCCTGCTAGAGGTCCCAAAGTCACTTGAAAATTATATTGACGAGCATGAAAGCAGGCTCGTAAGGTACCAAGAGCTATAGAACTCGTTGCATTGAAAAAAAAGCATGCCATCGATTCCCAGACCCCAAGAGTCTAAAAAGTGAATGCCTGCTTTATAGTTTCCAAGTGCGAGGCATAGAAAAGGATACAGCTGTGTTATGTACCCCAACACAAACTTTCAGTCTTCAACGAGCCCATACTTCCAATACGTTGATACCCATTGCACCTGTTATCGGCAGGAAACCTGAAAGCCATAATGATATGGATTTGGACGATCCATATCGTACGGACCGCCCCGATATTGAAGAGTCATCGTATGGCAAGCATGCGGTTCTGGATATGATGAATAGCGTCCTCGATTTGATACCCATTCCACCACGGCTGGATCGGCTAGCAGAGCTATTAGGGGAATGTCTCTTTGAAGGATGGGCACATGAACACGAGGTGAAAGTAATTATTACTTCTTGAATAGATCGATGTCAAAGACAAGAAAATAGAAGGTACATAACGCAAGCTCCAAACACACTGCTGACATACATATATACACTCGCTCTTTTACATTTAACATTACAGGGGCGTCTTTACACATGGAGGGAGTTACAATCGACTGTTCAGGCTAGTGATAAAGAAATTTTGCAATGGCTCAAGGATAAGCATGCTAAAGAAATTAATGGTACCTAGTTTTAAAAACTAAGTGATATGATATGTTTGAAGCAAAGACCTAAAGTAGAGTCGCCTCTAAAACTACAGTGATCATCTAAAATGGTTATTCAGGCTATTGGAGACTCTTCAGGCGACGATTCATGTACGACATCTTAACAGAAATCTTGGTATCCTTGAGCATCGAGGGTATGACACCAGATGCAGTCGATGCAAGAATGATTTGCAAGCAATTCGAGGAAAGTGAGACTGCCAAAGAGACTGGTATTGAGGCGTGGATGGTTGAACATTGTCTCGAAAGCTTTTCGGAAAACGAACAAGAGTCTAATTCTGGTATTTTGATGCAGCAGGAGCGGGGACAGAAGAGACATCTGATAAAATTGATATGCTTTTGAACCTCTTCCATAAAGCTACCGAAACTAATGGCCGGGTCACTTTGTTAATTTGTCTTTTAGGGATATATCGACTTTCAGCGGTGAAATTATGCACATTCATGGGAGTTCACCTACTATCCGCGATCGAAAGGGTAAAAAGAAAGGGATATGAAAGAAGCACTGACATGTCAGCCTAGTGTAAGAAAAACTTTGGTGACAATAACTGAACTGGATTTTTTAATATCATTTCGGACACTGGATAGGGTAAACGATGGAGGCTAGACGAGTTTATGACCATGTGGAAGAAAGCAGTACAGGATCTCTTCGAGCCAGATCTTGCTTATCTCGCTGTAAGTAATAATGTAGATTAAATAGCCTAGTATTGCTCTGAAACCTGATGTTTACTTTGTCGAACTTCTCCTGACATAGGGCGAGTGCTTTGTTGAGAACGAGCGTGGCCTTGAAAAAAAACAAACAATTACTTATATTCGATACTTCCCAAAGAGTCGCCTACCGAGCGATCCAGCAGGTCGATTCATGGCGTTATTTGAAATCAAGGAAAAATGGGGAGGTCAAGAGATTCGTCCATTCCTACGGGACCTTGTATTGGATGAGAAGAAGTTAGATGTGCTATTGCTAAAGCATGCGAGAAGTGTGAAGCAGCCTGGTGGAGGCGTTATCTATAGTAGTCGTGTCATTAAGTAATAAACATAAGCTTAGATAAATACATTAAGTCATCGTATTATTATTTGTTTCATGGTATTTGATTCTACATTATTCTTCTTTCATCTCAACAGCCTTTGCAGTCTCATCAACATTCTTTGGCTTAGTATCCATGGGGTCATCTGCCTCGCGTAATTTCTTTTCTTCCTTCTTCTCTTCGTCTCCCTCTTCCTCCTCCTCCTTTTTCTTCTCCTCTCCCTCTACCTCCCCCTCGTCTTTGCCGTCCTGTTTTTGCTTGGACATAAGCAAATCATCCAGCCTTTGCTGTAGGATTTTGACGGCCTTCATACCCTCTAGTGCAGCAAATTTACTTCCATTACGTGCTTTGGCGACTGTGTCTGTCTTCATCCTTTGGATGTAGTACTTCAAATAGTCAGTATTGGTCGTCTCGAGCATCTGTTCTAGAGTCGCATCGGACCCCAGACGTCCATCGACAGCTGATGAGGGAGTAGAAGATGAGGGTTTGACTGAGAGCTCCCCTTTCTCATTGGTTTCTTCCTCAGCCACTATCGCCAGCGATGTAGAGATGTTGGCGTTGCTAGAGACAGATGATGTGAGTTTGTTGACCTTGTATTTAGAGTACTTGTCAGGTACACTACTGCTCCTGCTTATTACGCTCTTCCTTCTTTGCATCGTATAATCCTCCTCGTCGTCATCATCCTCCATGTCATTAATGTTATTAATTTTACTAGGCGCCTGAATATTAGTAGCGACTGGTTTAGCTGGCGCGGTAGATATCGGGGTTGTTGTTGGTTCAACCTGCCCTGGTGCCTCAGTCTTTACTTTCCTAACTGTTGCTACTACAACTTCCTCTTCGCTACTTTCTTCATCATCTTCTAGGATCTCATCAGTATCTTCATCGCTTGAGGCCATTTCCAGTAAGACTTCCTGCCAGCGTGCTTCAAGAGCTTGAGCACGCTTCAGAGCGATGGCTGCAGATCGCTTGTCGCCTTTGTTCATGCGGCTCGTCGCGTATGTCTTCGCCTGCTGAACGTAAAGCCATAATTCTTCTGCACTTTCCAGCTTGAGTAATTGAGGGAGAGGTGTAGAAATGGGAAGTAGCTTGGGTTTGTTGCTTTTAGCCTTGGCTTTAGGCATTGGAGCAATAGGCACATCATTATCTTTCTGCTCCATTTCCATTTCTTCCACTTCGTCCTGTGTGCCCTTAGCTTCCTGCTTTGGCTTCTGAGTTTCCTGTTCAGCCGTTATCTCTACAATTACTGGAGCTTCAGTGGAGAGTTGTGGAGCTGGGGTTGAAGGTTCAGACAAGATGATGGGCATGGAGAGTATTTGTGTATTCAGTGTTAGATCATCGCTTGACTTGACTTGTTCTTCCGACAATAGTGACGACAAGCGCTGATCTTGCTCTAGGTCAGCCATGGAGAATGTACTGGAGACACGGTATAATGACGAAGTCTCCTTGCGTTTAGGATTCCACCAATGCTTTTTGGCCATCTGAGATGATGGCTCAGAGCCTCCTGATTTCGAAGACTGGAACGAAGCTCGCCGATTGATAGAGACGTCATCCAGAAGGATTGTGCTAGTGCTCAATGGGCGGTTCTCTAAGTTAGTGGTATCGAGGTCCAATACAGTGCTAGTGCGTGCCTTGACGGTATCCGAACGTCCGAGGCTGAAGATGCTTGAGCGGTTGGCCTTGGTGGACCCAAGTGGAGCCAAGACATCTTCTTCCAGTGGTTTCACATCCTTCTTGGCTTTTTTGACCTTCTCCTTCTTCAGACCCTTATTTGAGAGAACCCTCTCAAATGATTCTAACTGGCTCACCCATGAATCCCAGTTCTCGAGTGCTGCTTCTTCGTTTTCCTCCAAAGTATAATCCATGACCTCTTCCACGGGCTAGATGAGACCATCGTAGTAGACAGTTAGTATTGAACATTGATAAATTAATAGTAATTTGCCTTACATAACCTAGCAGACAAAGTAGTACTCACCAACACGAAACCGATAATTTCGCGGTCCTCGCTCACCTCCACTCTCTCCATGAGTGGACCTTCAACCTCTTCTTGGTATTCATAAGGGACGTATTCATCGCTATCTCTCTTCGTGTCCTTAGGTCGAACTGCCAAGGCCGCAGCCATTTCGATAGCTTTGCGATCCGTAACAGAAGCTTTTCGTTCAGTGCTATGAGCGCTTTGGTGAGTGTGTTGGCTGTACATGGATTTCGAGTCTTCATTCGTAAGGGTTTTGGTCAAAGCCCCGTTCGCTTGCTGTGACTCAATATCTTTGTTCTTCTTACTCTTAAAGATACTGAAGTGGCGGGACTTGGATCGCTTAAAAGTCTCTGTTTCAACAGACTTGGCTTCCGTAGCAATGGCTTCTTGTGCATCATGTGAAATGCTTTCGTTTGTTTCATCTTCAGTCTCCTTTAATTTTCCATCGGGTTCTTGGGGTGCAGGGCCCATTCCATCTTCACTCGCCCTATCAACAACCTTTGCTTCTACAGAAACATCTGCCTCCTCTATATGCTCAGTAATTGCATCCACTGTATCCGCTTCCGGAAGCTCATGGATGTGAGACTGAGATACCCCTTGCTTCTCCAAAGCATAAAGAGCTGATTGACCGGATGAAGGGGTACTGTCTTCCCTCAGATCGGAAAGGGGAATCACTTTGTCAAGTGAAGCAACGCTGCTCATAGGATGAAGCTTTCCCTTGCTTGGCTCGCGTGGTGACACGTTACCGAACATGGCTTCGTCCATAAGTTTTGCTACATGCTCGAGGCGGTCCTGATCCCTATCCACATTCTTCTCCTTATCTTTTTCTTTGTCCTTTTTCTTTAAGCCATACCATGTACGTTTTGATTTCGTTTTTTCTAGTGTATGACTGGTTTTTTGCGGTGAGGATACAGGCCTTGCCTCAATCTCACCTATATGCTCAGTAAAGGCGCTTCTAAATGGGGCCACAATATTGACATCAGCCGACTGCCGCTCATAGCCCTGACCTTGTTCAATATCCTCTAGCCCTTCTTCTTGCTGCCGCCCTTCTTCTTGCTCCTGTCCCTGCATCGCGTGTTCATGTTCTCCCTCATGCGCTCCTAGCGCCTCTTCTGTAACGCCTTCTTCGTCAAATGATTGTGGTTGCTGTCCTTCCTTTAAGAATGAAGAGCCTGGGATATTTTGATATATATTCTCGCCATCATCATTGTCTTCATTATTGTCATTAGTATCCTCATGATGTTTTGAAGTGTAGGCTTCGGCCTCTGAAGAATGTGAATTGATGCTTTTTTTCACTTTTTCGGTCGAAGAAATAGCTTCTTCAGTATTCTAGTTACATTGACAAAAACAAGGAACCGTCAGAAAGAATGGATTGCGACAAGTCCATGCGCTCATTCTAGCTCGTGAAAGCTCAGTTACTTACCTGATTCTCAGTAGCTTGTGCACGACCTTTTGTGTCTGCAATGTAGTATGGGTCGATATCTTCGTCATTATCATCAAAATATTGACCTTGCTCGTCATACTCATCATCATAATCTTCGTCTGGTGTGTTCGAAACGTACCAGTCCGCATAATTCCGTTGCGAATATGCATCAGTATGGTCTGCAGGGTCGACAAAGTATTGTGGCGATAGCTGCTGTTGGTGAGGAATGGAGAAGACAGGCTCTGTTTGAACAACATTTGGCTGCATTTTGTAATCCTTAGAAGTTTCGTTATTCGAAAACGATTTTGACTTCTTCTTTCCAAAGGGTCTCCACTTGGACGATTTAGTAGTCTGCTCCTGCTGTGATTGATTAGGTTCTGAAGATTGCTTCTTTTCAATCTGTTGTATAGGAGGGTTGCTCATGAAGATGGGCGAAACAACAACTGATGGAGGACTAGATACCTGTAGCGGAGGGGTGAAGGGTACAGTGTATGAATCAACGACTGCAGTAGTATGGCCATTATTAGAAGCGTATCCATTACTACCTTCATTGAAACTGATATGTTGGGAATTGAAGTCACCCCCATTGATATGTCCAAAGTTCGGAGCATGAGAAGCTGAGGACTGGGTTTTCGAACGCTTCTTTCCGAATAGGCGAAAGCCCTTTTCTTTTTCCACAGGATAGCCTCGTTGCTGTATATCGGCCTGTTGTGGTTGTTGAAGGTGGTATTGTTGATGCTGCTGCAGAGCGTGGGGCTGATATGCCTGCGGTTGGTACTGCTGGTATGGATACTGATGGGAGATTGAATAGTGGTGATCGTAGTCGCCCTCATGGTCCTGGTTTGTGGCGCCAGGATGAGATAAGGAAGCGGGGATAGGTGGTCCGTCAACTTTGTTCAATGCAGCCTCTTCCAATTGTCTGACTCTGTCGAGGTAGATTGCTTGCTATTATGCATTAAAAAAAAAGAAGGCGCAGGGGGTGTTAGAAAAATTTCTAGTGCCTGAATTTGCCAAAATGTTTCACTGCGCTGCATCATTTACATGGACGTGCGATTTTTCAAGGTTAATTCTCTCCACAAAAAAAAACTTACAATTGCAAGCATCGATTGCTTCTTCTTCTCACTGGAGCACATGGGAATGACTCGACCGAGATCATTGGCTGCTTGAGCATATAGATTTGCCGCCAATGCTGTCTCCTGTAACTCGTCTAGCTGAACAGCTTGCTGAGCTTTTACGAGAGCTGCATCAAAAATGCTTTTCCAATTGCCATCAGACCAAGTTTCTTGCTCTCGGACTGAGCGTGGGTGACTCAGAGGGCTTGGTCGAGGTGAGGAGAGTGAAGCTCTAGATGGATCATAAGGCAAAGGTCCACCAGGATAGATCAGTTGGCCTGAAGCGGTGACAGTAGGTTGTCCTGACTGTGACGAAAAGGACGAGTGCGACGAGTGACTAGTATTGCTGTAAGTGTGGGCATGGCCGCTAGTGTTGTTGTAGTAATCCTGTTGTGGAGGAGGGGGTGGAGGTCCTGTTGGCGGATTTGCCAGGGTAGCTGACCTCCTGTTCCTAGAGGAAGGCGCTGGTGTCATGAATTCTGTAATCGTTTGTTTACTTTTGTAATCTTTTGCAATGAGATTAGGCTTGGAGATGTCGAAGTAATGAGTGCTGTGGAAGATGAGGAAAATGTAAGTTGAAGAGTGGGGAGAGGAATTGTGAAAGAATGAAAGGAAAAGATTAGTGCGAAGGATAAAGAACGAGGAATGTTGTGTTGTCTTCACAAGTAAGGGCTTGGTTGAGGTGAGGATAGAAAAAGAAAGAATAAACAGCGATGAAGACACCTCAGCTGTTAACGTTGTTGACGGCGATGACGGCGATCATGGTTTGGCAGTGCAGTGGGATGCAGTGGGATGCCAGAAAAGAGGCCAGTGGAGCGGGTTCTCGCTTCACTTGCGTTCGGCTGCAATACACATGAGAAATAGTTGAGCATGGCTCTCTTTTTCTTTTGATAGTGTGTAATGTATTGTGTACAGGCGTTGTTTGTTTATGCTGGCTCTGATGTTTGCTTCCATTGTTTCTATTTCTCTGGCATTTCGATCCCAAGATGTTATTTGTGGAGACAACCTTATTTCACGAAGAAAGGTGCCCAGTCTGGCTCTCGTAAAGGAGGAGGAACTGCTCTTGATTGATAATTCATTCACAGCATACACATGTATTCACAAGTAATAACTCCATTATCGGGCGCTATTCTTTACAGTTTTGGCTCTTTTTTGTCATCCTTTCATGTGTGATTTAGTCTTGTGTAGAAACAGGTTGCAGGGACAAGTAAATAAATATCGATGGGAATTATCTTTACGCAATATCCTAATATGTCCAAAGTAACAGAAACACTGCTACAAAGAAAAGAACATCCTTGCCACTGTTCACAAGCTAAATAAGCATCAAAGAGTCATAGTTTATCCTATGCGTTGATTGTAGACTGGGCTATTCGTGCCCCATATTAACCACATTCATGTCCTTGAACAATAGTAAATATTTTTGTGGCGCTCAAACTGACTTACTGAATACTGAATACTGAATACAAATTTGGCGCCACCTTCGCTCTTGTTCCTGGGTCTGTGCACATGATCAATTGTCCACAAGCAGGCATTTAGCTCTACTTGCTTACTTGTCACTTTATATCTTGTTTTTATTATGTATAAGTTTTTATGACTTCACTAAACTCACATTATATCAATACCTCATTTTATAGCTTTACGAGCAATGTAATCACCCGAACAGCACTGCTTATCCTCCGAGGATTCATTATCGAGTCTGTTTGTACATTTCGTTTGTTGTGTATAAGAGAAATTAATGAATTCATGCACTGACGCACAAACCATGAACATGAATGAAATCTGTAATGTATTCATGTGGAGTCCTTATAGTCCTTGACGTTTTCTGTACTGTAATTGTCTGTTGTGGTGACTCCTGCAATTATCTGTAAATATATAAGCATCGCGTTATGACCCTTTTATTTTTCATATTCTTTTGCTTCCTAATATCTAGATCTGTATTATGATAGATCTTGCCAAATCGACTAGTAGTTGCAAAGATCACAGTCTGGTTCCCATTATCAATCAATATCATATAAAATGAATACCGCTGTCTTTCTGGAGCTATCAACCGATATCCCCACAGGCCTGTGGATCTTGCCAGCATTGCGGCGGTAGGACCATAGCACTGTCTTCTTTATGACTTTAACCGAATGGCTATAATACCGAAATCAATGAAAGGGCTAGACCAGATATAATCTTCTGCGGATCTTCCATCTCTATGCTTAATTGCATCCCTTTTCTCCTATTGAATAGTACAGTGTCACAAAGTCGAAGCCTCACCTCGCCCTTACTCATGTACCGTCAGCAATGAGGCAATGAGAGCTTCTGCGTGAGGTTTTTTTTATTCACCTCATTCCTTCCTTCCCTCCATTGCCCCATTATTTTTCATTCCAATACTTCTTTCGTCCATGGTCTGGCTAATTCATGTTCTTAAAACGCCACAAAGCAACACCTCTTCTTCCAATGCGACTTTAAAACTAGCAGGTGTCACAACCAAACACAAGCATGTACGCCAACGCTCGTTTCGATTACTCGACATTCCTGAAATCCTTGAAATCATCATAGGTCTTCTCAGTTTTGGGGACCGCCGTGTAATGCGACTCGTGTCTAGGCAATGTTATATCGTTAGTCGCCGCTTCCTGACTATCCGGGCTGTGTGGACGGAGGCTCCTGTCCCTGCAAGCCCACATCACGCACATGTTCTCCGATGGCTCTCCAGTTTGGATGCGCTCAGCTATGTCTCAGAGCAGACAGATGATCACGAATCAACGTTCAGCCATAACGCTTGGTTTCACTTACGCAACCATATCCAGTCGGGGCTTGCCTTCAATCTAGAGGAGCTTATTTTGAAAGGACCCATTGATGTGCAAGGCAGGATACTTCCTCTATTACCATTCATGGCCTCCTTAAGGACAATTCGGCTACAAGGAGTTTATTCTGATTCATACACGATTCCAATGTTCCTCAATGAGTGCCCAAGACTCGAGGAATTGACTATTGAGCCAGATTCTAAGCAGTGGACTGCAGGAGTCACGCCTGTAGTGAAATCATGGACGATGCATAGGCCATACAAACTAAGGGTCTTGTCAGTGCAACAAATATCCATGACACAGCACGCTATCAGGAACGTTATTGAGTGTTGCCCTAACCTTCGTAGTATCTCATTGATCGGTGTCTCCTGTACGTCCCCAACCAGCGGCGGTCATTTACTTGAAGAGGGATTAATTGCACACATTGCGCGGTGGTGCCCAGAGCTCCACCATCTGCAAATTTCCACTACTCAAGATCAGCAAGACAGCATTTCACAGCTCGCACAGTTCAGACATATCACCTCGCTCGGAATGCCTGGCAGACTCATCTGTCCTCACTTTTTTACAGTTGTCAGATCGTATCCAAATGCATTGACGGTTTTAACCATTACTGGGAGTTGTGGATTTTCACCCGAAATAACAGAGGGCCTTCACAGCTACCTCTGTAAAGCACTTCATCTAAAGCATCTAGAAGCTCCTGATATCAAATTCAATGAAATGCTTTTGTTTCATACAGATATCAACAACTCAGAGAGCGTATGGGCATGCCGAGATCTTCGTTCACTTAAGATCTCCTTCCAGCCCAATCATGGAGAACAGTACTTTAACATTGTTCAGCGCTCTAGAATGATCTATGGCTATATTTCTCAGGTGTGTCCTCAACTTCGACACCTAGCGATCACACGAGAATGGATTGATTGTTCGCTTGAGGGTGGCCTATGCTTGCTCACTGGACTGGAAAGCCTGATAAGTCTGGAGGTCACTACTACTACTATGAGTGTTTTGCATGCTTGGGATTTCAGTTGGATGGATAATGATCCTACAGTGCTACATAAAATGATTCATAAGATGTCGTCCAATGAATCGAAGTTACTGAAAAGCCTGAGAGCAAAATATGAGTGGTTAGGATATGGAGATTGCCGCTTTGTGGACCCTCAACGACTGGAGCGACTAGGGCTTTTAGTTCCAGCTTTAGCAACAACCAATGTGTTTCAAGGTCCACAAGGATACAAACTGATGGGGCCTTTGAGAAATCGACGCAAGAGGTCCACTAGTTCAGCCAGCTCAGCCAGCTCAGCCAGTAATGACAGCCGATTGTTCAACACTAGCAAGGCTGAGCCTTCAGGTCACCTTGTTCGTTGGCCATTCCTGAAGCGTTTCATCATCAACCTCTCGGTGGATCGACGCGGTCAGGCCTCAGGCATTCAGGCATTAGTTAGGAAATTACGACCTGATATTGAGTGCAAGATTGGAGAACCCTGATGTCAATTATGGATCACCACCAAAATGTAATAAAAGCATACCCCACTCAATTCGGAGTAAAAGCCGCAGGTTATATTACTTTAAAGAAGTGTTGCTGTTCTACTATATTTAAGCTTGTATGATTCTGTTTCTATGCGTCAGCAACTTGAACATTCACCTTTCCAACAAAGGCTCCATTCAAAAAGTCGACATATGTTTCACCAATTTTGTCGACGCCATGTTTGAGGACAGCGTCTTTGTACTTGACTTCACCGTTGGCCACCAGAGGTGTCAGCTCCTCAAGAAACTTTCCAAATCTCTCATAGTGACTAAAGACAAGGTAGCCTTCATAACGGAGTTCCTTAAAGAGGATGTTGATCAGGTTCTTAGGCGCATAAGGCTCAGTATTCTGATGATATGCCAAGGCTCCGACTGCTAGGACACGACCGCGTGGGTTAAGCAAGTCTAATACGATCTCAGTAGTGTCGTCTCCAACAAGATCGTAATAGATATCCAGTCCAGCTTCACCTACTGCCTCCGTTAAGGCTTTACGTTTGTCCTGGGTCTTGTAGTTGAATGCAGCATCAAAGCCGAGCTCATCCTTGAGGAATGTAACCTTTTCATCCGAGCCAGCAGATCCAATTACGCGAAGGCCTTTTCTCTTGGCCAATTGGCCAGCCAACTGTCCCAGAGTTCTGTGGAAAAAAAAAAAAAAAAAAAAAAAAAAAAAAAAACAGCAATAGTTTAGATGCAATGTTTGAGAGGTTGCAAATCTGTTAATTAAAGGCCCATCATTTCCAATTTAGCTTTTACCCTGCGGCACTAGAGATATAAATGGTCTCTCCAGCCTTGAGGTCACCACGCAAGTTGAGTGAATCCCAAACAGTGAAGCCAGGAATACCCAGGACGCCGGTGTAAGCTGAAAGGGGCACCTTGGAGTCAACCGCATTATCCAAGACATTAAGATCGTTAATGTATTCAGGTTCATAAACATGTGTGTATTCTTCCCAGTGAGAAGGAGAATGAACTAAGGCACCGACAGGAAACTTTGGGTTCTTGGAATCAACCACTTTTGCTATCGCAAATCCAACCACCCTTGATTCCTTCTTGTCATTGCTGAAGTCATGACGGATATCTAGTTTCGATAGCCATACAATGCCAATAAAGAAAAATATAGGGCCTTATTCTTTTTTTTTTTTTTTTTTTTTTTTTTTTTTTAATAAAATAAATAAGTATGGCTCTACTTACAAGGATCCAAGGAAAAGATGAGATTCTTAACAAAGACCTCATTGTCTTTAAGGACAGGTGCAGGCTCAGTGACAGTTACAGAGCGAAAATGGCTTTTATTAGGTGTGACTCCTTCAGGGATCTTTGAGATGAGGATACGATCTTGGGTGATTTCTTTGGAGAAAGTCATCTTTCTTTCTTCTTTGATGTTGATGGTGTTGTTGTTGTTGTTGTTGTTGTTGTTTTTTTGGAGAGAGGGAAGGGAGTTTGGCAGTGATAGTGTTGGGTTGTTTTCGGTTCCTTGAGGTAATGTGGTCTCTTGTTAATTGTAGAATGACCTTTTTATACATTTTTTTTTAAAAGAATATTAATAATCATTATGCGGTGAATCTAGAGTCTGTAGCCTCGGCCAACTGAAAGTCGATCGATCGTTTACACATTCACAGCTTATTTCATACGTTGAGATGGATTTGACGCGACGCGTAATTTCACCATGTATAAATCAAGAGTAGTACAAGCTGATTATAAATCAAAGATGAATGCCAAATCTATTTGTTCTATTTCATTCGTCATTATCGAGGTAGCACCAGTGCTCCGATTCAATCTGAAACTTTATCAATTATAATATTTCAGATTAAAAAAATACGAGCCGGAGACCTTGCCTCGTAAAAAAATTTAATGCTTTATTTTATGAGAACAATACAATAGGTTATCTTTATCGTACAAAATAGAATATAAAGTAAAATATAAAATAAAATACAAAGTAAAATACAAATAAAATACAAAAATAAGTGCTACAGCCAAGAGAAGAACATCTGGCAAAATAATGTCAGATAGAATAACAATGGAGATGAGCTGAAAGTCGACGTGAATGACTTGGAGATGAAGAAGCGACAGAATACCTGAAGGCCAAAGATATTGTGACTACAAAGCACGCTTGAAGACAATGTTTCGGGTGTATATCCCAGACTTACCTTCTTAAGATTGTTTGGGTCAGTACTCAGTACACCGTGATAAAGCAACGTAGAGATGGCCATGGCGAAGGCTGGCTTGATTGAAAAATTGGCGTCTGCATAACATAACTGGAGAAGAGCGGTCATCAATCGTTGTAAGCGGTATGCAGAGAATGAAAACACGCTCTCCTTGATATTGCCCATTGATAATCTCAGTCTGAATTATTCTTGTGCCTAACGCGCGCACAATCGTCCCACAGATGACAACCGGAAGTACCTGTCTGAAGACGCTTCCAAATACAAACACCTTACCACCGAGTGGAATATCCTGTCCCATAATACCTCGAAGTAGCCTGTCTACAGCCTCAACCCAATGCTTATGCTGCAAAGGAGCCTCATCCCAGAAGACGACGTCAGCATCACGTATCCTTACCGCAGTATCTTGCCACATACCAAGATTACAGAGAACGTGGAGTGGGCTGTATGGCCGTTATGAAGAATGAGAGAGGCAATCCCTGATGATGCGACAGCAATCACGCTTAGTTTATGTTGGCCAGTGAGACAACCAATGAGTGTGTTGTATAAAAATGATTTGCCTGTTCCTCCTGGGCCATCAATGAAAAAAAAGTCTCTCATGAACCTCACCTTTGGCTGCCTTAATGATGTGTCCGAAGGCTATCCTTTGGTCCAAGTTCAAGTGTACCACGTTATTGAGAGCCTCTTGTTCAAATTCCCATTGCCTCTACGTGTCATCAATCTGATCTTCCTTCTGTAGGGCATTTTCAATTCCTTGAGGCATCTCTGGAAAGTTGGCCAGGCAGAACCCAATCCTTCATTTAGATTGTAAAGTGCCGAACTCTTAGCTTGTTCCTCTGTAATACCCTCCGCAGTAGCAGTTGCCTCTCCCTGGAGCCCTCTGCATGTATGAAGGAAGTTTTCTGACAGATCCCTTGCAAAGCGAGTCCACAAAGCCAGTGTATCAGAGAGACTGCAGTTGATCATCATAATAGCAAACAGGTGTCGCAGTATCCTCGGTGGCTATATATGGATGCTTCTTCTAAGCAACGACCCCATTATTCATCATCCTCGAGAAAGCCGCGAGCAAGAGCAGCTGAGTAGAATGTATCAAAGGCCTGGTTGACTTCAGGCACTGTGCGGAGCTCAGCAAAATCCTTTGATCCTTTGACATGCATAAGCAGCAGCCGAAGACAGTACCGCTCGTGCTCTTTTGGCTGGACAAAATAGATTCTAGAGAGAAAATTCGTGCTATTGGCCCTGGCTTTCTCTTTCCATCTTCTACTGCGCTTGTCCCAGGTGTAGTGGTAAGGTATATCAGGGTACAAATAGTATCCCGGTACCTTTATATTGCTTGCGGTGTCTGCATCGGCCGCATTTGCGACTTCTGCCCTCGAAATTTCTTTCTCAAAGTCACTATTGAGCTTGAACCATGCCATGAACTGCGAGTCTTGGGCACAGGAGATGATCTGCTCGAGGTTAGCATCAGGGCCAGACCACTTGCTGCTGATCCTCTACATTATTGCGAATGGCTTTGCTTTCCGCGTCTTGGCCACCAAAGAGCTCTAAAAAGCGGTGTGGAATACTCTGCAGATGAGGGACTTAGATTTGACCCCTACTGTAGACAACACACTGACTGCAATCTGCTCCTTTTTCTGAGCTGTAGTTACTCACAAGAGTGAAGATGCTGTAAGGCTGCATTAAGTGACTTGGAGTTAATGGACCCCATGCTCGACAGAGGAGGTATGATTGTAGCTTGACAAATTTGCTTCGAATTTGACGGATTTGCTCTACTTTATTTTCGCGCTCGCTGTACCAAACATCCTTGTCACTTGCAATTTCCATTGCTCGATCGATGGATTCCTGATCAAGGTAAATCCTTGTGTTGAAAGAGCTCCTTTCATCTTCTACCAAGAAAGAGAGAGTTTTGCCGCCTACTGATGGTTTCTCTTTTTGGTCAATGCGGATTGATGATGTGACAAGGGCGTTCATTGTGTGAGTTCCGATTACCAACCTCTCACCATCGTTGGAATGCATTGTTGTTGGATACACGTCCACATATCGGTGCTCGTGGCTTCCTGGAGTTGATGTTTTAGTGGCGATCCCTTTTGAGACCTGGAACGGTTCACAATGAACATAGACATGCTTTTTTCGTCCATACACTTCGATGCAATTTACTAAGATGGCATGGGGATTGCTAGTTGTGGTTTTCACTAGTATGCATCCTGCAAGGATTTTTGCACATGCACATCTCCGTGCCGTATTCTCTAAAGCCCAGTCTTCATTCAGAAATTGACTTACTTTCTTGTCCAGCTCGACGTATTTTCTCTGTTCAAGAATTGAAGCGTATGGTGAACTCTGAAATACTTCTGGTGCTGGAGTAGGTTGGCATTTGGAACATTGTACATCGGCAGAAATATTGTCGAATAATGCTGTTTCGGTGGAAATAGAAAAGGGTCCTTTGAAAGAGAGTCGCTCCAGTTTCTTCACATGTGCAAAAAGAATCTCTTCATCCCCTTGATTGTTTTTTGCAACTATGGGAGCTGCCTCTAATAATTCAACAAAGAGCAATGCTTTTTTCTTTTCAGCTTGCGAGCTATGGCTTTGCTCTGATACTTCCAATGCTAGCTCCCTGAAGGAACGTTTTTTTTGGTCGTTTGTTGCTGTAGACGAGTTCTCCCAATGAGAGCTTGGCAGGCGAAGAAGGTGAAGCTGAACTTAGTGGCTTAGTTGAAGGAGCAGTGAGACTCTTGATTCTTGTTCAAGTTGTGGTTGCCTTTGCTCCTCAATGCCTTCCATTGCTGAACCGTTTGGATGATCATGCAAAGGTGCTGGATCAGGACCATGGTTGATGCCTTCTTTTGCTGTAGCATTGGGGTGATCATGCAAAGGTGTCTGATCAGGAGCGTTGTTGATGATTTCCAATTGGATCAGCTTACAGATGTTTTTGGAAATGTGCTCCTTGATTCCTTTCCTCCTTTTAATTGTAAAAAGGACACGAAAATAGCCCATTCAGACGAGACACCTGCAAGCTTTCGTTGACACCAAAAGAATTGGAAAGTGTAACATTAATACTCTCCTTGTGATAGTCGTCATTGTGTCTCTTTAGTTGTATTCTTTTTTTGAAGACCTTTGGGCAAATTTTACAGCTCCAGGAACGTGAAACGGGTTCGAGTTGCTCCATGTTTCTAAAGCGATTACTCCAACGAAATTAAAGAAAGGAGGATTGGGTGAGTGAAACATTACAGCTGCAAAAAAAAAGGGCGGATTGTGGAAATTAAGCTGCACAAAAAGAAAAATAGGGCGGATAGTGGAATTTCGAAAAACAGGATGGTTGAAAAAAAGAGAGCAGGCGGATCCAAAAAAAAAAACGAGGGAGCAGGTTCTGGAACAAATAAAAAACAGAAAAGAGCGGGTTCGAGAAGAAAAAACATTTTTGGTGCTTATCCCCATCCCGACCAAGACAACGCACAATGTCAACTCTTTTGCGTTCCCAGGGAGATTCAAAGCTTCTCTCGGTGGCAAAAAGGCAAGAAGGGCAAGAAAACTTACAGGAAATGAGCCGCAGCAGCACTGGAAAGCAGGGAGGGAAAATAAGATGAAAGAGTGAGAAAAGAATGAGCTGATGAAAGAAGGTGACGAATGTGAATATGAATGTGAATGAGAGTGCGAATGTGAATATGAATGTAAATGAGAGTGCGAATGTGAATGTGTGTAGAAGAAAAGAAAAACGGTGAGAGCAAACTGAAAAAATATGAAATGAAATGGCCCCTGAAAAATGGTCTGTGCGGGACAAATGTATAAATAACCAACAAAATTAAAATAGAAAGCCTAGCGCCCAGCGCATTTGTTGACACCAATAGCGGGAATATAGAACCCGAGACCAGGGAGTCATGTAAATCAGAGTAACTACATCAATCGAAAGCCCTGACTCCTGATTGGTATAGGTTCCAAGGCGTTAGAACCTGGGACCAGGGTATAATTACGTAAAATTAAATTCTAAAATATAAATGTTGGTCTGTGCTTTGGTAAAATACACTATGATACTGGGGCCGATTTTTATATCACTGGAGAGGGGATCCCGAGCTCTCACAGCTTGTCAAATATCATGATGAAGTACCAAGAACTCGGCTTGCAAAAATAAAAAAAAGTGAAAACCTCTCCAAATTAAAAATTATTTTGGCAAAAGGTTCTAGAAAAGTTATTGGTCACCTTTGTGACGACAGTGGTTTGGCTATGCCAGTCAAGCATTCATCGCAACGTTGCCTTTTGATCCTTTTAAATGTTCTCCCCATCATCCATGTAATAGCAGGATTCTAGCGCCCCAGCATTGTATTAATATATACTTAAGGGTAATATATTCTTTATTCGATATATTTGTTCACTTATTTCATTGCAGTGGTTTGTTATATTCAATGTATTATATCAATGTTTTCACTGAATGGAATCTTACTCGGGGCAAATAATATCTTTTTTGATAAAATTCTGGAGGTTGGCAGAGTCATAAACCTCTGGGTTAATTTCTTCAATTTGTTCTTGAAATTGTTGTAACAATGCCTATAATTTCGAGAAGTTGTGTTAGGATTTATGGTTATGAAACAGAAATAAAAACTTTGTTGATTACATTGTATTCATTACTTTCCTTTGAATGCATGAATATTGATATAATGTTGCTTATTCCTGACATATCTGCTGTGGAGCGAGGAAGGAATCCTTCAGCAGCTTTGTAAAGAATGTAAATTCCCAAATCTGGATCCATTGTCATTGTAAAAATCTCGAGCTGGAATCCAAAGACTTGAATTAATATCACCATCGGTCTGGGGACTCCTTTGATTATCTGTGAATTGATCTCATCCTTGGCCATTCTAACTAATTTCCAGAAATCATGAATTTTGATTATTTTACGACGATCCTTCTCTGGAGGCTTGACTTCACCAAAAAGGCCAACAATTTCTGAATTAGAAATGCTTGACAAAGTTGGGCATGGAATCTCGATGAAAAAATCTGATCTAACGCCATGGTCATGTTCTGATTTCGTTGAATTGCCAGAATCATGTTCAATATTATATGATATAGGAAATCTGCTTCTTTGGCCAAAAAGAAGGTCAAGATAACATTGGAGATGGGTCAAGATAAAACCAGTTTCACCATATTCCTCTTCAGGCTTGAATTTTAATGGAAGAATCGTGGTTCTATCCAAATAATGATATAAAGTTAACGTTGATTAAAATGGTAAACTTTACAATACAATTTAGAATAAGTATGCTACTTACAATCGCTCAAGCATGCGCACTGCTTGCTTCCTCTCCAAGCTTCCTCCATAGAGCTCGTGCATATAATCCAGCATCTGCTCATCTGTTAAACGGCTATTCACCTTCGTCTGAACATTAAAACATAGCAACTGTAGGTCGGAATCCGGTTTGGGTGAATATGTTGAACTCAAATTATCCAGGTACTGCATTTGTTGTGTTTGGACCTTACTCAAAGAAGTATTGTCAGTCCACCAAATGCCATTTAAAGACCTAGAATTGTATTGTAAGCTAGTTATCCTTCTAAATATCTTAATTATCCAATTATATTACAATTGTAGCAAAAATACTTACAAAGCTTCTGGAAGCAATGACGATATATCATGATAAGGAACAACACGTTTGCGCGAAGTAATTTGAAATGTTCTAAAGGCAGTTTTCAAACTTGAAGTTGGAGAAGATGGGGATGGATTGGGTATGTCGAGCCATTCATCATCATCATCAGTAAGAAGCTCCTTATAGATTATCCTAAATGAATTCTTTTTTCGTTTTGTTGATCTTGTGGAGTCTGCTGATCTTGTTGAATGTTCTCGAGTAAGTCTGGATATTTTTGATGTAGATGATTGATTTGATTGACTAGATTCTGTGGATTCTATGGTGCGTGCCAAAACTGATGCAATAATTTGCATTTTTTAACATTCATTCCTCATTCTCCTTTTCCTTTCTAATGATCTTCCCTACCATCACCGCTTCTCATTCTCATTTGTCTCACCTTCGTAGACTGTCATCGCTGTTCTCATCAATGACACAATTAGCGAATAATCGCCATTTGTATAGTCATGTCTCATTGCATCAGTTTTGGTAAAAAGTACATGTCAGGTTTGTCCATCCCTTACTTCTTTCTTATTCTTTATTCTTTCTTTATAGCACCATCACCACTGATACACCAAGCGACACTCTACATATCTGCCATATCTTTATCATAACATGAAATCATTATCCAAATCAACTATCCAAAATGCAACTGCTCTACTTCATCAGGGAAAGTCTTCCAGAGAAGTGTCAAAGAGTTTAGGGATATCTGTTACCTCAGCTCAAAGGATTAGGAAAAGAGGCAAAGAAAGTATTCCAGTGCTGAGAGGGGGCCGACCCTGCAAAGTTACTAAGAAAACGAAACAGCTTTTATCAAGATTTTTTGACATGGGTGTATTGGAGACCCTAAAAGATGGCCAACAACTTGTTCAATTGAGGGAAGGAGTGCAGGTTAGTAAATCGAGCATCAGGAGGTTCCTTATGCAGGATGATATGGGGGCATATGTAAAACAGAAGCAGCCTGATCTGACGAAGAAGCAAATCTATGCTCGATATAATTTTGCAAAGGATCACTTGGACTGGACTCTAGAAGACTGGAAGAACGTCATGTTCTCAGATGAGACCATCTTTAGCAGAGTTGGGTCCTGCGGAAGAAAGTACTACTACAAGCATCGATGGGATAAAACTCTACGAGCACATCATATCAAAAAGACAAGGCAAGGCGGTGGAGGCAAAATGATGTTCTGGGGTTGTATAACTTACTACGGACCAGGCGATGGCTGCTGGCTCCAAGAGAAGGTGGATTCGGTAACATACGTCGACGTTCTCAAGGATTATATCTTTAAGTCCAGGGATTACTACTTGATGGATAAGGACAAATTTATATTTCAGCAGGACAATGCTAGGATTCATACCGGAAGAATAGCAATGCCCTATATCCAAAAGTCTAAGATACCTCTCATGGAATGGCCAGCAAACTCTCCTGACATCAACCCAATAGAAAACATATGGGCATACATGAAGGTGCAGTTGGATCATTATCCAGACAAGGCAAAGAATATGGAGGATCTCTGGGAGAGAGTCCAAGACGTATGGACACATATCCCTCCTGAATTCTTACACAAACTATACTGCGGTATGCCGAAGAGGATGAGGGAGTTATATAAGGCTAAAGGAGGGAACATCGTTAGGGGAAAGGAGAAGTAACAGGAATAAATAAAAACAAGAAGTTGTTAATTGCCATAATAGATGCAATGAGATGCTGAAAGCAAATTGCAATTAAATGCTAATTAGGCCACTGATGGCGATGACGATGAGACTCCATGGAGGTGAGACAAATGAGAATGAGAAACGGTGGTGGCAGGGAAGATCATAAAGAGGAAGAAGGAGAATGAGGAATGAATGTTGAAAAATGCAATTTATTGCATCAGTTTTGGCACGCACTATATAACAACAGAGCCCGTTCCAGTTCCAATGACAGTGGAAGCTGAAGTTCCTAAACCAGGTTCTTGAACCAATAATATTACTATTAACTATCACATAATAAATAACTAAAAGGACTAAACACATTATAATTACCTATACCATCAACACCATCATCACCGGCTGTTGCCCAACAAACAACCATCCTTCTTGTCATCACCAGTGCATTGGCGGCATAATCCCTCCATTCTGAGGAATCACAAAACTTAAGCTGAGCCATATATTCATTCCACTCTCTAGCAACTTCACTGGCATTTTGAAGTGCAAAAGAACTACGAAAGATAACGTATTTCTTTGGATCAGTATTTTCAATAATTTCTTGGGAAAGGAAAAATCTCGAACCTTTTGAATTGGGGTGAAAAATTTCAGATAATCGTTTCATCTAAAAAATAAGTTGTAATGGTTAGTAAACTACTCGAAACAATATGATCCATACTATAAGAACCAACAAGCGAAGACAGCATGACGGTATTGCGAGGTAACATCATGATGGTCATAAGCTATTGTACAAGTATTTCAGGCCACCCTGTAGTGCACGCAACGAACTCAACATACAGCATATTTTCCCCTGAAAAGGCCTATACAGCCTCACTTATTCCATGAATAAGCTCTTTACTTGTCAGACGACATGACATGACCTGTCATATTCATAGATAGATGAATAATTACTACCATTACCTTTATTGCTGGATGCCAACCAATTCAAGTCAAGATTGAATGAATTGTAGAAGCAGATAATGGAAGAGGAGTAGAAAGAGTGAGTGTATATGTGTAAAAGTTAGTAATGATAATAGAGAGAGGTGGGAAAGTGGAGCAGAACTAGAAGACAAGAGAGAGAGAGACAGAAAGGAAAAGCCAAAAAAAAATTAACCATATAATGTTGTGTAAGAAATACGATTAAATTTCCTTCCAAATGACCAAATGACGCACCCCTTATTTTTGCCACCATTTCAACTATAAAAACAACAGCGCCTGACTCACGCCCGAATTTCTTATTCCTGGATCTCCCAACTCCTTCCGCTGACAATATACCCGAACGATTCAAATCAAACGTCATACTTCAGGAGTTGGAAAGGACTGAATCACAAGATGTACCAGTCTTTGGGGTGTCTGTAAGTCATAAGCATGATAGGTCGCAGTAGAGATTGGCTTGTTATTTGTTAATATTCTAATATGTGACTTGATTTATGATTGATTGTAGGGGTGTGGCAAGACTCGATCAGTAGTAGAGATGCTCTGTTTACAGTGGGGTTTCTATTTCAACGCATCGGACAAGGACCTTGGCAGTGACGATCTCTCCTACTTGGCAACCTCGATCCTTGTGAAGACGCGCGATGGACTAGGCCGAAAACACAATACGGATTTCGCAAGAAACATGACGCTCTTGCTCTTTCTCTCCCGTCTGATGATCCTCAATTACTGCTTATCGATACCGGGCTGCGAAAGGACATTTTCTAGTTCCAGATGGGCTATCCTTCAAGTATGCCCAACCATGTTCGAGGATGTGTTTATGTCGCTCTTCAAGATCCTCTTCGGGAGACTGCAAGAGCGTACCATTTCCGAGTTATCTCTAACGGCCGTTGTCAGTGAAGAGCTCTTGTCAGTATGGAGTCACCTCGCTTCCCTTAGCTATCCTAATTTTACAAAAAAGTCCAAGCTACGGCTTGTTGTAGACGAGGCACAGATTCTAGACGATCAAGGCTATAGTTTGTTCGAGTCATCATATTTAGAATCGGAGCTTAGACCGCTACTTTCACCTGTTCTACATGGTTTCAGAAGACCGGGAGATCTATTGCGGCACAGGACTGAGCATCAGAACTCTCCATTGGGCACAGTCTTCAGGCGATGGTGTGAAAGAAGAGGAGTCAATGACATTTCCGTAAGTCCTTATTGAATTTTTTTTGAATCTTTGAACTTTCCAACTTTTCTTTTACTACTTTATTTCTAACATAATTAACGTCATCACCCACATGCAGTTATTTAGAATTCCCTGGGTGGGCCAGTCAAACATCAGTTCAGTCATTTATTGATCGCGTAAAAGATCAACTACCGAATGACGAATCGAAAAATGCGGTGGATGCCTTACTCCCAGCAGTCAGCGTGTTATATCAAAGGCTTGGAGGAAGATTTGGACCCATATGCACGTAAGGCTCTGTATTATTTGTTTTACACACCGCACCAATTTGCATCTCATCTTTGTTTCTAACACAGAGCGTAAGGAACACTGTGATGTGGAGCATTTATTCGTGCAAGGAGGCAATGTTCCTCCATGGGGTGAATTTGTGTACTTAAATCATTATTACAACTCTAAGCCAATGTGCTTGAGATGACTAACTTATCCATGTATTTGTTATAGAGCCACCGAAGGAATAATCAGGACAGGCGACCCAAACAAATGGGAGAGCATTATTGATGATACTGAATCAATGTTAACATCATGGAAGGAAAAAGAACGTCGAGGAAATCTCATTAGGGAACTTTTAAGTACGCGCGAATAGTTTTTTTTTTTTTTTTTTTTTCAAAATATATTAACACTTATTCCACAAATTAGGGGTCCAATCAAAGATCGCTAAACACCAAGAACAATTCAAATCATGCTCAAATATGGAGGAGACGCTTGAACTATTCCTCTTCCATTGGTATCTACTTGGAGAGACTGAGTTTATTCTAGAGGATGATGCGCAGCTAGTCGAAGCTGCATTTGGCCGCATAAGGATTCTTGGAAACAAGGCAATAACTACTTTGGATGAGCCTTTCGTGCTACAGTATGTGCCTTTATTAAAATTGTGGT